ACCTGGATGAGTCTTCATGAAGCGCATGGAACAAACCCGCCACAAAGGAGCAATTAGACGCAGCAAATAGCGCTTGATGTTCAGCAACTATATAATCCTTGTTCTTGTCGATAAAATGGTTTGATTGATAAGTAACCTTGCAAATATAGGAAACACATCAGGAACAGAAAGCTTCCACTTCACTATCATTGAGAGAAAGGAATAATTACATAGAAGCAATACTGTACCTCTCCTGCATAATGCGATATGGTAAAATCAGTGCGAGAGAGCTTCGGTTTCGAAAATCTATTGTGACTTTTGAACGTCTGGAACAACTTTTGGGAGAAGGTTTCATGTGTAGATTTGGGAAACATGCTGTGTTGAACCAACCAAAAAATATGATTGGATTTGAATAATACTATGAGGAAGGCATACAAGTCAATCTGAGAAAGATAAAGCATACCAGGCTTCATCGAGAAGTGAAATAATTCCTCCCGGTTTCTGATGAAGACATACAATTTCAACATAAGAAAAGGGAAATCATAACAAAATTGTGCAGTGAACAAGTCTCTATTTCTAAACCCTAATATGGTTACCATAAAGTAATCAAATATCAAAAACTGAAATGCAAGTCTGGTTGAATTAAGGAGAAACATACTTTTTCAATTAAATCAAGAACATCTTGGTTATCAATAAACTCTATGTAGCTCCAGTCGATCTCTTCTTTGGTGTACTCTTCCTGCTCCATCTTGAAAACATGCTGCAAAGAGTAATACCAGAATAAGTACAATCTACTAATCAAAAAGCAAAGGGGCTGATCAAAAAGGGAAATAGACTAACCTGATTAAAATGCTGTTGCAGTTTTTCATTCGTGAAATTGATGCAGAATTGCTCAAAACTGTATCACAAGCCGTACAAGAAATCAACCACAACTTCGATAATAGATAAATGCACTAGCTTTCCATGGTTAGCAGTTTCATTCCAACATATTGACACACATTATATGAAACTTTATGTAACACCCACAACTTCTTGCAGAAGAAGTAGTGACATAGGCAATCTTCAGTTGAAATACCAGAGGATGACAAAAGATGATCTTTCAAACAAAACAAGGAATAACTTCTCTAAAACTATCCAAATATGTCAAGATTGACATTCCCTGCACTCGTGGAATGAAATGGAGTACAGGTGAAGGCAAATAATGTTTTACATAAAACAGTACCTATTGCATTTGAAACTCTCAAACCCATAGATATCCAGAACTCCAATAATCGACTTTGACCTTGGGTCCTGCCCGATGGAAGTATTAATTTTATTCACAATCCTGTAAACGATAGGGGAAAAAAATGCATTATGACAAATATTTCTATAAAAGCCAGACTGGGAAATGGAAGAGGGAATTTGCTTGAATAGCTTTACCAGTCAAACAAGTGAGAATATATTGTCTTGGCCAGGGTATCCCTACTCGCAATTGCATTCTCGGGATCAAGAGTTCTCGTGATGATCTCTTCAGGTGTAACCATCACACGCCTAATGAGAGCATCTTCTAGGCTCTGGGCGTTACACCTGTCAAAACAAGTGCACAATACAGAGAACAGCTTTTACAACGAATAATCCACTGAACCGAAAAATAGACACAGTTTCAAATATGGTAAGAAAAGAAGGAGCATACATTAGTAGCTCTGCAGCCAAGTTAAGATGAAACCGGGAGTTTTCATCCTTTATGACGGAGGAATCAATCTCTTCCCCCTTTCCAAAATCAATGTTACCAAGATGAAGAATCGCAGCAACCACCCTGAAGATTGCCTCCTGAAAATATTACTTTAGATGTTAGACTCAAACATGAAAGTAGCAGAAAGAAAACATGAACTCTTCAACACATAAGTTTGAGGACCTGTTCTTCATTACTGATTCCAACTACATCCATAGCTCTTCTGGTTTCAAGGTATTCACTAGCATCATCAACACCATCCAGCTTATAACAAGTTGACTGATTTAGATAATGGAAGGACCGTGGGTTTCCCAGCTGGTACTTCTCTATATCCTGCAAGATAACCATGAAAATAAAATTGAAAAATGAGTACGATATCGACATGGAGAGAGCATGCATATAATAGAAAGAGAGAAAAAAATCTGAGATACCTCTGGCGGAGCAGCACAAAGAAGGTAAAAGCAATGGTAGTTTCTTTCAGGATCTGAGATTTGGCAAACACGTGATCTCTCAAGCAGATAAGTCCTAATAGCTGCCCCAGATATCCTTCCATTCTTGTCAAATTGGATCTCAACAAATTTACCAAAACGACTGCCATCAAAAAGAATGAAAACGGCCAAATAATCATGAGTATGAGTCATCTTAAAGCACAACCGGAAGAATAATAAAAACATTTAGCAATAAAACCCTATCAATTAACTAATTACTCATTAATGAACTAAGCTGATAAAATCCAGATTGGGAAAGAGGTTGAATGCACCTCGAGTTGTTGTTCCGTAAAGTTTTTGCATTGCCAAATGCCTCGAGAACTGGATTGGACTGCAATATTTCAGAGAGGATATTAAGCATTAAGTTGTATAACATGGAACATTTCTCATTAGTCAAGCAGAAATTAAAACAAACCTCTAAGACTTGCTGTTCAACTGTCCTTCCTTCTACACCAGACCTCCCTCCCAAATAGGCAAGGTACCTCATGAGCATCTTTGTCGTCTCGGTTTTACCAGCACCACTTTCTCCACTCACCAGAATTGAATTGTTTTTTCCTTCATTAATCATTGCCCTAATATCTTACACGGTGACAAAATCAGCAAATGATCTCACGAAATGGACAGACGTATCATAAATATATGGATGTGAACATGCACAAACCTGTATGCAGCATCCCCGATTGCAAAAACATGAGGACTCAGTTCTCCAAGTCCAATTCCCTTATATTGTTCCATCATATCGGTTTCATAAATATGAGGCAGCTTTTGGAATGGATTAACTGCAATAAGGATATTCCCCGTATATGTCTACAGTTATAACACAAAGCTTATTAGTATCATAGCTTATTGTAAATGACTTCTTTTGCAGCTACAAAAAGCAAGAGATGCTGTAGAGAAAAAGGTAATATTTCTTACGTAGATCTCATTAAGTTCATATCTAGTCTCAAGGTTTTGTAAGACTCCGGGCTCATGCAAGTATGAAAGCTTCGTCATGTCATTTACACCTCCAGGAGGAGCTTCAGTGTCCTTGGGAAAATATACATTCGTCACAACCTGAAATTCATAGGACATGGGAGATATGTGAAGAGCTACATCTACTTTCAATGCTGAAGTTAAAAACTTACGATACAGGACAGTATCCCATTCCAAAATCAGAAGTAAATATTTTCAAAGTGTAAATTCATCAGCTCACTTTATCAAAAAAAAAAAAAAAAAAATTCATCAGCTCACTTAGTCCAACTCTTTAGACTTGACCCGCATCAAGGCCAAGCACGAGCTCGTTGATAGAGGTAAAATAAATAAAAAAGGTTTAAGATTACGGAAACTTACGGTTTTCCCCTTCTTAGTTTTGACATGAATGTGTTCACCATCGATTCGAGTTACTTCGCCATCTATCCATGCCAAATGTGGATCTTCAACCCACACATGGGAGCCCACAATTATAACAGGAGCAGCCTGCAACCAATGCATTGCATTTCACAATATCAACATCGTTTCCTCCAAGAATTTACGGTTTCAATGGCCACAAGTTGTAAATTTTACAGCTTTAAGCAAAACTTAAAAAAAAAGAGATTTTTGAAAAATTATAAGGCGGAGTAAGAGCAAGCTTCTCGAAGCTGATTTAGACATAGTCAACCAAAAATCTCGCAGAAGTCAAAAAACATTCGTAGATCAAGAAATTAGTGTCTCGAAATAAGATGACAACGAAGGTAAGCAAACGGAACAACAGTAGCAAAACAAACAAGTAGGGGTTTCGAAATTTAAATAAACAACGGGAAAAGCAAAGAGCGAAGAGACCGAGGAACACACGGAGAAAACAAAAGAAAATGGAGGAATATATTTGAATTTACCATTTAATAAATAAGAATGTAAAAAAGGGGAAACCCCAGTAGACGAAATTGGAGCAGAATCTCCAAGCCTTGGAGTTCTGCTCTTGTCCGGGTTTGTTGTCCTAAAAAGAGAGACTTGGGAGTGTAAAGTCAACGACTTTGGTCCGGAAATCTCACTCGAAAGGAAAGCCCTTTAATTCTTCGGGGAAGGGGATTTTGAATCGGTGTCTGTAATCTCTCTTACGGTGGAGAATTTCAAAAGCGTTTCGTTGGAGCTCCTCCGCTTCAGCAGATTTTTGGGGGTTTTTGTATTGTCTGAGAAGGATACTTAGTGGGTCCTACAGTCGCTTGAAAATGGACGGCATCGGTTAATTGTACGTTTTGTTCCAGATTAGATTAGATTACAACTCTTATCAGCTGTTAAAATTTCTCCTGATTCAGAAATTCTCTAAAACCTTATCATCTGTCTTGGGTATGTATGGTGAAATTTCAGAAAGAAACAAAAAGAAAAAGTGGAAATATTTACAGAAATGTTCTTGTAAGCGAATAATCTTAGTGTTACTGTGTATGCATGAATAATAATAGGGGCAATACATGTAAAAATATGGAAAAGACAAATTGGGCCCCTCATAGTAATGATTTGAATGGTAACAATAAAAAAATTAGTAAGAAACAATTTCCGATTTATTGAGAAATTATGGCCAATAAAAAAAAATTAACAAAAAAGGTGAAAAAAACAAATTGGGCCCCTCATAGTAATGTTTTGAAGGTAAAGATATGGAAAAAAAAAAAATTTAGTAAGAAACAATTTCCCTTAAAAGGTGATTTATTGAGAAATTATGGCCAATAAAAAGAATTAACAAAAAAGGTTAAAAACGTGAGCGGCAGGATTCGAACCTGCGCGGGCAAAGCCCACATGATTTCTAGTCATGCCCGATAACCACTCCGGCACGCCCACTTTTGATTAAGCAATCGATGTTTTCTGAAATAGCCCATTGTAAACCACCACAAATGCTTAGTTTTATCGCTGTGAGTCTGTGACGTGCCCTAATATTTCGGTGATCTGCGCGGTAGCTAGCACAATTGTGTGCACTCTCAGTACCATTACGATCGAAACCTTCTTGTAGTTGCAGAAATGGCGGTAGCTTTAGCTTCCAGACTCTCCAAAGGTACGTATTTATCTCTTACGCCTTCGTATAGGTTTCATTTGTAATCTCAGTTCTTCCAGAAAAAAAAACTGTACTGGGGGATATCATTAGATCTTATGCAACATTGATTACTATGAAGCCTAGGAGTTTAAGGCCTGAAATGAAATTGAATCGTCTACACTCTCGTGAATTTTGCTGCCAACAAAAAAAAAATTACATCTTTGAGAAGATATATTAGCTCAATTATTCACATTGCAATTCGTTCGTCACTTGACAGCTTTGAGTTGTTGAATTTGTAATTCATGGGGTTTCGCTTAGTTCATAAATCAGAATCTTTTTCTTTCATATCAGTAACTCATGCTCATGTTGCTTTTGCTGAAAATCTCTTCTTTTTTTTTTTTTTTTGGTTCTGTTGTTTTGGTATATGATTCTATCGACAATATGGGAGCAGGACGTTCATTGCTTGGAGGTCTTAGCAATGCTTTCTCTGGTTTGATCAGTTCCTCTAATGGACTGATGAATGGAAGCATCCTCTCTCAGGTCAAATACTCTTGACTATAAGATTTTTCCAAATTATCTGACCTGATGTCCTGTGTCCTGATGATTTCCAATTGGTAACAGCAGCAAAGGACATTCGTTCAAATGGGGACGATCCTCAAAGCCGTGGATAACTCGGGTGCAAAGGAAGTGATGTGCATTCAATCCCTGAGGGGAAAGAAAGGAGCAAGACTTGGCGATGTCATTGTTGGTTCAGTCAAAGAGGCGGCACCAAATGGTAAAGTGAAGAAAGGCAAGGTCGTGTACGGTGTGGTTGTGCGTGCTGCGATGCAGAAAGGGCGTGTTGATGGAAGCCAAGTCAGGTTTGATGACAACGCTGTTGTAATTGTGGGCGTTAAGGAGAAGAACAAGAAGAATTCGGATGGTAGCAAGAAAAAAGTCGAGTATAACCAACCAACTGGTACCAGAGTGTTTGGTCCTGTCCCGCACGAGATGCGCCTCAGGAAACAGCTCAAGATCCTTACTTTAGCTCAGCACATTGTTTGAGACAATAAATTTCACCAACCCATCACTTATAATTATCTCTCTATGCGACTCTAACCCATTCATCAGTTGGTTTATGGCTATTTAAGTTTAACTATTTTTTTATAGTTCTAAAGACTTTAGATATCCCTATTATATTCTTAATTCCACAAAACAGGTTTATGTAGTCATCACTACTTAAACAGTTTAGTATCAATATACCTTTGAGACTCTTCTTGTGTAACAACATAAAAAGAAGAAGACAATGATTACTCTGCTACAAGATGTATTTATATATACATATAAAGAAGAAAAATTACAGAAAAGTATTAAGGTTAATTTGACATATATTAGTCACATCTCCAACATTACAACAACATATCCATCTACTTTTTATAAAGAATCCAAAAAAAAATTTATCAGGAGAAAAATAAAGCATTTCACCTTCTATTCTTATACATAACATACACACAATCATCAAGTCCATGAGAAAAAGGAATGGACTTTAGCTATGCATCATCAAGGTCTTCATTCTTCTTCCCCCAACATTTCACTTCTTATTTTTTTATGCAAATATGCGGAAATTAAAAAATAATAACATAATAAGTTTAAGGGCTCGAGTGTACACTGTTTCAAGATCTGATCCTGGGCTTTCTTTGAGCTTTCAAGTCGACCACTATGATGGATATGTTGTCTTTGCTTCCCTTTTGAAGAGCGAGTTTGGACAGAAAGTCAGCCGCGGCTTGGCAAGCTTGGTCTTCCCCTACACCTCTCTCAGCTAAAGGCAATGCTCCATTCCTCTTGTGCCACCATAAGATCCGTTTCCTTGCAAGCTCGCAAGCATCTTGGTTACTTATCACATCCCAAAGTCCATCGCTGGCCAATATAAGACACTCGTCTTCTCTCGCTCGTGGCATAAATGTCACTTCGGGATCTGGTATCACATATGGCTCCAAGTATTCGTCACCTGAAAAAAGATGCAGAGAAAATCCTCCTGAGGAGATCTGATGACTTTGCAGGGACTGTAACAGTTCGTAATTGCAGTTTTGACCTACCGATGGACCTGGACATGGCGAGAACGCCAGAAACACGAGCGCCTTGCCATTGTATAACTTTTCCTCCAGCTCTCTCTATTCTTGCATACTCATCCTCTCTATCTGGCTGCAAGAGGAGGGTAAGAAAATTCATTAACTTTGTATGAATGAGAAGGAAGAAACTTTCTCAGATCGTGTTAAATTTTAAAACACTATTGAAGGAAAAGGAGGATTTTTTACTTTGTGATCAACTGATAAAGGCATTGATGCTTTGCCACGGAGTAAAACCGCTCTTGAATCACCACAGTTTGAGACTATTATATGTGATGAGCAAACCAAAGCAACCACAGCAGTTGATCCTACGGTTTCAGGGGAAACAGCCTCAAGAACCATCATATCAGAAGAACCAACAACAGGTCTGCTGATTTTCCCTTTAACTTCATCATTGACCTTCAGGTAACAATCCACAAAGACTTTCTCCCACTGGACCTGCCTACCCTCGCCAGTGTTCCTCTCGCACAACTCTTCTTTAATCCGTTCGATTTCTTCAGCCAAAGCAAAATGGATTCTATCATGACAATAGTCAGCAACCTGCAATAATCCCATTTCCACCAAAGCCATCACATATTACATAACAACCTGCAAAGAATCCCATTTCGAGCAAAACCCATATCATATATACATACAACCTACGGCAACAAAACATAACTTCGAAGTATTTCCCGGGCTCCTAGTGGTGAAAACTCACTTTTGCTAAAATCAATCAAAGGATTATCGAATTATAGCATACCTGAGCGCCTCCGTGGCCATCGTATACACCGAAGAAGTGACTAGTGAGGTGTGTGAGACTTGGACTCATCCCTTCATGATCCCCCATAAGCATTTTAATGGGTATTTTCAGAAAATGAGGTAAAGCTGTAACAGCATCCTCCATTTCGGATCTTTCACCGCAAATTGAAACAGTGCCCCAAAGAGGTATACAATCCAGCTCATAGACACTCCTGCTCCCTCTTGCTACATTATGATTTTCTGCAGGCAACCTAATGACTACCTCTGAAGCTGTCGCCTCCATACTCACATCGTGATTCAGACTCGTGATAAGGACTTCAGCTGTGGGAACCTGATCTATAGTTGTCTCGTTTAGGATAATCGCCGTAGCAAGAACTCGCTCATTATCTATTCCAATTGTATCTGGCAAACTTATCTCAGACCTAGCGTCCACAACTATTAAACCCTCGCTTATAATAGTCGCATCAGATACTAATACCTCATCTTCTTCTGATTCTTGGATAGGTACACCAAACTCATTAGCAGACGACAAGCTTGTCGCTTCAGATAAAGTTTTCTCTTCTGGTTCTTCTAAAATATCTTCCATCATATATTCAACCTCTCCATTTCTGTATCTTTGGTTCTTCTGATCACACAACATGTCAACTGCGTCAGTAACATTCTCCAGCTCGGTAATATCTAAAGTCGATGAGATTCCAGAGTCACACATCGTGTTGGCTATACCCAAAGTCAGTGCAACTGCTGGTGAAATCTCTTCCATGAGCTCCTATGCTGCTTCCACACCTTAACGGCTACTAATGGAGCAAACCGATTCAATAATCTTCATCATCTTCGTCTTCTAAAGTGATACACATCCAAGTCAGCTCTCCACAGCGACCCAAACACCGTTCTTTTCACACTAACTTAGCCAAAGAGTTGTGAATCAAGGAGAAGTGCGTACCTTCGGTGTACAGATCTGATGGATCTATGCGATGGATCCTCTGTATTTCGTGGGATTTTGATCACTCCTAAGATCCTCCATAACTCTTGATCTCACCGAAGCAGAAAGACCAGACACTGAATATCCCACCCAAATCTCAATCAGAAACCCCCAAATTTCAGCCTTAGGGATCACAAGAGACGACACAAAAAGCTCAAAACTTTATCCAAAACAAAAACAGAGGATCAGGTGAAATTGAAGAGCAAGGATAGTACAAGAGAGAGGAATTCAATCAATCAGCGACATGAATCACACAAAAAGAAAACCCTAAAAAGTGGAACCCTTTATCTTTATCTTTCCAAAACGAAACATGGGTTCTCCTGGATCTAATGGTTTTACCCAAAATAAAAAAAGATAAACACAGAATAAAAAAGAAAATGAATAATTAGCTTTCCACGGAATCCCAAATTCTTTATGTGACAACGACCTTGATCTTAAGACGTTGATCCAATCAGAGTATAAAATTAATTAAATTTTTAGGATTACTCGTTTATTTTATATTTTCTTCTATTCAATAATGGCAAGGTAGATGCCGCGTGTTCTTTCCTCTATAAGGTCAAGACTCTGCTAATAATTCCCAAAATCTTTATTAATTTTACATTTTAAGATAAGATCCTTAACTTAATCTTTACATAACACAGAAGACTTCTTCTAGTTACAATTTACAAGAGATATGAATGAGATGGAATTTTCCAAAAATACGATAAGTCGTCAACTAAAATTAAAAAAACTCCTCTCTTTTTTATTCTTCTCTGTTTCATTTAGACTGTTAAGCTGTTAAAAAAGCCCTAAATTTAGAAACTACAAACACCATTAAAAGCTTTAATTTTTTTCCAACACAAACAAAACAGTTCAAATCTGTTTTCTCTCCTCTCTTCTTCTAAATTTCTCTCCCATTTTCATTATCATTTGGTGCCCTTTTTTCTTCCTTCAGAGAATAAAAGTCTCTATGTTTTCTTGAGGAACAAGTTTCAGACGTTTATCATCTCCTAAAGGAGGAAAAAAGGATGGCCGCAAGAAGAGTAAAAGGAAAAGACAGCAATGCCGTTACCGCCATAGCCATTGATAAAGATAAAAACAGCCAACACGCTTTGAAATGGGCCGTTGAGAATATCGTCGTCGATTCTCCAAACTGTATCCTGCTCCATGTTCAAACCAAATTGAGTAATGGCATCATCATCATCGTCTCTATCATCATCATCATCATCAATCAATCAATCTAATGAAATGTCTTGAAACAGGAATAGGTGCAGGAGAGAACACAGAAGCACCACATGACAACCAAGAAGAGGCTCATCAGTTTTTCCTTCCCTTCAGAGGATTCTGCGCAAGAAAAGGGGTCAGAGATCAATCTCCTCTTTCTCCTACCAACAGTCACATTTATGTGTATATATAGATAACTCTGAGCTCATATCTATGTTTTTATCAGATTATAGCAACGGAGGTTCTTCTTCACGATATTGACATCGCAAGTGCAATTGTTGACTACATCACCAACAACTCCATTGCTAATATAGTCCTTGGAGCCTCTGCACGAAACTCCTTCCTCAAGTCTCTACCTTTCCTCTCATATAACGTGATTTTTAATCTCAAAACTTTACTTTCATGATTTGCTTACACTCTTTGTGATGGTATTTATCAGGAAGTTTAAGAGCGCAGATGTGCCAACGACTCTGCTTAAAACAACACCAGATACATGTGCTGTCTTTATTGTGTCTAAAGGGAAGCTCTTAACAAGCAGATCAGCGAGTAGGCCACAAACACCTCAACAGTACTCTCACCAGCCTTCAAAACAACCCGTAGTACTCTCTACGATATCGGATCCTGGCCCGACAAGCTCCACGTCCAGTGAATCCGGAAGGTAATGAACTTGAAAAGTTGTCATCCAGTGAAGTTCTGTCTGGTGAATAATGATTACCGTTTTGCTTCAAAAGGAATCATTGGTTTTTGGCCATTCTTGCAGGTCATCTCCTGCATTAAACGGAGATTTCTCTCCACCACCTCATTACAAGCCATCTCTTAATATGAGTTCTCCGTCAGGGTTTAGCAATGAGTTATATACTAGCGGTCATAGTGCTGAATCAAATGCGAGTTTCTACAGCATCCTAGGACGATCCGCCTATGGAGGAAGCTCGCAGTCTTCTACATCCATGGTTAGTAGTATTCTCATCAAGTTTTAAATCGATGTTATTGCCTCTAAGTTTCCTGGCGTTTTGACATTTTCTTTCGAAATCTGTAGTCCGAGATAGCCGATGGAGAGGAAAGCTTATCTGGGAGCAGTATGACTGAACTGGTAAATAAACGTTTCATAAAATTAGATTTGGTGCTTTTGGCATGCATAATGGTCAAGTGCAGTGTACTGAGATGTTTGTGTTGTATGTGTATGAATATGCTCAGAATCAAAACCTTGAAGCAGAGGTGAGAAGATTGAGAATTGAATTGCAACAGTTTAATGCTTCCATTGGCAGAGAAAATGTAAGATACTTTACTTCCATTGTGGACAACGGACAATGTTTCCTTGAAAAGATTTGTGACTAATATCAGACACTGAATGAATGCTTATAGGCCCCTCATCTTCACGGACCTAGAGATACCTCCGAATATGAAAAGTTGGAGGAAGCAAAGGTAGCAAGAGAGATGCTTAGGGCATTGTCTGAGATGGATAAGCAGAAAACACAGAGTGCGATCCAAGCCACTGAAATGGCACAACGACTTGCGGAAATGGAGAAGCAGAAGAGAAGACTTGTGGAGATGCAGGCCAGGTTCAGGGAACAGGAGATGGCCAATAGCGTATCCTACAGACGATACAGCATCAAAGATGTCGAAGGTGCAACCGACGGTTTTTCAGATGCTTTAAAGATAGGTGAAGGAGGGTATGGACCTGTGTATAAAGCCGTTCTTGAAAACACTTCTGTTGCCATCAAAATCTTGAAGTCAGATGTCTCACAAGGCCTAAAGCAGTTCCAACAAGAGGTAATAAGAAAAAAATGATTTTGGCACCATCCTTATACTATATTATTGCATGTCTTCTCCATAGTACTAATACACATATTTTTTTTTTCTCTCACTAGATCGAGGTTCTAAGTTGCATGAGACACCCTAACATGGTGATCCTCCTCGGTGCTTGTCCCGAATATGGCTGCCTTGTGTATGAGTACATGGAAAATGGAACACTAGAAGATCGTCTCTACTGCAAAGACAATACTCCACCATTATCTTGGAGAGCACGGTTCAGAATCGCTGCTGAGATCGCCACAGGACTTCTTTTCCTTCACCAGGCCAAACCCGAGCCACTAGTACATCGAGATCTGAAGCCAGCAAACATTCTGCTAGATAGACATTTCACCAGCAAAATCAGTGACGTTGGTTTAGCTCGGTTGGTACCTCCCGCTGTTGCTGATAGCTTCACCCACTATCACATGACTGCTGCAGCCGGTAATACTTTCATTTTATATCTAATCTTGTGCCTTCTCCTTTTGAGATCCTAACATGGACCTAATTGCTGAAACAGGTACATTTTGTTACATTGACCCTGAGTACCAGCAAACGGGAATGCTTGGAGTGAAGTCTGACTTGTACTCATTTGGTGTGATGCTTCTGCAAATCCTCACAGCGATGCCAGCAATGGGTTTAAGTCATAGAGTAGAGAAAGCAATTGAGAAAAAGAGACTCAACGAAGTCTTGGATCCAAAGATATCAGACTGGCCTGAAGAAGAGACTCTGGTGCTAGCTCAATTAGCATTGCAGTGCTGCGAGCTGCGGAAAAAAGACAGACCTGATCTTGCTACCGTTCTGTTGCCTGCACTGAGCAAGCTAAGAGACATTGCAACAGAAGATCATCAAGTGCATAACAACTCGAATGATACAGTTTCTGTTTCAGATGCTCAGAATTCGGTTCCTCTTTCCCCAGTATCTTCTTCTCAGGTTGGTTTCTTCCAACCTGCAATAACAGATTAAGGAATAATATTAGTGATCCTATACTAAGACGTCTTTGATTTCTGAGTCTTTGTTTCAATAATTTTATCTGTTATGTAGACAGAGGATGCATAAAGAAACTCCTGGCTATGAACTTGCCAAGTTTAAGCATTAGATGCCATCCCACACGTACCAGAAGAAGGCGATCACTATTATCATAAACAAGCCAAAATGTTGATCTGCCATAGTGTCTGGAGTTACTATCTTGTATATGAAACACACTATTTTTTTTTTGGTCTCGTGAAAGGAAACACTTATTATTATGAAAGAGCTGCCTAATCAAAAGTAACCCGTTCGTTGTCATTGCTAGCTAGATAGTACATCCCCTAACAGCATCATTTTCTTTTTGTTTCTTGCAAATTAAAACAATTCATCAGTGTAGTTAACAAGATTTTGTTGCACGATTATCTCTGCCTCTGCCTCTTTTTGTTCTTCTTCTCACATCATCTCACTAATTTTGTTCCACTAAAGCCCGGTGGATAATTTTGTTAGTGACCCAAGGTATATGGACCTATAAAAAAAATATTTCTAAGAAGATATGGGCTGTGAGGCCCATAAATCATTCAGAAACCTAAACAATACCTTTTTAAATCAGCCAGCCGCTAGATTGAGAAGTGCAAAGTTTAAGAAGTCTTACGATGTATTTGGATCCTGACATCAAGGAGCAGCTGGAGTTTTGGAAAAGATTCGGGGAATCTGATGTAATTCTTTCACCTTCTTATTAGTTTATGTTGAAATTGATCCACAAACTTATCCCTAGCCCTAACCATAGCGCTACTAGATCTAGTTATCTTTCTAGTAAATCGATAATTAGTTCGCAAATCGAAACCCCTAACTTAAAATTTTTGAATGTGTGTAAGGGGTTCGATGTCGATCATTTGATGGACGTAAAACCAAGCTCTTGTAAGCTAAATACGCGCACGTTTGAAGATAATGATGATTACCCAACACATATAGTCCATTATGCTAAGATGGGGCTCCATAAGTACAATTTGATACAGGTTGAAAAACTAGTCTCCTCTTGTCTTGTAATATTCTTCTTCTTCTTCGAGTGGATCCCTTATTAATTCAGTTCTTGTTGGGTTGATTTATATGTCAGGGGACTAACTTGCAGCTAAGTTCCATAGAGAAATTCAATACACGATATAGCGTAGTATATTGTGGTTACTATATAACATTGATTGCAAAGGATCCAGCTGCAGGCAGTTGCCTTGTACCTTTTCAAACGAGGGTCCTTGAACAAGGCATTGACAAGAATGATCTGACTTGTTATATTGCTCGACCTAAGTACGGACCACCACGAGGAGGTAAAGTGTTGACGACACATTTGGATACTGAACAGGTAGATGATGATTTCTACAAAGGTAGTTTGCCTGCGTGGCCGTCAGAGGATGCTTTCAAAGATAAAAAACGATATTACGTTGTAAGACTTACAGGCAGTTTCTCTTTCACTTTTTTTTTGCCTTTGCGAGTCCAGTACTAGTACTGATTGTGTTTGCTTTTACAGATGAAAAAATCAGAGCTGCGAAAATATGACTGGCTTCGTCTATACATGGAACTTGCATTCCTCACCGTGAATACCAAACTTAAATCTGTAAATATATATATATTTTTTTTTCAATGACACTATATTAGTGGAGTGGCTCTCTGTTGGTAAATAATAACAACAAGTGTTTTTTTTTTTTTTGGTTTTTGTTAAATCTTGTTGCAGCCTAATCTGTCAAAATTGGAGATTGTGAAGGTGAGAGTAGAAACTAAGGATAATGTGGAGCCTCCGAGCGAGAGACCCTTGGCTAGAAATGCAATTTTCTACATAAGGTACAGGTACTACCCGAATAAGGCTCGAGCTCCTCCTAAGGGTCACAAGCCTCCTCTGCGTGATCGCATTGCTATAGTAAGAAGAACCACCGACAACAATACGGGACACCTCAAATTACTGTTTGAGTGTGACTATGCAAAAACTCTTCTCTAACTCAAGTGGCTGGCACTAGCCGTCCACTCTAATTATGAAGCTTGTAATATCTAATTTGAAAACGTGGATCTCATAATAATATACTATTTTTTGCCCGACAATTTGTTGAAGTAGTTTATTTTGGATTTTCCTAGTGGATTAATTGTTTCAAACAACTGCTTTGGTCACAAGTTATCACGTCAAGATTCAGATATTATAAAAACCGAGTATGATTTAAGTTGATCATTAGCATGAGCAACTTCCGCGATGCATGTGACCATTAGCCATATGAGCAACTTCTTGAAATGAACTCCCATGGAAAAAAAAAAAACCCCTTAAAATATAGATTTTTAGAATCTTGGATGACAAGAATAGAGGAAGAAGATCAAAGACTTGGTGATGGGCCAGTGTACTTATTAATACAGCACGTCGGAAAATGGGCCAGATCAAGGAGTAGAAATTTAGAAAAAAAAACGAGTATAAAAAAATGCGCCTCGATCGATCCCCTTTAATTGCAGCATTCATTAGCATCAAGTCACATTTGCGCACGAACATTCCATTTGTGTAGCACATGAAAAACTTTCTAAACAACTGCAAACCGAAATCTCAAAAGTATGATTTTCTTCGAATGGGATATTATTGGAGAGCAAAGTTGCAAAGAAGATGTAAATAGTCACACAACAGAACAGAGGTTGGAGCTACACCAGCAATGTTAGCTCACAAGGCGCTTTGTTAACTCGTCACAAACACGGGCTTAATACACACAATACGCAAGAAGCAAAGTACTTAGACTTGAGAGGCTTATTAGATTGCCAACTCTCAACAAGCATTGGAGCCGTGAGAAAAAGAAGTACAAACATATAACAAAAGCTAGCATGATCATAAGCAAGAGAACTCATGGAGATTCGAAAATACCAAACATAAAAACCTGTATCATTATATATATATAAAAGGTTCACAGGTTAATTTATGCTATATGAAAACCAGAATTCTACACTAGAAAGCTTTGATCTTTTTTATGATTGTCTCTAAAGATAAGTCTGGTTCTTCTTCATATGTGAGCATACCGCTTCAAAGCCTGCTTCCCCGCCACAACCGCACCAGCCGCAATTCCTCCAAGAGCACCAGCCACAGCCGCAGATCTAACCCCTCTCGCTGCTCTAAAGACAGCTCCGGTTCCGAGACCAGCCACCACACTGGTCCAAACATCGTCCCTATCCGTTACCGCCACTACGCCGCTCTCAATCCCTGCGTAGATCAACCCAACAATCCCGATTCTATTACCCCAGGAGCGACCCGAATGACCAGACGAATTCAGGATCCTGTTGATTTTCAGCTTACTCGTGTCTCCATTTTCGAAGCTCTTTATACCGGAGACGATCCCGGCTGAAGCGCCGGCTACAGAGCCACCGAGATAACCCGTCCCCGTGTAGAACGTCAGGTTCTCTCCCCAAGATCGACGCTGTTTGAGGGACTCTTCCGTGAAGAGGTATTCGGGAGAAGTAGGAAGCTTGTAAAGATACTGAGCTTTGATCGGGACCTCGTAGTTCTGGTAAGGATGGTAAAGGCGCGTGTTTTCGTCGATTCCGTGATCGGAGCTTTGATTGGCCGCCATTAGAGGAACACCGAAGGGGTTTACGAGTGGTGGCGACGGCGAAAGAGACGACGGAGTGAGACAAAGCTTACGAAGGGAAACTTTTTAGGGCTCTTAAGAGTTTGTGGCTAATTCGAATTTGACCCTAATGTTTTTTATTTATAATAATAATCTTATTTTTTCCACCAAAGACTATTTCTTTCGACCCTGTAGTTTTGAAACCTTTACAAAATATGCATCTTAATTTGCAAACTTACTAAAAGAACCACGTGTAGATTGAGGATCTTCACAAAAATAAAATATATAGAAAGAAGATTTTGTTTGGATTTGGAAAATAATCTGTGATTAGAAAAGGCAGTAATTTTCGGAACAAGGCCAGTCGAAGAATCGGCGACGAGACGTTCTTCGTCTCCGATAGTTAGATCGATTGTGTTTATTTATACACAAAGGAAGCTACAAGGAACGGAGTGAAGAGGCGATAACAGAAGCGTAGAGATGGGAAACCAGAAGCTCAAATGGACGGCGGAGGAGGAGGAGGCGTTACTCGCCGGTGTTACGAAGCACGGCCCCGGAAAGTGGAAGAATATCCTCCGCGACCCTGATTTCGCTGATCAGCTCTCTAATCGATCCAATATCGACCTCAAGGTCTTAATTCTCTTCTTCTTTATTACCTCCTTTTGCTGCTGTTGTTCAAACAAAGAAAACCCTAAATTATCGAGTTTGGCACAACGGGAATGAAAAACTGGTAATTGGGTTCGTCGAATTTAAGTTACTTCGGTTTGGTTTTGTACCCGAGTTGCAAAATATTGAAATTTTCTCACCGGGATAATCTTCTCTCGTTGTTATGGTTTGAGAAAAAAATTTGGGAATTGAAGTGCGATATGTCACTTTCTACTCTCTGGAAATTGACTGTTTATGCATCAATAGTCTTAAGCTTTAGTGAAGGATTAGTTCCCGGATGAAAGATTAAAACTTCAAGAGTTTTATTGATTAGAGTTTCTAGTGGGTTTTAGACTCTGGTGAGTCAGGTGGACATATTGTCTGCTCTGTTTCTTTTGCAGCATCTGAGATTCAAAAAGTGAGTCCAATAATATAATTTGTTGTTTATGCTTAATAGCTTTCTGCTGTCCTGAGAGAAGGTCTTGATCTTACCAGGTATCGAGCTGGTTGATTCGCTGTAATGGCAGTATATGAAACTATTAAATGTAGTTAATGCTGCTATACTTTAGTCTTAGCTCTAGAAGTTGTGAATTTAGGTTGAAGGTAGGTGATCGGCAAACTTTTATATTCTGTTCTGGTTTTGGGAGAACCAATTTTACTAAATTGTTGCCTACGACGAATTTTGCCTCTTATGTCATAGGATTTGTTGACATGATAATCGAATGAGGAACACAAATTATCAGACCTAAAGAAAGTTTTGTTTAGTCTGAACTTTGAGAGGGAAATTACTGTCTTCTTTTTCTTTCAACTATTCATGATTTGACAATTACCAGTGTGTCTCCATTATTGGTGACCTAATACCAGGAATCTTAATCATCCATGTTTCATATATTCCAGGATAAATGGCGCAATTTAAGTGTTGCCCCTGACATTCAAGGCTCAAAGGATAAGATACGGACTCCCAAAATCAAAGCTGCTGCTTTCCAGCTGGCTGCTCGCGCTATCATTACTCCAACTCCCAGTGCTAACACTTCCCTAGTTGATCCCCTTCCTCGTACTAGATCTTCTGATTTGAGCATTGATGATAGTTGTAACATTGTGGTTGATGCAAAGAATGCTCCCAGGTTTGTTATTTTTTCTTTATTTTCCTGTGTTGATTCTGAAGTGCTGTAAATTGCTAGCCTACTTGCATTATTGTTACGCTTGTATTGAGCCGTTATTATATTAAAGGTATGATGGGATGATATTCGAAGCTCTTTCAGCGTTGCCGGATGCTAATGGATCTGATGTCAATGCAATTTTTAACTTCATCCAGGTTAGACTAGTTTTCCGTGCTCTTTATCTTGCGCAGTTGTCATCAAGGAAATACTTGTCTAGACCTCGAGCTGCTTATTCAGTAATTCTGAAAGCATAGTCAAGAAAATCTAATGAGTAGTATACATACCAAACTTATCTAGGATCCTGAACAAACTACCCAATCACTGTACCTTTTAAGGATCAGAATGAAATATTGGTTTAAGCTACTTTTGCGAATCAAAAATTATAAATTACTTGAGTCAGCTCATTCATTCGTCTCTTCTGACAATTAGAGTTCTCAATGTGAAGTCATAAAATACTCAGCCATTCTTTGTTGTTATAGTTTTATCCTAGTTATTGCATACCACTACGATTATCCTTTAAAAAGATTACCATAGCTTTAGTAGGTTCAGTCTTCGTTAACTAGTGACTTAGCAGCTAAACCTGTCATAAGCAAGTTCATGATAATGGTTTGGTATGTGTAATAGCAGAAAAGACATGAAGTGCCACCAAATTTCAAAAGGATCCTGGGTTCAAGACTGAGGAGGCTTGCTGCTCAGGGCAAACTTGAAAAGGTTAGCCAGTTAAAATCAGGAAAGGTTAGCCAGTTAAAATCAGGATTAAATCTTGAAAGCAAGAGCGCAAAAAGTTACCTTTTTTATTTATTTGTGTGTTGTTTACTCAAGTCATGCCTGCTTTTTTGTATGTTTTCAACAATGGAACGATACGCACAACAGACGCAGAACTTCTATAAGATGAATGATCATAGCTTGGTAATAAGAACGCCACTTGTAGCGAGACCAAAAGAGATCAATGTGAAACCCCGGCAGACAAACAGTCCACGACCCGCTGTTTCACAGGAGAGAGTATGTGACGCTTCAAAATCCGCAGCTTTTAAGCTCGTGGAGGTAGATATGAAATTAGATGCTGTCGAAGTAGCTATGGAAGACACAGAAAGGATGATAAAACTGGCAGAAGAAGCGGAGTTTATTCTACTGTTAGCGAAAGAGCTGCACGAAAAATGTAACTAAATCAAAAATCACGACAACTAATCTCAGTACTATTCTTCCATCTCGAAATTTTTTTTTGTGGGACTCAGTATCTGATATTGTTTTTTTTTCATGTTTGTTTTATTGCAGGTTCTCAGGGAATGTTGGTGGAAATTAATTGAGGTTGACGGAACAAAAGAAGCAGCACAGCGCAGCAGAGTGTTTTTGGAGTTTCATCAGACTCGTTTTGGTATATATACTAATAGTAATAGGCTATTAGCTTTCTTTCTCATCTTCCCTTTTTTTTTTTATGATACCAACTTACTAAGTTGAACTTGAGAACTGTTTTGGACAAAGATAGAATAAACTTGATTTCATTTTTCGTAAGAAAATAGGTTGTTGAGTTTAGTAGTTAGCAAAAACATAGATTTGTGGTATGGCTGGAAATGGCCGTGTTAATCATTTTATTGTATGCTTTCTTTTCCAAATGTTTTTTAATTCCAATCACATTCTTTCTTCTGTCGGCTGGTTTAAAGACTTTTAAGCTCTTATATTTGATTATTTTGGCTTCTTCATAGTTTGCTCTTTAACAACAATTAAATGTTTTGATTGTGAAACTGAAACGTATAACTAACAATCAACAGGCCTTTGCACTTACAAACTCTGTGTGTGAGTCTTAGGGAATTTTGCGGACTGGACTGAAAGTTTGAATGTCCATAATACGGTCTGCAAGCATACAAAAGGAAACCGATTGTTACCCTTGAACTTCACGCAAATTAAAATGATCTTGAATCATAAATATAGACCCAGCTTATACAGTTATACTTAACTTGTCCTCCGATATATATCACTGATTCACTGTATGCTTGCGTTTTAGTACCCTTTAGAAGTCCATGTATTATTTAGACTTTACTTGGAAATCTTTGTTATATAATTGTACATTTCCATTTCCATTACAATATGACATTGAGAAACTTCGTCACAATTCCGTGTGACCGCATCATTGATTTCATAGATTGGGTAAAATTGGTAGTGATCAAAGTTACGGGGTAAAAATTGGATCCGAATAAAAGAGTGTTAAGGTATAGGGTATAAGAGTCTTTTCATTCAATAATTTTCTCATAACGGAGATCTGAAAAGTTAAATAATACGTACGAATAAAGGTGGTGAAGAGAGAGAGAGAGAGAGTCGTGGTTGTCTATGGCGATCAAAGCGGGAAAGGTTCTAAGAACGGCGACGGCTGCCGCTAGGAAGTTCCAACATAAGCAGTTCTCAGCCGCGAATTCGGCTTCTACAGTTACACCGCCGGTGACTCCTTGTTCCGGTGTAGGAACATTTCTTGGTATTCCCGAGCTTCCTCGCTCCAACACCGATCTATTGATCTCCAAGTACATCAGACTCTACCAGGTAATATATATATACATGATCACTGTCTGATTTCTAAGATCGTTAATAGAAAAATAAAGAATCTTGGTCTTTTTTTAGTACGATTATTTTCCTTTTAAAACAAGCACACCACCTGTTCGATGAGATGTCTCTTTAAAGAGCATTGAATTGATGTCCAGAATTGCTGTTTCTGTAGAATCGATTGACGAAGAAGGGTGAATTCACAGAAGAGAAGCTAACGACAATGTTGTCTGGTAATGTCGGGATCAGTGAGACCATCAAGTTACTCGAGGGCCGCAAAACTGGTGGAGATTTTTCTTCAAAGTCAAATAAAAATAAATAATTCCTCTGTTTCATCAGTTTTCACAACATACAATAATACTTCAAGCTTTTGCATTTCTAGTCTGCAAGTTTGTTTCTTCTATTGGATCTCAACAATGTGCTGAAAATACATATTAAGCATTCATAAGATTTTTTTTTTTTTCTTGGGCTATCAACTGTCTCAAAACATTATCTGAATCCGTTAACAATCAAGAACTATGAGAAATATATGTTTCTGTCACAAACAACCTTTGTGTTTTCATGTCAGAAGATCCGAGAGTGCGGAACAAAGGAACACACTTTTTTGGTGTTGCAATCGGTCCTAAGTATACACACACAAAAAAATCTATGTATAGTTCTGTTTCTGATACAACAAAGAGCCCAAAACATCAGTCAGCTACTTTCACAAACTCACACTATAATTTCTCCCTTTTGCTTTCTTCCATGTCATACGCACACAACAGCATCAAGAGCTGTCTCCATTCTGAATCAAAATCCAGCGCCTACCTCCTTTGATGAACCTCATACTGTTTCTACAGGTTGGAAATCTCAAAGATTAACAATAACCTTTCCTGAGGAAGCCCCAGAAGCTATAATGATCTTGGGGACATTGTATCTTGAGCTGAGCAATGTGACATATTTGACTGTTTCTTGTTGAGTTTTGACCTTAGATGTCTGATTTTCGCATCAACTCTTGCTGTGAACCCGATCTTTGTCTTCTCCCGTGCTTTGGTACGCTCCCGAGTCCACATCCTTCTATCCTCCACATCTCTCTTGTAGTATTTGATCTCCTGAATGATGTGGTGATCCAATGGATTTAAGATTCTTTGGAAGGATATGTGGGCAAAGTAAGGGAGCACTGTGGTCACTGTCACCAAAAACGTGGCTACCCAATATATGGGAGCAGGAGCAAGAATCTCAGCTAGGATTCTATAGATGTTCCCTGAAAGACTTGGAGGCATCATCCCGTAGAGCGCAACAAACAGATACCATAAACCAATGCTTCCCCAGATCAATACGTGTTGGATCCAAGTGAAGTGGCTCATCGTTAAAGCGATCTGTACATTCACAGCCCAAATAATGCAAGTAAACATGGTGGTACCAACAGCATCCATGTCAGCGGTTTGGCCACTGGCTCTGAAAGCCTGCTCATAAATGACTCCAATGTTGAGGAAGAATATGACAAGAGAGGAGTACACGCCATTTCCCATCCACCCGAGTATTCTATACCAGTCAAAGAACAGATTTTTCTTCCCTTGTTGGTATAACGCAGGAAACTGCAAAACAGAGAAAGAGTTCTTTTGTGGTGAGTGAGATTCAAAAGGAGCTTTTAAGGTTTGACCTCTCACAGCAAATAAATTCAACCTTACCTGCAAGCAGATCTCAGAGGAAACATCTTGTTCAAAGACTCCGAGTGCAATCACTGGCAATGAGGTAAGGACGACGTTGAAGAGTAATAGGTAGTAGTCATTATAGACTGACTGCCCAGAAAACCCGGTGAAGGCCTCAAAATAGAAGAGTGTGAGACCAAATGCTATGTTTTTGTAGAAGAAATAGCAGATCTGGATGCAGCACAATACTATATGTTAGAAAGCAAAAACGTGATAGAGTAGAAGAGGATGCATAAAAGTAGAGGATATCCTGTAAACACATATTACCATTTGAGCTATTCTTTTGTAGCACCAATGTCCATGAACGACGAGTAATCTTTCCAGAAATCGGAACTGGGCAATCGAAAAATCACTTGCCATAACAGCCTGCAAAAGATATGATAATCAGCACACAAAAAATTAAGTTATTGCTAATTTGCAACAAGTTGGATCACACTAACCTGCATTCCTTCAACCCCACTAATGCCAACGCCTATGTCAGCTTCTTGAATCATTCCAACATCATTTGCACCATCACCTATTGCCAATGTGGTTTTTCCGGTTCCCTCTTTAACTAACCTTGTGACCTTGTTTTAAGAATAATGAAACATAAATGAATAAAAATTAGACAACGGAAGGAACTCATGAAGCCAACGTGTTTATATACATGGCGTAAGAGATGGGTGTGGGGAAGGGTATACCAAAGCTTTCTGCTTAGGAGACACACGACAGCAAATGACTGACGCACAATCGACTGCCAAAGCAAGAAACTGATACTTCATCTCATCCTCCAATGCATACGTTAGAGTTTTCCCGTCAATGATCAAAGAAAAGGCAGCATGTGGATCTTTCTCTAGCTTCACCATTTGTACAGCTTTAGTGATTTGATTCAAAATATTCTCCTTCACAGCCTGATTACATCAACAGGCATATCGATTGAAACTTCAAACTGTAGATGGGAGAGAGATCACTCTACAATAGGGTCCTCAATACTTAAGTAAAAGAAATCATCTTTGTCCCATACCTTTGAATCTTGGGATCCTCCTTCTGAGTTCATCACAGTTATACATATCTGTTTCATGCCTTGCCGAAGTAAACTACACGAATATCTGCAGTTCAAAACATAAGAGTAAATTGGTCAAAGAACTTCAAAGATAAATGAATCTGCTTCAATGTATCGTAGTCGTTCTAACCCAATGTTGATTGCTGTTTCCATCTTATCCCCGGTTAAAACCCATAATTTGAGGCCAGCTTGGGCAAGTTTATCTATGCACTGGGGTACCTAAGCCAAAAAAGGAAACTCTTTACATGAACAAGATGGAGGAGATGGAACTAAGGTGTCTTGTCTGATATATGCATACCCCTTTCTGGAGTTTGTCCTCCACAGCAGTTGCACCTACAAGAATAAGGTCTTTTTCGATCATATCCGATATTTTCTCAAGCAACTCATCTCTGTCAGATCCTATAGAAGTTTTGGCCTTGTGAAACTCAGCGTTCCAAGCTGAATATTCATCCTCATCAAGCTTTCTGTATGAAAGTGCAAGAGTACGGAGTCCCGCTTCTCCATATTCATTTAAATGCTTAGTGGTAGGTCCTAAGTATGTTTTCCCATTTTTCGCCAGTCTTTCAAAAATGATACTGCAAAGGTTTAATAAGAACTTGTTGAAATTTATATGATAATACAAAAATCAATCGGAATGTATCTTTCTAGCTTTTCAGCTAACCTGTCAGCTCCTTTGCATAGCAGAAGAATCTGCCCTTCCTCGTCACGTACAACAACTGACATTCGCTTCCGTTTGCTAGTGAAATCCAATAAATTCAGAACTTTATACTCCCTGCATTGTTTCTGATACATATTCAGGATGTGTGCTTAAAACCAATAATCAAAGAATTAAGACCAGATCTCTAAGTAGTCTTACCTTTCAATAGTTTGCCCTGAAGAAGATAACCTTTCATGAACATAAACGCTTGATTGGGTTCTCTTAAAGAACTCAAAACCAAACTCACTCGCAGCAGTAAGAAAAGAAGCTTCATCTGGTGACTCCGCTTCATATGTGTACTTTCCAGTCTCCTCGTTAAGCTCGGGAATAGCTGTGTGGCAAATAGCTAATATGCGAAAGAACAGCAAAATGTCATTTGTATGTGGCTCCCTCAACCAGTTCCCATTCATAAGCCGTACATCCTCAAAACCAAAACCCTTTATAGGAATCCTAGGATTATTCTCAGCTTCATGATTACTGCTACTTTCTACCTCAATTTCTTGAGCACGCGCCCTTGGAGTACTTGTCCTACTTGATACTTCTCCGTGATCATCAAGATCAACAGCCATTTGCTGTGCGGCAGCAACTTCCACTTCGCTGGAACGCACTCCATAAGAAGTGCCAGCAATTGAGCATTTCAGAAAATCCATCTGGTTACAAGTCAAAGTCCCCGTTTTATCAGAAAGGATAGTATCAACCTGTCCTAGCTCTTCGTTTAGATTCGACGTGCGTGCGTGTGCTGGAACCCCACTCTCACTGTCATACATGTGCAAATCTTTATTGATGAAAGTTGCTTGCAAGACTTTTACAACCTCAATGGAGACATAGAGAGAGATCGGTATCAAGTATCCGTACAGCAACAGAGCAGTGATCAGATGTACAACTCCAGCATAAACAGGATTAATGGGATTGGTCAAGTTCTCAGGCTCGTCAGGTCTTAAGTACCACCATTTCGGCATGTGAAACTTGGTCTCCCATGCAAATCCTGATGAACTTATGCAAGAGATCAAAATAAGTAGGACAAGAAGAGTGTAGATGATATAGTCCATTGTCTTCTCGATCCTGCTCCTTTTCGAAGGCGAGCTTGTTGAGTTCTGCATCACTTTAGTATCATGCCCTGTGAATACCACCACTCCGTAAACAAAAGGTGTATTCCTAAGCTTTGAATCTCTTAACAGAATCTGACTTGGATCCAGCGGAAATATCTGTCGCTCATACTCAAGATTGCCAACAAATGTGTAAAGACTCGGGTTCGGATCCTCGCATCTTATTGTCCCCGTGAAATTCTTGAAAGATTCGTCGTCATCTAGCGACAATGTTGCTTCCAAGGACCTTTTCACTTTCAAGTTTGTCTCGCCATCTAAATTCATAGTCTCTACATAACAAATACCATCCTCGTAACTAGACGACAACAAGAGCAAATCAGCAGGGAAAAACCCGTCTTTCTCCACTTTCACAATATCCCCAACACTAATCTTCTTCCACTTTCTGCGACGAAACTCTCCATCGCGTTTATGAACATAAGCTTTCCGCGCATTGATCTTCACATCCTGCATAAACCTACTCCAATCTTCAAGAGCCTCTTTTAGCATACTGAGCCCAACAACGAACACTAACGGAGCAATCATGCTCCATTTGTTGAACGGCGAGAGAGGGAACACCGAGAGAATCGCAGCTACCAAGAAGTAGAAATTGGCAGCGCGGTGAAACTGTTCGTAGAGCGATTTGGGAAAGAAAGTGATCAGATTGTACCTCGTGGTAGAGACATAGTTAGAACGATATCTCAAAGGCTTCTTCTTGTGCATATGAGGTTGATTACAGAACACGGTCCTGCTAAATCCTGGACCTTGGATTGGGTGAGGGTCTTGACCCTCGTCTGCGCTTGGCCTAAGACATCCAAATGTGTATATATGGCTTAGTCTCAGCTTTGACCTTCTTCTACCTCTTGCCATTACCTCAGAGAACTTCAACTCAAGAACAAATACAGAATCTTTATCAAGAACTCTTCTTCTTCATCAAGACTCTTAGTGGTGCTCAATGTCTCATATCTACAGGAAATGTTGGTCTGTAGAGAAGATTAAACCCAATACACAATCAGATTTTTCACAACATAAAGTTTCGATCTTGGCAACGAAAATATATTTTTTATAAAAGGGAAAAAAATCATTTAATTAGTAATCCGAGTCTGTATGACAAGTAAAACTAAATCAAGCTCCAATGTTATCAGATTTAGCGGACTAATTGAATCGATTAACATTTTGGATTTCAAATCTACCAATAAACCCGGAAAAGGAAGAAACAAAAAAAGTGATACTTTAATTTCTAACGCATTTGCATCTTTCTCTTATAAGGAAAGAAAGAAACAACAAATCTCTGGTAATTCCGGTTGATCCCGGAAATTCTGACAGGGAACGATCAAGCAGTAGGTGAATAGAAAGAAGGAAACAGCTGCAATAAGAAAAAACTAGTAGAGATCTTCAAACCCAGCAGCAAGTTAAGTACATCAGAGACTCATAAAACAAAAAATTTGATTCAGTAACTGGAGATCTTGGTAGGAGAAAGAGCCAAATCTGGGTCGAAACCAAGGAATTACCGAGGAGAGAGACAACACCCGCTGGTAACAAAGACGAATTAACATGAACTCATTTCAGCAAGAAGATGAGCCGAGAACTTGAGAGCAATGGCGGATCAAGACGCAAGAAAAAAAGAAGTAACTTTCTCTCTCTGTCTCTCAGATTATTTGAATATCTCAAGTGTTCTCCAGAGAGATGGGGTTTTAGAAAAAAGACACAGATTTGTTCTCTGTATGATTTTTAACTCGGTGTTTCTTTTCTTGCTTAGACTGGAAATTTGAACCAGTGCAAGGATCTTTCGGTGTTGCTTCTTCCTCGTCTTCTTCTCTCTCTCTCTCTGTCTCTTCGACTATGATCTCTAATTAACTTCAATTAACGAGAAATCATTTTACTTTCTTGTTTGTCTATAATATTTTGTAGGTACACAATCTCATTAATCTACCATAATCCCCCAAAAAAAGTCACCACTGCACCTTAAAAGTAAAGAATGATCAACAAATTGTAATAGCTGAACAAAATAATACAATTTGTTAAGACAAATGATAAACCGTGATCAACTGTACTGAATTTTTGAATACATAATTTGTTTTTATTAATGTAGATGGACTAGTCATGATTTTCCATTCAAGTAATTGGTTGCTCAAACAATCAAACAAAAAACACTTGTTCCACTCAATTTTGTGCAAGTAAAAAAAGTTGATTTATTTAGTTTGAATCATTCAATATATATCGACATATCTTTAATATTGTCATATTACTACAATTGGTTAAAAAGAAAGTTTGTATTTCTTTTACGTACAGTTTAAATATTAGGTTTTTCGTTTGACAAAGATTAATAGATTATTTACCATTTCCCCTAAAGAAATAGTGGTTCATTTAAATAACAGACTTTTTTTTCCTTAAATTAGTAAATCCATTTCTCTTTAACCAAAGAAAACATAGTGGTGCTTTTTTCTAAGGTTCATGTAATAGTCTTGAAAATATGATGACGTGTCAGGAACTCTTTTTCTTTTACGAAGCGAGATCGCGGGGGAGTCGATTAAACCAATCCGCACCGTTTTGCATCTTTATGTGATCCACTTGTGGGCTCCATCTCCTATTATTTTTTTTTGATAATAATAATAATCATACTCCACGGAAAATCAGTTGTATACAATTTTTGATAACATTTATTTCTTTAAAATCAATCATATGTTAAGAATACAATCAATGCTTCTCTAACAAGGTGATATGTGACCACAATTATGTAACGCATAAGCTCGGTATCATATCAATCCCGGTTTTAAGAGCCTAACTTTTTATAAAATTTTGTGAAAATATGATAATTTGAATGTCATCTTTCTAAACATAATAATCTCAAATTAGACTGCCCATGGATGTTTTCGTTTTTGGTCACATGTTTATAGGCATTACGCACATAGATTAAACTATTTTTTGTCGTCATTTCATTCCATTAAAGAGGAGCAGAAAATTACAAAGTGTTACAGGAGATTACATAATTGGAACAAGAAACTCGAGCATTTTTAGCTAGTACATGATCTATACTATAATATTTAAAATTATATAGTATATAGCATATACGCTCCTATAGCTAAGTATATATTGTCTTCTTCTTTTCTGGTCCCAAAAATATAATTTTAAAATGGAATTATATGAAAGTATGATGATAGATGGAGACATGACATTGCCTGGTGTGACATCCAAACGGCAAATGTATGGACAAATTGAATGAAGAAATAGCAAAAAGACTGCCACTTGCCAAATCAAACATTGCTCAAAATATCAGTAATCCTCACCATGTTTATACTCTCTCTATCTTTTTATCTATATATGTAGTTTTTTAGGTTATTTTATCCTTGAATACAAGTTATACAACATAACGAAAATTAAAAAGTAAGATAAAAGACTGAAAATTCTACAATTTTTTAAAAAATTATCAGAAAAGGAGAAAAACATACACAGAATTCACGTCAATTCTTGTTGACTATAAAATACAATAAATGGATGATTCCTTTACAGTATATATATATGTATGTATATATATATAAATCATGTCTATATGTCAAAGTAAGTGGTTAAAATTATAAGTAATAAAGAGAGAGTGGTTGATACAAATATACACATAGCTGAATATTATAAGTAAACTTGGGTTGGAAGGATAATCACATGGGATAACCTCTCCATGATTCGATGGACCTTTATCGAATTTTTCGCCCATCACTTTTTACTACTTCCATTTCTCGTGCACAATATTGACCTAGTTTGTACTATTTTACTAATTCTTCGACCCTACTTTTCTTAAATATAATACATAATATGGCTCATATTAAAAGAATATGGCAATCTACTGTTTACTTACGTGACTTTTCTTTATTATGCTTATAATTAATAGAACGTAGAGGTTTCAACAAAATCGAATTGTTGGGACCAGCGGGAGAAAGACATATAAAAATAAAACCAATAGCTGACAAATAAGCTTTGACAAAATAAAACATCTATGGTACTTGTTTGTTGTGACTTATATATTATCAACATCGAATGCTTCTTCATTATGGTTAGTACTTAGTACGAGACATGATAACTATGCAGATGATTCAGACAACTCCGTTAGGAGAATTACTCTTTCGCCTAATATATCAGTACCACCTTAGCCGTTGATTTGTTTGACTTTTCAACAGAAATCATTTGGAGTCGTTTAGAAATCGAACGCCCAGATTTTAAACGTGAGAGGAGATGGTAACTAGGACCCCACATAGAGGCGTCCCATAACTATTCAACAATTCAAGGCAATTATTTTGTTCAATTTGTAAGTTTTTTTTTCTTTTTTTTTTATGAGAAAAGGCTTTTCAATTTGTAAGTTGGATAAAATTAATTGTGTATACGTTTATATGTTTCAAATTTCATATGGGTGCGTCGCATAGCGTTAATAATGTGACAAAACAAATAGACATCCATATTAATGAACTTTCTTTGATTGATTAAAATTTTAAATATTTTTCCATATACAAAAGAAAAAAAATTTACCTTACCGTACGTACTCGTATGCTATAACTGTGTTACATCCCCTCCACGAACAATAATATTAGAAGTCTACAAATTCAATTTTTTTTTTTCGTATTGCGTATTCCCTGTATCTGCAATCAAAATGATATTACTTTTCACCAACAAAATAATTGAAAATTTACCACCACTTTTTTTTTTTTTTTTGCTTTCAGGAATTCATGGTGTATGTATCGTTGATTAGTCATTTGACTCAATACGCTAGCTCATCAAAGTGATTTATATAGTTCCATCAATCACGTATATCTAAATTAAACAGTTTTCAAAATTTGATGGCTTGCTTTGGTCATATTTTTACAAATAAGTAACACTGCCACAAGTAAAAAACAAGGTAGAGAGTGAGATCAACCTCTCTATGTGAATTCAAATTTCACTAGTCGTTACAACTTATAATATTGTTTTTTATAGAGCCCCTGGTGATCTAATTTATTTTGTTGGACAGTCAAGTTGGAAAATTTAGCATTGCACATTCGCACTCATCATTAAAATTTGCACGATAAAAGGAGCTAATGGACCAATTTTCTTTTTGAATAAATGTGATAATGGTGACAATTGTTGACTTGTTTAGTTGATTGTGAGGGGGAATGTTCAAATATCCAAAAAACACATGCACAAAGCAAAAAAGACCATCACATTGGCATGACAGGAGCATTAAGACAAATCTTACAGAGAAAAAACAAACAAAAAATGTGTTTGTTTTTTGGTATTTTGCCAATCTTAAAGTCTCTATGTCACTCTCCTATCTTTTCCTTTCCAACACCAAAGCTTAAAACGAATAGACGTATCGTTGACTTTAACGGGAAAGAAAATAAAAGAAAAGAAAGAACAAACAAAAAACAAGCACGTCGTAATAATACGTCTATTCGTTTTAAACTTGTGTTTTTTTTCTTGCCTTCGTCGATGTGTGTTTTACGTTGGAATTATTATAATCGATGAACATAGAAATTAGGATAATGAAGTTTCATCAATTTTCTTTTATTTCTAAATCAGTTTATACTACAATTATATCAAAACGATGATGAATAATTTAATCAGGTAAGATGTTAGAAAAAGGAGATGGAGATTTTCCATTTAATAGGTCAATTGTAAGGATTCATATGTGCGACTTATATAGAAAGATAAGGAAGTAAACTATTTTATATAATATTATCAAAAGATTTCACATTGACGGTAAATAATGATGTAGAGATTAGGACAACATCTTTCATAAAAAAAAACAGAAAAGATTATGACAACATCCAGAATCAGACTTATCCAGTGAGTCAAACAAAGACCGATTCCGTGTTTTTTAAAAAGGTTTAGTTGTATGCAAAATGAAAAAAAAAAAGAAAGAAAAAAGATAAATACAAATTTAGTCTTACATAAAATATCTAATCAGAGTTATAGTAAACAAAATCACGTAATTTTTATATGCCGTATTCCACACGGATCTCTTTGACTTCGTTCGAACTGGGTTGCTTATAGTCAAAGTCGACGCCGTTCACAATACAATCGGGCATTTACATTGCCAGTTTCGGCCCACTAGTTTTTTGAATGATTAACTCTCTAGCCCGAGTGACTAAAGGAGTATATACATATTATGTAAATTCTTGTGATTAATTTTAGTTTCTGATAACTGAATAACAATTCACTAGGATTGTAAAAAATATACGATGTTAATATACGATGTACTGTAATACTTTTTAGGATAAGACTATAGGAGTATGTATGTATTTTGATATCACAATATTTATAGTAAACTCTCACAAGGCCCATCCTTGCAAATAGTCTGTCTAAGTTTAGCTGTTTCAAGCAACCAACCCAGTCTTATTCACCGTTAGATTAGGTGAGTGCTCCAGTATATATATTGCAAACTGCGCAAAAGTCATACTCAGAAATGCAAAAGGAAACTAGAACGTGAAAGAATTAGAGGTTATAGCATTTTGCCATCCTTGCAGACCTAAAGATAAAGATTGGTCTTTTCAATGTAATATAACCTGCCTTCAGCTAGATTGCAGCTAATAACAATGGAATTTGGCTGCCGTGCTAGTCACAAAGATGATATGGGTTTTGTCAACAATCTAAAGGGTCGTGTCTTTATTAGGCAAAGAGTTGGTTACAGTTCTTACACAGATACGAAGGGAACAAGAAGAGATAAACAACAAATGAATTTTTTTTTTCACTTGCCAGAAGTTTTGGTAGGAGTAACTGCGTCGACAATGGCTTCCATTTCTTCCTTCATACGTTCGATGACACCAGGTCCTTTCACATCATCCACTCTTGTCTTCTCATCAATGTCTTCACTTCTTCCATGAGTCTCCTTTTCATGAACCATTGATTGTTTCTCCTCTTTGCTGTTTCCAATTACACTTGTCTTCTCCTCTGGAAAAACCCAAAAGTCCAGAAGCGATCAATGAAATAAAAACAGACCTCTCTATGTCGCCCAAATTAACAATCTTTTAACAAAGCTCCGTGATTCTAGAAACTCGAAGTTCATTAAAACCTACTAATTAAATAAAAACAAAATGTTTATAAAAGGCCACAAACATGAAACTCTGTATTCAACACATCTTTGAAGCAAAATCTTATGTAATATGTTTTGGTTTGCTTCTGAACGCCAAAGTGCCGTGCTTTCCTCACGATCTCGTTTTGTTTTCGCAATGTATGTTCTTTCAGGCATGGCAAACACCAAGAGTAGGGATTGGTTATAGATAATCGGAATGGGTTATAATGGCTTCTACTCTATCCAGTGATGCCTCTAAACGCCCCGAGCTCATGTTGAATAAGGGTTCTTCAGTACCAAGCGCCCCTGTAACCTCTGGGAGTACAAAATCAGCTCTCCATCCAAACCGGAAATCGATACCAGGACTCAAACCAAGAGTGGTTTTGTTCCGAATCCGAGACACACCATCACCACCCAAACACGAAGTAAGCTTCCATTTCCAACCCATTGCATTCATTTGAAAGTTATGTCCAACACCAACCTGAAGGTTTAGAAACCTGGTGAGAGGAATCTTCTTTGACAAAACTCGAACTTCTTGATGTAATGGCTCATATATAAACTTCCACTTCCTCTCTGGTGATAATGGCTTCAACACAAGCTTCGCGTGGTAATCATTGGTGGGTTCGTTATATAACTCGAGATTGACGCCTACGCGAAGTCCTTGGAGCTCTTTTCGGAACTTGAGGAATAGCTCCGATGGAAGTAGATTGATTTTGTAAAGCTCGTCCCAAGACGGAGGTTCCTCCGGTCGCGAACTCGGTGGCTCCATACTTGAAAACAACCAAACCCTCTCGGCTCGTTTCTCAAGTTTATCCAGAAACTCGAAATTCGATAAAGCGATTAGAAGAAATTCTCTATGGGTTTTACTAAGCCAAAATTAATAGCCGACGAAACAAAAAGAAAATTGAATGAGATACTTTTATTCATCAAAGATTGGTGTTACCAGAAAGAGAGCTTTGTTTTGGTTCCGCCATGGATCTTCTGGGTTCCTATCCTTCTTTGATCTCGTTTTTGGGTTCCTGAAAAACTTATCTAGACCTAATGTATTGCGTAGGAGACGAAATGACGTGTATCAGTCTGAGCCGTCCGATCTTAATAACAGATGAACGTGTAGATCGAACCGATACTTCCCGGTCGATTAATGTTTGAACGCGTGTCCACCCGACCGGACATTTGTAATGGATAATTTTTCCCTTAAAACTAAACTTATGAGGTTAAAATTGAGAAATAGAAAACTATAAGGGGGTTTAGCGAAACTTCAGGCACAGTGTTGAAGAGAGAAAACTAAAGTTTTACCGTTATTTTAAGAAATTGCTTTCGTACCCCAAAATTTCAAATTTCAAACGTTCTCTCCCTCTTCTTCTTCTTTTTTAACAGTGCGAACTTTTTTGTCAACATCAATCTCAATTCCCAAAATCAATCTTCCTCGCTTTTTTCCCATATCACATCCCTAAAAGATTCGAAATTGTGAATCGATCGATAGCTTCTAAAGTTTTGATTTTGGTAGAATCGACGAACCAAAGGTTTCGATTTGAGCTAACATGGGTGGGTCAGGGAATTGGCTTAAATCACTAATATCTCACAGGAAACCCGTCGATGATCAGGTAATCTGAAAAATCCTTCATCTCTTAAGAGTGTTTTGGATCTCATTTGTCTATCTTATAATTGCAGCAGGAGAAGCTAAGTGAAAAGAGCAGCAAGAAGAAATGGAAGATGTGGAGGATTTCATCGGAGAGCTTCACATCTTCTTCCTCCAAGGAAGGTTTTCTCAAGAGCCGAGGAAGCTATGGACTTTCTTCTTTAGGCTCAGATCCACCGTCGTTCTCGGCCGACGAGGCTTTCACTGTGGCCATGGCAGCTCTCATTCGAGCTCCTCCCAAGGACTTCTTATTGGTTAAGCGAGAATGGGCTTCAACAAGAATCCAGGCTGCTTTTCGTGCATTCCTGGTATATGAATTTTTGAATAATTTGTAGTTAGTGTAGCTGCTAATTGCGATTTTAACCATTTCATATCATCTAAAAAGCTCTCTGTGTTTGTATTTTTTTTGTTCAGGCAAGACAGGCGTTTAGAGCTTTGAAGGCTGTTGTGAGAATTCAGGCGATATTTCGCGGCAGACAAGTTCGAAAACAAGCAGCCGTTACACTCAGGTGTATGCAAGCTCTTGTTCGTGTCCAGTCTCGTGTTAGAGCTCATCGTAGAGCGCCTTCAGACTCAACTGAACTGAAAGATCCTGCAAAGCAGACCGAGGTAAGGATTCGGAGAGTTCTGAGTAAGCCTATTGAACACACTCATATGTGACTCTGGTTTGATATTTTTTTTATAGAAAGGATGGTGTGGTAGCCCAAGAAGTGTTAAGGAAGTGAAAACAAAATTACAAATGAAGCAAGAAGGCGCTATTAAAAGGGAGAGAGCTATGGTTTATGCTCTCACGCATCAGGTTAGTTTATGTAATTTACAGCATAAATCTCAGGAGTGTTTAGCTGAGTGTAATAATCTCTGACTGAGTTCGTTTTGGTTGTTTTGGCAGTCGAGGACGTGTCCAAGTCCAAACCGAAACGCAAGAGTAATTAAGCATCATGGTTCGCGCAAGAGCAGTCCTGGTTGGAACTGGTTTGAAGATGTTGGGACATTTTCAAGGAAAAGTAGCGAGAGCAGTGTATTGTCTGAACATGAGTCTGTAAAAGTCAGGAAGAACAATCTTACTTCAACTAGAGTTCTTGCTAGACCTCCTCTTCTTCTTCCTCCGGTTTCTTCTGGCACGAGTTCTGGTTATTTACACGATGAGACATCAACCTCGTCGACATCTCAATCACCATTTGCATTCTCCGGCAGTGTTCTTGAAAGTGATGGGTACTATCGAAAGCCGAGCTACATGAGCCTGACACAATCTACTCAAGCCAAGCAGAGACAATCAGGATCATCTTGCAATGGAGATGATAGACGCAGTGCTGGTTCAGAGCAGTGTACTGATCTATACCCTCCGGGAATAGTAACTGGAAGACATGTCTGGGCTAAGAGCCAGCGAAGCTAAAAAAGGAAGCCGTGATGATTCACTGCAAGTCATTTTCAACAGCCTGTTGGTTTCTCTCTTTCTATCTTGTTTCAGGAACGGCTCCTGTAAACATATACACGAACTATAGATACAGAAACAGCTTCTGTGTACCGTTTACATATAAGAATATTTGTGATAGTTACTTGAGCTTGAAGTGTTAGGCTATTTAGGCCACTAGCAATAACTTGGAAATTGTTCCTCCTTGATTGTTAAACTTTCACTATATTCATTGTTTACTTATATTTCATCGTTTACTTAAATATTTCAAGAAGAAGAGGCATACCTATAAGAGAAACTAAACACATAATCTTTGAAAAAAAGTACATAGGAACATACAATTCGATTTTGTTTCCTTCGAAAAATAAATGGTTCGATAACTTATATTGTGAGAAATGGCAAAAAATGATTCAGATACAACATAGTAAATCTTACTCGGGTAAAATCATCCATGAGTATGATAGTGAATATGGGTGTATCGGGGTCACTGATCAGCTACGCTTATTGTTTAAGAGGAGCTTTCTTCTCTCGGTCTGCAATTCTAGCAGGGGCGTTTGAGTGTGACTTGAACCGGCCTCTTCCTCCTTCGTCCCTCTCCTAAAAATTACAGAATCAGCAATATAAGTTTGTTTAGTTAAAATCATCATGGAAAGGAGACCAAATCCCATAGATTTGTGTGACTAGTCTATGCCAATCGAAAATATTTCGTTTATGTACCTTTTTCTTGACGATCTGAACAACATCTTCGTCTTCAAGATGTTGAGAAAGACCACAATTCTGAGGATTGTGCCTTGCACTTGTGCCCCACACAAGGGCATACTTCATATCCTTCACCAGAGTCCTGTGGACGTGGTTACAGAAGTCTTCAACTGTGCAGCCACCTCGATCCTGATGAACAACACAAGTAGTAGTCAAAGATGAATACCATTAATACGGACAGCTTTCTTGCAATGAGAAAAGTATACACTTACAGATGAGAGGACAAAAGGCTCATCGAAATCTGGTTGTTGTCCTTGAGGCTTCGAGTAAACTCTCACAAGTCCCATTTCGTCCCACATCCTTGCAAGTAGTCTGTCTAAGTTTAGCTGTTTCAAGCAACACATTCATCCACTGTTAGACCAGTGAGTTTCCAGTAAATATTACAAAATCCGCAAACGTCTTACTCAGAATGCAAAAGGAAACTAGAACGTGATAGAATTAGAGTTTTAAGCATCTTCCTTCCTTGCAGACCTAAAGATTGGTCTTTTCAATGTAATATAAGTATATAACTTGCCTTTAGATTGCAGCTAATAACAATGGAATTTGGCTGCCGTGCTAGTCTATCCACATCGTCAATTCCAACAACATCAATTTTGTTGTAGACATAAACACACTTGATATATTTCCGGTTGCCTTCAATGACATCGATAAAGTCATCCACTGTGGCATTCTCACGAAATAGCACCTGCAATACTCACCAGTAAATTCATTTAGGGGTTTGCCAGCAAAGCAGTAACTACCATAAAAAGACCTTAAAACTTACAAATGTCTGTACTAACGATAATTCAATTTGTAACACTCAAACAATACAAGACAAGCCACGAAAAGCTTGTCTGAGGCTGAATTAATACAAGATTAAAGTTGGAATCTCATACCTCAGCATTGTGAATCTTGTATTCATGCAGGATTTGATAACAGAGTTTCTCATCAATGTGAGTCAAGGGTGCTGTAGTGTTGAAAGATATTCCACCAGTCTTTTTCTTTTTAAAGTATATCTATTGAACGTAGGAAACAAAACAAAGCAAAAGTACAAAATTAAATTCCAGGGAAAAAGAAACCAAGTGTCCCAAATGGAGCACATCGAAGTAAATTAGAAAGAACTTAAACTTCAAAGAATTAGATGCTTTACTTGTGGAGGCTTTTTGTTTAGCCGCAAGCCCACTGCCTCAAGTTCCTTAGTCAGAATTTGCCTGTGGCCTTCACTCTAACATTTTTTTTTTTTTTTGTGATAAGATAATAAGATTAATAAATGGATGCAACCTGACAACCAAATAGCAAATCACATGGACAACCACACGATAACTCACCTTTGAGGCATCAAGAACCATCAATACAAGATCGGAAGACTTTGCAACAGCAATGACCTGAGAAATAAGCAGTCACAATCATAGTTCGTATCATTCTGATTATATTTTTCCGATTGGCGATAAACTTAGGAATCGGAAATAAATCATCTAGCTTTATCACCCAAGATGAAATCAAGATATCCAATAAGAAAAGCAAGCGACTGAATTTCAACCTGCCTTCCACGCCCCTTTCCTTCCGAAGCACCTTCAATAATTCCAGGAAGATCGAGAAGTTGGATCTTTGTGTCATTGTAGTGAATTACTCCAGGGATACATGTAAGTGTTGTAAATTCATATGAGGCTGCTTCAGAATGTGTTCCAGTTAACATTGTCAAAAGTGTGGACTTTCCGACACTGCAAAGTACAACCACTTCCATCAGTTCCCCTAAACCATAGTCTGAGAATTCTAAATGAGCAACATAATTCTACAAAAATGGCGCAAATTTGTAAATGTATCTTTGCGAGTATAAGTATCCAAGACATTCGACCTTGGAAATCCTATTAGTGCAACACGTCCATGACCATACTTGGTAACTTCAAAACCTTCCCCGCCTCCACTAGCACCCTGTTAAAGGAATTCGGAAGACAATTACAAACTAAAACGTAGGAAACTCCTACTTCAGGTACGAGCAGCATACATTTGTATATATGGTCACAAAGCAGGAAAGTAGATTACAGCCTAAATAGATAAGCTCGCGCGTTGCATAGTCTATTTCAGCTGTAAACATAGAGTAACAGCAAGGAAAAATATAACGATGGCCCAAATAAGAAGGGTAACAAACAAGTTTCAAATACAGAAATAAGAGTATAGAGTAATGTTTTAGTCTTTAATTAAGAGTTTGTATTACTTTTGGAGGCTCCAACAGTTGTGTCCTGAGCTTAGCAATCTTTGCCTTGAGCTGACCCAGATGATACTCTGTCCATCAAGTAAAACATTATCAATTAGCTGACAGTTGTTCTGCTTATTTTAGCAAATCGGAAAAGGAGAATAGAAGCTTTTCGAAGTTGTGATCTGGCAAATCGGCTGAAGTATATTTATAAAGTACTCTAGAGGCTCGCAATCTGTTTACTGTATTTACTACACATGCATAATATTTTATCTATCTAATTTCGTCTTCTAAGGATGAACCACATGAAATTAATGTTATATATATGTAGAGAACCTGTAGCTTTATTCTTCTGTGTCCGAGCCATCTCGGCCTCGATTTCTTTAATCCTTTCGATGATCCCCATTGTGCTTCAGTTGTTTCTGCTACTATCACTGGAGAGAAGAAAGGAAGAAGACGTGTATTATAGACTCAGAATTAGAAACATAGAGACAACCAGAGAGTTCACTGATTATTATCTAGCATAACCATTTATCAATATAACTCAAAGGACCATAGGCATAAAGCTTTTAGATTCATATTTTGCTTAAATTAGCATATCTATCAAAATAAATCCGCACAGTGAACAATTCCAAAGAAAATTTTCGTTAAACAGGAACAGCGAAAGCAAAGCTCTTTACGAAATCGAACTAATAAACATATGTCGGGACATCGGTTTTCCACATGAATTTCCTCAAACCAGCTCAAAATGCAGGATACACATATATAAAAGAGATTTTCATATCAAAAGCTAAATCAAAAGCTTTTCATGAGCAAGTTAGAAGATTTGATGTGCGACTCACAGTGGAATTGGTGAAGGCGATCTCCGGAGGAGAGAGAGAGGTAGAGAGAGAGCACGCCTGTGGAAAGAGCTATGCGGGGTACAAAAGGGTTATGAGCCCATTTTAGTCGTAAAGGCCCAATATTCTAATTCGATACTTTTTTTTTTTTTTGGTCAAAACTAATTCGATACTTATCAACCTGTTTACGTGAAAAACGCATTGTTTTAATGTTAGCACCGAACCGAAATATAATACTAAACCGAGATGAGACCAAGATGATGTTTTTCAAATAAGGAATTAATTATGAAATACGTTTAGTTATAACTTGACAACATGTATATAACTTGTATCCTGAATAATTAATCCGAATTTACGTTGTCTTACAATAACTCAGAAGAAAGATTCAAGATTTCGCATGAAATGCATAATACTCAAGAATCGTTCATATCAATTCCATGCACCAGTTTCTAGTCCCATTTCAGCCACAAAAGCTACCTTAGAATTAAGTCTACAAAATCAAAAATCATAAAAAAAAAAAAAAAAGTTTCTCACATTTTACTAATACGAAAAGCTTGCTACAAGAAACCGTTTCTTGAATTCTTCACCATTCTAGCCTTCTTTGCCGGAGATTGCTTCTGAGCAAGCTCTCTTACCTGCAACAAAACCTGACTTGGAATAGCCATCGACCCGTGTTTCTTCAGACTTCCCTGCAAAAACACAGCCATTCTTTCACCGGTTTAGTCTTAAACCAAAGTTAGTTATGCTGGTTAATTGATTCTGTTTTTTTTTTTTTTCTTAAGATGAAAACATGTGGAAGTGCTAACCATTCTCTTTGAAGGAGTCTGAGCAAAGCTTGCTCTCAGTAGATTCCGCCATTTGTCCTATCAGAAGAGACACTTGTAGTTATAGAAAAATAGTCCAAGAGGATTAAGAATAATGAAAAGAGAGAGTTTATTAGTTAAGTTGAAGCAACCTTCAGATCCACTGAGGTACGATACGCGTATGATGAAAACGACAGCCTTTTGATCTCAGACCATTTCCCAACTCCATATCTGGACACACCTTCCACTAGTTTTATAACTTCAGAGAGGGTCCAAGCTCGATGATGCTTCCTTCTAATAGCACTTTGCATGATTGGTAGATCAACGCGATTAGTATTATGATTATCATCTGAGCTATTTCCAGATGAGTCTATGTGCTCTGGCTCCATGATGTCTTGATTCACATCAGAGAGATTAGGTTTTGAATGGTCCTTGTCGCTCTGATGATTAATAGCTAACTGCATCAAAAACGCAATGAGCAACTGTATCATACCAAGAATCAAATCCATCAAAAACGCAATGAGCAAGGGTATAACTTCAGGAGAGTCCGAGCTCAATGAATCTTTTGATAGATAAAATGACAATAATATGGATTATGTAATGACAAAGTTCTCTCCATCATTTACTACATTATTGAGTTGATGATGAAGCAATAGAAATGATAAAGTGATCTTACTTCTTTCGGGACAGGTCCAGCAACAGATTTGACACCTGAAACTCGGTTCACGTCATTGTTCAACTGATATTGTCTTAGAGTCAGGTCACTCTCTTCTGGAGTAGTTTTCACCTCCCATGAACTGGAATGAAATTCCTACAAAATGTCAGATAATCTGCGTTATTCTTAATTACCTTGACAGGCTACAGAGAGAAATTAATTTTTTTTCTTCAGTGTGTAACAATAGGAATAGAACTAGCATATCCCCCATAAGTAGAAAGATTTTGATAGCTCATAGGAAAGGTATGTGGTTAATAAGGATCATGAGAAGCATGAAAGCAAAGAGATACCCCAAGAGCCATTATGTTTTCCCTCGGACGGCTTCTCCTCACATGAGAAACATAGGGAACCTGAATTCTGGAACCAGCAAGAGATACCATCCTGGTGACAACAACTCTCCCTCCTGAAGAAACGGCGCTAATAGACCTCTGATCTTTCAAAGGGATGAGTGACTCATTAACTTGCTGTTTTCCATCGACTTTTGAAATTTCTTCAATAAATCTCCTTGTAGGCTTCCTCACTCTTTTCGCAGACCTCAATTCGCCTTCAAAATCTTCATTTCCAGAATACTGGTCCACAAAACTTTCAACAGGACTACGCTGAAAATCATTTGAATGCCCCTTTCTGCAATCAGGACTAGATGGTGTATCGTTGCAGTTAGCTCTTCCTTCATCAACCGTATCCTTGCTATAAGCATCAATGGTATCATTGTAGTTATCTTGACCTCCACCAATCAGTTTGTTATCATTAACTGTCAGGCCAGTTGTTGGAATAACACATGAATTAATCAGCCCCATCGTGATCCTCCTTTTGAGCCATCGTTTGTCCTTGCAAGTAGTTTCACGACCAAACGTGGCTCTGAATGTTTCTTGCAATGACTTAATCGAAAGATTATCCAAGCATTTATCGCCTGTATCTCTAGAAAATCCAGGTTTTGAGGCAGAAGGTACTTTAGGACTACATGTAGCATTTGAGTATTGTGACACATCCATAGATTGATCCATAGTGCATCCATTTGATGGAAAACGAACAGGTTCCTGCAGCAAAACTTCAGATTGGACTAGTCCCTCATTCCCAGGCAACTGATTGGAATTTTGACAGTTGGTATCCGGAAGAGTAAAAAACATCTGAGATCCATACATCAGCTCTTCTTTAGACTGCAAAAGTTTGAAAGGTGGAGTAAAATCAATGGATTAAACGGCCATCTGATTCCCATATAGTAATCACATGAGAAACAATACTAAAAAGTTGTGTCTAGAATTTGAAGAAAGAGGACAGACCTCAAGTCGAGAATTCAAATTTTCTGTATATGCTTCCACAGTTTCTGACTGGAATAAGCCTGGATTCAATAACCGAGTTGGATAAGGAAACTTATCGCCGAGAGGCACAAATGACTATATAATAAGAAAAAGCTGATAGGAAGAGCTACAGGCTCAAACACATATGTACACATAAATGACTGTTTCGCCCTCAAACTAACGAAGGCTGCAACATGTATAATGCTTAGAATGATTGGGACCAAACCTTCTAAACTTTCTAGCTGCAGAAACTGAGACGGTGACCCTTCATTCGGAATGCACTCTTCAGTCTGTCCAGGATATGGTACCATAGGCATATCATTTTCATTGTTCTCAAGCAATTCCTCGACCTCCAGTAGTTCTTTATCGGTTGCAGGAACTAATCTCCCATCTCCTGTAACCTAATGGATTCACATGACCAGCTTCAAATAAAGATACTGAAAGGCTAAAACTTGTAATCGAAGTAGTCAGGACTCTCGGTTCCAGGAATAGCAAATAGCATTATGTTTGCCTGTTCTATAACTCTGATAAGAAAAGATATTTTGAAGAAAAACGCATTTATAAACATACCCGGACAAGCTTGTACACAACCGGATCTCCAATTTGATTTGCTGAAGAAAGTGATGCGCCTCTTGTCTGAACAACATTGTCCTGAAACATCTCTCCATAGTCTTCCACAGTTCCAAACATTCTTCCGATAGATAAATCTACCAAATGCAACTTCAGACGTACAGACTGAAATCACAAAGAAGGGAATGAAGCAAATAAACCAATCTGCTCACGAGATTTAAAAAGCAAATGATACAACTCTTAGACAACACCATAACTGATAATCAAAATCAAGTTTCACACCTAAGAAATTTTAATATATACTCAGTACCAAAGGAGTCTCTTAAAAAGGAGAACCTTTAAAGAGGGAAACAACATTAGCACATCTTCAAAAATTAAAAAAGATTTCAAATTTGAGCTACACTTTTTCAAATTCCAATGGAATTTACATGTTGCAGTTCTCACAATCAAGTTTTGGCTGATTTTACTGACCTCAACTCGCAATTAAGTAAATCACACAAACTAAATACTGAATTTTCAGGATAGAAATATGAAAAGGTTACGAGAACAGGAGAAAATCCCAGTAACGAGTAGACCAGAGAGTTACCAGAGCAGTAGAACGTGAACGGAGAAAATAGGGACTGTTTCAATGAGCTCGACGTTTCATCGGAGAGAAAAGCTTCTCGACTAAGCAAAAAAGTTTGGAAACTCGTGTTCTGCTTTTTTTTTTGGTTTTGGCTCGCTTTCGGCTTTGTTTTTCCCCCTAGTACACAGTGCAATACAGGTCCGGATTCCAAAGCTTTTTATAAGTTCGATTCTAGAATGCCAATTGGGATCCGCATGGTTTTGCGGGAAGCTCCAAGATGCTTCCACGTCAGTAAATACCTAAATATCTGCCGAAAAATAGCGAACTACGTTCCGTCCCGGCGCTCGTGCATTACAAACTGCGTGCCGTCTAACACGTAAAGATTTGGTTTACGTGCCGTCTTAGAGTTCAGAAGACTGCACCCATGTAATTTCACTTCATTTCAATCACAGGCTCTACCTACACAGTTCTACAATGATTGATAACAATGGAGAAACCAGATGAAGAAAATAGGTATCATAAACTGAAATGTGTAAACTTTACAACAAGTTTATTCAATTTGGTTGAAGAACTGGAGTTTTCAAAGTAAACAAACAAGTAATTAAGAAGTCTCCTTAATCTGAAAATCAACATGGTGAAACGTATGTAGCTATCATTTCAACAGAGATATTACATCAGTAAAACTCTCCTTCTTCCTCCTCCATCAATTAGCTTTTGAGTCTTGGATATATGAATCTACTATAATCAACTTTGGTGTTCTCGGTTACATACTAACCGGATCTAAATCTCTTCTGGTTAGCTTTCCCATCAGATTTCAGGGTTCCACTAGATTCACCTTCTGATGAAGCATCCATTGATCTTGCGAAAGAATGAGAGAGATCACCGTAAAGGCTAGCTACTCTTCTGATATTGTTGTTCAGCTCTTTAATCAGACCAACGTTTCGACCCAAGTTATCGGGTTGCTTCGACTCATGGTTCTGGTTGATCTCGTTGATCAATAGCCGGTTCTGATCTAAAATGTCTTGAACATCCACGAAGCTCTTCTGGAAATTCTGCAACAGTTTACCATCCATATTGTGTCTGTCTCCAAATCCTGAAAACACATCTCCTTCCATTCTCGGTGGTTTTTCTACTAAGACCAAAATCTTGTTTTGATCTGTTATACCTGTACAATGCAACATCAGTACAAATCCATGTCAAAGAAGAGAAACAAAACAAAGCCAAGAAAAGAATTCAATTTACATGAAAGATGCATCTTTTAGGGAAAACGTTGACCCAGATAGAGTTATATACAATACACAGTTTTATCCTTGAAGCGTTGACCTGACACTATCTTGATTTCAGAACTCTGATATCTTTGATCTCACATAAGATTCCATTAGTACAGACTTTTCCAGTTAAAATCCAACCTCAAAACCCTCAATTTTAGACAAGATCCCAATGCGATTCAGCTGAAAAAGTCATGAATCGTATAAAGTTGGAAAATAAAAAACAAGATTTTGTTCTTATGAGCCAAGGGAAAAGAGATCTATAAAAGAAGTAAAAGCTGTTCCATAAATAGCCTTGAGCGAAAGTAGAAACAGATTCAGAGAAGATTCGCAACCCTCAATATAATTCAAGAGAAACCAAGCAAATGCATATCTATAAACCCTAACCAAGACAAAATTGAGAAGAGTTCCGATCCAGTTTCCTTACCTTTCCGAAGCAGAAAGAAGAAAAAATTAGAGCTCCGATGACAGATAGCAGATGGAAATCGAGAGTATTTGTCTCTAGAGAAACAAACAAGGAATCCTTTCTTTTTACCGATAATTTATAGTGACAACAATTATTGGGTACTGTGAAAAATAAAGAATCTACATGATTTTCTGTAGGTAAAACAGCTTGAGACAGATATATGAGCGAGCCTATATAGTTCTAATTTTGACCCTTTATATTTTTTTAAAAAAAGTTTTTTTTCTTTTTTTTATCTTTTTAGCTTGTACTTCCTCTGAATCTCTCAATTCTGCAGAGATACGGAAGGTTAGAGAAGCAGACATCTGGATCGAAACATATTTGACCCGATATATGAAACCCGCCCAGTAAAAGATTCGTGCTGTTGTTTGTTTGCGTCTAGTTCAGCTGAACATCATGTCGTTGAAAGCGAGTTTAGTTTTTAAAAACGGCACGTAGTTAAGGATCGCTCTAGTTTCTCCCTGGTCACGGCTCTCTCCTCACGTCAAGGCTCATGTCTGGAGAAATCTGCTATCGATCCCTAAGAACACTGTGAACGGACTTCAACGGACCATCAGATGCTTCGATTCAACAGCTGGAAGAAGCTCTGAGACACTCGATTTGAGGATCGCATTCAAGGCATAGAGATTGCACAAGTGTGATACTTTTATTCTCCTCTCTTCTTACTTTTCATCCACTTGGAACTGACTAATATATGCTGGCCATTTGCTGTTATGTAGCATTTCTGCTCTATTTTGTTACAAAACTGTGTTTTTCATGTGGATTGTCTTTTTTTTGTAGGTTGAACCGATGCCTCCGTTTGTTAAAAAGATTTTCAGCAAAAGAGTTTTACTAATATGTGGAAAAAGCAACTCCTAAAATTCGTAAAGAGTATACCAAAAACAGAACAAACATTTGAGCTTCCAATTGATAATCAAATTTACACATAAGATAGAAATTAAATGATCATCAAGATAGTTGTTTGCTTACTTTTTCCAGTTAATATGGTTTGATTAATTAACTAGTATAACCTCTATAAAAATATTTGTCTTTACTTTTTTCTTCAAAAAAAAATATACCTTAGTTAAAGATTCATGTAATCCATATGGGAGTAGAACTGTACAAGACTAAAAGTGTTAGCTGTGTGAGAGAACTGAGAACTGAGAGTCTTAGAATAATGAAACACATTATTCTTCTCGATCATCTACCGTTAAATCTGCTGACGTGTACGGTTTAGATTACTTCATTCTCTTTTCCACCAGGAGATTAAAAGAAAAAAAAAAAAAAAAGGAAAGACGATATTCCTGGGGAAAACTTACGGATTCATGAGAGAAAATCGACAAAACCCCTCAACCAAACGCACCTTCACACCTGGTTTTTTCTTCTAATGGCGGAAGCTATTCCTCCATCGTCTTTGTCACCGAAACCTCTACAATCTCCTAATCCCATGGAACCTTCCCCTCCATCGTCTGCACCTCCACCGTCGTCATCGCAACAACACATGACACCTCCGATTCCCAATTCCGTCAATTCGGCGGCGTCTCCGGCGATGGCGGTGACGACAACCGAAGGTGTAATTCAGAACACTAGTACCAATTCGCAACCTAACATCAACCCGAGTCCGATTCCACCCGTCGGAGCTCAGATCCCGTCGTCTTCTTCGTTGGATCAGCAAACACAGAGTCAGCAACTCGGCCAGACTCAGCAATTGCAGCAACAGCAACAGCAAAATCAGCAATTGCCTCAACAACAACAACAGCAACAACAGATTATGCAGCAGCAAATCTCTTCGTCTTCGATTCCGCAATTATCCCAGCAACAGCAGCAGATTCTTCAGCAGCAGCAGCAACAGCATATGAGTCCGCAGCAAATCCCAATTTCGAATTACCAGATAGCTCAATCTCTCCAGCGATCCCCTTCTGTTTCTCGCCTTAACCAAATTCAGCAGCAGCAGCAGCAACATCAGGGGCAATACGGCAACGTTTTGAGGCAGCAAGCTGGGCTGTACGGGACGATGAACTTTGGTGGCTCAGGTTCTGTTCAACAGAGTCAGCAGATGGGTAACCCTAATATGTCGAGGGCAGCTTTGGTTGGCCAAAGTGGTCACTTGCCAATGCTTAACGGTGCTGCTGGAGCTGCACAGATGAACATTCAACCTCAATTATTGGCAGCTTCGGTATCACGTTCTTACTTTACTCTGTTTCCCTTTATTGATTCAATTTAGGATTTTGTTTCTTTTTTGTGCTTCTCGTGAAGGATTTTTTTAAAATTGTAGCTTTCTATGTATTTGCTTTCGATTTAGATTGGGATAAAGCTGATAATTGTGATGGAGATGACTGCAGTTGGTTTTTCATTTTATAGAAAAATGGAGTTGTATACTGCATTTTAAGCTGATTATTGTGACTTTATTCTGAGACTAGTGAGCTTTCCGTTGTAGCCGAGGCAGAAAACGGGGCTGGTTCAAGGTTCGCAATTTCATCAAGGAAGTTCTGGACAACAGTTACAGGGGATGCAAGCAATGGGAATGATGAACCTGACCTCGCAAATGAGAGGTAATCCTGCTCTCTATGCTCAGCAGCGAATCAACCCAGGGCAGATGAGACAGCAATTGTCACAGCAAAACGCTCTTACTTCGCCTCAGGTATTGAGTCCAAATATAAACGCACTTGCACTCTCAAATTGTCAACATGTTCATCAGCTAAATGGTTTCTCTTGTTGGTCACTGCTTATTGTTGCGCATTCTTTATTTAAGTGATGCATTATATGTATTGTTGGTATTTGAATTAATAATATTGTCTTGCTTATTGGTTCTTTTTAAGTAGGGAGAAAAAAAAATATATAGAGTTGCCTGAAATCTTTTTGTAATCCTCTTATCTAGGTCCAGAACCTCCAGAGAACATCTTCTCTCGCATTCATGAATCCTCAGCTATCGGGTCTGGCCCAAAATGGACAATCTGGTATGATGCAAAACTCGTTGACGCATCAGCAATGGCTGAAGCAAATGTCGGGAATAGCCAGCCCCAATTCAGCATCATTCCGACTCCAACAGAGTCAAAGGCAGGCTCTACTCTTACAGCAGCAGCAATTGCCCTCTGCTCAGTTACACCAAAACTCCATGTCCTTAACTCAGCAGCAACTATCACAGATGATACATCAACAGCAGCAACAATCACAATTAGGCCAGACTCAGATGAACAATTCCCATCAACAGCAACAGATGCAGCAACAACCACAACAGCAAATGCAGCAGCAGCAACAACAACAAATGGCAATAAACCAACAGCAGCCATCTCCAAGGATGTCGAGTCATGCAGGACAGAAATCTGTTAGCTTAACCGGTTCACAACCAGATGCTACACAATCGGGTACAACAACACCAGGTGGTAGTTCAAGCCAAGGAACAGAAGCAACAAACCAATTGCTCGGCAAAAGAAAGATACAGGATCTGGTTTCGCAGGTGATTGTCCTATTGAACCCTTCGGCTTGTTTCTATTTCGTTTCCATATGAAATTGTCTCATCCAGTTAGTTGTATATGATGATCAGGTGGATGTACATGCTAAATTGGATCCTGATGTTGAAGACCTCCTTTTGGAGGTAGCAGATGACTTCATTGATTCGGTAAGAAGCTAATGTCATTTATTAAGCTATTAAATTCCTTTTGTTTTTCATTTTTCCAAGTTATGATATTTCTATCTTACCTACTTGTCTAAATTCCTGATTGCAGGTGACTTCTTTTGCATGTAGCTTGGCTAAGCATCGTAAATCGTCCATATTGGAGCCTAAGGATATATTACTCCACCTAGGTTTGTAAACCTTGAGCTCTGTTTCGTAAGGATTTTTCCTATTTGCTATTTGTTACTCATTGCTGTTTGCTGGGTTATAATTGATGCAGAGAAAAACTTGCACTTGACAATTCCTGGATTCTCTAGTGAGGATAAACTCCAAACAAAAAACGTAAGTGGTTTTCATTTTTAAACTCTACAAGAACACAGTATAAGTGAATGTGCATAACTGCTTGATTCACAAGAGAAATTAAGAAATGAAAAAAAAAATGTGTCTGCCAGATATTGATCTGAAGCTACCAACTTGCAGGTACCAACTGATCTCCACAAGAAGCGACTTGCATTGGTAATAAACCAAATTAAGATCCATTACCTTTCGTTGTGTACAGTTGACTTAATCAACCTCTTAAATTTCTTCTTTGTTTTTGGTCGTCAGTTGCGTGCTTTACTGGAATCCTCAAAACCGGAGACGAATGCAACCAATTCCAAGGAAACTATTAGACAAGGGATGGTAAACCCAAACGGTCCAACCCATCTCTTAAGGCCATCACCAAGTTCAGAGCAATTGGTTTCGCAGACATCCGGTTCTCACATATTACAGCATATGACACGCTATTAAAGGACTTGAATATATAAGCCTGAGCCAGCTCTCGATTCATCTTCTTGGTAAACAATTTCTTGGTTACAAAAAACTTACCATCTTTTCATAAAAGAAGAAAAGCTCGAGTTTTTATGGTAGTAGTAATCCTCTCAACTCTTGTTTTTCTAGGTTTCAGGAGTTTACACATCCATATATCAAAACATTAAAGAGAGTGAAGGCAGAAGGAGTCAAACTGTATGTATTATATATAAGTTATGATGAGTCTCATAGGCAAACGAATAATAAGTTTTTTTTTTTCATAGTCTGACTTTCTAATTATTTCGTCTTCTTTTTCCATCTTTAGTGGGTTTTGTTTCTTATTTGTAATTTTAGATGTCCACTATTTTAAGCTTGAAAGTTGTATTCCTTTGACGACTCAACGAGTGATCCTTTTGTTTTTTTTTACTGGCTTTGCTGCATTTGATTTGTTAATGATGTCAAATATATGAAATATTCATATACTTCAAAATTAAGTGCCATATATGATATATATTATTATTAGGTAGAAGGAGAAGTATATACAAAAATAGAGATCAAACACTTAAGACAAACTCAGTAATCAAATTATTAAGAGTAGTTGGTGCTTCAACGTTAACAGCGTGTCCAGATTCCTGTATTATCTCTAATCTTGAACTCTGCAAACGCCTGCCAAAATATATAAATAGGATTAAGCTGATTCCCCCATAAATTTAGAAGGTTGATCGATTCATACGTTTCAACGGTTTTATTTTTTGACCTATTAGAAATACGAAGGGAACAAGTTGTGTATTTATAACACTTTAGAGGAGTATATTATAAGATCTATAATGTGTACAATATTATTACCTTTGCAGCCGATAACCATGCTCCAATGGAAATACTTTATCCTTGTCTCCCCAAACGATTAACGTTTTCTGAAATACAAATCATTTTGTTTGTTTCTTATTCATAGATTCGAATAAAGGATCTCTTGATCCATAGTGTCTTTCTATAAACAAAAGAAAAGTTAAATTAAACAAACACGAATAGTGTTTCTACAATTTAAATTATGAATACTTTCTTTACTCATAAACAATCCAACATATAGATTAATTTTCATCTATGAAAGCGACCTATCATGTCCATTTATTAAGTATTAATCTTGATGATAAAAAATGTAATCATTAGTGACAATAAAAAAAAAAAGAGTTAAATCACTAGCATCAAATCTGATTATCAAGGTTTCAATGAAATTTTTTTACCTGTGATATCACAGGCAATTCTGGTTCCTCTTCTCTTTCCAGCAAATTCTTAGCTAGCTCAAGAAGTTCCTGCCGATTTTTCTCATACATTACCTATTCATTAACAAGTTAATCAATAACTTTAGGGAAGATAACTCAGTCTCGATTTCAAAACTTTGGCTCATTAGTTAACAAACAAACAAAATTCGGGGGCAGACTCGCAAATAAGTAGGAAAAAAAAAACAGAACACAAACAGAACAGAAATAAACTTACCGCGATGAACTGGGAGAGGATAAAATCTGGTAACCAATCGACGAACGTTAAACCGGTGTGCATAGAGATCTTAATCAACATCCTTAGATCCATCGGAGTTTTAGGAACCAGAATCTCCGAACAATCTCCGCCGTGTTTTTTCATCTCCGCCGTCTTCTGCTGCTGTGTAAATCCCACTCCACTGCTCACGATCACCAGTTTCTCCACCATCTCCGGCCAAATCTCCGCCATTTTATACGCCACGAATCCACCGTAGCTTATCGAATACACCGAGACCCCTCCTCCTTCGACGCAACCCAATTTCTTCAATCCTCCGGCGACGCTCCTCGCCTGAATCTCAACGCTCCGATCCGAATTCTTCGAGTAGGATTTTCCGAAGAAGACCAAATCAGGGATGAATATATTAAACGATTTCGAGAGATCGGAGACTTGATGAACGAACTGCCATTTGGAGTTTCCTCCGTATCCGTGAAGCATGACGAGATTCGGCCTGGAGATTCTGCGGTGGCCGGAGATCCAGAAATGAACGGTGGTTTCTCCGTCGTCTAGATCGACGGTCACGGGTCGGAGATCGCAGAAAATCAAGAAATACAGAGATAAGAACGAATCGGCGAGCTTGATGAGTATGGGAAAATCGAAGAAACACGAAATCAGGCTTTGAAAGAGAGTGAGAGCGATCAAGAGGTAACGGCGAAAGAGATGAACGAGTTTCATGGAAGCCATTTGTTTTGCGGAGATCTTTTTTTTGTTTTGCAGAGAAGGAGGTGTGGCGAGAGAGTGTGCTTTTAAATTTGAAACAAGTTTTAAACCGGTCTCGTTTAGTTCGGTTCTGTCCGGTTCGTTTTTTTTTATAATGGATGTCGTTGATTTAAATCTTGCTTCAAACGTGGCAAAGTGCATGTTAAGTGTTTCGACATCTAATTTTACAACCTTAGCTGCCCTCTGTTCAATTTTAGTTCTGTTCTTTATTCAAAACAAATTAACAAACAAAATCTAAAAATTAAACAAATTAATGTGTAAAGAAAAAAATACGAAAATACAAGAATATCTAAGTCGAGCTTATTATTATTACAGCTTTTTCTTTTGAACAAAAGAAAAAATAAATAATGTTATTCTAATGATTCCTCGCGTGAGAGCCACTGGTCCCAATTCGATTTAGGTCACTTGCTCTGGTTTGATAAATCTCAAGTTAGATGAATCTGCATGCATCGTTGGATCAGGATCAACCAAACAAAGACAACAATCTTTTGCCCGCTGGATCTTTCTTGCCAACTTAAAAGTGCCTAGGTTTCTCTACCAACTGAAATGGTAGTTTGAGAAGATCCAAGTTAGGTTAAAACCCAAGAATAAACCTGATCGTGACTCTTGAATTCCCAAAAGGAACAAATCATCTCGGCGCTTTCATGGCAACGTGAAATTGTTACGTCTATTTACGTGTGTGAAGATAGTTTGAGATCCAAGGTAGGTTAGAACCCAAGAAGCCATACCAAAACTCAGGCCCAAGTGAAGATTATATTGAGAGAATGCAATATTCTCGGTTTGCACTAGCAAAGTTCCGAAAACAAGAAAGAAAAAAAAGTTGATCATACAAAATTTGAATATACCACTGAAAAGACTGTAAAATTTTGGTTTGGTGGTTATTGCCGTGTTTGCTTGTTTTAGTTGAATGGGTGAATATGCCAAGGATTTGAAAGCATTTGATAAGTGAGGCAGTGAGCTACCGTGAAATCTCAAATTTGATATATATATTTTTGGTTTTGATTAGAACTTTCTTAATGAACTTGAATTTGAAGCTACCGTAAAATGTTAATGAAATTTAAATTCACGATGGTATATATCTATTTAAGAAAAACTGTACCTTATATTCTTCAAAATTTGAGGATATATATATAGCGACTTCTACATCTATAATATCCTCATTTTTAGAATTTCGTTTTTATATAGATACACTATTAGGCACACCTCTACACGTGACCCCAGGTTCAGAACTCGGAACCAACAACTCATATGGCAACACACCGGCCCCACACCTATTTCTACGGTCAGGATCAGTGTTCCTTTTCTCAATCTCTTTTTCTATCCGTCCGATCTCCGCCGCAAATCCATAAAACGCATCAACTATCTCCTCATCTCCGGTCCAAATCGACGGCTGTTGTCTCTCCCCAATATACTCTTCATCCGGCGAATGCGTCGATAAAGTATCGACCACCGCCATAAACTTCGACGTCTGCAACAAACTCGGCATCGACGAGAAATAAAACTTCTCCGGGTCGGATATAAAACTCGCGTACTCCGGATCCGACTCGTCGGGGATCAACCGCCGCATCAACGGCGGTCGGTTCGGAACGTAACCGCCGTAAGGATATTGGCCGAAATTGAGAGCGGCGTGTTGAGCAGAGGCGAGCCAGATTATGGTGGTGATGATCGAGACGAGGTCTTCGGCGGTGTTTAACTCCGGCCACCACTCGGCGTCACGGAGATCGGCGTGGCCAACGTTGATTGATTCAGAGTACCATGATTGGAGCTCCGAGTCTGTTTGGATTAGGTTCGGGTTCGGGTAGTAGCGATCCACGTAGGTTCGGACCCAGGTTTGGATTGCGGACCATAGTAAAAGGCCGTCGTTGGCGTATGGATAGTCTTCGATTAGGAGTTTAAGCCCATGTGGCTGTGTTGGGTCAGGAATTGCCACTCCTCTGAACAAAACCAAAGAAAAAAACATTAAGATAATTAGATTCAATACAATAATAAAAACAGCTGCTTATGAATTGAAATACTGTAATTCTAAGACTAATAATATCATTTGTCTAATTATAGTGAGCTACAATTAATACCTGCGAATGAGATCGGCAGGGAGGCCTTCCATGTCGAACCGCCAGGTGCTTTTGTAAGCGGCGGCGCTCATTTCCATGCCGTATGAGCCAGCAGTGAAGCCACCTTCAATCACACCGTCTGCACTGATCAACGACTGTCTAGCCAGTGCATTGATTTCCAACGTGTACCTCATGTGCGGATCCAATAGCTTGAATATCGGATGCATTGCGCTCAATTGCCTATGCGCGGCTAATATGAACGGCTCCAAGCACGCATGTGTTCGTAACCTTTAATCAAACCAAAAAAATTGTCAATAACTCTAACTCTATATTCATGCACTACTTTTTAGACTAATGTTCAATAACATATGTTTTGAGGACTCACCAGTGATTAACAAGTTGGTGGACTCCAGCATCGTTAGAGCTAACGTGGGCTTTAGCGAGCTGCCACACCCAATTGGAGGTTGCATCGACCGGAGGTGTGACCACGCGTTTGGATCGATGGTTCGGACTATGTGGAGGGAGGCTTAGCTCGATGGCTACAGGCTTAAGTGTTCCATGACGAGTCAAGAAAAATATGGTACGAGTAGCATAAGCTTTGCGTCCATCTAGAGCATTGATCCGGTCTAGGAACGGTAAGTATATGTCATGGTAGTCCAACATATACAATCTATTCTCTTCCAATGCCTAAAAAATAATTAAGCAAATAAAAGTTAGTTATTATCAAATCTCAAAATTTAGCTAAATACTTAATTAATCCAGTAATGCAGATTTGTTATAGTATAATAAACCGTACTTGCTGTACGGACAAGCCGTCGAGATGTCCGATGATGTGGTCGGAAGTGAGAGCGGAGTGCTGTGGACCATAGATTTCAGGGTCAAGATTACTGACCGGTGGGAAGGTTTTGACCCTCTCAATGTTGACCGGATTGATTCCTGCTATGGCTTGACGTGCGAACTCGTCATCTCTTAGCCAGGCGTTTTTATCCTCTGCATTTGTTTTTTTTTTTCAAAAATCAATTTGTTAATAACATTGTAGTAATATAAGCGTGTTGCGGTTATGAATTAAATAAGTGCAAACGCGCCTTTGCTGTTCACAAACTAATATATAGTACTAATATATATACTGTAATTGGCACGAGCGTTATAACGACTTAACAAAAAGCACGTGAAACATATGGTCCGTTTCTGTACTCATCATTTAGTGGGTTTTGTTTGGAACGATATACTTTTTCTTTTTTAATGGGATGAAATTTTCATAATGGGTCCCAATTATCAAAGATATTCGCCTAAAAACAATAACCTAATAAATTAAGGTTAGTTAAACGCTTGGAAACATTTAGGCGGGCTATTTCTATGACATAGTTTCAGTAAATAAACAAAAAAAACAGATGTTGAAGGATCTTATAAATTAAGTGTGCTTACTCGATAATATTTTGGGAATGTCGTATTTAAGGAGTCCTTTAGTAGATTCTTGGAGGGTATTAACGATGACCTTAGGCAAAGGGAACTTGTTAAAGATTTCATCTTGAAACCCTAACTTGAGTAGCAAGCCTTCTTTATAAAGTCCATCGATCTCACCGAAGTCAGCAAAGTCCTCAGCTAAAATGCTGGCTTTAAGCGACGGAACTAGATGGTGTAAGACCGCTTTTAACCTTCCTGCAGCGAAAGTGTCCTGCTTCGTCTCTTCGAACTGCTCATCTCGTGGCACGTACATGGGTAATGGCTTCTCCACTCGGCTCTCCGCTTCTTTATCTGTAAACAATGCAGATAAACATATATTAGAGACATTTTTTCATAACTAAAATCCGAAAGAAGACATATATATATAGTATTAGAGATTCAAGTCTACTATCTCTAGTAATGTGTACCAGTATCAGTTGAATGGCGGCCGGTACGACATCGTCGAGGATAAGGAATCTGTTTGCCGCCGAGTTTCGGGCGAGAGAGTTCAGATGACTTGTCGGGATTTCCAAGATCGTTGTAGACATCAAAGTCATAAATCCTGTCTGATAATTTCCTCACTCCACTCCCATCTCCTCTTAGACTCTTCAACTCTTTCTCCCTCAGTTTTCTTAATCCACCAGGTGTCTCATTCGGCAGATACGGCTGCAAACAAAGTTTACATGATGACGTTATATATAATATATATATATATATATTTGGAAGTTGGATATTATTTAATTAATGGACCCACCATGACATAAATATTGAAGAAGGTTTTGAAACTAATCAGTGTATGTAATCAATTCGTGTGCGATAGAAAATGACGTGTCTTAATGATTTGGGGGCCATGATTAATCAGTTTAATTAAATTAGTTACCTGATTAGTAAAGAAGATTCGTTTCTCCGGGTGATCCTTTTGGGACTGAACCCAAGAATTGCATGGAAAGTGAACAGGGCCAAGTGCGAAACCTTCGATGGTTATGCTCTCCAGGAAAAACTCTTTCTGGTGTTTATTCACCACGGTGATTGCTCCCGGCGAGCCAAACGCTGCGTCCACCGTGAACTCCGCCGTGTAATGAACTCTCTCCGCCTTCGTTTTCGATTTCTTTGACCAATCCTTCAAAACCGCCGCATTGCTCTTCTTCGGCATATTCGTTTCTGTTTCAATCGAAGGGATTGAACTTAGTTTTCTTAGTATTCGAAGAATGATCACAAGATTTGAGACTGACCCATTTTACAGGAATCATCCCAGATATTAAAATTTTCCTTTTTTTCGATTTTTTTTTCCTGAGAAAGTATCTGAAGGCTCTGTTTTTTATTTCAATCGAGTTAAAGAAGAAGTGACTTACTTGGATCAAGCTCGGTGCTAATAAGCTCAAGGACGATGTTTCGACCGATCTTATCAGCAAAAGCATCCAAATGTTTAGCAAGAGTCTCTTTGAAATCCTCCTTGCTCTTGTTCCTCACCGTAACCACAGCTCTCACCTTGAATTTCACCGCCGCTTTCTCCTCCTCCTCTCTCTTTCTGTCTCCGGTTGTTGTGGTAAAACGCAGCGTTTTTACCAAATCATCGCTTATGGCCGCAACGACGCCGGATTTGGATTTTCTTGGTCTCCGATCAAAAGGCTTGGTCGGGAATTGTATTGTCTGTCTCTTCTTGTTGAAATGTGACGCAGACGAAACAAGTGATGACCTTTCTGAGATCAGAGGATAACCCATTAACTCTTTAGCTAAGGCCATCACAGTAACGTAATCAAATCGATTGATTGATGTGATTAGTATTAAATTGAGTGAATCTTGTGGGTTTGTGGTCTAGTATTGGTGTACAAGAAGAAGAAGTCTCGAGGATCTATTAGTTTCTGTACATTCTGGTTACTAATAATCGGTAAGTGAGGGATATATATAGAGAAAGATAGAAGCAATTCCTTGCCGTCTACTCGTTTTTGTTATTTGGACTATTGTCCACACAAACGTCATATTTCCCTTTATTTTTTTCCTTTTAGAAAATGTGAATTCTCAGCACATGTTCACTTAAGCTCTATATTCTTTCTTTCTTTTTTGTCAACAAGCTATTTTCAAACTGATTACTCTTAAATCTTAATGTGATGTTTACTTCTTCTTCTTTTTTTTCTTATGATATACTTTTCATGATAAATGTCTTTCTTTAAAATGTTAGAAAAGACGTGTTATGATATTTAAATCATACAATGTAATAACGTGAAAAGGAACATTACGTTGTTTTTACGTGGCGTATAGTAATACTACGTACTATTTGTCCACTCCAAAACATGTTAATTAAATTTTTTAAACCTGAGTGTCTAAGAGTGAAAGGTGTTACTTTCTTACCTTTTTTTTTGTTATTGTCAATATGATATTTTTAGAACGGAAAGATCCCCAGACCAAACTCAGACTAGTTGAGTCTTTTTTGTTGTTTAAGCATTTATAGTAGCTGATAGTGACAGTGATTGAATTTACAGTGATCAAATTCGAAGTATAAACTTATTTTTCAAAAATTAATTATTACCACAAATTAGATTATCATTCAAAGTTCTACTTATATTTTTTCGCCAACAAAAAATTTTAATCATGGGTCTCTTAAGTTTGTAACTTTTACTAGACGAAAAAACATGTCTGTTGTTTTAAAAAAAAAAAAGGAATGAAAAAGGTGGGGTTTACTGAGTCAAACTGAGTTCCGAGTCTGACACGACGCGTACTCGCGAAGTAAAAGGCAAGGAAGCATAGGAGAAACTCCGACCAGAACGTCCTAAATTACTATTTTACACTTTCCTAAAATTAGCCATGGTCGTCGTTTGGAGAAAGTTGACCATTTTTTTTGACAAAGAAAATTTTATATTTAGAAAAGAAAGTTGACCATTCCCTTTTATTATAAAGTAACCAAAGCCACGAGAAGTATATGAATAATTCGACAACTATGCCTTTGAAGATCGGTTGGTCATAATATTGAGAAAAGAAATAACAAGTGGGTTTTGTAGTTTCGATTAACTTTTTACAAATAAAGTTAAACTTACCAGAAATACATGGGACATAAATGTACTTGATGCTTAAAATAAGTACTACGGGATCAAAAAATACCATTTATTATTTCAGAAAATTCTAGAATTTATTAATCATCATTTATTATTACTAAAAAGTTATGACCATTTTAATTTGAACTATAATATCTTCGGACGGTAGAACATAATATATATCGACACAAAGAACATAATAAATAATTTTAATCTATTCTCCAACTATCAAAACTTCAATTTCGTGATTTTGACGCACACTCCCACTTCTATTACACCAGTGATTACATATAATGGGCTAATCGATTCATTGTTATACATATGTTGATTGGTTTCTACAATGGAGTATTTGTCCACCCATATAGCTAGTGATTTAGGTTCAGATACTGCTAGTCTAATTACATTCGACACGTGTACTAATAATTAGGCTATTTTAAATTTAAAAACTTGTCAAATATAAATTTAAATGTAATGTTACGTTCAAAACAAATTTGATTTGGTCTCCAATCCAACAATGATATATGATTAACAGAATTATGCAAAAAATGTATACGTTAGTTAGGGGAAACTGTGTAGTATGCATAATGGGATCGATGAGAAAACGTATCTATTGAAAACAGAGGCTTGACTGAGCACATGCTTCAAAACCAGAAGAGTTAAATATTTTTTTGGGGCCAATTTTTCAAAGTTTAAGTTAGTCAAAATGGTTTGTAAATAGGTAAAAACATCTTTGGTTAAAGGTTTTCCTGAGTTCATTTCTTTCCAAACGCATATTTATCAATTTTTCTTCTTTTCATCAATTATTTGTGGGTTAAAAAGAGTTTTAAGGGACCAATTTTTTTTTGTCGCTTTAGTTAGAAAATTCCCAAAGGCACGACTCTGATTGAAAATCCAGGTCTATTTTGATGGCAGAGGATTCTGTTGTATATGATTGAGCGCGGCTTCTAAAGCCAATTCCTTTTGTAGCTCGCACCGTCCATCAAGATTACCGCTAAAATAAAAAATCCAAGAACTTTACTGAATAAGTAAATGTAAGAATACAAACAAGAGAACAATAATCTACTAGTAACTAAAGTAGTTAAAAAGAGTCATCATAACTTGAAGATCTAAACTTTTTTTTTCACTATAAAAAAAAATACCTATATCATAATTTATTTATTTTAAAACAAAAAATTTTGAGCGATGCTTTTCTGGGTAAATGGTTAATGAATTCATAAATTCATGATGTTTTTTTTTTTTTTTGAACAGTTTTTATGAACGACGTTGTAATTTCAATTTGATTGTCAGCTTACGTTGACAATAATTGTGAAGGCGATTTATAAACGAAAGAAAAAATCCACAACTCAACTACTTTTGCCCATTTGCCACCTAAAAAACTTTTATATACTTTTATATTTACGTGTATGTTCAAACGCTAATATAATTCCAGAATAATTCATAAGCTCTGCATTCTGTCACGGTAGAGTTATAGATGAAAAAAAAGTAATACATATAGAGAAGTCTATTTATTAGCTTCCCTACCCAGTCTCTCTCTCTCTCTATATATATATATATGTCCTTCTATATCCTTCTATTCAAACTCCAAGATTTTCTCCTTAATTTGAGCCTCACCGAGCTATTATACCATCCATTTAAAATGATATGATATGGTAATACAAGGCAAACTGATCTTTTTTAAATATACTAAGTATTTGCACCGTCCAACTAAACATCTATGTGCCTTTTCAAACGGGACATCTATGTGATTTGGTATCAGAAAAAGAATTCAAGTTTTTTTCTTTTTGTCATACTAGTATACTACATGTCAATATCGATTTAAAACAAAGCACAACAAAATTAGGAGATAATGGTGGACCTTTTTATTCGAATGCTACACGAATAAGACATCTTTGTGAATTTCGATCGGCCCATGAATCAATCCAATCTAACGGTCATTTGACCGTTTGTTTATACATTTTTCATTACTAGTTATGTTTGGACTTTGAACGTTTAAGTATTGAAAGTATTTCTTTAGCTAACATTTGTTACTTTACGTAATCAACATTACTCGTTAAAATGGAGTAATTTTCAATACTTACACCTAAATATAGTTCAATTTTTTTTTTTCAAAATCAGTAAATTAAAGAAATGGAACATGGGTAAGAGCTTACATAATTACATCTAGATTTTTAGTTAAGAGTGTTTTGTTGAGCAAATCATTAAAGTTTAAATGTTTAATCAAACTGAAAACTAGAAAGGGTTTTTGTACTAGTTAAAATTTGGAACCGTCTACTAGTTATCTCCGAACCAGAAAACCAATTGAGACTTTTCAATTAGTACACGGTTCTAATGTCTATCACGAGGATCGCTCGTGGCACTTTTTCTTGGTTCATTGTTTGTATTTAATTGCAACTGTATAATAGATTGGATAATGGATAATTATTGTAAGTCTTGCTCTGTTTCTTAAAATTGTGACACTCTAATCTGGGTGTTTGATATATATATAGAACCTGACAATTCTATACTAATCAAATGAGCCAAGAAGAAGATTACATAAAGGGTTATAAGGAAGGAAAACTCAAAAAAAAAAACATTACAAAGCATATGTAATGATCCTTCATGAAATTAACTTATTGGCAATGTTTAGATCAAAGAACCAATTACTATATGGTGTGAAAGATCTTTTATTTGTTTCATGATAGCTTTGAAAGAGATTATTTTACTGATAAGTGCATTATATTTATTTTTTGCTTACGATTTGCTCAACTTTTTCTTATTATTTGCGTAAAATTGTTTGCTGATTAAAAATATATTGTTGAACGCTCATTGAAACATCTAACTATTTGTGATAACCTTTTGATAATTTCCTTGGGTCACATTCAAATGCAATGAAACTATTTTTTTCTTCTAATGATATGCTATACACTAACGCATAAAATCAAATGGGCAAAAAGTAAGTCAATTTGACCAACTTATGGAGACAAGAGAAATGTCTAGCGACTAAAATCAAAACTGAGTCTGATGCGAGAAATGAAGCATTCAATATATTTCACAACGTGGCAGATCCATCATCACATTTGGTATTTGATCAGGCGTATATATGTGTTAGCAAAATCATGGTTGAAGTAATTCTATATATTTTTGTAGGCTTATTGGCTTGAAAGATCTCAAGCGATTCTTTCAGAACGATGAGCCTTTGAAGACTTTGAAACTCTTCCAAAGAACGTATGAGGCTGAAGCGAATATCCAAATCAGTCTGTCACGTCTAGAGGACTGGATGGTAATCTTTCAACTTTCAACTTAAGCACAAACATTAACGATTTTTAATTTTTTTTTCCTTTACATATGTACATAATTCATTGTATGATACTTTTCAGGTTCATAATTTCAGACGTCATAAGTACCTTCTTTTGTCGTTGGAAGACATGGACGCAGCATCCAAGACAATCGGCACCATTTTCAGCACCGTACTTGGGATCCTGCTCTGTTTGCTTTCCATACCACTTCAAGGATGGGACGGAGTAAAGTACTTGACATTCTTTCCCACCAGCTCTGCAGTCATCACATACTTATTCGGACTGATTTGGAAGGAGTTGTTCTACGCCATGCATCTGTTGTACATCAGGCACCCTTTTGATGTTGGCGACATGGTTGAGATGACAGATATCCAGGTAAACTAACAAAATCTTCTAACTTTGTTTTTAAATATCATTGCCATTTATTCAACTACATTGAGATTTTTCTTTTGTTTGTTTCTTAATGTGTGGTGTTTCTATGTAGATGGTTGTGGAGAAGCTAAAGGTGAATGAGACAATTTTCATAGGAAGGGACCGAAAGAAGCACACATTTGCCAACTTCAAAATATTTGAGGAGTTGATTACGAACATCAGCCGCAGTGAGCTGCCAGCCTGGAGGATAGAGGACACGGTTTGACTTTCCGTGAGATTGAAGGCCTTGTTACTGTGAACTTTTTCACTTTCTTGTTCTTAATTTATTTCTAGATTGTTGGATGTGAGTCTATTCTAAATGGAGTTTACTTTGTTTGTCACATATACTCTCTAATGGTTTCTTGACTTTTCTTTTCATAAAACCCTTTATGCAATCTTCTTATTGACTCCTTAGTATAGAGCTCTCAGATTCTAAATTATATTTTCTCTCTCTCTCTCTCTATATATCTCTCTCTCTATATATATTAAACAACCAAAGAGTGTCACAATTTAAGAAACAGAGCAAGACATACAATGATTATGAATTATCCAATCTACACAGCCGCAATTAACATACAAACAATGAACCAAGATAAAGTGCCAAGTTCCAGCTCAGCAATGGCACTTATCAGTTCGAAACCTCTTTACCTTCCCCAAGCCTCAACTCTCGTGTATAGTCCTGAATAACAGAGGAAGTTGAGTCAAAAAATAATTCTACAACCAAGATACTAATGCTAAGTAGGTTGAATCGAAACTGAGGAATGTATAAGACCCAGGTTAGTGTTAATGTTGACTACAACCAATGCCTATAATCAGGGCCGGCCAGGACTTTAGGGCGCAACATATAATAAAACTTTTTGGGCATCAAGTTTTACAAAGATAGTTGTAGTGTAGTGGCAGTTTACAATTTTTAGACTTAGAGGTTAATTGTTCAACTCATTTTCTTGTGATTGGGTATAATATTTTTTTTTTTTTTTTTTTTTGCTTTAGGCAATATAATTGAATGGGCCGGCCCTGCCTATAATGCTAACAGCAGTGCCATTGGTAAAACTAACATGAGCATTGGAGCGGGAATAGAAAGAAGAAGAACGGGATTTCTCATATGTTACATGATTGCGATCACCCAAGTTCCAGCAGTAATAAGATCTGACGGAGCAAGTTTCAGTAGATAATAATGATGCAGCAAGAAGAAGATGAATCATACCAGAGATTTGACATATTGCCAGATGCAGGGGATGCAGCTGATGTTGAACAGACCTCCTGTGACACATTTTGTTGCTGATCCTGTAACTAACTGCTGAAGTATGCAACCAAACCCTGAATCTGATCCTTAGATAGATTGCAAGTGAGATGTCACAACCTCAGAGTGACTGGAATGAGAAGGAGCAGAAGTCATAGCCATGTTTGCAAATACAACAGGCTTATAGTGGTACTGTGATGGAGCAAACTTCTGTTTAAACTTGTAACCTTGGGGAAATCTATGTACTTTGTAACATTTTCCCACAGCATTGCCACAATGAGTACAGATAGGAGAAGGTTTACGAAACTGGTGCTGATAGAAAAGTATACGAGCATCAGGTATCATGAGAAGCCTGAAATGTAGCTGGCGGACAAGCAAAGATAAACGAGCATTCTGTTGAGGATCACCTTGATCCAAGAGACTGAGTTTAATTGGAGATAAATATTATATCATTTTATATAGATACAATTGTATTGTTTTTTGTACTCCTATGATTCTTGTAGTGATTTTCTATATTATAATGGAATCTTTTTGAATTTTGGTCAACTGATCGTTTTTGCTTTATATATGCCAGTCAATTGTAGTAAGTCCATTTTGATGATAAAAATCAAGAAATCTTCTTGAAGGGTGCTTCATTTTTTAAGGTGATTTTTTTTTTTTAATTTACAGAATTATATCTAGTTTTCTATATGTTTTGTTTTATATCTAGAAAAAAAGTAATAAGGAAACATATATAGAATATTTTTGGAATATATTTTTGAAGAATGAAAAGAATAAAATTTTCTCTGTGACAGAATCTTTAAGGAAAAATGAACAAACTGCTCTAAGGAGTCAAAGCTAAATCCACATTCAAAGTTATTAATTTATGAAACAATCGTAATTCAATTTCTTAATTAGGACATGATTCTTTTGTTTTTGGTAAAATAAAATTGAGGAGTTTTTTCAAACAAAAGTTTGTGTATATATATTCGATGTTTATCTCAAGCATGCCTCCCTTCATCTATACAAGATATATCGGAAAAAGAGATCTGCATAAAAGTAAGATAACTTGAAGAAAGAAAATGAGAATCATGAAGTCTGTTGTGTTGTTTACAGTGGTTGTGCTTCTTTCCAACTCATGTGAGTCTTAGTTTCTACTATACTGAATCTAGGTTTAAATTTCTTTCATGTAGTACTTTAATTTCTTATTAAAATCATTTTGCAGGTATTATGCAGGGAGATATGATTAGGAAGGTGGAATCAGTGAGACGTTTGATGGAATCTAAGGACGTTAATACTTACAACACTAATTCCATAATTAGTGAACACTGTAAGACCCTAATTAAATGTCTTCCCTACTGTGTTTTTAAGAAAGGGATGTTGAACTTCAATTGCGTCGATGGCTTATGCGTTTGTCAATCATAATGTAAAACAAAAACAAGAAAAAACGTTTAGGTTTCACTGATATAAATAATACATTCTACTATACTGAATCTAAGTTTAAATTTCTTTCATGTAGTATTATTCTTTAATTTCTTATTAAAATCATTTTGCAGGTATTATGCAGGTAGATATGATTAAGAAGGTGGATTAAGTGAGACGTTTGATGGAATCTAAGTACGTTAATACTTACAACACTAATTCCATACTTAGTAAACACTGTAAGACCCTAGATGAATGCTTTCCCTACTGTTTGTTTAAGAAAGGGATGTTGAACTTCAATTGCATCGATGGCTTATGCGTTTGTTATTCATGTTAATGTAAAAGAAACGTTTAGGTTTCACTGATATGAATAATACATTCTGTTTCATTGTGGAATCTTATCGCAAATTGGAAGAAAGACGTTTCTAAAGGATGTTGCATTTGCCCTTCTCACCTACACATGGCTTGCTTTCAACTTAATTTTCTTCCAATACAAACCTCTCATCACTTAAATACTAACTTCCATTAAAATCAGCACAGACATTCATGAAATCTCAAATACCAATCAACGCTTAGAGTATCAAAAATGGCTTACAACAACAACAATAAAAAAGTTACGTACAAATTAAGTTATTAAACAATAAAAAGGGACATTGGTTTTTGGATCGACAATCGCAGAAATTACAAGTAGGAAACATCCTGCAAAATAGCTTAAAACCAATGTAAACAAACTATCAGGTCTAATTGGATACTTAATGCAATCCGTCAGCTGATATTTATCGATGTCTTTAATTTGAGGCAAACACAAGCAACAAATGCATGCTATTACAGTTCGTTGTTTAAATTTAAAAATGATGATGGGCCTAAATTTAAGTACGTTAATTGGCCCAAATTGAGAAACGTAAACGGATTTTAGCCCTTTTAGGGAAGATAGTTCGAATCGTGGTTTGAGTATCCAAACGCGCGTTTCTAAGTTTTCCGACAGGAGGAGAAAACTGGACCGTCATCGCCAAAACTCGCCCGACTGTAACCGCCGCGTTTCTGTTCTCCTATCAAGCTTATGTCTGGATTCTCAGATCAACTACTGTTCCTCCTCCTTCTCGTTTCTGTCTCCTTATCGCCGCCAGTCAGGTGAGCTAGAAAGGCTTGGGTTTCTATTGCTAATTGTCATTTGTATGATTAATCGTAGCTTATCGGTTTTTCTCTAAACTCAATTGGAATGGATCTGCGAGTTGGGTTTCAATCCAATTCGAAGCTCTCTTGCTCTAAATCTCAACCCCGCCGGATGAATCTCGTGGCTGTTTAACTTCCAAATTTCATTGTTTGAACTTCCCTCGATCGATGTTATTTCCGATTTGATGTGATGAAAACTGTTAGGTGTTTAGGTAATGGAGGAAATGGAGGAAATGGTAAAGAGAGAACATTGGCTATGATAAAACCAGATGGAGTCTCTGGTAACTACACTGAAGAAATCAAAAGGATCATTGTCGAGGCCAGTTTCGATATCGCCAAGGAGATGCTTACTCAGCTGGACAAGGAGACTGCGTCTGCGTTTTACGACGAGCACTCGTCAAGGAGCTTTTTTCCTGATCTTGTTACATATATGACAAGGTGGGTAAGTTTTTGGTGATAACCCACATAACTTTTCTTTGCCTTTGTCTGCTTTTGCTAATATGTCTTTGAAATTAGTGGTCCGGTGTTGGTGATGATACTGGAGAAGACGAACGCTGTTTCTGATTGGCGTGGTTTGATCGGCCCAACTGATGCGCAAAAGGCTAAGATATCTCACCCTCACAGGTTTGATTTGCTCCCAAAGACTTCCTTTTTTGCTGCCTGTCGATGCTTTGTGAGTTTATTATTCTCTTTGTTTGTTGGTAGACTTTGCATACACGATGTGAGGCTAAGTTGGGGATAGTCGTTAGCTGTATCATTTAGAAATCATTCTTTTGTCTTCTTTATGAATCATTGGGTTACTCTACCATCATATATGTATCCTTGTTCTTGTAGCATCAGAGCATTATGTGGTACGGACCTGCAAAGAAACTGTGTGCACGGCTCAGATTCAAGATCATCAGCTGAGCGAGAGATCAAGTTTTTTTTCGAGGATGTAGTTTCAGGTTTAGTTTCTTCCTCACTCTTGCTTCTTAAACTCTTCCTCGTTATTTCACTCAGTATTACTTGGTTATGATCATTGACCAGCCAAATTCATTGTAATGTCAGGTGACATTGCTTCTCAACATGATGAACTATAAGAAAAACCGATACAGGTTCTTCAAACTCATGTATGTTTCATTACTTCAGCTTTGGATTGTAATCTTGTAACTGTTGGTTGATTGGTTATAATTTGGATTGAACTTTTTAACTTTTGCCATAAGCAAATTATTTAGACTAGGCAAGGGAATTTATCCTTAGTTGTATCAACATATTTTGGGACGAGAGCTATTATATCACCAAAATTCCAATCATAAGGACATCAGCCAAAGCTTTGTGCAAACAATACATCTCTATTACTTTTGTTCTGCAACTCAGGCCTAGCCCAAGTAAGTGGAGAAGATGAGCAAAGGCCTATTAGTTATTTATGGTCATTCTGATATAATTTGTAAAGAGTAAATAAATAATTAACAAAAAAAAGTAGCGTAGAAAGGGAAGAGAGAAAACTTTCCGAAAATAGAAGACTTTAGTCCCGAAATGGAAATCCTTAGTAAGTGACGGAAACGTTAACAAAACACATAAAGGCCTCGTCGCTAACAATGCTCACGTGCTTCTCCTTTCTTCTTTCTTCGTTTCTTGTGAATTTGTGATCTCGAGAACTTTCTCTCTTTCCATCACTTTTAATAAGTAAATTAAACCAATTTTCTGTAATTGACGACTAGAGTGACGAGTAGGATTTGGACCAATCCATTACCAGTTCGTTTTCCATGCTGGGGAAATTTAGTGTCCAATCCGGTTAAACCGATAATATGCGTTGAACTGAAACAATGAGAGAAAATTAACTCAAAAACCAAACTTAAAAGTTTTTTTCCTCTTCAATTCGAACAAACTGTAATCAAAACCACGAATTAATAGACCAAGGAAAACTGAAAATATGTAGCATCAAATTGAGGCGACTGATAATCCAATTTTAGTATATTTTTAAAACCTGCAAACATAAAACCTATGGTATCTAAATCTGACTACATTGAAACCCAGATTAAACTTCTCATACTAATAAATGCGTAAATCATATAATACCAAAATGGTCCAGTTAAGATTTTATATACTCTCTTGATTTAAATTTTTTTAATTCATTATATCTTGTTGGTAGGGCTGGGCAAAATATCTGTTATATTTGATTCGATCCGTTATTCGTCTCGATTCGATCCGAAAAATTCGGATATCCGTAATTTTATGGAGCAAAGCAAATAGTAAAATTCAATATCCGTTAAAAACAGAGCAAATCACAAATACTAAAAAATATTAAGACGGATATCCGCTCTGCTCCGGTATAAATATATCTATATATAAAAATAGATAATAATTCATATAAAGTGTATAATTATTATATATATATGTAATTTTTGTGAGTTTTTGTTTATAAATTTTATTATTATAAATATTAAAACTTAATAAGTTCAGAAAAAAAATATTTTTTTAAGAAAATATTATCATTTTTAGCTAAATTTTGAATTTTTTAAATTTTTATTTTAAATATATTATTATTTAAATATTTTTATGGGGCGAATCGGATATCCGGCAAATATTCAGATTTTTGGCGGATATCCGGAAAACGGATATCCGGATAATTACAAAGCGGATACGATCGGAAAAGTGATTATCCAGACGGAGCGGAGCGGATTACGGATATCCCAAAATCTAGGATATCCGCTCCGCGCCCACCCCGTTTGTTGGTACTTAACAAACCATTAGTCGCATGCTGACGAATTGCGTGACGATTGAGAACATCCTTTAACAACAGAATAAATTTCATTATGTATAAAATATACATAATCTTCCCCAAAAAAAATGGAAATATTTCGAAGTCTTTCTAAACTATAGCAAAATAATTGAATTTAGATGCCTAACATGTGTACTGTTTGAAAACCACAAAGGCATCTTAAGAACTCCCTAGATTCTGTGTTAAATCACATTTTACAAGAGTTTAGGGAACGTATTAGCTATATAAACCACATACTAATCACTGTTCTGAGTGGTCCCTGATCCTAATTCTTGTCCCAATGCCCCCACTTAGGCACTTACTCTTAATTAAGAACATTTTTAATCAATTCTGTGTGCGTGGCAGTGTTATATCGCTACAAACATTCGTATTAATGTTTAACTTTATCTTTAGTAATTCTATATTTCGCTACTAAAGATACTGCTAAGTAAACTTTATCAAATGGCTTATTTAATTAAAGGATAGTAAGGAGGGAAAAAAAGGAGATACAAGAAAGAAGGTGGGAGAGCAAGTTGAAGTTAAAAGACAAAGTTTCATGGAGACCAAGAAAATGTTTGCTAATCCAATGATGTCAATTCATTCGGTAACATGCACTTCTATTGGACTTCAACGATCAAATATATTTTATTTATTTACATATCTTGTAAGCAAGTAGAAAGATTTCTTCGACTGATCTATATATAGTTGGGATGATTTTCATACATAAATATATCGCAAACAAAGACATTATCAAATATGTATTTAGAGTTGATTCCAAAATTAAACTCTGTAACCAGTATATGGTATGAATATGACCAGGACCACTAGATCTAAATATATGTCAAATCAAAATAGAAACATTATTTCGGTCCTAAACAAAACGAGAGTCTTAAATCTATTATCTTAGAAAGGCACTTTAATTTTGTTGAACTACAGACGACCTGATATTTATGTATTAAGTAGATAAGATCACGAGATAACTTCGTTTAAGCACTTGACCAAGTGTTCAATCAATATATCAATGTTAGACTCATAATTTGTTTTGTTTATTTAAAATCTCAACATATATGATAAATAATCCAAAAAAACACGTTTGGAAAGCCTAATTTCTTTTCTATGCAAGTGCCACAACCCGTTGAATTCTTAAGACAATGTGCTTCTTAAATTAAACAGTCGACTATCTTAATGTCGTTTATAATACCTTAGGTTTAACTTATCTTAAAACCATACCGCTTGTTCATAAAATTAAATTTACAGATTATAACTAATAGTAGAAGAAACCACAAATCCGAAACTCATTAAAACGAAGGAAATGTGAATCTCTTGGATTTGTTGCTTTATTTGATAGGTGATTCTTGTCTACCAGATAGTGATACACATATACAATAAACACAGTTTTCTTTAATGATAATCTATGAAAATTTATACCCTCGTCTAAAAATATATAATGGCCAGAAAAAGTCAATTCGACCTCTTTGACTTGGACCGACAGAAGGTTGCCAAAACAGCCTCTGTTGTCAGACACGTGTGCATCTCTTCTTATTTCTGAAATATCTGTATAAATCTACTAATTTACCGTTTATGTATATGACATGGCAATTTGTTATTGGATAAATGAACGTAATTGGGAGTGGAGTGAATGGGCCCACCAAAGTTTCCTTTATAATTCTCACTTTCCATCTGTCTAGTGTCTACCATCTCTACTGTTTTAAATTTTTTTGAACAAATACCATCTCTAATGTTTTTTTTTTTGTTTTCTGTAGAAAAGGTTCTAATGTTTCATACGTAAATATTTTATTAATTACGTTTAAATGTATAAATAGATTTCATAAACAGGTAAGCTTAACAAAAACAACTCTAATAATGAATATTTATTCGACGTCAATAATTTTTATTTTATTAAACTTTGAATGGCGGCCGGGCCGGCTAGCTAGTATGGATATATTCGATATGGAAAAACTTATTTAAAAAAAAAAATAAAAAATAAAAGACACTTGCCCTAAAAAAATAGTATAAGACACTTATTAAGACGGGTTAAAGACTTAAGGGAACATCGCACGAGCTATTTTCGTGGATTTTCGTTTTCGCTCTTTCTTTCGTGGACTCTTTTCCTTTAGATTGTTATGCCTTCTTTGAAATGAACTATAGCGCTATTATTTACCCAAAAAAAGAACTTTAACGCTTTACATTTTTTTAATAGTTTTCCCATACTATCCAAGACTATTGTGGATACATAATTATTGATGATCAATAATACATTGTATAGTAGACTTGTCTAAACTTGGATTTAACCGGCTTGTCTTTATTCTTGAATATGTTTCGACATTTGATTGCATGTTATGATACACGACACTGAACTGACACCAATTCCATCGTCTAGGTTAATTGCATTATTCAAAGCTAATATACTAACACGTAAAATCAATTACAATTAACTTTCATTTTCATGTATATCTAACAAATGTAATGTAGTGGTCTCGACTCTATCTACGACGAATGACGTAAATTTGTTACATTTCAAAGTGTGCAAATACTTCGTATAAGCCACGTATGGGCCATTTAGTCACTTGGACTTGAGTTTTGGTCTGGACGCTTCACCGTGGTCGATTTAAGAAAAAACTATTTGATAAAACACATGAAAATTTAGCTGGGCGCAGGTATGCAAAACTCTAATATGTGATGCTCAATGTCACACAATGTGTTAGGCAAATAAACTGTATTAATCTGCAGACCTATAATACCTACTGAACATAAAAATATATAAATAAAAACTTAAAACTTTGGGACGAGATAAAATAAGTTTAATTTCTTGGCTCACCTAGAAATCGAGTTGCTAATTAATACCTGATTCGAATGAAATCAAAAATAAAACGGCCTAAATAAAAATAATCGGAGCAAATCCATGGTTTAATTATTATGATTGTCTATTTATTTATTTTTTTGCTAAACAGTTATTATGGTTCTTTTATGCATTGTTTTACATATGCCCATATTAACGATGGTAATAGGAATGTGCTCGGAAACCAACCTCTATCGAGTCACAACAACAAACTTATGTAAAATAGACACAAGTGTATAAGCAATTAACAAAAATCAGGAGAACCCTCTCCGTGTCACCATAGTAACCATTCAGTGTTATGCATTTCTAGGGATTCAAGTTTTCTCGTTCTTAGAACTTCGACTGCTAAAATAGATCGAAACTTAGTCTATCTTACGTTAAGATTTCTCCACGGTGTATAAGCCAATATCAAAGCCGTGACGTTCTCTCCAAGACACGGGTTTACTAATATATTAAGTTTTTTGGGGGTTAATTTTTTCAGGTTAATATAATTAATCTGTGGCCCGTAGTCAAATGTAGAAGAATGTTGGTGGACTCGTTGGTTACGTGGGGATATGTGCATTAATATGAGTTGGTGAGTTGTATAAAGAAGCAACAGTGAGATAACATCTGAACACAAGATTACAAAAACCAGTTTAAAAAGGATTTCTTACTTCAAATTCTCTCTTTTAAGTAGTCAAAGTTTGGAACTTGAACACCATCAAATTCATCAATCTTACTCCAACTTGTCTAAAAATCTTATCTTTTTCATCTCTATAATAACCAATCTTGATTCCCCAATAACCCGAGTTCATACATATAATCTCTCTGTTACAGAAGATCGCCAAACAAACGAAAAGCATGAAGGTTTGTTTCATGATCCTTTGTATTTGGCATGATCATATATGCAGAATAAGTTTCCTTGATTATTATTTCGCATATGGTTTCTGAATTGTTTTTTGTTTTTTGTTTTTGTTTTCAGTTCTTCGGGTGGATGCAGAACAAGTTAAATGCGAAACAGGGGAATCAAAACAGAACAAGCATTTCCTCTGCTTGTTCTCGTAAGTTTTTTTTTACTTTCATAAAATCTTAACTTCAAGATTCTATTGTCTACTAGGGACATGTGCAAGCAATGCCCCAAGATTCCTGTCTCTTTCGAATTTTCTGTCTTAAATCTTGTTTTTGTACTTTATTTTGCAAGATCCTTGTCTTTGCTTCTTCAGTTTGATTGGTCCTCTGAAATTTTGTTGCTGTCTTAATTTTTTTTTTTTTTTTAGATCATGTGAAGCAAGAGCCAAGAGAGGAGTTTAGCGACTGGCCTCACGCGCTGCTCGCTATTGGAACATTCGGAACCACAAGCAACGGTGTGAACGAAAACAAGAGCAACAATGTTTGTGAAGAGATCGAAGCAGAGAAGAACTCTATTTCGCAATTCGAACAAGAAGAAGAGCCATCTTCATTTGATGATATTGGGGATTTTACTCCCGAGGAGGTTGGGAAGTTGCAGAAGGAGTTGATGAAACTCTTGTCAAGAACTAAGAAAAGGAAGTCAGATGTGAATAGAGAGCTCATGAAAAATCTTCCTTTGGATAGATTCTTAAATTGTCCATCGAGTTTAGAGGTCGAGAGGCGAATTAGCAATGCGCTTTGCGCTGTTGTGGATTCGTCTGAGGAGAATAAGGAGGAACATATGGAGCGAACGATTAACGCTATTCTAGGTAGATGCAAAGAGATATCGATAGAAACTAAGAAAAAAAGAGACATAAGCAAGACGTCTATCTCATATCTTTTTAAGAAGATATTTGTCTGCACAGATGGATTTTCTATATCCCCGAGCCCTAGCTTGAGAGACACGCTTCAAGAATCGAGAATGGAGAAGGTAAACAACAAAGTATATACAAATTAGATTCAAAGATTTATTTTATTTTATTTTTGTTTAATAGTCTCTGATCAAAATCAATCTACAGTTGTTGAAAATGATGCTACATAAGAAGATTAATAATGCTCAAGCCTCCTCGAAACCAACATCATCGACAACAAAGAGAAACTTGGAAGAAAAGAAACAGTTATCTATGAAGAGTGAAGAAGAAGAAGAAACCAACGAAAGAAGAAGTAGTAGCGACGGACATAAATGGGTCAAAACAGATTCTGACTGTGAGTTTTCATCGGGTCCTCCTCATTCATTTTTAGTAAAACCTCACTAATAAACAAGAGCTGATCGATTCGATCTTCTTTTGATTACAGTCATAGTTCTTGAGATCTGATCTTCCTTCAAGCCCTTGCAAGAATCTATTCAGAGTACAGGTAATTCAGACATACCAAGAGAATCTCTCTAGCTTCTATGTTTTTCTTTCCTAAAACTGATGTGAGGTAAATTGTTTTATCATTTACGCAGATTCAAACTCTTGGATGAGAAAATTCAAAAGAAATAATGAAACTAGTCGCTTATTCCTGAGCAAATTTTTGGTGCATCTACACTTGTATGTATACCTTCTTATTTTTTGCATGATTTGATCTGTGGGCATTTGTGTCCATAGAACCCAAACATGTTCTTGAAACGTACATACACGTGTATCAGAATTAATGTATACACATACATGCATGTGTGTATGTGATCATTTGTGTAATTTTAAGGTGGATAACCTTAACTCATAAAGATTAACATTTCTTCTTTATTACATTCTCTGTGCATTTGGTTCATTTATTTTGTAAGAGGCAAGTCAACTCTTGAAGAGAATAGTATAATTCTTCTAGTTTATCCTTCGTGTATCATATATTAGAGGTCCTAATCAAAAACCAAAAAAATATATTCTAGGATGAAAAACGCATATTCTAGCATGGTACGTTTTCACATAGTACCATGCGGCTAGGGACTTCAATACGATGGATTTGGAAAGCCATATGAAGCATACAACTCCACCAAAAATAAATATTTTGTTGATGTATCTCACTGCCTCTATGTGCAAGCTTATAATGCCAAACAACGCCGAAAATCCCGCTCATAAAGTGGCTGCTATCAGAGACCTCTTCAGAATGTTTTTGATACAAAGTAGTTTTCCAAGACTAGACCTCACTACGGGTGTTATTCATAATGTATAATATTTCTGGTCTTCCGTTCCTTGAAAGACTGTGTTAGTCAGGTTTTATTATATTTACAACTCTTGATTTCAGTACAACAAAAATACCCATACGTTAGATACATGTGTTAAGCAAATATATATATATATATATAATTATCAAATACATATATATAAGTACATGTAAAATATAAAATTAAGCAAAATATAAGTAAATTGATAATTATGTGACACAAATCAATTGTTTTTTAGTTAGAATATATTATTTTAAATATAAATATGGAACCCAAATTTCGTGGTTTTAAACCATTGCATAATCCAAAAGAACTTGAAAAGTGTACAATTAAGTAAAACATAAGCAAAATATTAGCAAAATATAAATAAAATTGATAATTAGAAAAAAGGATAAACTACTGTAGTTATACTAATCCAAGAGCGGGTGACCAAAATATATTCTATTGTCTTTCTCTTGGATTGGTAATAATTTCTCTCTAAGCCATACAACACTACTAGCTACAATTAACATACTAACTATATTAAATATAATTATATTAACCAAAATTATAAAGTTACTTATCAACTGTCTGACATAATTAACATTGTTGTATAGATTTTACAATCTTTCTCCAGAGTCTTAAAAACAAACTTTTTACCAATAAACAAATTTAGTAAAATATAACGAAATCTGTTTCCTAAATATAATTATGGGTTATTTTAGCCCAAAACTGCTGTGATGCTTGAGCCGAAGCCCATAATTGTTTTGACGTTTGTTTTTTTTTTTTTTAACAGCTGCTTTATATTATTAATGGGAAATTGCATAGTCATAGTTTAATACATCGGATACTACAAAATGAACATAGTCATAGAGTCATAGTGTAATACATATGTTAAATTGACTTAAATGGCTACAAGTAAAGTGGATAACGAGTTACCAACCCGGTTTAGTAATTATTGGTTCTATTTGATCGGTTCGATTTGCTTCGTCTCTAAAATTAAAGTGCTTTCTTTATTCTGTTTTTTTTTTTCCGATATCATTTTCCGGAACACGTTTTTTCTTTTGCATTTGTGAAAAGGGTATTTCGTTAAATTACGAGTTGAGCCATTAATTTGATTTTTGACCAAACTTATTAGGTGATATAAAGATTTGCCCTTTTCCTTGATATATAGGAAGTGGGAAAAACGCGAATCACACAAGACTGTTGCGAGTGCGCCGTTCAGATTGCGTAACGTGTCGTAATCTTAACGGATAATCTATTTAAATCACGTGTTCAAAATTTTGGTCGGGTCTGAGACAAAAGTCTGTTCTTTTGAATTTTTGTTTTCTCCACGAAATTTCGTAAGGGCCAGGAGTAGGACCAACGTGGCCCACATACTATTCAACGAATTGCCGTTAGGTCGTTAACTAACGCGAGGACTTTCGCATTTGTTTTATGTCTGAAGAGTTTCTAATTACGATGATGCCACCACGAGAATTTCTGGTGAGGTTTTTGTGGAAGGGCAATTTTGTATATATGAGAGCATCTTTTGGGCCCTTATACGACTTTTACCAAATCGGTTAACGGCGTTTACTAACGTTGCCATCGGTTCTGAACTCTTTTCTTCTTTTTATCTTTACGCGTAAAGAAAACGTGCGGGAAATTCTAACCGAAAATAATAAAAATGGTTGGTTCAAGTTTAAAATCTGGCCGACCATAAATAGAGAAACAGAACCAAACTAAACAAAAAAATGTGAACATATTTTTATGATAAGATAGGCGATAGATTTCTTATACCAACTCAGAAATCAAATACATAATTACTGACGAATATTAACCTTTCACAATGTCATGCGAATTTTGACTAAAAGAAATGGACACATTACTATTATTATTTTAGCGTTAATCAAATCTGATGAAATATTATTACCTTACCAGATGTGATATATGAAATATTTATTTTACTATTTTTTGTTTTTTTGGTTTCACAGAAATATTAGTAATGAATTATGCCAAACAACTGATTTCTAAACGCTATTTAAAACCTTATTATTGTATGTAATGGGGCGTTTAATCTACTTTAGCGATTACTAATGGCCGATCAGAGTGATTAACTACTGATTACTTATTGAAAGTAAAAGAAAAGGGGAATAAAAAAGGTTCCTTTCTTGGAGGCTATTAAAGCCACAGAAACTTATTGGGTGAATGAATTTATAAACACATGAGCGAGCTCGACATATCCCTCTTGTCCTCTTCCAATTTACGCGCAATCCACGCACAACAAAAAAGAAGAAGAAGAAGAAGATAACAATACACATAAAAATAAGAATTGAAGATAAAATAGAAAAACCTCAGGAGAACTTCCTTACCATTTACAAGATGTCGAGAAATGAAAATGCCAAGGCACAACCCACGGAGAAATCCAGTTTTACCCGGAGATGTAGTTTGCTCAGCCGTTACTTAAAGGAGAAGGGTAGTTTCGGGAACATAGATCTTGGGTTGGTCCGAAAACCCGGTTCCGATCTCGGAAGCTCCGACCAACCAGGTTCTTTCTCTCTTCCTCTCTTTACAATAAATTTTTAGCTCTGTTTTTGTTTCTTCATTTGTACGTCAGTTCGTTAGAATCGTATATAACTTCCTCTTGTAATATGAAAATTAAGTAGCAAAAAAAAAAAAAAAAAAAAGATAAATCTATGAGTTGCTTTGATTGAAGTATCTAATATGGTTCATGAATCACAAACAAGATGTTTGTATCTCTTGGAAATAGGGTTAATTTTTTTAGAACTTATTCGTTTGGTTGTAAATAAAGCTGACCAGAATTTTTATTCTCTTTGTTCAGGGAAACAACATGCAATGCATAAGGCAGATTCGGAAACCAAATCACTCGACGTCTTTCAGAGGGTTTCAAAGGGCGAACCCTCTAACTCATCCGGTGACAAAGCTAAAAACACCAACCTCAGGTCTAATTATTACTCTTTTGATCCTTAGAGATAAAATTAAAGTTGCTTTTATGTTACTGGAGATTAGATCATGGAAAACCGGCTCGTTTTTTAAATGTTTTTCCTTTCTAAAATCCAATTTTTTTTTGTTTTTTCAGCGAATTAAATTCAAGAAGTTCCCAGCTGACCATATTCTTTGGAGGAAAAGTTTTAGTATACAATGAGTTCCCTGCATACAAAGCTAAAGAGATAATGGAAGTGGCAAAACAAGCCAAGTCTGTGACTGATATTAACACTCATACACATATCAATGTCGAAAATAACAACAACAACAACAACAACAAAAGCAACATGGTTCTTCCTGATCTCAACGAGCCCACAAGTTCTGCGGATGCTAATCAACAACAACAACAGCAAAGTCAGATTGTGGAACGTATAGCACGTAGAGCTTCACTTCATCGTTTCTTTGCTAAACGGAAAGACAGGTATCTTAACTTAAACCACACTTTCTGATGTTCTTTATTTCCTAATGTTCCAGTTAGTCAGTTACTATGGTTAGTTCAAAAGATGGATGATTTTTACCATAAGTTCTCCTAAATGTTCCTATTATTCAATCAAAACCGTAGCAGATACTCACCAGCTGACTGATTTACAATTTTTTTTTTTTGTTTTTTTTTATTCCATTACAGAGCTGTGGCTAGAGCTCCATACCAAGTTAACCAAAACGCGGGTCATCATCAATATCCTCCCAAGCCAGAGACTGAACCCGGTCAAACGCTAGAACCGGGACACTCGTCTAAACGACCAGACAATTCTGTTGCTCAAACCGTGTCCCATCCCAAACCAAAAGGGGATAAAGATATTTCTATGGAGATTGAAGAAGAAGGCCAATGTTCGAAAGATCTCCAACTTATGCTCTAGTATAATTTGCTCAATATTTGTTAGGTACTGAGTTCTTAGATTAACAATTCGATCCCCTGGCTTATTTAAGTGATTTTTGTTTTGCTTTGTACTGAAGTTTGTAATCATAGTCTAACTTCAATATTTACTATGCGATAGTAAATTTATATTATAACTTATATGTTATCACATACTAATTGGGAGTGAAATTTCAAAACCAGAAATACAAGATTACACCAAAAGAGAGCCCTATTTTAAGCCACCAATAAAAGATACATTCTTGATTCGATGTAACACGTCAAAACCTTTTATTTATTTTTCAAATTAATACTCCGTTATTGTCTATACAGAAACTCCGTTCAAATTGTATCATGGCTTTTTCCGACCTAGCCTGATCAAGATCTTTTTTTACCTCTTCTATAAATGTGCTGTGATCAACAGTAAGATATTATATGTAGAACCAAATTGGTTCGTTTTCCTTCTAAAACTTAACAAAATTTTCAAAATTTCTTTCTCTGTTTTTTTCTATGTACTGTAATTTGTCTCGATTTCCTGCCCCCAAACACTGCTCTATAGAAACATGCTGGAATTTCCACACAAGCATTTTTGTTGGTTAATAACTGAAGTGAAAACATACAAATTAACAATTAAAAAGAGCGTGTCGCTAATCATACAAAAACCATAGTTTTTATTGTTATCAAATTGCATATGATTGAAACGGTATAAACATAGACAAACTTAAAATCTTTTCAACTAAGAACTGGATTAATAGATTTAGGAATCTGATTGCAAACGTAACGGAGTTAAGAAGGGTGAATGATTAAGTGAACGAGATGCAGTTTTTCTAATTTATTCAGGGTATAATTCGTAGAAATAATAAATTTAAAGGGTGTATCTTTAGTTTGCAATAAACTACAGGATCTTTTTGTGATTAGTTGTCTAGTTTCATTTCAATTGAAGGCGTGTCTGATTTCGACAGTGATTGGGCTGAGCCATCATTTAACGTGCTAATATCTCATTGGCTGTCAGTTATAAAATCTCTTACAGCCTGTGACTTTAGCTTATCGATGTCAGCTATTACAAAAGAATCAATTCAATAAATTCGTAAGAGCCACTCGATTGCTTCCATCGCTTTCTATCAAGAGACTTCCTTTTTTCTTGTTCTTCGTTTTTTTTTTTCTTTTTTCTTTTCTCATTTCTCTTATTTTCTCGGAAACCAAAAAAAAAAAAAAAAAACACTGCGAACCCTAAAAGACAGAGCACGGTCTCAATTTCATTTGGGAAGAAAGTAAATCAAAGACAATAAGATTTCCCGTGTCCGAAAATGCAGAGGTTGAAGCAGCAGCAGCAACAAGTGATGATGCAGCAAGCTCTTATGCAGCAACAGTCTCTCTACCATCCCGGACTCCTCGCTGCGCCTCAGGTTTCTGCTTTCTCTGTGTGCTTTTCTTTCATTTCAATGGTCGGCTTTGTGTCGATTTAGGGCTTTCTCAAAGTTTCGACTTTACTGTTTTTTTCTGGTGTTTTATATATATACCCTTTTGTTCTATAAGCCAGAGTTAGAACTCTCGATTTCTTGTTTCATTTTTTTCGGTTCTGAGATTTCTCTGCAGATATTCTGAGATTGACGATGCTTGGTTTATTTTTTGCTCGTTAGTAGTCAAAACGTCAAAAGTTATGAAATTTATGGGATTATCACCAATAGTCTTGCTTCCCCCTTATACGCAAAGCTTGTGTGTAACTGTTTGTTAATGTTTCTCAAGTGTTTGTTTTTTATTGTCTGATTTTTGGTTCAACAACTCCATGATAATCTTCGAGGTGAAACTGATTCCTTAGCTTAGCTTAGTCGCTGAGACATCCTGAAGAGTGATATAGTCACGGGTCATTTAGGAAGCAATTTTTTTCCCGTTATTTCTTTCTTTTTCATTTTCTTTCGTTTCCTTTTCTTTTTCCTTTTTGCAGATAGAACCAATCCCAAGTGGAAATCTTCCCCCTGGTTTTGATCCGAGTACTTGCCGCAGTGTGTGAGTGTTAGGATTTTTGATTTTGTTTTATTTTTTTTGGGTATTTTTGTTCACTTTTTATGTATATTTGGTGTTTTGGCTTAACATTGTCTCACTAGTGAGCTCAAGTTTCCAGTTTGTGAGTCCTAAAATTAGTTAGGGGAAACCAAACTTCAAATATGTATTACTGTGTGTAATGTGTATATATATATATTGTTAATAACTGTGCATTGAATGAATACGTTTGTCAAGAATGTTGGTTACACAAGCTTTTCTCTGAATTTTTGCTTATACTAATATGGGAAAAAAACTGATTCTTTGTTGTTTATCCCGTCACTGAATGAATTCGTTTTGTCAGAAGTGTTGATTATGTGCTGTTTTCATTTTGATTCTTGTTTAGGCTTCTTAGTTTGTCTACCTTTGAGAAATTGCAGGTACGTTGGAAACATCCATATTCAGGTGACGGAACCTCTGCTCCAAGAGGTTTTTGCTAGCACAGGCCCTGTAGAAAGCTGTAAACTTATTAGGAAGGAAAAGGTTAGTGTTTATGTTACTCTGTTATAATATTCTACTTACGGTATTAGGTTGCTATGTTTTTCCTACGATCATAAACCTTTTTTCTTGGGTATTGGCCATGATTGGTATTATGGTCTGATGTTTATGTTTTGATTTGTAAACGACCAGTCTTCTTATGGTTTTGTCCACTACTTCGACCGACGATCGGCTGGTCTTGCAATCCTCTCTCTCAATGGAAGGCATTTGTAAGTTCAGTATTACTTGATTCTAGCATGAGCAAGATACTCTGTTTGCCATGGTTTGGACTAGATTACATTGGATTCTGTAATATGCAGGTTTGGGCAACCTATCAAAGTTAACTGGGCTTATGCTAGTGGCCAAAGGGAGGATACATCAGGTTGGTTCATATTCAAATGCTAGACTTTCTTTTGAAAATAGGGCTTTAGGTATTCTATGGGTAACATACTAATATGACACACTGTTGCAATCTTTCATGTGCAGCTCACTTCAGTATATTTGTCGGGGATTTGAGCCCTGAGGTTACCGATGCAATGCTGTTTAATTGCTTTTCTGCTTACCCAAGTTGCTCGTAAGTTGTGTAGTTGCATACTGCTGAGCATTCTCGTATTGGAAATGGAAGCTTAAGATTCGCATTCTGACTTTTTGATGTTGTATTTAGGGATGCAAGGGTTATGTGGGATCAGAAAACTGGGCGTTCTAGAGGATTTGGATTTGTTTCGTTCCGTAACCAGCAGGTACTAAGATTTCTTCCCTTCAGTCCTTCATCTATGAACTGGTTTTAACTTAAGCCATTTATTCATTGCTCCCAATCTTATTTCCCTATGCAGGATGCTCAGACTGCAATAGATGAGATAGGCGGTGAGTATGGCAATTCTTTGTAATCGGTGATCTGCAAATTTATGTTTATCATGATTGATGATTTTAGAACTTGAAAGCTTTCCTTCTTACAACTGATGAAAATCTCATAGTTGTTGGAATGAGTTTGTATATATTTTTGGTTGTCACATTTACACGCATAGAGTTGAGTTTATGATGAAGTTTGTCTCACCTGATAAATATCCATATAGAGATAAACCGTGCCATTTACCTTCATTGGCTTATGATTGATAAGAGATTCTTTTTTTCTGTTTTTTTAGGGAAATGGCTTGGTTCAAGGCAGATTCGCTGCAACTGGGCAACAAAGGGAGCCACTTCTGGTGAGGAAAAGCAGACCTCTGATTCCAAAAGTGTTGTGGAACTAACCAGTGGTGTCTCGGGTAAGTTTTAAAACGAAAAACTCAACTCTTCTTCACTATTCATAAAATGGAGTATTAAGTGAAACCAGTGAGAAGCCTCAAAATGATACTAGTTCTTACCTCTTGATACTGAACATTGGCTTATGTGGTTTTGCAGAGGATGGTAAAGATACGAGTAGCGGTGATGCTCCCGAGAGCAATGCTCAGTACACAACTGTTTACGTTGGGAATCTTGGTCCAGAGGTAAAGAAAAAGACATTTGTTGTTATAGTGATTCTCTGTTGACTTGACACAACCGTCATCTCTACCTTTTATACCAAACTATATATGTATATTTATTCGACTTTTCAGGTTTCACAGGTTGATCTTCACCGCCACTTCCATTCCCTCGGTGCTGGAGTTATTGAGGAGGTCCGTGTTCAAAGAGACAAAGGTTTTGGATTTGTGAGATACTCTACTCATGTAGAGGCCGCCCTCGCTATCCAGATGGGAAATACACATTCCTACCTCGGTGGCAGGCAAATGAAGGTAAAGTAAATCTTACTAATTTAACTGCATTTTTTCTGGACTCAAAAGTCATTCTTCGGTTTGGGAATGCTAAAAGAATAATGTGTTTGGTTGTTCCCACAGTGTTCTTGGGGAAGCAAGCCAACTCCACCAGGAACAGCATCAAACCCGCTTCCTCCACCAGGTCCAGCACCAATCCCGGGATTCTCAGCCAGCGATCTCTTGGCTTACGAGAGGCAACTAGCGATGAGCAAGATGGCCGGAATGAATCCGCTGATGCATCACCCACAGGGACAACACGCTCTTAAGCAAGCTGCAATGGTAGCTACTGGTTCAAACCAGACAATCTATGATGGTGGTTTCCAGAATGCGCAGCAGCTCATGTATTACCAGTGAATTCTTCCTTGAAGCCGTGATTTGAGTGGAGACTTTTTCTTCTCTCTCTTTTTTTTTTTTTGTTTCCTATCTTTATGTATTGTCTTCATTATCGTTTTTCTTTTCTTTTCTTCTAACTTATGTTCTTGTTATAATGTTACCATGTAGCTGTTGGTTGGTGGTTTGTTTGGGTTTTTTTTTTTTTTTTTTGGTTGTTGTTGTGGTTTAAACGACGATTTAAATGTCATTTCTTGAGTTGTAAACGTGTTCTTATATCTCAATTAGATCCAACTTGCATCGCCATAAACCGGTAATCGTGTTTAGGATATCTATCCGGGATATGTTTCAGATCATTTGTGCAAAGCTGAACGTTCGACTTTGGTTTGATTTAGAATTTATAATGGTGTTTTACTTCATTTCTTCTTGTTTGTATGTATTATAATGATGTCCGTAAACTTCGAAACAAAAGACACTTAGGGACAAACTTTGTTACCATAAATATGAATATTAATTTTATGTGTACGCAAAGACCAATAGACCACCGTTTATTTGCGCGGTATGTACAAAATGTTAGTGACATAACATGAAGCTTAAATTTCTTCTTTTGACTTCGACCTATCGTAGAACTCAAGCAATCTTATCCAACCTAAGAATCTCGCAATTTTAAATTCTGAAGAAAGACAGAAACTGAGCTGTACTAACTACTACGATCATTACAGCACAAACGATATATTTCATTGATTACTGAATGTTACTTTTACATTTAGTAAATTTAGTATTTTAGGAACAGATGCATTTGCCACCAACCAATGCAGAACAATTTCCACATTAGTGAAGTATATTTTCTTTGTTGGATGACGTAGAGAGCAGAACATCTGATATGTATATGTAATTAGAAGTTCATAATGATCAAAATTATGTTCATCTCATTTAAATATTAAAGAAATCAACAATAATGTACTTAATTCGAATCAAGAAATTCTCCTTCAACACTACAAACTTTGTACTTGTAAGTAAAGGAAAACACAGAGTCTGGTTTTGGTTCTTTTTTTCTTTCTGCTATCTTAGCTTCGAGTCGTTTCCTTTGCTACGGAATGTAGAAAGTGAGAAGAATGATCTCTTAAAGTCACCATCTTTCACTTTAAAGCTCGCTTGATGTATGGAGTTGTTTGAAGCTTTGAAACAGAAAACACAAAGCTATGATCAGAGGACTTTCATGAAACCATTTGAAGACAAAAACAAGAAGCTGCAATGTAAAAAGATTCTATACCTTGTTCATCCTCAGAAAGCTGACTATGAGAAGATGCCATTCTTGATTTCCTTAATTCATCAGATGATCGATAAGCAAAATCATCGTCACCTTCAGATGTCGTCACGGAAACCCAATCCATCAGATTATCCGCAGCACGAGTTTTCTTTCCAAACTTTAGCAAACGTTTGATCCCTTTAGCTAAATCCTTGCGAGAATGGAGTGGAGAAGAATTAGAAACAATAACAGGACTCTGAGCTGTTGTTCCCCATTTCTTTCTCATTCTTGAACTCCAAGAAGCAGGACTTCCCATTGGAGAGTAATCCATTGAAGCATCAGCATCAGAATGCTCGTGGGGATAAGAGAATGCGTGTTGCAAGTTTGAGTTCCACGAGAGAGGACTCTCACTAGGTGAATCCATCAACGAGGAAACATTATGCTGAAATGTTGAAGAAGCTAGGGTATTCACTGGTAAGTCTACCTGAGAAATTGATCTCAAACAAGTGACATTTTCATCCTCTGAGGAGTTCTCAACTTTGTCACTATGTGAAGGCTTTTCATCAACAATATCCTCAACTACTAGAGTTTCCATTTCTCTATCTTCCTCTTCTTCTTTGAGAGGGTTCTCCACAACTTCTTTGACTTCTTCTTCTTCTTCTTCTGCCTCAGTCTCAATTTCATCGAACTCTTTATCATTCCTCAAATTCTCTGGTACATCATCAATGTCAGTGCCTTGCTTCTGATTCCTCTCTTTGTTCATCATATCATCAGAGTAGAGAGTTGTCAACTCTGTGAATTCTATGTTCGCAGAGAAGCTTTTCCTTAATGATCTTGGTCTTCGGGGCTTAACAGGAGACGGTATATCATCCTTTGTAGTCTTCTTATTACTACTTCTCACCTGTGTTCGCATCATAGGAGGATTTCTGACAGCTAATGAAGATGGTTTTGTGTTTTCTTTCTTAAGATCAGAGAAATTGGGAATAGAAGACTGTGCAACCGTATTTATCTCTGTTGTTCTTCGCCCTCTCCCGGAAGTAATGTTAGTGTTTGAGACTTTACCTGATGGTTTTGAGACTCGGGAGCTCCGGTTTGGTGATGGAGCCTTTCTAACTTGGGAGCTCCTAGAAGCACTCTTTCCAATGGATTGTCCATTGGCTGGCTTATCTTTCACGTCTTCTTCTTCGCTCTGTAATGAGCTTATAGGATGCTGTTCAAAGATCAAGAAAAGTTACCTAATCAAATTACAAAATACTACTAAACAGCAAGTATGAACAGTCAGAAACTAATTCTTTGGTACCTGATACTTCTTGATACTTGACCGAGAGTTAAAGGATCTGAATTTCTCTGCACGTTGGCGGGTACTTGAAATCGAATCCTGCCTCTTCTCGGAAGCAGCAGAAAACTTTGCCTTCATCTCGTTCCTACTTCTCTCAAGAGCTTCTTGCATCGACTTCAATTTAGTTTCTTTCGAACTCCATTCTTCTCTCAGTTTTGCATCCCTTTTCTTCATATAAGTCTCATACAACTTTCCTTTAGAATCATCTGAATAACTTAAATCAGATAAGTTCCGTCGCATTACAACATTTTTGTTGTCTTTATCATCACCAGCTGATTGATCCTCTGGAAGCACCCGTAGTTTATGCTCTGCAAATATTTTCTCAAGCTCATTTGCCTTCTTTTTCAACTCATCATTAACCCCTTGAGCGCTCTCCCTAGACATTCTCGTCCTCTGCATTTGTTCCACAGATGTTACAGGAGCTCTATTATTGTTGATTTTCCCAGATGAATCTGCATTCACAAGACTATCTTCAAGATCATCCTCTACGTCAACTGATTTTTTTCTTTGTTCAGACCCTGCAGAATCATTAAAATGTACATTTGAAACCTATCCACTTTTTAGTATTCAAAACTTTGACTGTTATTTTCAAGATAGATCTAACCTGCAGAAGCTGGTTTTGTAGAGGGTGTTAAGGCTGGTTCCTTGTCTAACGGAAACAACTCTTCTCCGGCCTTTTGAATGAAGGTCATCACTTTTGATATCAACACCATTTGCTATATGTGCTGATCGAGATCGTGAATGTCGATAAGGAAACATGACCGATGATTGTGCCACATTGTGGGACTTGGATGCATAACTCTCCTCTTCTCTCTGCCTGATATCACCATCAGTCTGGTTTTGAGAATCATCACATTTAGTAGAACAAACATCATCATCATCACCCTTTTTACTGTTTTCTTCAGACTCTCTTGGCACTGTGGCATCAGGATTAACAGCTGATGGTGCACTCGAGGGACCTTCTTCTTCGGTGCTACTATTATCAGACTTCTTGTTATCCAATGTCAAATCAAAGCTCATGTCACTAACAATGCTCCATCTTCTCAAAACAGACTTCTCAGGGAATGCAGGAGCAGCTGATGATACATCAGAAGAAAGTCTCTTTAATTCTGTGGATTTAGCCACAACTACCGGTTTATTTCCTACAGAGTTCGAATTTTCCTTCTGTTTGCTCTCAAAGAGATTGATACGATCTTGAACGCTGAGTCTCCTTGTATGTTGACTGGTCTTAACCGTAGAAGATTCATCTTTTTTCTCCTCTTCATCATTCTTAGTACTTTGATCTTGACTGATGTTTGTTTCATTGACTGATGTTTGTGTATTGGTATTCAAGTTCTTCGTGATCAGGTCTGGTCTTCTTTGCCATAGTGAAATATATTTTCCGCATGCTTCGCTGATAAAGAAAATATTTTTTGAATCAAATTCAAAACACAATTACAAGAAAGTGAAACACCAAGAAAAAGAAATGCTTACTTTAAAAGATGTGCGCCGAATCTATCAGCAAACTGTTGGAGATCAGAAACAGAGTGAGGGTCAAAACCATTAGCTGACGCATGAGCAATCGCTGCGGATAAGTCCTTCTTAATTGCCTCAAGTCTTAAATCTATTGCTCTTAAGAGCTCCTTTCTGAATATAGACAAAGAAAAGCAATCAGCAAAACACTCTTTCAACACAAACTTTGACTCAATATATATATAAAAAAAAAAAAAAGCAGAGAGCTTTACTTACTTTGTTGCATCTGTTACACCTCCATCATCTGAAACATGGAAAAAAAATTAAGATCAAGTTTGGTCGTAAACTTAATATTTGATCAAACAAAAGATAAATTTAACAGACCCTGAGAATATAATGTACGAGCTGCTTCCAACTGTGACATCTCCAAATCAAATGTATTGACTCTTTCCAAAACTTCTGGACTACTAACAAACTGAACAAATCTGAAAAGAAAAAAAAAAAGATCTAAGGCAAAGATTTAAAAACTACTTCAAAATTTTGTGTTAAAAGGGAAATGCAAAAATGTCCTTTTAAAACCTCTCGAGTGTTCTTCTTGTGAACCAGGATTTGTCATTTTCGCTTTCTTCTACTAGCGCTCTAAAAGAGGATTTTGCTTCAAGAACACTTAGATGATTCACAAATGGTTCGATCAATCCTGAAGCCAGTTTCTCTGTTTCTCCATTACTCGAAACAAATAGCTCACAACTGTTGTAAGACACCGAGAATAAGATTTCAACAAAGAAGCAAAATCATTCAAACAGAACATTTCACACGGAGAATAAGATTCACTCACCGCGAATGTTTATGCGAAAGCTCAAATAGAGCATAGTCAAGAACAGTATCAACCTTCATTTTCACACAAGTGAAAAGTCTCTTTCCTAAACCAATATGTGAGCCATTCAATGGACTATATCCCTGAGATTACTATGATTCAACACAAGAATCTCAAATCCATGCCAAGAAACCTGAGGAAACAGAGTAAAACTGACTGTTAAACTGGCCAATCTCATGAGATAAGTACCTAAATGTAGCAATAAACATTTAAGCCCAAAAGAAAAAGCAATTAAATGTAGCAATAAAGTTGTTCAAAAAAAAAAAGTAACAATAAAGATTTACCCAAAAATAAAAAGAAACAGAATTCAATTCAACAATGATAGATGAAACGCAGCTCCATCATTACTATTCCATGAATTACCAGAAATGGAAACTGATGCTTCCCAGATCTGACCCCAACACTAGAACCGAAAAAAAAAAAAAAAATCCAACTTGACATTTTCGAGAAAACACAGAATTCAAATTCCAAAATCAGGCAAGATCCATCCCTGGAACACGCTGAATTGTGCCAAATTTTAGATTTTAAAGATAAACTAATTTAATTTCGATAAAAAAAAGATAAACTAATTATAAAGCCCGAAAATTTAGCAAATAAAGAAGAAAACAGAATCGAAAGTAAACGAACTTACGACAATGGTGTTTAGCTCTCCCAAAATGAAGAAGAGCTTTACTTTTTTCTTTCTCTCTCTCTAGATGTGACCGATACTGTAGATATAGAATGTGAAGCTCGAGAGAGAGAGAGAGAGTTTCCTTCGGACAACTTTCACCTTTTGTTTTTGTTCCTTCGCGTAACAGTCTGTAAACTAATGAGAAAGTACGAAAGACACAAGAGTCAAGAAAGGAGACACTACCTAATGTTATCTTACCAAATTAACCTCGTATTTAACCGAACCGAAACAAACAAACAACAAAACCCGGTTTGTACCGTACAGAAAACAATGTTGCCTCCAAATTTGTATTAATTGGCTCTCTTTCATATCATTAAAGCTAAGTCAGTACATCAAACTCGCAAGAGATTCGATAGTAATCTATATCGGCCAGTGGAATTTCCATATTTGGTATTGGAAGTGTTTATTAGGATGGGGGCAATCTTGTAATATCGACTTAGTAGGAGAGATGTGGTCAAGCCCTCACGACTATGTGGACCAAACATCCAATGATCGAATTTTAACGGTATATTTTTTTTTTTGGAAACCAAAATATAAATACGTTGAGAGAGACAACGAAAGTCGCATATATTTCTTTTGTTTAATTTTGTCAACCTCATATCTTTTTTGTTTTTTTTTCTGAGAAAATTAAGGATACAATTACTCTATTTTTCCTGAAATTCCTTGAAGATGATAAATGAGTCCCAACACGTTTCGTAAATTCTACCCACTTCTTTGTATGGGAAAAAAAACTCCATCGTCTCATCAAACATGTGTGTATATCACAAAAGTTATTCTGAATACTAATAATTCTCATATGTCATTGTATGTATGTTCTTTTTCGATAATATGTATTTTGAACAACTGTATATGTAATAATATAAAGTCTTCTTTATACCGTCTATATATAAAAAGAATTTTTAAAAATATATATGTTCATAGTAATCATACAGTATATGTGCTAGACGATTATGAATAGTCGTCAGATAATTTATTAACAAAACACGTGATGTGACCGCGTAATATTATTCTACACTTTTTAAAAAAAGAAAAGAAAAAAAAAAGATTATTCTTCACATGATCAAAGATCCACATATACACGTTCAATTCCAAATTATGTAACTATGTTTTCCAATAAATCGGCTACATACATCAACATTCAACGAAAATGTGACAACAGCCCTAAACCGCTAAACTACATTGAACCCCTTATTGAAGGAGTGAGGCAACTGATTAAACTTTAGAGTAATTTCAAAAATAGTTTTTTTTTTTATGTTTACTGCACAAAAAGACCGCCAACTTCTATCCATGGAACTGCGTTTCATCTATTATTAATTTAACAGTTTTTTTTTTTGTTTGTAAGTTTTTTCTTAAAATCCTTTTCTATTTACTACATAAAATCTTTAGTGAACAAGATGCTTCTAGATTGTCGGTATGACATAAGCTCCAGCACATGCGACATGTTCCTCTCATTCTCTTTTCTTTTTCCTTTTGTCCCATGTGTCTTTTCCTCAATAATTAATCTCTCTTTTTAATCTTCATGCGAAAATTAATATAATGGTTTTTATAGCTTTGACGAATGATTGATCAGAGTAAATCGAAAAAGCCTTTGAGAAAAAAATTAGAAAAATGTAAATCGGTTGATATATAAAGCATCATATTCACTAATCCAAATGAGAACTGGAAAATTCGTAAGTACAGTATACAGAGATTAAATCATGCTACAACAAAGAAATATAACTAAAAAAAAAGAAATATAACTCAAATGCATGAATTTCTCCCCAAGAAAAAAAAAAACTACTTACATTATATATCAAGCGATTATGTACAGAAACAACCGGGTGGTTTAGTGGGTCCCGCGATCCACTGAAACAACCGCATCATCAAGCGACTACGTACAGGAAAAAAAAGAAAAATAATCAATGATTAGATCCAACGGTGCAGATTTTACAATAAAGAAAAACAGCTGTACATAATGGGACCTACCATCTGACTAGCCGGTGATTACACGTGTGTCTCTATCAAGAGAAAGGAAAATACGGAAAATGGTGCAATACCGTTAGTGTCCAAGGTTTATTATCATTTGAAAATCTGAACACACAAACTTCATTATTTATTTATTTTTTATTATTATTTTTTTTCAAACTTCATTATTTTGTGTTTAGTTTTACTTAGCATATAGTATATGATTAATTTATATTCTTTCATTACCTTTTGAAAATTATTTATTTTGCAAGTTTACAAAATGGAAACACGTTATAGAATTCTATTAATTTCTTCGTCTTCCACCAATTTACTTACCATAGTCTCTCTTATTCAATCACGACCATAATACTGATGGAAGTATGAACTAGTTGACCAAAAAAGGAGGATAAACTAAACAACACAAGATGATAATACCTTTTGATTTGTGTTTATTTTTTATTTGATGACAAGGTAAAAACATTTCTCCAAGTGATGACCAATTACAATTCAACAACCTTGTAAGTATCAACTCAGGCCTGGTTTTTAAAAAGCTAAAACCAAGAATAAACAGAAAAAAAATGTTCACCGTTCATGGCAATCTCAAGGCTTTGATCCAGTCAATTTCAACTCGGAAATCACCTGCTCCTGATTTAGCTCCAACCGCACCACCTTCTGCGTTTACCGATAGTGACATACCCAGCACACGACCTGGATTCATCTCCATTTCCACATCGATCACATTTCCTTTCCATGTTGGCAAGTATCGAGCTAGAGGGATCTGATATATTTTTACACTCCGGTTACTAATTGGCCTTAGACTACAAAGTGAAACATTCAACTAAACTCATAATCGCCATCTGTCTTTTTGGTTATGTTTTCATCTAAAGTGTTTTTATCTAAAGAGCTAAAAGCAAAAAAAAAAAGATGTCTAAATGCTCTAAAACTCTTTTGTTGGGTAACATCTATAGAAGTAAGACTTGCCTTAGCAGTATACCAATTGTCCTTTGGAGCAAACACAAAAGCTTGCCACGAGTTATCTTCTGCTTGCCCCGGTGAGTTCACCCAGTTTTCGGTATAGATCTAAATCAAAAATCAAGGTTTAGTATACCAACCCTTTTGTTGTTTCATCTGTGAGTAAAGGAAAGGTGAGTATAAGCATGAAAACTTACGGTAGAGATGTAACACCTTCCATCTCCTCTGAGCCTCAGGGCTATTGCATCATACCCGTCAAGGTCAATGAAGCCATCAAACTGCCAACAAGAAAAATATAAAGGTCCGTAGAGTTAGTTGAAATAGTATGCTCAATTGAGTCACAAAGTCTTCCGGTTCAAACCAAGATGACAATCTAGTAACCCGTTTTCCATCTTGTCTTCAAACATTAGTTGTATGTAAAAGTTATATATTGACTAAGGATGCTTTGTATGTAACCTTCTTTGAGCGCATTCCACAGAAGCCACTCCGATTGATTTTCCACTGAGATCCCTCACTGATATTTACGGAAAGGTTCCCCGAGAAAATTCCTAAAACAGAAAATTGGGTGAAAAGCATTACTAAATGAGTAGTGTAAGAAACAAAATGAGACTTTAAGAAACAACAGTATCGTAACATAGAAAAGTCTCATATTTTATTGATGAACGTCATGACAGTGACATGAATCACGAATAAATTACTAAGTTGCTAACCAGTGCCATCTGAACCATTTCCTCCCTCTGGGATCTCCAAGGAAGCCGAAGATAATCCTGTAAAATAAGTGTCAAACATGTTGCCACCAAATAAATTATCAAATGCATAACTAATTCATATCAATTAAATTCTATGCAATGCAAATCTTCAGAAATCTTATTTTGTCTCAGTAGCTGTTCATAAGAATCAACAAAGCATGCAAATGAAAGTGGAAAAAAAAAAAAAAAAAACAATATCGGACACTCTTTAGTGCTTGAACCTGTCTACTTACGTACCTCCATATTCAGAATCAGAATAGAGATGCCATTTCTTTAAGTCTTCTTTCGAATGGAACTTAAATATATACTTCTCTGCAGGTGGTACCCATTCTTCAACGTTCCACGTAAGAGCTAACAGTTTTGCAGAGTGGTGAAGATATGTCAGAAACTAGCACTCCCTGCTACATGAAAAAGCGTAAAGGCTAGTCGAGAAATATAAAGGTAACCCCAAAAGGTTCATAAGTCCTAGGGACATAATACCAACGTCACTTGCTATATCAGTCAATGTCAAAGTATAAGCACGAGCACAGCTGAGCAAAAGCAAACGACAACAAACACCAGAAACTCAATAGATAAAAAAAAATTAAGTACGACCCATCATAAGTGACGGAAGAGTGGCAGGTGAATACCCTTCTTTGTTGCATTTACTGAGGCTTGCAACAATGATCGAAATCTTGACATGTCTCTGTAGCTGATTTCCCACGTGAAATGAAGAAAACTTGTATAAATTAATAGATATAAAACCATGAGAGTAACGAGTTAAAGCTCCTATCTTCAATGTCAACCACCAAACTACACACACGAAGACTCCATGAACAGAACCACACTCCCACAAAGTATAAAAGATAATATTATTGCATGCATCGGAGAGGCCTAAATCGATAGTGATGTGAATCCAGCAAACTTAGGAGTCGGATCTAGGACCTAATCCAAGACCTTTTATTCTTGAGAACCCATATGAATACAAAAAAAATGACTTCTGGATTCCAAAATAGCCAGTGAATAAGACTATTACCCACAGACGCATTTCAACAAACACCTGGTCAGCCAAAAATCGATACAGCTATAGAGGGAAAGAATACAATTTTCAGCCACATTTTTCAGACAACAAACCCGACACACATCACAGACACTACTATTGAAAGGAGTTTCATTTCAGCTCATCTGTTAGTCCGAAATTCCCAGGAACAGAGAACTCAAAACAGGAAGATCTGATCATTAGGACAAGCTAAATGCTCAGAACACATAAGTAATTATCTCTATCAGTGATCATTTAGGTTTTCGCTAGAAACGCGGGGAGTATTGTAAAGACTGACTCACTGAAATATCCGTCACCGTCGCGACCGTGGGGACAATCAGCGTCGGGCACCGATTAGCGGCAGTCAAACTACCAAGACGCACGTCGTCGTTCTGTCATACGCTGCGTTTCAATACAGACTATTCAATACAAACGTCTTTAATGGGCCTATTTGGCCCAAGATCTCCAATATTAGAATTTAGAACATCAGTTTTATCATTGAAGGAATTACAATTTGTAGTTTGTAGTATAGGGAAGAAGTCCCTATTCATTAAGAGTACCAAATCTCAAAAAATTGCTCTGGAAAAAACAAAAGCAAAGGAAATTTTCTGTGACCGCATTGGATCATGTAGAATCAAATCAAAAATTTTCAATTAATATAATATGAATTATAAGAAAATAAGTATATTTCGCCGTCAATAAGTGTAGAACTCAGCTAACTCCTCGACGGATCCTCTTTCGCGATCATCATCATCATCATCGTCGCCGTGATCGGAGAAACTATTCTTGAGCATCCATAACAAGTGTTCGAACAATACAACTTCGCAAGATACCAAGACTGTCTTTTGATCGTGGCGTTCTTCCACGAAGCTCGACGATCGATCAAGTAGTTCTTGGAAAAGCGGATGGTTGATGACGTGGGAATTAAGCATGTATGGTCTTCGAGACTTCCCGACGTAAAACAGTTGAAGATCGTCGCACTTAGAGACATCGGAGGCGGCGGGGGAGGCAGTGGACACGGTGGTTGAGTAGTGGTTCTTGGTAAAGGAAGGCCATTTCTTTATGGCCAACTTGAGTTTTGTTAGCTTCCCGAGTTTAGCCATTAGTAAAACAGTTATATCTTTGATATAGAACGATATTGGTGGTTTTTCAAACCAAGTACAAAAAGCTTAAAATAAAAAAAAAATATGAAATGTTTTAAAATTTGGGCTAGGTTTTTTGGGTGTGTTTATCAAGAATTTGTCTTGGAGATGATAAAGTTACGTTTTTGGGACGTAAGAACGAAGAATTAGGTTCGTTTGTATTTATAGTGAGGGATAGATAGAGAAAGATGAACAGCTAATAAAGATAAAGGTACAGAATCCGTAAAACTGGTGTCTCATATATAATAGTATAGATTTTTATAGATTGTATATATGTGTGTGAATGCATGTTGATATGTGCATACGTGTGTGTGTGGGCTGGACAATCTCCTGTTGTGTGTTGTTGTCTAATGATTGGACAAAGGGTGATCGATGCTTCTTTAGATAAAGATTACATCATGTCCACAATGTTATTTTTTTGTGTGAACCATGTCCACAATGTTGAAATAATTCAGTATACACAATTAATAGATTTCTCAGAATACTTTTATATGTAAAAAATGGTAATTTATAACTCACTGACATTGGAATCACATTTAGATTATATATGATCTAAATAAGAAACCCGTATATTCAGAAGTGTAGACACAACCCTGGTCTTCGTCGACAATGAAATATCTAACATACCAACTTTATTGATTAAGCTTTTATTGTTTTGTTAAATTCAACCTCATCGAACTGAATTTTAATAGTGAAGAAATAACTGTATAGATTTTAGTTATTTTATAAAATCGGACAGCTATTGTTTTTGGTGGGCAAACAATATTGCCAGCCAGCAGCCAACAAAATCATCATATTTAATTAAAACAAATCAATATAATACTCCGAACAAACAAGTTAGTTGCAAGAGCAAATAAGCCAGTTGGGATGTTATTGTTGTTAATCTTAAAGAGTACTTTACACTTGAGTTGATAGATTTTTTCTTCGTCTTTAGTTTGAAATACATTAATACAAAAAAAATGAACCATATTCCATGAATGTCGAACCTTTTACATGAAGTCCATACGAAATACAGAAAATAAGGGAATGTTAGATGCCAGCAAACATATGTTGGTCCATATTTTTGTTACAAACCGGCCGGTCTCGAAAAGCAGGTCTAATTATTTCAGTTAAGAATAGTAGGAAGCATATTGGAGCTTGTTATATAGGCATACAAATAAGGTGTCAGTTCTTAGCTCCGTGCGACATAGGATAAAAATTAGGGTTCGGAAGAGTTCCGAGCGCCATTTCGCATGTGACATGTTTATGTTGTTGGTAATTTTTCAATACAATGCGGCATGATTTAATCACACAATCTATTGCGGTTCAAGAATTGGGCCGTAATACATTACGGAAAAAAAAAAAAACCAAACCCTCTATATACGGGGAAAAAAACAAACTTTGTGGGTGTGTGATGAGAAAAAGAAGAAATCAATTTAGCTAAGAAAAAAAAAACGGGACTTTTACAAAGCTGAGTCGGATATTCACAAGATGTGGCTGTTAATCAGTTCTTTTTGTTTATTATGACTGTCCATGCATGCCGTACGAGACAAGTAACCAGCGTTACCTTCCCTTGCAAGACACAATATCTTCTCCAAAAACCTTTTACAATGCTCTTCCGGAGAAAACCCACCGAGTGAAAGCATTGGAGAAGCCAGGTACATTTTCAGGGACATCTCTTCGAGGGTACTGTAAAGTTGGGAAAATCTGGCCTGAGTCACTAGTGTCTTTGTTTGCGAGAAAGCTAACTTGAATAAGAGTGATATGGTGATGAAGGAAATTACCTCAGAACTCATGTTTGTATTAGTTGTAGAAGTGACTGATTCGTCTAGGTCGGTGAAGATGTTATCTGACGACATTGAGCTGCAAGAAACATATGGAGCAATATTACTATGGCTTATATATAGAACAAGGTATATATATGTCTTAAGAATTGTAAACGGGTTTGCAAAGTGTCTGTTTTTATGACAGGGTGTTAGCGCGGTTTTATGTATCTGAAAATGCTATCTAGTAACCTTGCTCATATAAGTAAGGATGAATATTTTTTACCTGTAACGTTCAAATATTTCTTCTGCCGGAGTGAATTTAGTTTTGTATGAGTGTGAAAAACCAGGTATATCATCGAGCATGTGGGAATTAGAATTAGAGCTACTGCCTGGAAACATCTGGCTTGATACTGTTCTTCTCAAATGATCTTCATTGCGCATAACCGAGCTGAAGCTGAAGATGTTATCACAGAGGAATAATGAGTTAGAAAGGAGTAGCAATCAATGTTTGCAACAAGTTAAAAGAGACTCTGATTCATACCTTAGAGAAGTTGGTTCAGTTTCATAGAATGGAAACTCTGAATTGGTTTCCGAGATGCCACCGTTTAACCCTTCTCGTGATGGCTGAGCAATTTCTTGCGCCAGCTCCTCCAGATTCAAATCACCATCCATGAGAATGTTATCGGAAAAGGATCTCCTAATTAGTGGCCTGCAAGTTCATTATTGGAAGATATATATTATATTTGTTGCTGTTCTATGTATTTGCTAAGTTCTGATAGAAAGTTTCCTTGGAATGCTAGTTTTTCAAGGGAAATAGGTACCTCGTATTTTCGATATCTAAGTTAGAATTAGTTCTTCCGATGTCGTGCTGGTCAGGATCTAACTCCCATATTGCTGGACTCCCCAACTGAGGCCGGAAATGCCCTAAAAACCTGTCAAGAGAAACAATCTTTAGATACTAAACCAACACTCGTAGCAAGTTAAAAGACGGATAAAACAAAATAGAACTTTTGTTTTCTTAAAATGGAGCTTACACATTGATGGCGTTCTGCTTATGGATGTCCTGATAAGCATTGTTGTAGTGACGAGTCCAAGCTATGATGATCTCACGAGGCCTATCCACCACGTTTCGATTACCTCTCAGATCACTAAACATCTGCAAATCCATAGAAACGTTCTAAAGATGATACAAATAACTTGAAAGATCCATCTAAAAGTCTACTAGGAAAGATGTGTTGGAAATCAAATCACCTTGGTGTGTGCTTCGGAGCCACCATACTGAAGCGCAAGAATATCGCCCATGTTTTGGTATGTTTCCATCAAACTTATCGCCAAGGGATTGTTAAGATCAACGATAGGGGGCCCTGAGATTCCCAATGTATGCAACTGATGCCCAAGAGCTACCAGTCCATGTGCGTACTGTGCGAAATTAGTTCGATCCAAGCAGTCAATGCAGTTGGTCCTCAGGACCCCATTTTGAAGCATAAATATATCCGACTTCAAAGCTTCATTATCTACACTACTTGCCTCCTCTTCTTGAGTCGGAAGAGTGTTACTGGAGCATGGTAGCATGCATTAGTATTAGGAATTACCACAAAACGTAAAAGATGAGATGTAAGAGAGACAGCTACGGTTACACGAAGAATGCATTTGCAGAATACACATATCATACCAAACTTACTTGAGAAAAGAGTCATTGATTACTCCTTCAGCTCCTATACCTGAAGGAGCTTTACAGAAAAACAAGTCGGTAAATCCCAATGCTTTCCTCGCAAAGATGCATAAGTGCGCGAATGCACCATCAACTCCACTGCATAACCGAAGTGAAAACGGGTAAACAGTTTTAGGATGTAAGACTTATTAGAAACCAACACACCAATGATTGTCTACTTAATTGGTGAAAAAGTGCAGTACTTTCTGTAGTGTTTGCTCAGATCAAAATGGATTGGTTCTAAACGGTTCTTTTTCCCTGCTTCTTTGTTAATAAATAGGATTGCCTTTGCAAACTCTGCCCGTAAAATGGTTTCTCGACGCTTTCTTTCACTTGACTGATAACACAAAATAGCAAAGATACATTAAAATATCCAAGAAAGTCCAGAAGCCTTGTATAAAATTTGAGTTTTCCTAGAAAATGGGAAAGCCTACCTTCAGAAGATTCAGAATGATTATATGTTTCCCATATCTTTGTCTTAGATTCTCAAAATGGTGTTGCGTAGCCTCATAATTCTCGTCTTTCTTGTATACTTTTTGATCCAAAAAGGACAGAAAGTTGAGTGTTAAGATAAGAAAATCAAAGAATCATTTTTGTTAGTGCATATGGTGCTTACGTATTATCTCGGGTTGTGGGTTGAACACAGAAGTTTCCTGTGACCAAAAGAGGGGTATGGAGCCTCGAACCTGCACAATTGATGTTATCGGTATTTTCTGACCCTCTGGAACCACTTTGGAAACAATCTGCTCTGTCTCAACGTCATTGGCTACTCTGCCTATATTATTTACACCACGCCTTAAATATCTGCACATTAACAGGGAGGAGGCAAGGAATCTTGTAGTTAAAACAAAGGCATATCAAGACTGACCCCAAATCTTTGAGAGGTAGTATTGAAATAGATATTTATGTTAGAGAGCTAGTAGGCCATGAGACATTAACAGAGAGAGTATAAAAAAAGGAGGATAATAAGTAATGTTTTCAAGATGAACAAGTACCTTGTACCAGCATAATGCCGAGACCGCCGAGCAATTACAGTGAATACAAATTGTTCACCAGATACCAAACATTTAGTCTGGACAAAGCAAAGGAAAAGTAGACATTAGCTCTTCTTATCATCTGATGAAATCTTTAGATTTGGCAAGTTTTGGCAAATATCCACTCTATACCATGTATATATAAAGGGATGCATTTGATCGATACCTGTTGAAAGAATCCGTAAATCAATGCAACTGTCCATATGGTATTCTGCAGGATCCTTCTGATCCCGCGTGTTAAATGAGCGTTCCACACAAACATCGTGTTGTCGTGAGTGTTTCCTTTCTCAGTGTTGCATATGTTCTTCTGAAGGCTATACATGAGGTGATATGTGTAGCTGAAGTAGAAGTTTTTGCTAAGATCAACCATGCTAAGGATCTTCTTGTACCTATAATAGAAGACAGAGTTCTCATGTCGGATATGTGTTTTGCTAAAGTCTAGACAAGGGAGTGTCCATATGGTTAACATAGCCGTTACAAGAATTAGATACCTTCGCTCGTCTAAAGAATCAGCCACTTTAGTCTGAATAGAAGGATTTGGAATCACGATCATTTGACTCTCTGCAATACCATACACCGTGTGGCCACAGATCTCGCCCACTTTCTTTCTTTTTGTTATCAGCAGCATGTAATAGGGCTCCAAGAATCTCACAAACCCTGTACTCAAAGAATCAACATTGCTCCATGAGTTCCAAAACGATACACTGACCTCCAAAGAAGTGAGAAAAGAAGTACCAATGATTCCGTAGCAAGTTGTGACTGATATAAGCCCACCAAACTCCTGGTTGCCTCGACTTATCCATCTTTTAAGCTCGCGCATTTCTGCATTTGTGTACCTTGTAGGATCTTCAAATAAATTTAGCTCGTTTCGTTCTGTTCTATCAATCTTAAGAATCCTCCTAAAGCTTTTTTTCTCGTCTCTCCCAATCAAATAAAAATTCTGCACAACAACCAATTTTATTCACAAACTTCAACCCGAAAGGTAATGATCTCGAAGTAGGATTTAAAATCAATAAAGTAACAGGATGAGATCTTTTAATTACAGAAACCTTAAAAACAAAGACTTTACATTATGTCAAGCTAAAGGCTCATGCCTTACGCTACAACCATGTGAAAACGAAACCACAAAGCAAACAGACTCATCGAACAAGAACCGAACCATCTTACGGAATTTGAATCCAAACCCAGAAAGTAACATACTTTCTTTCTATTATCCCAAAAAAAATCAGAATCCACTAACGATATTAACGCAATCGTCGGTAAAACAGTTCGAAGATAATTGTTAAGGATTAGCCCATTTTTCCAACAATAAAAATCTCACATTGATGCGAATCACAGGTAAACTAGAAGAGACAAAGCACAAGACTTATGATTCAAAAAGGCACAGATCATGAATCGTACGGAAATTGATTAAGAGAAGGAGGAGTATACCGAGGGAGTACTGTAGAGCTTGAATTTCTGGAGAACGGGCAAGTCAATAAGTTGGGGCCTCGGGTCAGCCCGAGGCTCCGATCCCATCAGACCAAAAAAATATGAAATTCCGAACCTGAAGAAATCTCGGAGCCGGTTTGACCCCGATTTCGAAGCTGTCGATACAGAGGAACAGACGAACGGACGAGATGAACAGAGCGTGAGGGATTCGAGGAAATCAAAAATCGACTTTCGAAGGAGGAAAATTTTGGAATCTGAGAAGAAGAAGAAGAAGAAGATGGAGAAGATAACGACGGACGAAGACGATTCGATGAAGAAGATAGAAAGAGTGGAGCCGTCGAGGATGTGACCAGGTCGGAGAAGAGAAGACTTGTTAATTAAAAAAAGAGGGTAAAAAAACTATAAAAATAACCTTTTGGGCGCTAATTCGCCTGAATTTATAGCCTTTAAGATACGCGGCCGTTTTTGAGGTACCTTGTTAACAAAGCTCTAGCCTTTTGCGTCTTCCTTTTTTTTTCCTCTGATAGATTATACAATTACGTAAGATGTATTGGATTAAAAGTTTTACTTTTCCCCTTTTCCTGTGTCAAATATTTTAAAATCTAGAAAGGCAATCTCCTTTTGTTTTCTCCTTCTTTTTTTTTTTTAAGTAATGGGTTAGATCCAGTCGAAAGTGGAGAGGAGATGCCAACCATCTCCTTTTGTTTTCTCTTCAGTAGTCAGTTTGATCAGAATATCATTTTTTCTGTATTCCGAAATTTACCTTTTGGTTTGATAAAAATAGTCAGATCACGATAAAGCTATATTTGAGCATAGTAACAAAAACCTATATTTTAACCGGAGAAAAGGATTTTGGATTAAAAAAAAGAGAGTTAAAGTATTGATCTCAATTAACTGACACACTACTTTTTGTACAATGGAATAATGTAATTTAGGTGCACGCAAAACACATGGAGGAAGATCGGGTCCACAACATGCATGAGATATATAATTCACGATGATCATCTTATTATTTCCTTACGAGCTAAGATGTATCTAAAGTTTTGCAAATTATATTATACTAATTAACGTGATCCATCCTGCGGTTAATTTCGACTAGTTCTAAAATGATTAGTTAAGTTTATAAATGATTTTCCGATTTTGCTAGCTCAACAAATTTATTAGATGACTATCCTTTTTTTTTTCCAACTTCATTCATTCATAAGGTCCCAAACGGCTTAGTTCAAAACAGAGGAAGCCTCAAGAAGGGAAGCTTTTGCTAGTGATAATTCACAATACAGCTTGTGGTTCGAGGAATGTAGCTAATAGAGAAATCTAGAAATTGAGTAACCAAATTATCAATGTCATGAAGAATTCCAAATTAAGATTTATTTTAGACGGGTCCCAGAGTTGATAGCTCGAACGAGCGCTTGAGAATCTGTTTGAATGCAGATTGTGCTGCAGCCTTGAACGTGAGCAAGAAGCAGGGCTTCGCGTACTGCTAGAGCTTCAGCCATTAGAGCTGAGAGGACGAGAAAGTGGGGCTTTCTAAGCGTTTGTATCCATTTTCTCAACAACTTCTTTCTATTCTTTATATTATTTTTTGACAAAATTCTTTCTATTCCTTTATCATGCGTTTATATATTTTCATTTGTTTTAAAGCTTCAATTCTTTTTCACATATTATATTATGAACCAGTAAAATTTATTTATAACTCCGCCACGATCGAATCCTCTGATTAGTTATAATTTTCTATCTAAACACAAATTGAACACGCAATTGCCGACCGACCGACCGACCGTTGGTTATAATTAGAATAACTAAGTCCTCTTAATGATGGACATGTGTTATGTCTAACGATAGATTATTATAGTCTATACGCGATTAGTCTTCTGATTTTAATACTACACACCAAACGACTCGGCTAACTGTGAACAATTCATTCGATGCTTCATTTATTTTTTCAACTCCTACGGCTAAGATATAAAAGAATTTTCACCACTTTCTTGTGTTAGACGCTAAAACTCTTTCCAAAATCAAATTTTGTGGGTGGTTTAAAAAAGAAAGATAGAAATCAGTTTTGCTAGGGAAAAAAAAAACAATAAACCGGGACCTCTACAAAGCTGAGTCGGATATTTACAAGATGTGGCTGTTGTTGTCTGTTCAACCCTGCCGTACGCGTCAAGTAGTAACCAGCGTTACCTTCCCATGCAAGGTATAGTTTCTTCTCTGAACTTTTTACAATGTTCTTCCGGATGAGACCCATTGAGTGAAATCATTTGAGAAGCCATCTACTAAGACATATTCAGTAAAACCTCCTGGTTCGTTCGAACGGCGAGGATCCTATGAAGATGGAGAAATCCAACAAGTCAGTTTCTTTGTTTGCGAAAATAACTTGAATAAGAGTGATATGGTGATGATGGACATTACCTCAAAAATCGTGTTCGTATTAGTTTCAGAAGTGACGAACTCGTCCAGGTCGGTGAACATGTCATCTGACGACATTGAGCTGCAAGAATATCATTTAGAGCATTAATTATCAGGCTTATATAAAGATGTATATCTCAATTACTTATAGAACAAGGTTCATGTCTGAAATATTTTAATAGGGTTTGCAAAGTGTCGGTTCGGGTGTTAGCGCAGTTTAATTTATAATGTATCAGAATGCTATCAGTAACCATGTTCATATAAGGATGAATATTAATTTTTTACCTGCAACGTTCAAGCGTTTCTTCCACCGGAGTGAATTTAGTTTTGTACGAATGTGAAAAACCAGGTACATCGTGCCTGCGAGAATCAGAAGTAGAGCTACTGCCTGGAAACATCTGGCTTGATCCTGTTCCTCGCAAATGATCTTCAGTGCGAATAGCCGAGAGGAAGCTAAAGATCGATGTTATCAAAGAGGAAGAAGAATCAGAAAAGAGTAACAATGAATGCTTGGAACAAGTGAAAAGAGACGCTGATGGACACCTTAGAGAAGCTGGTTCAGTTTCATTGAAGCAAATTTCTGAAGTGGTCTCCGAGATTGCACCGTTAATCCCTTCACGTGAAGGCTGAGGATCTTCGAGTACTAGCTCCTCCGAATTCACATCACCCGCCAAGAGAAGGTTATCGGAAAAGGATCTTTTAATTAGTGGCCTGCAAGTCATATTGTGCATTGGAAGATATCTTAGTCTTTTGTAGATAGATAACTTGTAAAATCTTTGGAGTTGGTTTAGTCAAATTTTCAACAAAACTAGGTACCTCAGGTTTTCGATATCTACTCTAGAACTACTTCTTTTAATGTTATGTTGGTCAGAATCCAACTCCCACGGTATTGGCCTTCCCAATTGTGGCCCGGATTGCCCCAAGAAACTGTCAAGCGAAATAATCTTTAGACTAAACAAAACTAGTATCAAGTAAACAGACGGAAAACCAAGATTAAGTCTATGTAATGAAGCTTACACATTGATGGCGTTTTGCTTTTCGTCGTCCTGATAAGCGTTGTTGTAGTGACGACGCACAGCTGTGAAGATATCACGTTGCTTCATCACCATGTTCCAACCACCCCTCAGAGCACTGAACATCTGGAAAGTAAAAAACCATAAACTTTCTAAAGTTAATACACATATATGTAAGTTCAAAGAACCTGTCAAGCCTAGGCAAGTAGGAAATATGTGTTAGATTTCAAATCACCTTGATGTGTGCATCCGAGCCACCATACTGCAGTGCAATTGTATTCCCCATCTTTTGGTAAACTTCCATCAATGCTTTTGCTAGAGGATTGTTAACATCGACGACAGGAGGCCCCGTGATACCCAATGTATCCAGTTGATGAGCAAGAGCTACCAAACCGTGTGCGTACTGAGCAAAGTTAGTACGATCCAAGCAGTCTATGCAGTTTGTCCTCAAGACCCCACTCTGAAGCTTAAATATATCAGGGGTCAAAGCTTCTTCATCAATATCTTCTTGATTCGGAAGAGGGTTACTGGAGAATGGTAGCACTTGTATTAGGACTTACCAACAATTAGACTAATGTATGTATATTAAAAATAAAACAAAAAAAAACTTGTTACATGAAGACTCATTTGGAGGATACCAAACTTACTTGAAAAATGAGTCGTTCAATACGTCTTGAACTCCTACGCCTGAAGGAGCTTGACAGAAAAATAAGTTAGTTAATTCCAATGCCTTCCTCCCAACGGTACACAAGCATTCGAATGCAACATCAGCTCCTCTGCAAAATAGCGTGGAAAACGGGTAAGAGTTTCAGGATGCAAGGCTTATTAGAAACTAACACACACCAGCTTCGATCTGCATAATAGGTGCATAAAATATAAAAGCACCTTTTGTAAACTTTGTTTAGATCAAAATGGACTGTCTTTATACGGTTCTCCTTTCTTTTGCGTGGTTTGTTAATAACTTTGATTACTTTTGCATACTCTGCACCTAATATGGTTTCTCGATGGTTTTTCTCACCTTTCTGATATCACAAAACAGCAAAGATACACTCAATCTTCCAATAATATCCCAAAAACAAAAAAATAGCAGAAGCAATATATAAAAATTTGAGCTGCCCTAGAAAATGAGAGAGCATACCTTTACGAGGTTCAGGATGATTATCGGCTTACCATACCTCTGTCTCAGATTCTCAAAGTGGTGTTTAGTAGCCGCATAATTCTTGTCCATCTTGTTCACTGTGACCAGTAAAAGAGAGAAACAGAAGTAAGCGTTGAGATAAAGTAAGAACAAATAAGGATCCTATTTACCATATATATGCATATGATTCTTACGTATTATCTCGGGTTGTGGGTTGAACACAGAAGTCTCCTGTGACCAAAAGAGAGGTATGGAGCCTCGAATCTGCACAATTGATGTTATTGGGATTTTCTGACCCTCTGGAACCTTTTTGGAAACAATCTGCTCTGTCTCAACGTAGTTGGCTACGCTGCCTTCCTCATTTACACCACGCGTTAAGTATCTGCACATTTAAGAGAGCAGAGGCAAGGAGTTTTGTAGTCAAGAACAAAGCCATATCATGACTAGCCCCTAGCTATCTTTGAGTGGGAGTATTGAAATATAAGAGAGGAAGAAGAAGAAGAACATAACAGAGCCTATCAAGATGTATAATTACCTAGTACCAGCATAATGTCGCGAACGCCGAGCTATGACAGTCAATACAAATTCTTCATCTGATACAAAACATTCATTCTGGACAAAGCAAAGGAACAGTAGACATTAGGTCTCTTAAGTATAGCAAAGTTTTTTTGGGAAAAATCTCCAGACCAAACCATTTATATCATATAAGGCATGCATTTGATCGTTACCTGTTTAAAGAATCCGTATATCAATGCAACAGTCCATGTGGTGTTCTGGAGGATCCTCCTGATCCCGTGTGTTAAATATTCGTTCCAAACGAACATCGTGTTGTCGTGAGCGTTTCCTATCTCAGTGTTGCACATGTTCTTCTGAAGGCTATACATTAAGTGGTATGTGTAGCTGAAGAAGAAGTTTTTGGTAAGATCCACCATGCTTAGGAGCTTCCTGTACCTATGATAGAGGAGAGTGGGGGGAAGCATGTCAAATATTAGAAAGTTTTCGAATCGTTACAAGAATTTTAAAGAACCTTCGCTCGGCCAAAGAATCCGCCACGCTCGTTTGAATGGCAGGATTTGGAATCACGATCATTTTACTCTCTGCAATACTATAAACCGTATGGCCGCAGATTTCACCCACTTTCTTTCTTTTTGTTATCAGCAGCATGTAATAGGGCTCCAAGAATCTCACAAACCCTGTGATAACAGTGAGAAAAAAACAACGCTTGTGATAAAGACTCAAAGGTGGTAACTAATAAAACTAATAAGAAGACGTACGTACCAATGATTCCGTAGCAAGCTGTGACTGGTTGAAGCCCACCATATTCCTGGTTGCCTCGACTTAGCCATCTTTTGAGCTCGTGCATTTCTGCATTTGTGTACGTTGTAGGATCTTCAAATAAATTTAGCTCGTCTCGATCTGTTCGACCAATCTTAAGAATCCTCTTGAAGCTTTTGCTCTCGTCTCTCCCAATTAAATACAAATTCTGAAGAAACAACCAATTTTAATTATTCACAAATTTCAAACCAAAAGGTAGTGGCAGTAATCTCGAAGTAGCTAGGAATCCTGGATTTTTTATTCACTAAAATCCATAAAGCAACAGGCTGAAACATCTTTTAAAATTAAATAGAAAACTTAGATTCCAAGAATCTACATTAGGGCAAGCTAAAGGCTCATGCCTTACAATACAAGTATACAGCCATATGAAACCACCACCAAGCAAACATAAATAATTTGCTATTATGCTATTAGTGTATGTCAAACAGAATCAAAGCACAAGAGTAAAAGATTCACAAAACCACAGATCATAAGCGTACCGAGGGAGTACTGTAGAGCTTGAATTCCTGGAGAATGGGCAGGTTAATCAGCTGGGGACTCGGGTCAATCAGTTGGGGACTCGGGTCAACCCGAGAAATCTTTGATCCCATCAGACCAAACAAATATGAAACTCCGAACCTGAAGAAGAAGAGGAAGCAGAGAACGACGACGAAGAAGACGAGTCAATGGAGAAGATATATAAAAAGAGTGGAGCCGGCTAGGACGTGACCAGGTCGGAGGAAGAGAAGACCTGTTGTTACAAAGTGTGTAATAGTTACTAATTTAGTTTCTGTTAACCTTTTGGGCGCTAATTTACCTGTATTTATAGCATTTATGATACGCGCCCGTTTCCAAGTACCTTGTTAAAAAGGTCCACCTTCTTACATTTTTTTTACTCTCTAGTCTCTGATAGATTAGGGAACTTATATCAGTGATTCAGCATTGGATTAAAATTTTATCTTTTCACTTTATCTGTGTCACATATTTTAAAATCTAGAAAGGCAATCTCCTTTGTTTTCTCTTCAGTGGTGGTCATTTTTTTTTCTTTCTGAATTCCCAATTTATATTCTGGTTGAAATAGATTAAAGGGATAGTAAGATCACGATTATACTATATTTCAAGCGGATAAAAAAGATAGTAAATTATAGATCTCAATTAATTTAAACACTATCTGTTTTTTACGATGGAATAATGTCATTGATGTGCAAGCAAAACATATGGAGGAATAATGTCTTAAAGAATCTTTAAATCATAAGTTTGAATACGTATAGCTAGCAACGGAGAAAATATAATATAGTGTCATCAAACCATTTAACATGTTATACTTTTCATACTGAAGAAACCTATAAATTTAAGACCTGAAACATTTATCAATAGAATAATAAAGACCTGAAATCCATCATTAGATGTACCTAAATTTTAAATTGCTAGTTTACGTATTAAAAAAACAAAGTTTACCTTCAACCACATGGACATACAATATGTCTTACACCTCGTTCTATTTTTCTTAATAATATACATCATACATGTAATTAAAATGAGAAAAAAAACTGTCTCAAATAATAATATAGAGCATTTTACGTTTCAAAAAATATTTTAGTTGGTCGTTTAAAATCTATTTACCTTGTTAGTTTTTGTTGAAACTGTTATGCACTTATGCAGATTTAAAGGATTTATGCAATCGATAGCAAATTAATGAAAAAGTGTTGAATATTTCGACCAAAAAGGTAGAATAACCATGGACGATCGAATCCACTGATTAGTTATAAATTTTCTATTAAAACACAAATTGAACGCGCAGTGGCCGACCCGACCGTTGGTTAGAAGTAACTAAGTACTCCTCTTATTGATGGACATAAGTTATGTATAACGATTAGATTATTACAACTTATAAGTCTATACGCGATTAGTCTTATGTTTTAAATACTACAAACCAAACGACTTGGCTAATTGTGAACAATACATTCGAATATTCGATGCTTTATTTATTTCATTAACTTCTAAGATATTGAAGAACTTTCATCAGTTTTCTTGTGTTAGACGTAAAGACTCTTTCCAAATATATTATTTGTTAACGACTGGCTTTGAAAAAAAAATACATAGGAGATAATTGTAAGTAATTATATGGTTTAAAATTCCATCTTGAATTGGTTTAGTGGCTGAGGGGAGATTTGTCAATAGATTAAAGGATTAATGAATTCTACAGCTATTTTATCGTGATCATGATTGGACACTGTGCATATCGTAATTAGCAATAAGCTAATACCAATAGCAACAATACTGTAGATAAGTCTAAAATCTAACATTTAAATTTGTAAATCATGATTGCCAATATGGATAATTAAGAATTATAAGATCACCCCAACCAAGACTATTATCTAGGTAACAATGATTGCCAATCTTATTAATAAAAAGTTTTTCATCTATAACCTAATATACAAATTCAAACCATGTAATGTAATATGATGGCCGATGCTAACTTCGCAATGAATTAACCCACCCAGATATCACACTAGAAAAATTTAACGAAGACTTTAAAATGTAAGTCAATAATTAGACGACTGAAATTTTTAAAAATAAAATAAAAAGTCCGACTTTGCCTCAGGAAAATGAAGAAAAGAAAAGACTGGAATTATCATGTAAACCTTGACTCCTTCCACAATCATTAGCATTGACAAAGAAAAACCAATTATTAGCACAAAGTTTATTATTCAAAGCAATTTTTTAACTTTAGAAATGTTAATTGATCACGGGGACCATGTACATTGAGTTATCAATCTGTTTTAAACCTAAACAACTTATTATTTGGTCTGGTACAGCTTACCCATTTAGATCCGGTTAAGTAACCGGTTAAACACATCCTCTGCCTTTTTTCTTCTTCATGCATCATTTTCAAGCTCTCCCATCCCACTCCTCATAGAACTCCGTGAGAAACTCTTGCATGAAGTTGTGCCTTTTCTCTGCTCTCCTTTTACCCGCCTGATATTTTTGAGTCCCACATTCAAATCTCAAACCGAAACAAATTGCTGTCTTGTATACAATTGTTTTCCGGTTAATGTTACCTCGGTTTTCATCAGCTTCTTCAGCTTGAGGAGTTTCTCATGAAAGTGATTAATAGTAGTTTGCTCCTCTTTCTTCATATACTGCTCTTTGGTTAACTCTGTCCGGGGCTTGATCTCAGGATCATGAAGCACTCTGTTCCTGCTCCCACCAAATGTAAAGCAACGAGCAATTCCTAGGACCAACCAACAAAACAATTAAGAGCACGACTAAGCATAGAGCATCTCCAGATGTCACTCATCAAAGCCCTTACACCGTAGAGAAGCAAATTAAAGACAAGAGAAGCATTCTAACCTATGGCGCCAATTGCATCAAGGCGATCAGCATCTTGAACTACCCCAAATTCTGGAAGAGACTCGCAGAGTGCTTGCCCTGATAGTTCGTCTTTGAAACCTGGAAACAATACATTTTTTTCTGTTCAAAAATTCAGACACAAAGTAATGATCTTTTTCACAAACTCTGAACTTAATCGTAGTGAGAACTCAAGCGAGTTAGTACATTGGAATTGTTGAGTAAAAGTTAGAGCTGAAAACTAACCCATTCCATTGATGATCTTTAGGATCTTCATCTTCTTGGTCTCTTCTACACCCTCCTCATCCAGGAAATTCTCAACAAGTTTCGCTTCCAAAGGGTCTCTGAATTCCGGTTATAACATTATTTGGCCATGAAGCAGCATATCAGGAGCATAAAACAAGTCTTCATCATTCAAAGTTCAAAACTTTTTTTTTTTTAAACTTGTCCACACGCACTTCCACTTAATAGAGCCCAACTAGTCCTAAGGTGAGAAAATCCGGCAAGGATTTCCCCCAAGCTTCTTTCTAATGGCATCAAATAGAGCATTTGCAAAGAGATGGAATCTATGCCTAGGATAATTGGAGGAAGTTTAAAGACGTAAACACTTAATATCGTGGTGGTATGATCAAGAATGGTGCAAGGGATGTTAGTCTACTGAAGGGTTCAAAAGAACGGTAGGAAAAAAACCAATAGAGATAGATAACGAAGACTTAAAAGAAACAAACCTTATGTACTTGTAATCACCTGATAAGAGAAAGAAAGAGATACACATACCATAACTAATAATCTTTGGAATATAAACACAGGAACTTTAAAAAAAAGGACGAAAGAAAAGTTTCCAAAGGGAAGTACCTATATCATGGAGAAGAGCTGCAAGCTCTACCTGCGAAGATGAACAGAAATGGTTCAACCATAGGAAACAAAAATTGAAATTTCCCAAGAACTTAATAGACGGAGACTCTCCACCATAATTACTAATAAACTCATTTCAGCCCCTCACTGAACTAAAACTAGAATGCAGATATCGACGAACAACAGAACAAATCAGGGGTTTAGGGGACTAAAGGATTTTTTTTTAAAAAAAAAAGAAAAAACTCACAATCTCCATGGAGTCGGAGTTGGAAGAGAGACCTTCCTCGCGAGCAATGGAGAGAGCAAGGTCTCGGACCCTCCACACGTGCGAGGCGTCATGAGAAGCATCGTTTCCCTTCATCGTCTTCTCCACCAGCTCCTCCGCCTTCCTCGTCGTCTTCGTCTTCGTCGCCGCCGCTGCCATTTCGACTATCTCGGTGGGAGAGATTTTGATTTTCGATGTCGGCCTCACACAAATACGTCGAAGCTCTCTTCTAAAATTGGCTGCTTTCTCGGCGACGATGCCACCGGGAAAGAAAAGATTTGTGTTTTGGGTTTTTACACTTTTACCCTTACTTATCAAAAACATAAATTAAAAGAGAACCCTCTATCACAGCGAGTCAGCGAACTATACACCTTAAAATATTATTAATTTAATTCTTTTTTTTTTTTTTGATAAACATTATTTGTTAATTCTTGACCTTAAAACCTTAACAATGATTACGAGACTTTGAGACTTTGAGACTTTGAGACGTTGAGTATGATTTTTGAATATATCTTTTTCATGTTCGGTGACCCATTTTCAGTATGAACTAAATTTTTTTTTTTTTTTTTTTTGGTAAACAGTATGAACTAAATTCTTAGTACGTAACCAAAGCAAATCCAAGCCGATCATTATCATCTTCCTATATACTAAGATTCATATAAATAAATCATCTTAGTTAAGAAATTTAAATTTTCATTTTTGCTGACTAAGTATATTAAAATCAAGAACTATATTAAACCCACATATATTGCCAGTTTGCCACTAATCATTATTCGAATATAGATCAAAAAGATGTCATAAATCACATCATTATTGTGAATAAATTAAAGAGAAATTACTCAGATTAGCACTAAGTCATCCAGTTATTACTAGATTAACACCCCAAAAAAAAAAATTTACTAGAATAGCATATATATTTAATCAAAGGGCTGAATACCCTATGTAGTTCCTAATAATAACAGCTATGCCATTATATTTATCAATTTTAATATTTGAAATTTGAATTATGTAAATATGATTAATAAATTATTATTAAAAAAATAAACACAAACTCAGAAGTTAAAAAACCCTAATACTTATCGGGTAAAAAAAATCTACACAGTCACCGCCATTAACATTTTTCGGTTTCAACGGCGCCGGAAATCGCCTTACCGTTGACTGCTCTCCTCACGCCGTGGTTTCTCCTTCTCTGATTCACTGGTCGAGCAGTTGCCGCTTATTATCTAGTGTTGTCTTCACCAAATTTCTTGTCGTCTTCACCCAATTTTGTGTTGTCTTCACCAAATTGCAGAGTGCAAAGTTCAGGTCGAACCTCAGCCTTCCTTTTCCTTATCTTCTTCTGATTAGTGTGAATTTTTAGTTTGATTGTTCAGTTCACATATCAAAAAGTAATCACGATAAGTTCTGATCTGTTAACACCTTTTCAAAGTCATCCCCACTGAAATCTAAAGTAAAAACTAATTGAGAGAATTTTAATTCTTAGTTTATTCTTGTCGTTGTTAGTATTAGGATTTTAAATATTATTAGGATTATTAAAATTATCTCTTCTGTTAGTTTTCACATCGTCTTCACTTCGTTAGTATTAGTATTAGGATTCTTAATTTATTTTCCCTATATGAACTTATAGAATTTTTAACCCAGCTTCTCTTATTACGGTTTTTTATTACTAGTTATGGCCTCATCAAGTGTTAAGAAGAGATACCCTCCACTACTTTTTGCTGAAGGAAAAGCACCTAGTCAGTTAAGAAGCATGAACCACAATTGCTATCTCTCCAATTTAAAAATGGTTGAAATAGGAGTTGGAGCAGATGTGTGGGATGCGTTAAAAACTTCTTCCGTTGGAGTAATTGCTAAGCTTAAGGAGGTAGACTACACATGGTCTGCTGGTGTTGTCCATTACTTGCTAACACATCAATTGGTCATTGAAAAACCTTATGAGATATGGACACTAATTGGTATTACCATTTGCTGTCATTTGAATGAAATCTTCAATTACCATTTGAATGAAATCTTCGTATTTGGTATTACCATTTGCCTTTTCTGTCATGATTTTACATTCTCTTTTGTGATCAACATCAAAAAGCCACCTATTTTTCTCAAAAAACTATATACCACAAATAAGATTTATTTGTGACATAGACTAGAAATTAAACAGATTACTATGAACTCAAATAAGAAAAAATTTAGTTTAGGTGTGATCGTGACCAATTTACGTTAGAGGCGGCTTGAAAATAAAAAGAGGTCACATAAATATTTTCTAAGGTTTAATTGGTATTTAATATAATTAAACTCTGCCACAATTTCCAACACATTTGTGATATAAAATCTGTAATGACTAACCTGTTGTAAATCTGTTACAATAAGAGTATTTAAGCCGGAAATAACCTGTCATGCAGAAAAGATATAAAACTGTCATTTCATACGGATTAAAAACTGCCATCAACAAATGAATTTTAGACAAATTAATAAAGTCTGTTATCACATAAAAAAAACCTGTTACCACAGCGATACTAGTTTAATAAGTAATTTTATCAGGTGAAACTAATCATAAATTTGTCATCAAAGACATCGTGTTATACAAATCTGCTAGCACATAATTTTACTAATCTGCTAGAGAAAACAAACCTGTACTATAAATCTGTCATTGCAAAAAGTTTTTATAAAAAATCGGTCATAGTAATTAAGTCTGTTGTATCATTACAATAAATCTGTAGAATAAGTCGACCACACCTTTAAAAAACTGTAGAAAAAATTAAATCTGTGGAGTCATACCAAAGACTTACTTTTAAAAAAGTGGTCATTCAAATAAATCTATAAAAAAATCAGCTATTAAAGATAAATCTATACAAAATCATAAATCTGTCACCATTACTGATACAGATTTTTCACATAACTTTACAGATTTTCTGCGAAATTTGAATGGCAATTTCGTAAATATTAATTTTTTTTCATTTAAAAATAAATTATAATGGCATTTTTGAATTAATTTTTTCCTAACAAAGAAAAAAGGGTAAAATAGACAGACAAAATTGTCCAGTAATTTAAATAAAATTAGAGCTATTCTAGTAATAATCATATAAATTTGTGCTATTTAAGTAATCTTCCCTAAATTAAATGACATGATCAACGTGTCATTTACCATGATTTTGGGGTTAATTAAATGTTAATATAATGCAAGAAGGTGTCATAATAATTTGTTTCCTTTTCTTATTCCTTATGACGGCATCGGCCTAGCATCATCATGTTCTAGCTCTACCACACCATATTTTGTGTGTGAATTGTGATCATATTTGTATATATTATAGAAATATTCTATGCATCACAATTGATTCTTCAATGAACAAGTAAAATGGGAAATAGTATCTCGGATGTATATTTATTTCTATAATTTTCTACAAGAAAACGCGTTTCCCTTCGTAATGAAAGGATAAGGTTTGATATGGAATCATTCTAATTGGAAGTGCATTTAATACCACAGTTACCATAAATGGAAACCATTTACTTTATTACCAATCCATGAACAACTATAAATTCCACTTCCAAGAAAAACTCTGTCGATATATTAAACCCCCCATAAAAAACCCTAACGACAATTTCATCCCTCCCTCTCGTTTGGTCATGGAAGGAGCAAGGGAAACTTCATCCATCACTTACTTGACGCCCACGGATCAGAATCAAACCCCTAACGCGTTGGTTACTCAGCACAAGAAGGAGTTAACAACACAAATCCCTAAAACGAGCCGAGGTCGTCAGAAGATAGAGATCAAAGAGATCCAAGTAGACAGCAAGAGACATGTAACGTTCTCGAAACGACGTAAGGGGCTTTTCAAGAAATCCGCTGAATTGAGCGTTTTGACGGGCGCAAAAATCGCGGCCATAACGTTCTCTAAATGCGGTAGGATCTACACTTTTGGCCCCGTGGACACATTGATCGACAGGTATCTTCGTAAGAGTCCGGTGAGTTTGGAGGTTTATCACGGTGAGGATGCGGCGGAGGAGGAAGGGAATCCGTGGTGGGAGCGGCCGGTGGAGAGTGTTCCGGAGGAGGATTTGGAAGAGTACATGGCAGCTTTGAGTTTGTTGAGGGAGAATTTAGGTAAGAGGATCATTGAGATGGGTAATAATACTGATCGGACGGTTGAGAATGTTCCGACATGGCCAAACAACATGATGGGTTGGAAACCAACGATGGATATGCAAAGCTTAAGCTTGGATAATAGGATGGATGGATTTACTCAAAGCCGTGGAGGTCAAAACGGGTGATTGATAAAGGGTTTCTCTAATGTAGTTCTAAACTATTTGATTTTTAGTTGTGTTGAGTCTAGTTATAATTTCATGCCATTGATATTAAATTATTGATTCATTGTTTTCTTGTCTACTTGTTACTTTTAAAACTAAGCCATTTTTAAGTATTTGTTTGAATTATTGATCTTTGAACCATACATATAATGTAGTGTAAGAAATTATTGAAATCAGTTAAGACAACTTACATTTATCTGTTCTTGGCCCCCTTCAATTTGATATACCGTAAATTTCAATGATCCATAATTTAGGGTAAATCAATGATCCATAATCTAGGGTGGGTCTACAAGTCAAAACTAATAATTATTACCTAAAAATTGCATGAAATTTAATTATTTGATCGATCCTTTTGGAGAAAAGTATCAACGAGCTTTAATCTTCTCACAAACAATTTAAACTAATTTGACTTTAATGGAATTCTTTTCAAAATTTTAGACTATTTGTTATGCCGATGATAAGTCGGCTTCAAATATGTTAGTATGCAATATGCATGTGTGGATTGTAGAAGTAAGAAAAGAAAAACAGAGGTTGTGAACTCGTGACCTTTCAGAAATTTTTAGTTTGAATCATAGGCTAAGGCAAGCAAAAGTGTCAAACAATATTGTAATATATAATAAATTCATGGTTTTTTTTAGAACATTACGTTTTGTTAATCGCTACAAAAACTCTCTCAATATGGTTTATATAATAAGATAAGAAAACAGAACAACAGCTGAATATGAAAACAAGAGCACTAACTAATGCTCTGAAATCTTAGTTTCTGTAAATGTCAATGAAAAAGAAACGGGCAAGTGACCTTTTTCTTATTATTACTCAAGATTGATCATGTCTATATAAAGAGGTCTTAAAAAACAGAATGCTTAGTCGCGGTACTCATCCATGAAGCTCTTGTGGAACTCAGTGAGACGGTTTACGATTGCTGGAATCTTATCTTCTTGTGGAAGTATAGTGCACCTGAAATGCCATGTTCCGGGTACCTACATCAAAGCCGACAAAAACACACAAAGATTAATAACAGGACTAAGTGAGCTTTCAGTTTGGAGAAAATGTCTTTCTTTTTCTTTTTTCAAACCTGTCTAAAGCCAGAACCAGGGACGACGACTATTCCAGTAGCGTTTAGAAGTCGTTTGCAGTAGAACGCATCTGGTACTGTCTTTGCAGCTTCTGCAGCTGCAATAGCTTTTTGTGGAAGCTTAATGCAAGGGAATAGATACATGGCTCCCTCTGCTCTATTGCATGTTACACCCTCTAGCTTGTTCAGAGCTTCTTCAAGGGTCTGCGCGGTTTAGCTCAAACGCATTAACACCAGAAAAAAAAAAGAAATCTAATCATGATTGCTACCAAGTTCTCAGTCAATGGCTAACCTTTGCACGTTTTGCTAAAGACGAGAGAATTCCCTCTTTCTCTGCTATGTATGAATCATAGGAGTCGTCACCAGGCTGATAAAATTTCATAAAAGATGTTAAAAGTCAATCATCGGTGTACAAGTTTTCAAGCCACTTAGAGAGCTAGCTGTTAAAGCAATATAGATGTTTTATACCTTGGGTGGGCTCATGACGAGGCTGGCGAGAATTTGACCAGATATGTTGGAACAAAGATTAACAGAAGCCACTTTGTATATCTGTTCTCTTACATCAGAAGTGAATCCAGTAACCTCCATGTAACCACCTCTTTTCCCACACTCTCCGTAGTACCCTATTGAAAGAATGGTTCCAGTTTTGAGACTACTTTCCCATTGCAATGATCAGAAGCTTATCAATGGATTAAGAAGTTAGTTCTTTTCAAACCTTTGGAGATAGATTGGAACGAGACTAAGGAGATATCCTTCTCACCGTAGCCCATAGACCGGGCTACTTTCTTGAAGGAATGGAATTTTTTGTCAGGGACATAAACATTTTCCTGATAAACTTCGTCCGCTAAAATAACTAAGCCCTCTTGCTTACAGAAATCAACAATGTCACGCTGGTTTTCTTCTGCAAGAACCTTTAACCAGAAAAAAGCCGCCCAAAATTCAGTCAAACTGTAGAAAAAGTTTGGATCGTAATAGACTTGTGGTTTAGTCTTGAACATCCATTTACCTGCCCTGTCGGGTTACCAGGGTTAATGACCGCCAAGGCTCTTACAGTGATGCCCTTTGACCTAGCATCCTCTAGTTGCTTCTTCAGCTCGGATATTTCAAGACCCCATCCTGATGCTTCGTCAAGGTAGTATGGAACCTACCAGAAGAAGGTGACAACAATCAGAAGAAAGAAAAAAGAAACTCGGAAGCAGAGATTCATTTCCACAATCAATATAGGCATGTGCCAAAATCATCAGACAAGACATAGCAAACATACCAGACTTCCACCGTGAAGGGCAATTGAAGCTGAGTACAATGGGTACTGAGGAATAGGGCAAAGGATTCCATCTTTCTCTGAACTTATGAGAAGTTGCATCATCATATGAACCTAGAACGAGGGGAACATTACTATCACCATAAGAACAACTCGTTCTGTAATTTCTATGAGTTTTAGGGAAGTTTATAGATCGTTACCCCAGGGCTAGCACCATCTGTCATGAAAATATCATTAGGATCAGCAGGGAAACCATCACGGGCTTCAATTCCAGCAGCAATTGCATCACGTAATCCTTTGATACCCTGAGGCAGAACACAAGATTAAGAGAGGGAAACATTCCTGGGTGAGAGAGTGGCTGTTAAGATTGACAATGCCACAAACCTGGCTGTGGCTGTAAGCACCAGTTGCTTTCCCAGGAATTTGGTCGAGAATCTTCCATGCACGCTCAATAGAATCGGCACTGATTAAATTTGCAACATCATTGTTAAACAAATCTTATTCAACCAGAAGAAAACCACTCAGAGGCTGAATTAACAAACATATAAATCACTTTTGGTACCTGAACAAACCATGAGTTGCACTCTCGTCCAACAAGGCTGTGTGGGAACACAACGCAAGAACCTGAGACATAGATGTTACAAATTAACTCATGGCTAACATATCGAACAAACCAGCACCAGCAAAAAGCCCACTTATCTACCTCTCTGAAGAACGTTATAGGCTGTTGACCAAGAGATTGAGGATTTCCGATATTACAGTAGATAATCTGCCAAAAGGGGTGACACTTGTAAGTTAGAACCAAGTTGTGACGACATGAAAAGACCTACACCGATTGTAAAGTACCTCATCAAAGGGATAAGCGTCCTTGTTAGTCTTCAATTCTTCTTGCAACCTCTGCGAGGTGGAAGCACAATGAACAAAGCAGTTTCCACTTTAGAAGAATACAATCTAGGATAAGGCTGCTTGCTTACCTGTGCAATGTTGACAATTTCTCCACGGACAGCATACTCACATTTGAGAACCTGAGACCACCCAAAAAAAAAAAAATGTTAAAAGTAAAGAACCCAAACAAGAGCTTCAAGATATCAGTCACTAGAGCTAGATTCAGATGCAGAACTGTTCCCTGAGAAGAAACTATTCAATTGAAAAATATGAATATGATTATTTCAACAAATGGGGAAAACAAGTAGGCATGAAATAATAGTTAAATCACCAAAAAGGATCGAATCTAGGAAGAACACATGAATACAGAAAGGAACAGACTTTTTAATATCCGCAAAAAGCAGAAGAAGAAAAATCCCAGCTTTATAGCAAGAACAAAAGATAGCCTTAAAAAATAATACGTAAAAGAGACAAATCCATCATTGATCGAGATGCGAAGACGAATAAGAAATCGTTGAAACGACATAAACCCACAGCACAGAAGCAGTAGCTCAATAAACCCCAGATCAAGTACAGAGTAATCTCGAAGAAAATAAACGATGCTTCTTTACCAAATCGTGAATTTTCAGCTGATCGAGTATACAACACATTCAAAATTTATTTAACAAAACTAAACCAGGTCAATAGAGGACGAAAAACCCAGAATGCAAATCACGAACAAACAGCAACACCCAAAATCAAATTATTGATTAACCAAGAGGAAAGCGAGATTCTTAACATTTAGACAAAAAAAAAGGAAGGCGAAAAGAAAAGAAAAAAAACCCACCTTGGGATTGATGGAGTCAAGAGTAACTGGAAGAGAGGAAGAGGAATCAGAAGCAGACATCTCGGAAGAAGAAGACAAGAGACGAGATGAAGAAACAGGAATAGAATCGGAAGCCGCAGAAAAAGGAGGAAGAAGAGAGAGAAGGCGGAGATTTTTGTGATGATGATGATGTTGACGACGAGTCTGATCTATAAGATTTTTAGCTTGGCCAATCACGAATCTCCGCATTTGTGTGATCAGCTTTATACTACTAGCTGCCTCAATCTAAAATTAGATTTCGATAGTTTTTGCTAACAAGAAAGTTCCCAATTCCTATGTCGTCTCTTTTCCTTTCACACTGATTTTGACAATTTTATTGCGTCCACCGATTTGGAATTTATGGAGAATTTTGCCTTTATTTTCAACGGATATTTTCTTAAAATCATATTTTCAACGAATATTTATTTCTTTCTTTCCTTTCCATTTTGTCAAAAATCAAACTAGTCAAAGAAAAAAATTCTAAAAAAGTATTCATATTATTTTTTTGTGGTGAACCGAGAGAAAATTTCTCCCAATATTATTATTAAAACTTCAGCAATTACATATTAACATATCGCGATAGAGGCGAACTCGAAACATCCTCCCTCAAAATCGTTTCAACAACAGGCGGAACATTATTCAAAAACAAAAAACCTAAAGGTAAAGAAAAGTCATAGTTCGCTAATCCATCAGTCAGACGATTAGCCTTCTTATACACGTGAGTCACTCGGACTGTCCAGTTATACCAGGAAAGACAGCGGATGCGCATCTCCAATCCCTGTCTTTAAAAACTCCACTACCATCTCCGAGTCTACTTCCAGCTCCAAGCACATTACCCATCTCTCCCAAGCAATGTATAACCCATAATACACGTTATTGTTCACAATCTAGTTAATAGACTCAGATTTACTGAACCCGTTTATGATAAAATTGTTACTGGTAATCAAATAATGCATTTTTGTTTACAAGTTCATTTTAAATGGCCTAATAATATATTAAGACAAAACAATTAAAACATAAACAACTTCTAGATCATGGATTCATTTCAGACAAAACCATGTGCTTTATTGTTCGAATGCAGCGACGGAAACGCTGTTAGAATTTGGACAAACCACGTTCATTAAAATAGATTCGGGGCCAATATCAATATGGGCCCATATTACGGAAGTCTTTCTTTCGGTTCAACTGGTTCGTGAGCATAAAAAATCGATCATATTATTAACCAGCATAACGACGTCGATTTGAACGCTGAAAAAAAATGAAGCGATGTCGCTTTACGTCTCTATATCTTAGACCCTCAGGATTTAGTCTTCCTCAACATCTCGCTCCCCTAAAGTGGGCTTCTCCTTTTTTTTTGTGGTTATGAATGTAAATATCATTAATGAAAATGAAATGTTTAGCTGTTACAAATGAGCTACTAATGATTTTTTTCTCAAATCATTTTCAGATTTCAGATAAGTATTATGTTAGTGAGGAGGCTCTGTTAGTCTGTATGATAGATAGATATATGCAAGCTACTTCAGTATTGTGTTGGATGCAAAAAAAGTTCCACTTTGTTTATTTAAATCCAATCAGTATCAGCAGTTTAGAGAAGTACAATCTCTTATATCTCGAAGGGAATTTCTTGCTCATAAAGGTCGGTGAATCACTGCGATTTTTTTTTTTCTTTTTCATTTTGAAGTGCTACAGAGATGAGTCATTGTTGCAGTTTTGCAGTGAGAACTAATCAGTGATAATCAATAGGCAGCTAAACAATGAACATATAATGAGTTTGTTTTGCATTTTGGTTCGAAAAAATTAAAATTTCCCGAAGAATACCTTTCTTTCTGATGGATCATGCGTTTCAAGCTTAGAACCAAACACAAAGAAAGAGGTTGATCGTTGTGTGCTTCAGCCTTCAGGGTTCAAGTACCACCGAGAAGAACATGCTAAGGCCTAGGATAAACATCCTGAAGGTAAATAAACCACAAAATAGAAAAAGAAGAAGAAGAACAAACAAGTACGAGAACTTTCCTTTCCAACTGAGATCACTGGGAAGAAGAAGCAGAGCACAAAGAAGTTGAGAATTTAAAGGTTAGACTACACACGAGTAGGGCTTTTTGTTTGTTTGTTTGAAGTCTCTTTGCTTGATCCATAAGATTAAATGCCCCAAAATTAAAAGATGAGCTCATATTTTTCAAGTAGATTACAGCATTAAGAAACAAGTCTAATTACGTATTCTACAAAAAGAGAAACACAGAGGACCTAAGAAAGAAAGGAAAAGAAAAGAAAGGCAAAAAGGATTGAAATTTTAAGGTTTTCTTTCTGCTGTGATCTGCTGTTTCCTACTTCCTTCAACAAATATTGGTGGATTACACCTGATACAAAGAAAACAGTCTTGATGTCAACTACACCTAATTATCCTATTGGGATTCATAAAGAACAAAACTTTATTGTATCTTGTTTTTTCTTTACTTGTTCTGTATTGGGTTTGAGCCACTCCTTGGGATCCTTCGGAAGCTATCTTTTTCTCCTTTAAGCGGCTTTTCTTTGTTCATCTCCTTGCTTATCTGCAAATCTCTCACAGCTTGACGAGAATGAGTTGTCCTTAACAGAGAACGTCCCTCTACACTATACTTGCTGCTAAAGAAAGCTACAAGTAACAGAAACAGAGCCACTGAACAGCATCTCTTCATTGTGAGTTTTATTCGTGTGATTCGTTTAGGAGTACTGGAAGCTCTTAGGTTGTTCTTGTTATGTTTTTGAGACTGTAACTACTTAAAAAAATTCTGGCTTGAGTTGTGAGTTAGAGAGAAAGAAATAGAGAGAGAGAGGGACGAGAGACTTCTAAAGCTTGTTTTTGTTTTCTGTTTGGTTATAACTTCTAATGGTTGTTGCTTTATAGAATAAGATTTTTGTGTTGGAAAACATAGTTTTGGGGATCTGATCACGTGATCTGACTTTGACTGCTGCTATTTAGTCAGATGGTGAGATACTTATCTTAATCTTAATCATTTACCACTGATGATGATATTCCTCGCATCCACATTTACACATATAAACAATTCATATGTAGAGACAAAGATCCACATATACACATTACCTAACTCATGTAAATGCTTTGAAACTTAGAGATGGTGGTCATGTGATTGCAGCACGTGATTTCTGCCTAGTGTTATTGGGGAACTCAAAAGAGGCTGAAACTTAACTTTGTTGAATTTTATATGTTTTTGAAGTTCTAAAGACATAACTTCGGAACTTGGAGGTATTAATGTAAAAGTCCAATTTTCAGAAAATAAAATGTTGCAGGTAAACAGCTGTTTTGTCTCTCTACTAATCAATACCTTTTGATTCCTTGCAAAATTGTATTTTTCCTTCACAATATTTTAATACATTATTTTAAATGATGAGAAGAAAATATTGATTCCAAGTACCGGCACAGATTCTTGATGAGTAGATCCGCAAGTGGAGTGTAAAGAAACAGGGAAAATGCATTACGCAATTTCATTTGTGTTTTTTTTTTTAATCAAACTCCAATAATGTATAAGGACTTTTGAAATGAGTTTAGATTATTCAATATTAATCCCTAATTAGAAAGGGGGTTCTTATGTCAAAAAGGAGTATTATTTTGTGGGTTGTGTGGTGTGGCATAGAAATAACGAACCGGAATGAATATAAAATACCGGCAGAACTTGTGGGACAATTGTTGAATTTCGTTCGGTTTATCTAAACCAGCCCAAGTTAGCCTATTCTCTCTCTACCATACGACAAGAGAAAGAAGTAATTAACGAGAAACCCCAGAGAGGGAGAGAGAATCCTCCTCGACGGAATTCGATTCAGGTGCTGATTTTCTATCACAATTTTCCAATTATTTTCTTGGATCTGGTGTTGTCTACTTAGGGATTTCTTCGCTGCATTTCCTTGTGATGTGACTTTCTTCGTATTTTGCGCTTCTGGGTAAGAGCGAAGCTTGGATTGCAATTGGATCCTCTATTAAATTGAGATTTACTGCGAGATTTTTTTTTTGGGTGAGAAAGTATCTTGGGTTCTTAGGTATTGATCGAAGAAATTGCAGTTGATTCGAGTTGGTTTGCCTGTAATTTATCTTATCAAAGGAGTTTCTGGGTTGAGATATTTTCTAGGGATAGTTTTCTTTCACTTGAATTGGGATCGATCAAATTTTCCGCTGCTTTCAATTGGGTCGAAGCTCATATAGATTTTGGGGATCGGTATTGAAAGGTGTCCTTTTTAAAGTGTTGTTGATTTCAAGTTTCATTTGAGCTTGTGTGTTATTCGGTTGACTTGTCTTATCAATCAGGTCATAAGAGAATTGCATAATATCTAGTCTACTCTTGTTTTCTCTGTATCTGTTTCGAGGTAGTCCACTAGGTAAATCCTTACATCAATGGCACAGAAATTAGTTTGGGCATGTTAAAGTTTTTTTATTCCATGATAAAATGTCCAACCTTGAATTGGTGAACTTTCACTCTAATATAGATTTGGTTTTGTTGATTATGTTTAGACGGATTTAACAGCAGCTGCAGCACCACACGTAGTCCATATTACTTAGATGGCAGAAAAAGCTTGTATAAAACGTCTTCAAAAAGAATATAGAGCACTTTGCAAGGTACAACCTCTTCTAATGTCGCTCCTTATTCTTTTGAGCAGGAATCAGGATTCCTTAAATTTTAGCTCAATATTCCTCGAGCAGTTTTCTGTGAACTTTTCAAATGTTGCTGTTTGTGAATGTTTTCTTGGTTTTTGGTCTGGAGTAAAGTTTCATATTTTCTTTTGTTTCTTTAGGGGTTATTTATGATATGTTCTGTTTTGGGCCTATAGGAACCAGTCTCCCATGTTGTTGCTCGTCCTTCCCCAAATGACATTCTCGAGTGGCGTAAGCCTTTTCTATCTTTTTATTTGACTTTTGTCTATGTTTCTCCTATTGGATCTCTCGAGTCCTATTGAAGGTGTTAGGATGAGTTATACTCGAATGACATGTTTTTGTACTTTGGAATATACAAGAAGCTATGAAACAAGGGGTTACTAATCTACTATGATGAGGCTAGACAGAACATGTCTTGTTTTAATTGATTACTTTGATAGAAATAGTGAAGATTAGTTTATCAAAGGTCTATATAAGCTTAAAGAATAAACACCAAGATTTGATACTTTCTTCTCAGCTGTGTAAGGCTGTCAATGTTACTGTTAATCTGACTGTTGTTAGGCAGTTTCAGCCTTGGCAGTATTACTGCATTTAGTATTTAAATAAAGGTAGCTGGGTTTCTAACAAAGAGTTGATTTTTTGGCGTTAATCTTACAGATTATGTGCTGGAAGGTAGTGAGGGAACACCTTTTGCAGGTGATAAACTTCTTTCTGATGTTTCTTGTTAGTTTTGTCTTCTGCATTTCGTAGGAGTATCTAATTGTGCTACTCGATTCTCTTTAATAGGTGGATATTACTATGGAAAGATCAAGTTCCCTCCAGAATATCCTTACAAGCCACCCGGAATTACGTATGTTCTTCAGTTCTTCAGAATTTGGTCTCACCATTGAATCTTATTTCAGTTTGTAGTTCAGTTTCCAATGAACCACATCTTTTTTTTTTGTCTGCCTCAGAATGACTACGCCAAATGGTCGATTCATGACACAAAAGAAAATCTGTTTGTCTATGAGTGATTGTAAGCTCAAAGGCGCACTTTCTATTTGTTATTTCGTTGCAATAAAGAGTTTTAATGAATAATGTTACATGACATTTTCAGTTCATCCAGAAAGCTGGAATCCGATGTGGTCTGTGTCGAGGTATAAATTCTCCTTTTGCAATATATTATAATTGACTTTCATAGTGTTCTTTTATTTTTGAAAGATGAAGATCGATAAACCTGGAGTTAACCAAATTTTCTTCTAACGCGAATGCAGCATTCTTACAGGGCTTCTCTCGTTTATGGTAAGCTCATTGTAGGTTCTACAGTTTTTTTTTTCCCTCGGCATTTCAGATATATGGGCAATCTCACATTCTTGTATTGTAATGGTGCCTTGTAGATTACAATTTGATTATTTAACAAGGTAATATCTTTTATTTCTCTAAACGTTTTCCTTGTGGCGCAGATGGATAACAGTCCGACAACCGGAAGTGTGAACACTACAGTAGCTGAGAAACAACGTTTGGCTAAGTCATCTCTCGCTTTCAATTGTAAAACGTAAGCTCATCCAGCTGTCAAAATTTACAGAAGTCTAGATTCATTTTACTTAGGGACCAATATAGGAGTGAATGCTTTAATCATGAGCTTACAAGTTCTCAGTATCTCACCTGAAACCTGATGTTCTTATTGGTTACAGCCCAGCATTCCGGAAGCTATTTCCAGAGTATGTAGAGAAGTACAACGAGCAGCAGCAAGAAGCTGAGCAAACGGAACAGAAGTCACCAGAGTCTCCTCAAAAGAGCAATACCAAAGCCGAGCCAGAGAAAACCGTCGACCCAACAAAGGAAGACTCAGATGGTGGCTTGAAGGAGAGGAGGAAGAACAAGAAACAAGGATTGCCAGCGTGGATTATACTGTTGCTAGTGTCAGTTTTCGGGGTTGTAATGGCGTTGCCTTTGCTTCAACTCTGATTTCTATGCCACCCAAAACATAGAAACGGACGGCTCTTCCGATCAAACAGCTCCTTCTCTTTCTCTCCCTTCAGTATCAAGAGTAGTCTTGTTTTGTCTAGTGCTCTTCTTTCTGAATTCACTCTTGATTTAGCCCCTCCCTCATGGTTTGTGCTTTTAAAAGCAGATAACATAAGCTTGGTTTCACATTTATATACCTATGTTTAGCTTTGTTCAAACTTCTTTGTATAGCATATGAAGATGGCCATTGGTTGGTTTTCATTTGATAAATCCGTATGGTTTTCAATTATTGATCTTATCCAACACATTTTCTTCCAATAGCTCGTATCAATCAAAGTAGATCCAAAGTTTGCCCATTTGAGTTAGTGACAAAATGTAGTTTCTTCCAAAATGTATTTACACCTTTTTGTTTTTGTAATTCAATCGGATTTCAATTTTCAAAACTCGGGGACATCCAATAATTTGATTTACCGGGAAATATCACAGCTCAGTGATTTCTAGCTCGGCGATGGAGCGCAACCCGCCGGACGAAGACGAGGACCACCGGAGTTTGATCCCACATAACGACATCAGAGACAACGATCTCAACCGCCGCCGGGAAGACAATATTCAGTCCGTCACCACCGCCAGGGCCATAAATATGGCAAACGGCGATGACAGAAGTCCGAGATCGGCGTTCCAGATCGACGAAACAGTGACGCGAACCCGGAGCCGTTGGAATATCTCACTCGACAAGCGTTACGTCGTCGCTGCCGTCTCTCTAACTCTGCTCGTCGTTTTTTTCTTCTTATTATATACTAATCCTCGAAGATTTTCGTCGAGCTTTAAGCTTGATCCACTGTCGACTCGGGTCAGGGAATCTGAGCTCCGCGCTCTATATCTTCTGAGGCAGCAACAGCTCGCGCTTGTCTCTCTCTTGAACCGTACCTTGGTAGATCAAACAGCGAATCTCAATTCTTCGAATTCAATTGGTTCTTCTCTGCTAGTAGACAATGTGAAAGCTGCTCTGGCGAAGCAGATTTCACTGAGTAAGCAAATCGAAGATGTGCTTCTATCACCACACAGGACCGGGAATCACTCGGTCACTGATCCTGGTTCAGATAGTATCACTGGTTCGTACAACTATGAGAGATGTAGAAAGGTAGATCAGAAGTTGTTGGAGCGGAAAACGATTGAATGGAAGCCTAGACCAGGCAAATTCCTTTTTGCTATCTGTCTTTCAGGCCAAATGAGCAACCACTTGATTTGCTTAGAGAAACATATGTTCTTCGCTGCGTTGCTGGATCGAGCTCTTGTGATCCCAAGCTCTAAGTTTGATTACCAGTATGATAGAGTGATAGATATAGAGAGGATTAACACTTGCTTGGGAAGAACTGTTGTTATTTCTTTTGATCAGTTCAAGGAGATTGATAAGAAGAAAAATGCTCACATTGACAGGTTCATCTGTTACTTCTCATCTCCACAGCCTTGTTATGTTGACGAGGATCATGTCAAGAAGCTGAAAGGATTGGGGATTTCCATTGGTGGGAAGCTTGAGGCTCCTTGGAGTGAAGATATAAAGAAGCCAACTAAAAGAAGTTTTCAGGAGGTACAGGAAAAGTTTAAGTCTGATGATGGTGTGATCGCCATAGGGGATGTCTTCTATGCTGATATGGAGCAAGATTTGGTGATGCAGCCTGGTGGACCCATCAAGCACAAATGCAAGACACTGATTGAACCCAGTAGGCTCATTTTGTTGACAGCACAGCGATTTATCCAGACATTCTTGGGAAAGAATTTTACTGCGCTTCATCTCCGTAGACATGGGTTCCTCAAGTTCTGGTGAGTTTTTTTCTTCCCATCTGTCTCCTACTAGGGTCCGTAACCTTGTCATTGTTGCTCACACTCAATCAATTGCGGATATCGGAATACCATTCCTTTCTGGTTTTGTGAGTTAGTATAATATCTCTATCCAGCCGTTTGACATGTGCTTTACTTAGGCACTTCTGTGTAGCAGTTATATACTGTGCTGATGTTGATGTTCAAGCTAGGGACTAGGTTAGCATTTTGACTCTCATTTATAGCTGGCGCTGACTAATCTACTAAAATGATTTCTGGCCAGCAATGCAAAATCGCCAAGTTGCTTTTATCCAATACCACAAGCTGCAGATTGCATCAGTCGAATAGTGGAAAGGGCCAATGCTCCAGTAATATATCTTTCAACAGATGCTGCAGAAAGCGAAACCGGCCTGCTTCAGTCGCTAGTAGTCGTTGATGGAAAAGTCGTTCCACTTGTCAAACGTCCACCTCGCGACTCAGCAGAAAAGTGGGACGCATTGTTGTATAGACATGGTATAGAGGACGACTCTCAGGTAACGAATTCCACTGCTATAGTCCCTTTATTGCTTGTTTATGGACCAAATACTTTGTTCTCTAGAAATCACTCTGAAACCCTGTCTCCAGTGTGTTCTTTAACAGAAATCAAATCGAATCGACTACGATCCAGTAACAGTCTTTGTTTGATATTTCTTGCGTAACCTTAGCTTTTTGATCGGAGAAAATTTCTTGGATGACTCTTTGTTCCCGTCTCTATGACAAGACTCTCTGTCGAATTCCTTTGCTTGTGCTTGGTTTTTGGAATGTGTAGGTGGATGCTATGTTGGATAAGACAATATCTGCAATGTCAAGTGTCTTCATTGGAGCATCGGGTTCTACTTTTACAGAGGATATCTTGCGGCTAAGGAAAGACTGGGGAACTTCATCTATGTGCGATGAGTATCTCTGTCGAGGCGAAGAACCAAACTTCATAGCAGAAGATGAATAAAAAAGTAAACACATTCGCTAACCTTTATATATCTCTGTTCTGAATCCATTGTTGTTTTTTTACCTGTATTATTATAACATGAGCATTTTTTTTTAAAGTTGTATAGTTTCCCTCCCTCATACAAGAAACATAATCTTCTTTCTTTCTCTTCTGAGAAAAGAGATCGAAGCGAAAGCCAGTTGAAAGAGGGAGAGTAACAATAATGGAGCGCGATGATGAAGACAAGAAGCTGATATCAGAAGTGTATGACCGATAGGCGAGAGATGGAGAGTTATCATCAGAGAAAGATTTTCAAGATGGAGGAACCAAGTAGTAAAGAGTTATCAGAAGTTCAGTGCAAAATCAACTGAGCCACAGATCAGGTGAAATTTCTGCAGTCACCAGACAAAAAAGCACTACATTGCAGCCTACACAGACCATATGTGAATGCTCTAAATTTTCTTGCATCCCCGAGGAACCCAAGATTGTTCTATTACTCTTGATGTAAAATTTTTAGTTAGGGAAAAATCAAGAGAGTATTTTAGACGGTATGAGCTGCACGGATCATCTTTGCGTCAATTTGCTTGAGCTTGATCACTGATTCTAAATGCCTTGACACCGAGTGTCCCTCTACGAGCCTATCAGATGAACATAAACACGGTTTTTTATGCATCAGAGATGGCTCTGGTAGTATGTGAAATAGAAGAGAAATTTCGAAAAGCGGTGTAGACAAAATAAGAGAACCTGGCGATTTCCGCACGCCTTCTGGTTTGTTCAGCAATCAAAGAAGCGCGAGAACGACTTCCACTGAGTTCTTCTGCAGAATGACTTTTCTGAGAGATGGTTACATTGCGCGTTCCATCATCTTTTCCATAATCATTCTTATAAGCAAAAGCGGTCTGCAAAGACAAAAACCAACAGTCTGTGCCTTAAAAAGAAAAAACAGAGTATAAGCCTAGGACCGAGTAACAAGCAGAGGACAAGACATGCACCAACCTTACGGTCCAATACGAGGTTCCAGGCATCTCCACTCAATGCGTAATGGAAGACGAACTTTATAATATCTAGAGGTATGTAAAATATCAAACTGTATAACCATATAACCCCTGCCCATCTCCATCCGATGCCGGTGATGTTAGCAAAGCTGATATTGGCATAGACTGCAATCAAAGTAGCTGCCTGTGTACATGAAAACGCACTAGTCAAAATCAAGACCTATGCATGCTATATATAGTATTCTGTGATGGAAAAGGTCAAAGATGGAGAATTCTTACAAGTTGAGCAACAATGAAGGCGAAAATCAGGAGAGTCCCTGGACGTTCAAGAAATGACCAGCTTCGACTACGTGTTACAAATATTAGTGCCTGACTGATGATGCTCACTTGGAGATACACAGCGGACGAGACTTGTTCACTGTTTTTGGCGATTGATTTTACATGGAAGTGTTTCTGCAGTCATTAAAGATCAAAGGGGGTAGTTACTGTTGTTATGCATTCTTCTCGGTAAGCAAAATCGAGAAGGAAATTGATACCTCGAAGAAGGTGGTAAAGACAATGATCCAGTAGAACAGGACGGTGACCAATGCTAGGTATGTTCCAATGACAATCCCAGTGGAAAATATCTGGTTGAGCTTCCAACTTTCAGGTGTTGGAGATGGCCTAACTCGATCTTTAGAAATAGTCATGATGGTCCCTGATGCGTAGGAGATAAAAACAGAGCATTTGAAAGGTGTTGAGAATTATGTTTTTTTTTTTTTTCTGTTTTCCATCAACATGAAGCTCTTGAGAGTATTAGAAGATTACCGTCATTAAGTATTGCGATTATCAGAACCATGAAAGGTGGAAAGTCGTATTCCCATATTAATGCTAAAAGTGTAAAACCAAGCTGCATGAAACAATGACAAGAAGAGAAGGCTCAAGTAGAAGTAACTTAACTTAACAGGAGTTAGATCATGTATTATGAAGCTCCTTACCACTATTCGTATAGTGATCGAGACTGCATATACCTGCATATTTGTACTGATTAGTCGGTAAACTTAGAGAGAAACATTAGCAACTTCAGAGTTTCATCAAACTACTTGAAATTCATATCCTATTTTATATGAATTTTTCTTATCTTTAGCTATTGTGGAATCAGATGAAAATTGTGTAGAACATATCTTTAGTACTTAACTGTATAGTTCTTCATCCGCTGGAAAATGGCTCTACTGGTCAAGACAGCACTGATAATCACACTTAAGCCAGGCTCAGTTAGTACTATGTCAGCAGAACTTCTTGCAGCATCTGTTGCATCCGCTACAGCTATTCCAATGTCAGCTTTTTTTAGAGCAGGAGCATCATTCACACCATCTCCGGTCATTCCAACCACATGCTTCTTTTCTTGTAATATCTTTACAATCTCATACTTATGTTCTGTAACATGAGAGACAAATCAGAAAAGAGAGCAGATCTGAAACTCAGTAGATATTAGCGTTGTGTTGTGATTATGACCAGGAAATACTCCAGCAAATCCATCTGCCATTTCAATTAGCTCATCCACTGGAATGGCTTCATGTTCATCGTTGTTGTGGCGTAGCAAAGAGGAAGAAGGATACATGTTGGTTCCCATTCCAAGACGTCTGCCTGTCTCTTTTGCAATCGCCAATTGATCACCTACATTTTTTGTCCAAACTTATCATCAGAACTTCATTCATTTTCCATGGAGTTTTACCGTTTGCATCATAAGGGTGTGTTTTCATGAAAGAATATAGATCCATTTCTTGAGTTCTAGAATTACCGGTGATCATCTTAACACAAACTCCAAGGTTAAGAGCTCTAAGGATGGTTTCAGCACTGTCATGCCTTGGAGGATCAAACAGTGGCAACAAACCACAGAATCTCCATGGTCCTCCAGGACTATTGATGCTTTTCTCTGGAATTTCCTGCAAACAAATGAATCATGCCATGAATCGGAGCAACTATTGTCATTGCACTCTCTATAAAACCATATCAAGAGAGAAAGGGAGAGGACAAAGATGTTACCTGATAAGCAACAGCCAGAGACCTCAAACCTTTTTCTGCAAATCTATTGATGATGGCATGAACTCTTTGGGAAATATAATTTTTCTGTTGGCACAAGCTTAGAACCTACATATAGTATAGTAAAGTTACATCTAGAGTCATTTGATAGTGCCAAGTATAGTGTTATACTTTGCTACCTGTTCAGGAGCTCCTTTGCTAGCACGATACCAATTTCCATCGGAATCAATATATGTAATTGCTGTACGTTTGTCCACAGGATTGAATGGCAAGAAATGAATTTCTTTAATGTTTGCACGTGCCTACAGATAAACAACCTTTGTCTAAGAAAAACTCCTAAGAATGTGACAACTTATAAAAGAAACATCTCTACCTCTCTAGGATCAGCAAGCATGCTAACAATTGCTGCATCTATAGCATCCTGATTTTCTAGTCGTGAAGCTCGGCCTGCAAGTAACAAAATTGTGTCCTTGTCCATGTTGTCATCGAAAACCTGTGCAGATGAATTTGGACATTTACACAACGGTGAAGAAGGAGGAGAGGAACATGGAGACAACTGTTCTTAACTGTAAAATGCAAAAGTCATATGAGAAGTATTGGTTACCTCAATAAGATTTCTATCAACAGTGAGACTGTTCAAGGTAAGGGTTCCAGTTTTGTCACAGCAGAGGACATCCATCCCAGCCATTTCCTCTATTGCCGTCATCCTTTTCGTAATGGCACCCTTTTAGCACAAGAAGAAACATATTATTGTTGCCAGTAACAAACAGTTTTAAAGAATGTCAAATAAAGGTTTTTCTTTTTTGCATTCAGACTTGTATTTTACTAAAGAGAAATGACACTGTACCTGTTGTGAAAGTCGATGAGATCCAATGGCAAGCGTGACAGATAGTACAGTGGGCATGGCAATGGGTATCCCTCCAATCAGTAGTACAAGAAGGTTATTGATCCCAACTCTGTAGGAGCGATGTTGTATAGGGAACATGACAATGATTTCAAGAACCATTCCAACAGCAATTGAGCAAATGCAGAAGTTCCCAATTGATGTAAGCACCTAGCAGAAAACATTTTCAAACAAAGTTGTTATGTTCTTGCAAGATGCAGAAGAGAACAAAGAATGAACGACAGAGAACCTGCTGAAGATGTCCAGTTACATCTGTGCTGTCCACCAAGCATGCTGTTTTACCAAAGAAAGTGCTCGAACCAGTGGCTATCACAACAGCTTCTATTTCACCTTGCTTACAGGTAGAACCAGAAAAGACTTGCTCACCCTTCTTCTTGGTCACAGGTAGCGATTCTCCGGTTAGCACTGACTGCAGAAATAGAAGTTTAAATAGTGCTATAAAAGAAAATAGATGCAACTAAGTGCTAAATGTTATGTTACGTGCCTGATCAATTTTCAAGGGGTCTCCTTCAAGAAGGCGAGCATCTGCAGGAATGATATCCCCAAGCTTTATGCTAATTATATCACCAGGTACCAAGACTGACGCATCTTGCTCTTGCCACTGTCCATCTCTAAGAACCTATTTAAGAAGGGATCTTGATCAGATTTTGAGGTAATATGGAAACGAGCTTTGCCGTTTTGGCTCATTGGAGTACAAAATCGAAAAGGTGAAGAAGCAGACTCTTGTTTTTGGAGCCAAGCGAGCCATAAGAGCTGCAGCAGCATTTCCAGCATTGTTTTCTTCAAAGAAGCTAATTGTTGCGTTGATCAGTAAAAGGCAAACGATTCCTACAAAGTCTTCCCAGTCAGGACCTAAGCTCTGTAATAACAATTTTCATCATGAGACGATTTCATAAACTCTCATAGACGAAAAATATGGTAGAAAAACTCTGATTGTCTTACTTCACTGTTTGCGAGGGCGATGGCAATCAATGCTGCAGCTTCCATAACCCATGACAAAGGATTCCACATAAAACCGAGGAACTTGAGAAATTTGTTCTCCTATAGAATTTGTTTTCAATTGGCATTAGCACAACACTCACATATTATCCAAGAGCCAATGTAAACAACCAAACATTCAAAGAAAAAAACAATTAAGTCCGAAGGATAATTCATTGCATTATGCATCAAAGAGAAGATACCGTCAGTGTAAACCTTTGGTGGAAAAAAAAATTAAGAGTGTTCATAATGAATAAGATCTTAAAACTAATGAACTTCTCTCATGTCCTTGGCAGGAATGCAATGGAGATAAGCTGTTTATTACCCGTTTCTCTTCGAGTCTGTTAGGACCAAATATCTTCAATCTTTTTTCAGCATCTCCAGATAAGAGGCCCCGAGGCGATGTTCTTAGGAATTTAAAAACCTCCTCCAATGGCAATAAACCCTGTGAAGCTGAGGCGTCAAAACCATTTTTTTGCCACTAAAGAATCCAAGAATTTTAATGATAAAAAAAAAAAACAAAGGGGCTACGCATCACGTACCAAGTCAATATTTTCTCTGTTGAAAGTAACAGACTCCAGCAATGGTTCGTCTAATTCCTCGGCCACGCTTAAAGCTTCAAAATCCATGGTGCACAAGTACAACTTCAAAATCTACATTCCCAGATACGATCCACACCATGGAACTAGTGAACAAGTCTTGGAGAAGAGTACTCCGGAACAGAAGCGAAAACAGGAATCTTTAAAAAGGGTCCACGAATAAAAAATTGAAACCACCATTCCGTGGCTGACCAGTTGATGGAATATTGGGAAGAAGAGATTCTCCTGCAATATGGTATCGCCATTAATGGGAGCATCATAGTGTGGGAAGAGTAGATGAGAAAGACGAAGAGGAAGCAGAGAGAAAGAAGTGTGGTTGATTTCACTTACTCGACCTAACGGTCCGGACTAACGACCTCACTTGTTTGGGACTAGTTTGTTTATATGGGCCGGATTCGGTTACAGGCCCAAGTTAGTACTTGCTGAGTGAGTTGCATGTAGACTCTTTGATAATTTCATCATAAGTACAGGTTAGAGAAAACACGAAAAGGACTATCAATTAAAAAAAGAAAAGAGACGAGTCAAAACATAATAAAATATAGAAACTTGGTCTTATCTCGCATTACGTAGACATCGAAAAAAAAAAAGGATTAACAATGGATCAATGGTATAAGAAAACTGATAAAAAGGCGTTGAGAGAAAAGAAAACGGAATTCTTGAAGATGTTGACTATTTGCCTTGGTCAACGCTAGTATGACGAGAAGTCTTGCTTTATTTTGTCTGGCTAGTATTACCAAGAAGATTGTCATCTTCTATATCGGTTTCTTGTCTGGTTCTTGATCTCACCAAGATGAATGAGAACATGAGATCCAAAGCCCAAAGTCTTGTGAGAGCTTCATCAACCATACGACCAACACCCCTTCAGTGTGTTCTTTTTCTGTTTATTACAGTTTCAGAGGCTGTCTGCAACCCGCAAGATCGAGAATCTTTACTCTGGTTCTCTGGAAACGTTTCTTCTTCTTCTTCTGTTTCTCCTCTGAATTGGAATCCTTCCATTGATTGTTGCTCATGGGAAGGAATAACCTGCAGCAATTACTCCCTGAGTAGCCGGATCACTGCAATCTCCTTGCCTTTTAGAGGACTATACGGCAAATTCCCTTTGTCTCTTCTCCATCTCCACCATCTCTCTCAACTCAATCTTTCCCATAACCGTCTCTTAGGTCCTCTCCCGCCGGATTTTCTCTCATCCCTTGATCTTCTCGTAGTACTTGATCTTAGTTACAACAGCTTCACTGGTGAGTTGCCACTTGAACAAGCATTTGTAAATGGAAGCAACAGAATCTTCCCGATTCAGACTGTTGATCTGTCAAGCAATTTTCTCCGAGGCAAAATCATCGCTACTTCTGTTTTTCTCCAGGGTGCTTTCAACTTGACCAGTTTCAATGTCAGCAACAACAGCTTCACAGGTCCAATCCCTTCGTTCATGTGCAAGAGTTTACCGCAGCTCAGCAAACTGGATTTCTCCTATAACGATTTTACAGGCAACATCTCCCAAGGATTAGGCAGATGTTTGAGGCTAAGTGTTCTACGAGCAGGCTTCAACAATCTCTCTGGCGAAATCCCAAATGAAATCTATAATCTTTCCGAGCTCGAGGAACTCTCTCTGCCAGTCAATCATCTTTCTGGAAAGATCGATGACGATATCTCCCGGCTCAAGAAACTTACCATGCTTGACCTTTACTTCAATCACCTTGAAGGAGAAATACCAGTCGGCATAGGCAACCTCTCGAGCCTGCGCAGCCTCCAGCTCCATATAAATAACCTCATTGGCTTGGTCCCGCTTTCTCTCGCAAACTGCACCAATCTTGTCAGTTTAAATTTGAGGGTCAATCGGCTGAGAGGAAGCTTAACAGAGCTCGATTTTTCTCAGTTTCAGAGTCTTAGCATTCTAGATCTCGGAAATAATAGCTTCACTGGTGATTTTCCGGAAAAGGTTTTCTCCTGCAAATCGCTCACGGCGATCAGATTTGCAGGCAACAAGTTCACGGGACAGATTCCGTCTCAAGTGCTGGAACTTGAGTCCTTGTCATTCCTGTCTTTTTCAGACAATAAATTAACAAACATTACAGGCGCTCTAAGCATCCTGCAGGGCTGCAGGAAACTGTCCACTCTCGTCATGGCAAAGAACTTCTACGACGAAACAGTTCCAAGCAACGCAGACTTTCTTGCACCAGATGGATTCCCTAAACTCCAAATATTTGGCATCGGTGGATGTAGATTGAAAGGTGAAATACCAGCTTGGCTGATCAAATGTAACAACTTAGCAGCCATGGATTTGTCACACAACCAGCTTCTAGGGTCAATTCCTGGTTGGTTGGGAACTCTCCCCAACCTTTTCTACATCGATCTCTCAGATAACCAACTTTCAGGAGAGCTTCCAAAGGAAATATTTCAACTAAAGGCTCTAATATCCCAAAATGCCTATCACGCAATAGAGAAGAACTATCTACAGCTGCCAGTTTTTGTCAATCCCGCTAATGTTACCACCAATCAGCAATACAATCAGCTGTCTAGCCTCCCACCTGGGATCTACATCAGACGGAATAAACTTACCGGAAGTATACCAGTCGAGGTTGGCCAGTTAAAGCCTTCATGACCTAAAGCTTCATCACAACAATTTGTCTGGCAGCATCCCTGATGAATTGTCAAAGCTCACCAACTTGGAGGCACTAGACCTGTCCAACAATAATCTATCTGGTGGAATCCCTTGGTCGCTAAAAGGTCTCCACTTCATGTCCTATTTCAATGTGGCCAACAATAGCCTGGAAGGGCCAATACCCACAGGAAGTCAGTTTGATACTTTTCCAAAAGCACATTTTGAAGGAAACCCTTTGTTGTGCGGTGGTGTACTGCTTTCTTCCTGCAAGGCTCCACCTCAGCCGCCTGCTACAACCACGGATGAAGAGGATACAGAGGAGTTAAAAAGAACGTTTTTCGTAGGGGTTGTCATTGGGTTTTTTGTTTCCTACTGTTTTTACTGGTGCTTGTTTGCTATGCGATGGGCATAATAATAAAGATCCATTGCTTAATTTGACTAAGTATCTATTTCCACAGGTAAAATAAACTGAAAGTGTATTCATTTTAATCTCTTTGATCTGTATCAAATTCGTACCAGAGCAGTTGGTCTGTTATGACAGAAACCTCGTTTGTCATCAGTGTACCACAACTTATCAGGGGAAAAGGCTAAAAATCAAAGAGCAAATCATATCAATATTAACAATATGCAAGCTAAAATTAAGAGCTTTCGAAACGATATCTTCAAAAAGATCCAATGATACACTGAAATTGAAAGCTGAGAACCCGAGGAAGTATACTCGAATCAGATATCAGACATTTCAAAAAATAACCGCAAAGAGAAGAACCTGGCACCTGGAGTTAACAGAGAGACGGCGAAGAATAATGATGGATTTCTTCTCGCTGGATAACAAATTAAAATTTTGGGTTTTCACCAGTAGTCGAGAATCGTATTCACTGGGGAAGAAGGCTAGTGTCAGCTCCGTTTGTTTGCTCCAAAAGTAAAAAACTAGTAATATTTACAATTTTGTTCCCTACATTTCGTTTTGTTTATAAAAATTAGATCAATATTCAATGTCAAACATTCGGGTTTAGAACCCAAAAAACAACATTACATCATTGCATTTATAACCGGAAAGGAAAAAATAGGGACACACCGGCCGGAATGATATAAAAACTGACACCGGAAGTGCCTCTCCGGCGGAACATTGATATAGAAATCCTAAATCAGTCGTTATAGCTAAACCCGTTAAGAGACGAAACTAAGAGGCCCAACGGCCCACAAGAGATTCTCTCCAACAAATCAGAGAGATCGACGAAAAACATTATTTTTAGATAAAAAGGTTTAATCTTCTGGTAACTTATGAGTAGTTGTCGTGATCTATGTACGATCGGAGGAGCATTGTGGCGCAGAGCCGAATTATACAGAGACGAGCATGTTGCTGTTTCACCAACGAAGAGCATTTGGAAGTGAAGCTGCTCCGGGTTCTGGAATTAGGATTTTTCTTTGCCAGATATCCACCCATGGGGAATTGATTATGACTTTTGAATGAAGGAAAATTGATGAAATCCGCCCTTCTATATATATATACAATTTTGAAGAAACATTGTGTGCCTGAACTTGGTCTAGTTTTCGTCTGTACAACGATGGAGTATCAAACACATTTTTCTCAAACAGAAGATTTTGTTTGAGAAAATTAATCACTTAACTTCGGTTTCAAGTTTGTCTTTTTCTACTCTTTGTGTAATTGTCTTCTTCTAATTTTCTGGAGAAGCAAGTTTGTTTGTTTGTTTTTTTTTTTTTTTTGGTCGAAGAGAAGCACGTTTGTTTATGTTCAATGTATGATAACTAATTTACCAAAGCATAGAAGTTTCCGGGAAGATACGTTTGTTGGTTTCCTCTAAACAAATTGATTTTATTTCACGGGGAAGGAAAATCTAGTTCCTGGACTCTGTTTTGTTCTCTTGCAAAAATAGTTTAATCATGCTTTACATGTTCTGCAATGTTTAGAATGTCTTGGTCATTAGAGGCTCAAGTGGACCAGAATTAACAATTTTAGATTCCTCTCTCTGTACCGAACCGGACTAACCGGATTAATTTGTTGACTTCAAGGTGATGCAGCAAAGTCAATTTCTGCAGATTAGCAAGAAATGTTCATGTGAGAAACAGAAAACTAGAATGAATGTTGTAACTTTCAGAGAAGTGTGTGTGTGTATGTGTGGATACTGACCTTTGGAGGAGTTTTCTTCTTCAAGAGGAGTTTCTGATGTGAAGGAAGAGGAAGAGGAGGCGCTAGTTGATTCCCGAGCTCCGAAAATCATAGCGACAACTTCTCTCATAGTTGGTCTACTAGCTGGAGAGTTGCTGGTGCAGAACAGTGCAATCTTTAGGACTAGAGACATCTCATGAACCGTTCTCTTGTCATTCATATCCAGCCTCGCATCAAACATTTCAATTGTTGGTACCATGTTACGTATTGATCTTCTAACCCAATTGACTAGATCCCCTCCTTGCTCCAACGGTTGAACCGGAGGCTTTCCTGTTATCAGCTCCAAAAGCACAACTCCAAAGCTATAGATATCGCATTTCTCTGTCACCTTCATGGTGTACGCATATTCTAAAACACACAGCAAAACATGAATCAGATATGTCTCGTATATAAGCCTCTGTGTGTGAGAGAAAGAAACATGTGATGTTATAACTAACCTGGAGCTATGTATCCGTAAGAGCCAGCAACAGCTGACATGGACTTTGAGTAAGAGAGATCAATCAACTTAGCCAGGCCAAAATCTCCCACATGAGCCTGGAAAAGCTCATCAAGAAGAATGTTGTTTGATTTAATGTCGCGGTGAACTATTTGTGGTCTGCAATCATGATGGAGGTAACACAAACCCTCTGCTGCACCGAGTGCGATTCTATATCGAGCATTCCAATCCAACAAGCAAGTTTTCTCACCTCTCTGAAGCTGTTCCCCGAGACTTCCCTTTGACATGTACTCATACAAGAGAAGATTTGAGTTCTGGTGATAGCAGAAACCATATAGCTTCACTATATTCCGGTGCCTTATCTTTCCAAGTGTTGATATCTCAGCTCTGAAGCTATTATCAGAACTAGCTCCTTCTCCTCGAGAATTCAGCTTCTTGACGGCTATCACTTCACCATCTGACATTTCAGCTTTGTAAACCGTTCCACACGCTCCTCTCCCTAAAACCATGTCTTCAGAGAAGTTTCTAGTTGCATCCACAAGGCCTTGATATGTGAAACCTTGTTTAGGGAAATAGTAGCTGTCCATGATATCCGGTTTTGTCTGATCCTCAAGAGCAACAAACGCTGGTTCACGTCGCTTTATTTCCCAACAGATACCAAGAAAAGTGAGAAGAGAAACTGAGCCGATCACTATACAAGCGATTGTCAAGATCTTTTGCCTCTGTGAACCGTTCATTAACCAGTTTTGCTTTGAATCAGAATGTGGGACAAGTGATTCGCAGTGGCTTCTCCGAGGGTTACACAAACCGTGGTTTCCAGCAAAGTTTGATGAATCCATCCTCTGAAAGACTGCTGTGTCTGGTACAGTCCCTGCCAAGTCATTGTTTGAGATATTGCAGATGAGGAGGCTCATGAGATTCCCAATTGATGCAGGGATCTCACCTGAAAGCTTGTTGTCGTTTAAGTCAAGTATCTCCAACATTTGAAGATTCCCTAAACTGTCTGGAATCGTGCCCGAGAGATTATTGTGACTGATGTTGAGTGAGATTTGCAGAGAGGTTAATTTACCGAGCTCCACAGGGATGCTTTCAGACAAGAGATTGCCTCCTAGTTGTAACTCCATGAGCCGAGTAAGATCTCCAAAGCTATGAGGAATTTCTCCGGTCAATCTATTATCAGACAACTTCAAAATCTCTAGATTCACCAACTGGCCAAGCTCTTCTGCTATGTATCCAGAAAACTTGTTGCCGCTAAGGTCAAGCCTCTGGATAGTGACACAACTCCCCAACTCTTTAGGAATGTAACCTGTGAGCTGATTGGAGGAGATGTTTAATCCAACAATCTTTGTGAGATTCCCAATCTCATGAGGAATTTCACCGGTGAAATTGTTGTTAGCTAGACGCAGTCTCTCTAGATTCTTCAGCTTTCCTAGGTCTGCGGATATGTTCCCTGATAACCAGTTTTGGTGAAGCTCTAATGCAGAGAGGTTCTGAAGATTAAATAACTCAACGGGAAGAGTTCCTGTTAGCCGGTTATCTCCTAACATTAGCTTTGTCAGCGACTTGCAGGTTTTAAGATCGTCCGGGATGTTCCCTGATAACTTGTTCGAACCAAGACTCAGAAGTATCAGCTTCTGGAATCTGCAGAAATGAGCAGGAATTGAACCAGAAAGAAGATTTGCAGACATGTCAAGAACAGAAAAGTTGCTGTAGAAACCGATAAGAGGAGGAATCGTCCCTTCAAGCTGGTTGTCAAAGAGTTGCAGATCAACAAGATAAGTTAAGAACTGAAGCTCTCGTGGGATAGTACCGGTTAGTCTATTGATAGACAAGTCTAGCTTCTGCAACAGTGCAAGTTCTCCAAGCTCCCTAGGAATCGGACCTCGAAGATTGTTCTCAAAAAGATGAATTAATTGCAGATTTAACATCTGACCAAACTCTCTTGGTATGAAACCCGTTAACTGATTCTCTGAAAAGTCTATCTCCATTGCATCTGTCAAGTTTCCGATCTCGCGAGGTATCTCTCCGGTTAACTGGTTTGTGTAAAGGTACAGCCTTTTCAACTTTGCTAGCTTCCCAATCTCTCTTGGAATAGATCCCGTGAAGTAGTTTTCGTGCAGCGCAAGCACCTCAAGACTGGTGATGTTTCCAACAGAAGGAGGTATCTTGCCGGATAAACGGTTTTGCCAGAGTATCAAGTCAGTGAGGTTTTGAAGCTTCTCGAGCTGCTTAGGGAGAGAACCTTCAAGAAGATTCTCTGCTAGTCCAAGTACCTTTAGGCTCACGCATCCGCTGATTTCAGAAGGAATCACACCAGAGAACGCGTTCCGTCCTGCCCTAATGACCCTGAGATGTCTCAGTTTCCCCATAGAAGGAGGGATTACTCCGGTGAGATTGTTGCTGTAGATCACAAGCTCTTGGAGTGAACTCAAGCTACCGATATATCTAGGGATTGAACCGAAAAGGTAATTCTCGCATAGATAAAGCTTCTGAAGAGTGTTGATCATGGTTATCTGAATTGGAATCACTCCATGGAACCTGTTTGTGCAGAGATCAAGAACCTCTAGGCTTCGACACAGAGATAAATCTCGTGGGATTGGACCACAGATGAAGTTGGTGGAGACATTCAGTTTCTTTAAACCATGAAGCTTGCATATGAGAGGAGATAGTGTACCTGAGAGATTCATCCCATTGAGATCAACAGAAGTTACAGTTCTGAGACGAGTACACGCGATTCCAGTCCAGTTGCAGGGATTTGAATCTGACTGATTCCAGCTTCCGAGATAGCCATTGGAGTCATTAAGCAAAGCTTTAAACTCCAGAAGGATAAGCCCTTCTTCGTTTAATGATGTCACTAAGATGAAGGAGGAGAAAGAACAGAGAATCGAGATCGCCAATAAACATATCCTCTCTCTGACGACACCACCCATTTTGCAAGTTAGCTTTGGTAAGAAAACAGAGTGGTCTCTGAACTGTATACTGTGCCTTAGCTTCTAAACATCTGGAAAATCCTGAAGAAATGAAAAGAATGAGGAAACATCGATTGTTGGAAAATCAAGGAAAAGTTTGGCTAAAAGGTAAAAGGATTAGATTGATGGAAAAAAAAAGACTTACCTTGATTGATCAAGAAAAGACTATCTGTGAAACACTTGGAAATGTCTCTGTTTTTGTCTCTAAAAGTCAACTCTGTTTTAATCCTCTTTGTCGACGACACCTTCTCTTTTCTCCGATTTTGTACTCCATAATTTTCAGCTGAAAGTGGTTTCAAATCACGTGATGGTGATCTGGTTTTGTACAGATCCATTGAATTAAAATTTTGGACCCTTTTAAGTGTTTCTCTGGGTTGTCAATAGAAGAAGAAAAATAACAGAGGATCTTGATTGTTGGGACGGTGAGGATTTGATGAAGACGACACGTGAAAAAGGGACGATTCAGGACAATGATCTTTAAGTGTATCGTTTGCTTTATGCGTTTTAATTTCTTGGTGATGGGGTGAGAGAGAGAGCGTTGGGGTCTGTGAGCTCATGATTTTATCGTTGACCGTTAAAAGCCGCACACAACTCACAAGTGGAAGTGATTGCTGTCTTTCTCGCGCCCCATCTTGTCCGTTAAATTGTCACTAAAACGATGTTCTTTTACACTCTCATTTCTTTCTATCTGTGTATCGTCTTTATATTTCTAGCATATTTTTCTACCAAAAAAAAAAAAAATCTACCATACTTTAATCAAAATAAATTTAAATTTAGTTTACATAATTTAAATTTGAAATTGGATTTTTCAATTTTTTAGATCGTGGTTTAGTAGTCAAATTATATATGCAAACTTATTAGTAAAAATAATTATTGATTCAAGTACCGTTACATTTATGTTTTCTGATAAAAATTCTAAAACGAAAATGAATAAGTCTATGGGATGAGTCGTTGGATCGAGTGGTATAATCCCAAAGGAAGATTTGAGGGGTTTGGAAGGATTGCCTAGCTTTTAGGATAAATTTGATGTTAAAGTGGCGGATTATGGTGGAAAAATGGTGGGTTTGTGGGGTGAGTATGCGCATGTTGAGAATCATCGACAGAAAACAATATGGTGTGCTGAAATTGCACTTCATATAAACCATAATTTGGAGATCATTTGGGATGCCCTTGGCAAAGTGTTTACATCCAGTGAACCATATGGTTTAATGCATGCTCTTGCTACTATTGTTTATGAATGTTATGTAATGATTTTTCTTTCCTCATAGTTCTTTTTTTCATACTATTTTTCTTGTGTTTTCATTCCATAACTTATTATCTAAAATCTATTTTGTTGTTGATTTTTATCTTGGAGTTATTCATGCATGTTTAGTACTATCAACCTCTCTTTATCTTGAAGTTATTCATGTTCAGTTCTATCAACCTCTCGATTACATATGGGAGATTGTTGAGCAAAAGACTCATTTAGAAAGAGTTTTATCAGCATAAGAGGAAAAGAAAAATCAGAGTCGAGGAACTAGATTAATAAGTTTTTTCTCCCCTGAATTGATCAAAACAAACAGAAATAGTTTGATGGCTCTCTACCTTCTCTGTCTTCTCTGTCCAGAAAATAGGTTTAGTGGGTAAGCATATATACCTATCCAACCTGCTATGTCAAGCTCTTGAAAACCTTCCTGAGACTCCAAGTTATAAAGGCATAGTTTACTCTTGTAACCCATCACAAGCCTTCCTAATTCCACACGCACACAAATTCATAGTAGAATGGAGTTTCACAGTAGAATGGAGTTTCACTCAAATCTATAGAGAGTACAATCTTCCATGATTCCTGGTCATCATTTCTCATTGCACTCTTCTTGCACAGCAAACACAGCAAATGATCTCTCCAAGGAGTATTGTATCTTTCTCACCAACATCGTCATGAAGTTCCATCACTTTCAGTTCTGATTCTTTAATATCTAAGTTGTCCAATGTAAATTCATAAATTTGTATAAGGTTCATTTCAATCGTTGTGACTTTGAGTTGGAAAAACAGAATACAAACAACATTGCTCGAGACATCTCTAAAAATGTTCTATATCGTTTTCAGTCTTATTTGGTTAGGGAGGTCCATTGTAGCTTCATGATCATCTTTATTATGAGGCAGTTTTGTCTTTTGTGCATCCTTATCTCCTGCCCTTAGGAGTTTGATATCATTCATAGTTTATACTATAATTTCTTTTTTTTGTTCTTGTTACAAATTCTTGGATTTTTCAATGATAATGCAATTCAGACAGAAAACAAAAAAAACAAGTTATGTAATTGTCACAAAAATCTGTATAAAACTTTTTTTCTGAGAAAATATTGTACCGAATCAAATAAAATTAGAGTAGAGTTTTAAATGGTTTTATGTTGTTTGTATCACAAAAACTTAACCAAAATATATCTATATTTAATTTCTATAACGTAAATTTTTAAATGTTAGATTTTAGATTATATTTCTAAATATCATTGTAAATATTTGGGTAAGTAAGTCACTAGTCAAACTAGTTAATTTTACATATATCTTTATTGTTTCAGTTAGATCGATGGATAAAACCTCTTCCATGATTCTTCATCCTATCTCTCATCCAAACTCTTCAATTTAAAAGTTTATAGGTTACTCTTACCAACAATCTTTTCTCTCTGTTGGATAGCAAAAGACAAAAATTTCCTCGGAATTCTCCAAGTACCTTCATACTTGACATATTATTAAATTTATCACTATGGTTTTTCAATATCAATAATAACATACATATTTGACATCAAACTACTTCCATTTGGTTTTTGCAAGGAAAATAGGTTGACGTTCTTCACCTTTTATCTCTTTCACCTTTAAAAATACCACCAAGAATCATCTTCACAAAGTGTAGATTAAATCATATATGGGAAGGTTATACACAAAGTGTAGATTAATCCTAATGAATAACACAACCAAAAGTAGTGAATTTATACAAATATTAAATTTATAATATTTTGTGATTTCTTTTCAAGATTTGTTACATTTGGGGTCTTTTATCCTACATCAATCAACCAAATGTAGAAGCATTTGCCATATACAAAATGAGACCATACAAACAACGTACCAATCAAACTGGTGTGACCCTGAGGCTCTGCTTTTTTCTGTTTGCTTTAGTTTCTTTGATGACTTTGGAATTACAATTCAACTCCAGCTTCTTCAATCGCAGCAGACATTGAAGCCGATGCTTCTTCTAGCGTTCGCCTCTTTTGAACCGCGTTAAAGGCCTCGATGATGTCTCCTTCAATCCAATCGTCGTAGTCATCCATACCAATTCCACATTCTAATCCAGCACTCACCTAGAACAGTATAAACGAGGGAGAGAGGGGTTCATTTTTCGAAGTTATAAAGACAAGTCCGAATTTGGTTTAAATTTGGAACATATCTCAGCGTGTAAGATGGAAGTTGATGGTTTAGGATGACTCTACCTCTCTTTCAATGTTATTAATTGAGAAACTTAAAAGATCTGTGGTTTAGGCGAAATTTTTACCTCTTTCACATTTTCTTTAACTCGCTTAAGAGAATCAAGGACACCAACGTGGACAGTTTTACCCTTCCGAATCACTCTGATGCCACAATCTTTGACAAACTTCCCTTCATTCACCATGCATCCAGCCACACGACCGCTTCCACTGCTGAAAGTAGCTCGAACTTCTGCTGAGCCTATTGGGATTTGTTCCTGCCAATAGCCACATGAATCTTCAGTTTTCAAAACTCCAAAAAGGCTCACGAAGGGACACTAAAATCTATGTTTATAATAATCCATGACATGATATAGAGATTCACTTTTGAGGCAATTCAATTACTCAACCCAAAAAACCAGCACCATGTGGAAGTAAGAAAAAAACAGAGATCTCATCATGTGTAACTCTAAAGAGGCATGTTGACAAGTTTAGACAGCAACAAAACGCTTTAGAATTGCCTAAGAAATCGATGCTAACCTCAACAGACTCGAGAAGTCCTTCCATTGCGTTTCGCACATCGTCAATAAGCTCATAGATAACTCTATATAGTCGGATTTCAACTCCTTTGTTTTCTGCAGCTTTTTTAACAGAGCCAGATGCTTTAACATTAAATCCAAAAATGATGGCTTCACTTGCTGATGCAAGATCAACATCACTGTTGCTCACATCCCCTGTCGCTTGTAGCAAAAATTTCAAGGTAACATTCTCCTGAGGGAGGACTTGCAGGGCTTGTCTGACAGCTTCAATGGATCCCTAGTAGTCACATTGGTGATTTGCATCAGCGTATATAAGAAGGGACAGAGGAAACCAAAAAGTTTGAAGGCGATGAGCTGATGAAACCTATTGATCAAACTAGCTCTTTACCTGTACATCGACCTTTAAGATGATATTAAGCTGATGCAAATCTAAGCCTGACATCTTTTTCGCTGATACAGCAGAAGCTAAAGAAGAAAGCGTGACCTTTCCATCCCCAGCCTTTGCAGATATTCTTTCATCTCGTAGTGATACTGCACGTGCCTCTGCCATCTCACGCGCCACATCAAGGGAAGAAACAATCTCAAATTCGTCACCAGCAATGGGCACATTATTTAAACCAATCACCTGCAAAAATTGGATTTAGATCCTCAAATAAGATATCTATACATACATGAGAACAAACATCAAAATTTTATCGGAAAGAAACTAAACATAACCTGCATAGAGTATTTCCATTAGTGTGTGCGCAACGACTATTAACCTATGTTAGATTATGAAACTACAAACCTGTACAGGTATGGAGGGTCCAGCTTCATCAACTCGTTCCCCACTGTGATCAAATAAAGCTCGTACCTAAACACAGAAAAAGAGCAAGACGAAGGTAAGTTCCTAGTCATTTTATACCGTCTGCACAATATGGCTTGAGGAGATAACTAAATTTTGGATAGACCTTTCCGAAAGCTTCTCCACAAACAACAACATCCCCTTTTTTCAAAGTGCCCTTCTGAACAATGAATGTTGCAAATGGTCCTTTCGCTTTATCAAGTCCAGCCTCAATAACTATGCCTTTGGCATTTCTGTGTGGATTTGCTTTCAACTCTTGCAGCTGAAACAACCAAAATACAGTTAGCCCCACAATGAGAAGCAAAATCAGGAGGGAGAAAATAATATGTGTGGATGCCTCCCGGTAAGCGTTTATTAGTCTAAAGCCCACTTTGGAGCGCGTATGTAAGTCATTTTGTAGCCACTATGTCGTACTTACAAGAAGAAAACAAATCAGGAGGACTAAACTCTAAGAAAACTGATCACATAAATTCGACAATCTGCCAAGCTTGTTATCATGGGATGAATAACAAACTAACCTCTGCAACAAGCATGACAGTTTCCAACAGATCATCGATATTCTCCCCTTTCAACGCACTGATCTGTCAAAGGAAAATATAGAGCACGATATGAGACCCCATGGAACATATGGAGCATGAAACATATATGTGATTGGAGTATGAATTCCAACCTGAACCATCGGAACATCACCACCCCAATCTTCAGGCATCAAACCAATTGAAGAAAGCTCTTGCATTACTCTCTCTGGACTAGCTCCGTCCTTATCTATCTGGAGCAGGAAGAGAATTAGAATGAGAGAAATTACATATACACATGGTAAAGAAGAATAAGCAAGCAATAATCTGGGGTAACAATCTTTCCCAACTCCAAGGTAGAAGAAGAACGTAGGTGCTACAGGCCTATACCTTATTAATAGCTATGACTATAGGGACAGCAGCAGCCTTTGCGTGAGCTATTGCTTCATTTGTTTGAGGACGAATTCCATCATCAGCAGCAACCACAATGATTGCGATGTCAGTGACCCGTGCTCCGCGAGCTCTCATTGCACCAAATGCCTAGATGAGCACTTAAAAGTCAGATAAGCAAGACTATGGTATGCCCAGCAATAATGTGAGATAGTCAAGCAACTTGCTACATGAAAAGAAAAGAAAAGTGCTAAGGAAGTATGATCAATTAAAATTCAGCATCAGAAATGAATGTGAGGATTTAATTTGTAAGAGAAAGGATCTACCTCATGTCCAGGAGTATCAAGGAAAACGCAGGACTGCAACTGCCCATCAACAGGCACTGACACCTTGTATGCACCAATTCCTTGTGTAATTCCCCCTGCTTCTGAAGCTGCAACCTGGCAGATATCCAGAGAAGAGGGTTAGCTAAAACCGCTATCTAGTTCTAACCTTGGCAATAAGCGAATGAAGAAACACAAAAATATTTCAGAAAGTAAAAAACAGATGTATAAACTCTAATGTATCCTCAATACATTAGTTCCCATTGGCTATGCTCCAGAAATAATAAAGAACTGAAGAGGCCACAATGAATTTTTGATAAATGAAGCCAATTAGTGTTATGTCAGATACACAGATAATTAAGTTTTGTACCTTGCTTTTTCTGATATAGTCTAGAAGAGTTGTCTGCAAAATATATAAAATTCGAAAATGCATTAGGAAAGACCTGCTGCTAAAAAAAAAAAAGGGCTTCTGCATATCCGCTTGAGAAAAAAATGTTAGTGCAAACTGTGCCTACCTTTCCATGGTCCACATGACCCATTATAGTGATGACAGGAGGCCTGTCTTCTAACTTGTCCAAATCTTAATGAGACTTAATTAGAATTAAGCTATAATTTGAGACCAAGTTTTATGTCAATTTTAAAAAACCTAAACCTCCTTTTTTCGCAAATCATCCTCACCATCTCTCTGTCCAAGGTCTGCACACCATCAGGTCTAATCCCTTTTGAATATAGATACCCAAGGATGTCACCTTCACCAATGGCTAGGTTGTAAGCCAAATCCTCGATGGACATGCCTTCTTCCTCTACCTCTAATATTTCAGCTTTAACAGGTGCTGCGTCTTTGGCAGCCTGGAGTCTTGCAGCCTTCCTACTAGCTTTACTCCATTTTCTCCCTTTTCGAGCTGATCCAGGAATGGAGAATGTATCTTCGTCACCATCATCTTCAGCAACAATTCTTCGTCTTGGACTAGCTGACGCATTTTTTTTATTACGGTGCTCAACTCTGAACTTGTTAGAGGGAGGACCCTTTCCAGGCTTAGTAGGGGCTAACACAGCCTGAGAGGCCACAGGATCAACACTTTTTTTCTTGGAAGCAAATTTATCAACCAAAATAGGCTTCCTTTCTTTAGTTTTAATGCTAGAATCAACCTCTTCCGAAACTGAAGGTTTTGCTGCCATACCAAGATCTTTCAAGATGGGACCTGACGGTTTTGATGCCATACCAAGATCTTTTAAGATGGGTTTCTTTACAGGTGGCGGAGCTACCATAGGCCTCCCTTGTAGCTTTGGTTGAGGTCTTACAGGTGGCTGAGGTCTTAGAGGTGGCTGAGCTGGTGCCAATTGAGTGCCGGCTTTGGAATTCACCTCTTCCTCCTCTCTCGATCTAGGTTCGATTTTAGGTGACTCCTTGACAACTTTTTTCACAGCTGCAACAGCATCTCCCTTACGCCACACACTCTTCATAGTTTTCGTCTTCCTTGTCCCTCCACCACTCGCAGAGCTAGCATTCCTCGAGTTACTACTGCTGGTAGTGGGCTGTGACGGTTTAACAGCCTCACCACCTTCTTTGTTACCCGGTTTAGGAATCTCCAGCCTCTCAGCTTTATCTAACACTTCGCCAAGAGATTCAATAACCTTATTCCTCTCTTCTTCTCCATCAAACTTACCCCCGTTGGATAACTCCTTACTCCAAGGAGCAGAAGAATTGACCCCCAAACCCCTTTCTACCCTTGCCACAGGGGGTTTCAACAAAGGTTTAGGAGCCTGCTTCAACACGATCTCACTATCATCCCCTTCTTTACTTCCTTTGAAAGAGTTAGAATCTATAGAAGCTGAGCTGTTGTTTTGCTCAGCAATGAAGTCAGTAGTACTAGTAGCAGTTGAAGACGAAACAGAATATCTACACAACCATCTCTTAGTTCCCTTAACGCTTCTCCTTGACAAAGAAACCCTCTTAACTAATGCATACGATGCATCCGACGAACTCGTTCCGGAAACACTTGCACCAGCACCACCTAGACTAACCAGAGAAGCCAGCGACGGCATTGTGCCGACGAGAACCAGCATCGACGGCATTTCAATCAACCCAGTAAACGAACAAGACCAAACAAAATTCGCAAATTCACTACAGCATCAGAAGCTTTATCTCCTTCCAATTTCGCATAGAAGAAATTCCTACGAATTTCGACCCAGAAACGACCCAAAAAAAACTACGAAAATTCAAAAAAGAAATTGGGATTATCGACGAATCGTTTCCGATATCATCAAAGCTAGTTTAAGAATTAATGAGCAATATTGGAGAGATATAGAGAGAGAGAGAAAGAGAGAGACGAAGAGATGAAGAAGATAAGTGAAGGAAGGAAGAAGTGCAGGGATAACTTTGAACTTGAGCTTGTGTGGGTGTGGCTGCTTCTATGCCTGAAATTTTTCGCGGATTTCCGATAAGGCCATTTACAAAAACAAAACAAAAATTAAGGCCATAAATTTAAGCTGCTAATACTAATCTCTCATTAACAAAAAAATACTTTTTTCTTGTCTGGACAAAGCTCTGATACTGGGCTCAATAGTGAAGCCCATTATAAATCGACCCGTCTGCTTCTACCGACCCGGTCGGTAAGTTTTGCGTGATTTACAGACGTGGCTACATATAAGCCGGAGATTTGTCCACCGAAGCAGCCGGATATAAATTATACATTATCGATAAGAAACGGATCCCTCTTTACTAAAATTAAATTAATATAAATTCGATTAATAAATAACGCTAAGAGAGAGAGAAATTTGTTACTTGAGACCTCGAGATTTTCTCTCTCTTGCCTACTGTGTTGAAAGTGAAGCCCGATACACAGAGAGAGAGAGAGAGTGTGTGTGTCGTTGACGAAGGAGGATGAAGGAAGAGGATGTGAGTTCGCAGAACGTAAACCCTACGAGTAACCGGAACAGTGTAGCCTCGGCGTCTGCTTCCGCATCAGCTACTCCCGTTGACAGATTCCGACGACGCGCTAGATCGCCTTCTCCCCCTCAAACTGCTGCTGCCAGGTAAACTCTCCACACACCACAGATCGAGTTTCAGAAGTGGGTAATTTTGGGTTTTTTCGATTGAATTCGATTCTTTTGTTGAATTTGGAGCCTAGGACGAGGCTTATCTAGGGTTTCGTTGTTTGAGATTTGTTTCTTCGCAACGAATTGCATCGTAATTTGAGCAATGCTTTTACTTTTTTGTAAGTTTGCTTAAGATTGATTTCAGCTCAATCGTTAACAGCTCTGTAGGGGCATCATCTCCTGCTGTTCTGGTAAACGCTGGCAGTGTGGACTGGACAGGTCACGGGCTGGGATCATCAGTGCGTTCCTGTAGACCTTGGGATAGAGGAGATCTACTTAGACGCCTTGCCACTTTCAAGCCTTCAAATTGGCTTGGGAAGCCCAAAGTATGAGTCTTTTTTTTCTCATTATATGCCCTTTACATGCATATTCATATCTCCCTACGCAGCAAAACTATATTTCCATTAAAAGAGGGAAATTCGTAGTGCATATCCTACCAGATTTAAGTTCAGTTCTCCTAAATCTAGTGAATATAGTGATGGATTCTTTGGTCTGAATGCTGATAAAAACATAGCAAATAGCCTCCTATGGATTCTTTTTTGGCGAAAAGAAATTTGGTATGGTTGATCCAACAGTATATTTAATGCGCCTTTACGTTGAGAAGTCTAAGCCTAGCAAGTCTTGGAAACGATCCGTGTATTTGATCTTAACCGGAATGAAAAAAATGAGGGAAAATAGTTAGGTTGCTTCATTTGTGGGGTTATTTACTTTTTCTTCTTTCTCTATTTTCAATTTTTCTTTTCCGTCTCCTGTGATAACTGTTGTAATTTCAACTGGTTGAAAGAAAGGTTGTTTGATTAACGGTGTGTCTTGTCATGGTATATTTTTGCTTACAGACAGCTAGTTCTTTGGCTTGTGCTCAGAAAGGCTGGGTTAGTGTTGACCTGGATAAAATTCAATGCGAGTACTGTGGATCCAATCTGCATTACTCTCCTCCTCAAAATTCGCTGAATCCTCCGGAAGGTCAATTCTTGTGTTTGTAAATAGACTTTATCTTCTTTTTCTTTCTAACTGTTGGCATCAGGCTAGGCAGTTTAAGTGTTCATTTTTCTCTTGTACTGCTATACAAAAAAAGGATAATTTCTCAGTCGTTCTGAGCATCTTTGGAGCCACGAGTTTACCAATAATAAACTTCTACCGATGAAAAGACTTTTTTTTGGGTCGTAGTCTCTGTCTTTTGCGTAGTCTCTCTATCTTTTGCGCTGTCATTTCTTCTCTGAAGCAAAAAGATGATTAGGCATGAATTATGCAGCTCTGTTATATATGCTGCTAACGTTTGATATTCCTTGTCCATCTTTGATAACAGCTGATAGCATCAGAGAAGAATTCTCCAAGCAGCTTGATGACGCTCATGAGAGCTCTTGTCCTTGGGTAGGAAATTGTTGTCCAGAAAGCTTAGTTCAGTTTCCTCCAACTCCTCCATCAGCCTTGATCGGAGGTTACAAGGATCGTTGTGATGGGCTCCTACAATTCTATTCTCTACCCATTGTTTCGGAATCTGCAATCGACCAGATGCGTGCTTCAAGACGGCCGCAAATTGACCGCCTTTTGGCACAGCCCCAAGTCTGCGCCAATGATGATCCCAGTTTCAGAATTGATACAATCTCAGCTGCAGAAACGTCCAAAGAAGAGGCTCTCAGTAATTACTCTCGTGTAAGAACTCAGGGATTTGTGCTGTTATATTTGTGGCATTTCACGCTTATTAGTCATAAACTGTACTGTTTCTTATTTGAGTTTTATCTTGTAGGCTCAAAAGCTGATAAGCCTATGTGGATGGGAGCCTAGATGGCTTCCAAATATCCAAGATTGTGAAGAACATTCTGCCCAGTCGGCTAGAAATGGATGCCCTTCAGGCCCAGCTAGAAATCAAAGTCGTCCTCAAGATCCTGGTCCAAGCAGGAAACAGTTATCGTCTTCTTCCCGAAAAGCCTCTGGAAATTATGAAGTTTTGGGTCCAGAATATAAATCAGAATCCAGATCGCCTTTGCTGGATTGTAGTTTATGCGGTGTAACCATCAGAATTTGGGATTTCATGACCACTTCTCGGCCGGCTCAGTTTGCGCCTTTAAATGCCAATCTTCCCGAAACAAGCAAGAAAATAGGAGTGACACGTGGCACTAGTGCAACAAGTGGAATTAATGGATGGTTTGCTAATGAAGGCATGGAACAACAGCAAAATGAAGATGCTGACGAGGCTGAAACATCAGTTAAAAGGAGATTAGTATCAAATCCAGGTATAAGTTTCTATCAAACTGCAGCTGGTGCATCATCTTCTGCGCAGCTGAACATGTCTGTGACGCGTGATAACTACCAATTTAGTGATAGAGGAAAGGAAGTTCTGCGAAGACAGCCTTCAGAGAGTGAGGTTGGTGATCGTGCTGCTTCATATGAATCACGAGGGCCTAGTACTCGTAAACGGAGCCTGGATGATGGTGGAAGCACGGCTGATAGGCCTTGTCTACGGATACAACATGCAGACAGTGTTGAAGGGACTGTTGTTGACCGTGAGGGTGATGAGGTTAATGACGATTCAGCAGGGCCTTCAAAGCGTACCCGAGGCTCTGAAGTGCATGAAACTTATCTTCCCTTTTATGGGCGAGATTTATCAGTGGGTGGGCCAAGTCATTCATTGGATGCTGAAAACGAGAGGGAAGTAAATAGAAGTGACCCGTTTAGTGAAGGAAATGAACAAGCTATGGCTTTCCCAGGTGCCAGAGACTCCGCACGTGTTTCCTCTGTCATTGCAATGGATACAATCTGCCACAGTGCCAATGATGATTCTATGGAAAGTGTGGAAAACCATCCAGCGGATTTTGAGGACGTAAATTATCCCTCTGTGGCGACAGCTCAAAGTGCCGACTTCAACGATCCTTCGGAACTGAATTTCAGCAATCAAGCTCAGCAGAGTGCATGCTTCCAACCAGCTCCTGTTCGGTCTAATGCTGAACCAGGCATTAGCAGCATAAACGACGGTGAGGAAGTACTGAACACAGAGACTGTCACAGCTCAGGGAAGAGATGGGCCGAGTTTAGGCGTCAGTGGGGGTAGTGTCGGAATGGGTGCAAGTCACGAGGCAGAGATCCACGGAGCTGACGTTTCGGTCCATAGGGGAGATAGCGTTGTTGGAGACATGGAACCAGTTGCGGAAGTCATAGAGAATCTAGGACAAAGCGGTGAATTTGCACCAGACCAAGGCGTTACTGATGATTTTGTTCCTGAAGAAATGGATCGAGAAGGTAGGCTCGGCGATAGTCAAGATAGGGTTTCTCAATCCGTTGCAAGGGCGGACAGTGGCTCTAAAATTGTTGATTCTTTGAAGGCGGAATCTGTTGAAAGCGGCGAAAAGATGAGCAACATCAATGTGTTGATGAACGACGATAGTGTTCACCCATCACTGTCTTGCAATGCGATTGTGTGTTCTGGTTATGAAGCATCTAAAGAAGAAGTGACCCAGACTTGGAATGAGTCTCCGCTCAACGCTGGCTTTGCACTCCCCGGATCAAGTTACACTGCCAATGGCCAAGGTCTGTTGTAATTTCTTCCTTTGGTTTATTAGGCCCTGCTGTTGCAAACTATATCACTTTAAAGAGTGCAATATGATAGTATATAAGCATATGCTGATTCATTTACAGGGCCTCCAAACGGAGATAGCAATGATGAAATTGTGGAGTTTGATCCAATAAAGTATCACAACTGCTACTGCCCTTGGGTAAATGAAAATGTGGCTGCTGCTGGATGTAGCAGCAACAGCTCGAGCTCTTCAAGTTTCGCTGAGGCGGTTTGTGGATGGCAACTTACTCTTGATGCCCTTGATTCGTTCCCTTCACTCGAAAATGCTCAAATCCAGCCAATGGAATCAGAATCAGCTGCATCTCTGTGCAAGGTTTGCACCAGCTTGCATCGTTTTTTCTTTAATTGTCTTTCCCAAAGATGATCTTGACACAGACGCTGCTTTGGTCTCATCTCTTTGTTCTCTTTGTTCGCAGGATGATCACCGAACTCCTTCCCAGAAGCTCTTGAAACGCCATTCTTTTATCAGCGGCCATGGGAAAAAGTAGGAAGTATACTTGCGAAACAAACACAAAAACAAGGTATCATTGCAAAGTTTCTTGATTTCAGACAGAAATCGATCTTCTATATATATAACCAAGTATGATACTGGTTAAGGTTCTTTAGCTTGAGTTTCTCTCAAGCAGTACAAATAAAGAAGTTTCCATAATCTCTCGGATCTACAGATTTTGTGTTTCTTTGAACTCAAAGCAAAAGTTTGTGTAGTAGTAAAGTTGAGGACACCCTAAACAGATTAAACTCAAGAAATCTAAGCTAATAATCTTATATTTAGTTTTTGTTTCCAAATATGTGTCTTCCTGTTTCGTCATATTTAATCATAAGAACTCTGTATCGACTATGGTTGGATTTATATCAATTTAGAAGATAATGGTTGCCTGAAACCGTTGTGTCCAGGTCAATTAGGCCGACAGAATTTCTCATTTCGCCGGTGATTTTGTATGATTTTCATGTTTTACCCTTAAAGGTATCCAAATGTTTTTCGTCTTGCTTTATATTGCTTGACATTAGCCTGAATCAACAACTTTACTCGGACTTTTGTACCAATTGATAAGATAACGAGTTCCTTTAACCGTTGTGTAGTGGTTACAAAATTTCTCACTTCTCCGGTAGTTTTGTATGATTCTCATGCTTAAACCTTGAATTTTAACCATGCCCACTAAAAAGGGAGTAGGGTCGTAAAAAGGATGAAAGCACAGTAAAAAGACCAAACATAAAACCATTCTTTCCCTTGATCAAAGTTAAAAGTGGAAATTATGACAAATTAGACAAATGTACTTTAAATGCTACGGATCGATCAACTTCCAAAGACAGCGGTTTCGACGTTCTTGGTAGAGTCAACGATGGTTGGAGGATCAAAGCGAGTAAAGAGCTTATAAGAAGAGATGAGAGAGAGAACGACATAGAAGCAAACCACGACGAATGTGATTACAACAGCAGCAGTAGCTCTATGGCAGAAACTGCCAAAGGAACTGCACGCATCGCTCCAAGTAATGGAGTCGTCTCCTTTGTAGGCTAAGTAGAGAACTTCGGTAGACACGGCTCCAGCAGCAAGAACCACATAGGTCAGAATCTGAAATGATCATGTTATGAAATTAGTTAGTAAATATTAAGCGGGTTATTTGATAATGTTTCGAGATCTAATATGAGACCTGGTCGAGACAGAAGAAGGTCCAAACACGAGTCATTGTGGATGAAGAACCAGCTGGCATGGCTGCAATGGCTGCTGAGAGAAGAGAGTAGCCTGCACATATTCCATTTGCGTGCACCAAGTACCTAATTGTAATTACATATATCATCATTATTACCAATAGAGAATTACTACTATTCTTTCATATCATAACCATTTGATCCTTCTGATTCAAATCCTATTTATGAATATACGTACGTGTCTTCCTAGTTTGGTTTAACTTTATTTTTATATGAATTTTGTTTGGTTTAACGGTCCAAATTAAGTAGTAAATCTGTAAATATTGAGGGCTCATTACAAACTTTAGCAAAAAAAATATAAATATATGTAAAATATATAGATAGATGTGATATAGACATGTATATATATACATAATTACAATCAGTCTCTTGGAACTACAACAATTTTTGTGTTTCCAGTGAAATTCGCTATAATAAACCCTAATCGTAAATAGTACGTAAGGAGATGTAAGTCTTGTTTTCTTTTTGGGTCGAAAAAGAGATGTAAGTCTAGATATTGAAGATAACAACATAATTTATATATCAAGTATCAACATAACAAGATTTATGTATGGAGAAGTTACCTGAAAGCTGAGAGATTGGAGTAAGAAATGGAGCCGAACTCATTAGTCTGAGAGTCTTTAAGCATGACAACAAGCGCCGCAACACAAAGCCCTACCGGAGCTAACCGGAGCATTGTCTCAGCTGTTCGGATTCCGGGACTAACCTCTTCACACTTCTCCGTCGCGGCACCATCGGATCCGCCGTGGCTAGCCTTGTGATGATCATTGTTCTTCTCCATTTTCTTCTTCAATTTTCTTTTTATTTCTCTATCTCTCTTTCTCTTTTGTTCTGGTTGCTGAGGGAAAATGTGGTTATAAACAAGTGGAGATGTGTGAAATTAAATAAAAGCTAGTGTTGGATCGATAGGGTTGGTGAATGCATTTAATTTCGATATTCATGACACTCCTCACACTTTCCTAGAATACAACATTTAAAGGCTTCTAAATTGACACCTACACTAAAAATGTGAAAACTGATCTCTCCACTACGATCTAGCTAGGCTTCAATTCATTGTAATATTAGTACAAACCAGTTTGTTGACAAACAAAAAAAAAATAGTACGAACCAATTATCCAGATGATTAGTATATACTGTAGTATATGATATCTAACGATTAATATCTTATTCGCTTCTCATTTTTTTTTGTTTCTTGACATCTTTTGTTTATCAGTTCAAGCTTAAGAACATTGTATTTTAATAAAATAAACGGACATAAGTATGTTATAATACCGGTAAGAATTTTTATCAAAGAGCCCCATATTTGAACTTTGCAGTAAATGATCAATTATGACAATAGATTTCTTCGTTTGTATATTTTCAAAAACGTAAACCGTGTCTTTAGGATATCAAAATTTTGAGCTACTCCAATCTCGTGATCGAGAATCTATAGATCCGGAAAAATTTGTTTCTTTCGTCGATAATAAATGTATAGAGTTGTGTGGCTACGTACGTTTTTCCATAATAGTATGGCTACTTGATTATTGATCTAATATAAGCAACTAATTCTAAAATTATAATCCACTGTTATTATTTTTTTGGTGAATCAAATAAATGCTATTGGCTGCAAAATTTCATAAGCATGGTATTCCCTCCAATTTTTTTTTTGTTTTCTTTTTGTAATACGTGGATCGGTTGATACATCAAATATGATATTTCTGGAAGCTTAAAAAAATGGATGATACTTTTTGAAAAAGAAAAATTCATCCAGAATCATTACATAACATCTAGAAGGTAAACTTAAAAGTTACGAAAAGTCAACAACAAGATATATAGTTTCTACTAGATGATGTATATTGTGAAGGGAACATGTACTACATATATTACATAGAGATCCCTATTACAAGAACTCATATTATCTATAAGACCATCAGCAATGCTAGTACCTCATTAAGAGTACTTAAACAATATAATAACATTAAAGTTATGTTAAGAATCTCAATTTAAAAATGAAGATTTTGTTGCCTTTAATGCAAGAATCTGTAATGGATTCTTCAAAAAAAAAAAAAAAATTTGGGCGAACCGAACTCCGACGCCGAGCAGCCCGCCTTTGTGTGTCAGGTGGAGAGAGTTCCGACGAAGGAAAGCTCCATGATACTCCTCGAAACCTCAGGGCTTGTGGATCGAAGCGAAGAGATAATGATTATGGATCGCCGTCGATGGCGTATTCGAAGCCGTGGAAACAGAGCATTATAAGGAAATTGGACGAGATATGTCTCGTTTCAGAGCGAATAATTCGATGGGTTTCACGAAATTACAAAGTCTTGGTCAACAGCGAAGAGAATTTCTCCACTCTATCATGGCGATGGAAAAAGGGAAAAGTGTCTAAAAAAGAAGAAAATTTTCTCGGAGAAGAAAGAAAGAAGAAAAAAAAAATTATCTCAAAGTTTCTATCCAATGAAATTATAGCACGTGGAATTAAGTATCGATTCTTATAGATTTTATATAAGCATCGATACTTGTCTTTTATTTTCTTTTTGATTTAAATTTGGGTTTAAGAATCCCTTAAAATTGGGTCAAGTACCCGCGTTGCTGATGCTCTAATCGTATATTGGGAAAAGTATATATATTTTGGGTCGGATTGAGACATGTATATATATATATATATATATATATATCAGTTGACGAAATTACATTTTGAGTTCTCCGAGCTAGGCCTGGGCACATTATCTGAACCCGAATAATTTATCCGAACCCGACCCGAAAAAGAGAAACCGAACCCGAATCGAAACTGATAAAATATCCGAACGGTTTTTAAATTTCTAAATCCGAAAAACCGAAACCGAACCAAACCGAACCGAAAATCCGAATGGATATCCGAAATATTCGAAATACAATTATATACCCAAAATACTAACTACAATTAGATTTAATAACCTAAAATTACAATTATAAATCCAAAATATGAATTATTTTTATTCTGAAAATGATGAAAAATCCAAAATAATTTAAACATACTAAGTTTTTAGTTATATTTTTAAAATTTTGCCAAATTTTATTTGAATTTAACTAATTTTATTTAAATTTAGTTATTTTTATTTAATTTTATTATTTTTTGGATATCCGAACCCGATCGAATATAACTGAACCCGAACCGAAATTCCAAAAATATTCGAATGGGTTTTAAATCTAAAAAACGAAAATCCAAAAAACCGAATTATCCGAATCGAACCTACTCCGAGCACCACGTGATATTAACGTCATCGAAAATTCAGGTTACTAGTGATGGATAGAGTAGTGATATTTTTCTTAATTATGAATTCAATAGCCTTTAATCAAACAATAGGAGACTTTTCCTAAATTACCCTTAAATAATTGAGGGATTCAAAAATACTAGTGATGGATTTGATAACGATACGAGACAGCTTAGCAACGTATATCAAAGTATTTGTTAAGTGTTAAATCAATGAAAGCAAACTTATGCTCAAGAAAAATGTGTAGAAAAACAAATAATAGACTCTAATTTTTTTCGTCCAAAAAAAATAAAAAACTCTAATCTTAATTTTCTAGGTTCCCCTTTTTTGGAATGTTAAATATTAAGCTTAAGTTGATTCATAATCTCCTTCACTCATGACCATGTGTCCATGTATCATAATCACGTGAGTCGTGGCTACCCCAGAGATAACTTATTTCAGATTCAAAATTTTATATGATGGATATTGCCATTAGTCACTTTTTTTTTCTTTCGAAATTAATTCAGAATCTCCACAACTGAAGATAAATCATGAATGATATAAGAATATTACTGATTGGTTTGTTGTACATTATAATATTATAAATTATAGAATTTGCTGTCAATAATAAAGAAATTGAAATGGGTCAATTACTGGCGATGATCTAAGAGACGTCTGATGATGTTGTTGACTTCATTTAGATTTATCTGTATTAATCTTTAATTTTCAAAGAAACGTAAGGATTGTGTTGGTTTCAATACTATCTTTTTTTTTTTTTCATTTTCTGTTTTAGTTCGAATTAGCTTTTGATGTTTTGTACAGTCTTATGGTAGAAAGAAAACAAGTAAAAGTAAAACTCTTTCCAGATTTTCAAGTCGGTCTTCTAAATTCGATTACAAACAATTCGGGATATTCATATTGAGCGTAAAACAAAACAAAAAAAATGTGTATTACAATATTAGAAAGTACACAAAACAAACAGAAGAAAACACAGATAAAAACAGAACAAAGCAGAGTCTTCTTGATACCGAACCATCTTTTTGTGTGTATGTGGTTCAGATGACAAATTTAGGCAACATAAAAAGATCTTACTCGGCTCCAAACTTCTTCCTGAGGATATTAGCATACTCGATAATCTTATCAGGATCAGCCAGTGCCTTGACAACACTCTCTCTCGCTAAACACCTCTTGGTCCACTGAGTCAATACCGGGAACTCTGTTTCGATACTGAAATCACCAAATTTCTCCATGGCTATGAACCAGCTGTAATAGCCCATTAATGCAATGTCTACGTATCCGAACACTTCACCACCGTAGTAAGGTTTGTCTCCGAGCTCTGTCTCAAGTGTCTTGAAATGTTCGAGCAATTCTTTCTTGGCTGCAACCTGTTCTTCTCCCTTTGTTCCCCATACCTTCCATGATGGGTCGTAAAACTGAACCAAAAAGCAAAAAAATTCACATAAAGTCGCAAATTAGGTCAGAGAAATTGTTTGAAAAACACTCATTTTGACCTTTTAGACCTCGATTGTTTAAATGTGTTTTGTTTTTTTCAGATGCAACCACAAGTTTAAACACATTGACATTTTTCAAATGTGTTTTGCTCTTTTTTGGACATCATTCTCTTTAGTTTTTTTATTTATTTTGGTATTTGACATTTGAGCATATGTAATCGTAAATATTTTAATAAATGCCTCAGAGTAAAAACTTATCACTTCGATGCTTTTTTTTCAACGGTGAATAATAATATATAATTAAACTTCGATTATTCTATTTTTATTCTAAAAAAGAATACTAAAAATCGGATATCAAAAGAGAGGAGGTTTATTAAACCTTTTTGTCGATGAAATCTCCCCAGAATCTAGCTTGAGCTTTCTGGTAAGGATCAGAGGGGAGCATTGGGTAAGAATCGGACCAAACCTCGTCGATGTACTCGAGCTGGATAAGAGATTCACAGATCGGTTTACCCTTGTGGATGAGAACCGGAATCTTCTTGTGAATCGGATTCATCTCGATGAGCAAAGGAGTCTTAACCCATGGATCTGTCTCCTTGTACTCATAAGTCACTCCTTTCTCAGCCAGAGCCATCTTCGTCCTCATCCCGAACATGCTTGGCCAGTAATCAAGAAGAATCACTTCCTCGGCCATTTTTTTTTTCTTTGAGATCCGGTTTAGCTCTGATCAATTAATGTTTTCAGTTACGCACTTATTATTATTGTGTGTTCTTGAAATGATAATGAGGATAAGTACTGAATGGTTTTTAGATGTTTTTATAGAGAAACCAAGAAAGAAGGGCTTCTTGTTTAGCGCTCCACGTAACATGACCGCATTTATCGTTAAATTTTTAAATATTGCTTTGTTAATTTGTTCTTTTAGAATATGCGGGCTATGCTGTTCACGTTTACGCCATGATTTATTTATTTTTTTTAAAATAATATACTCCCGATTACTTCGAGATATATGATTCTTCAAATCATTAAATGTCAACGAAATCAACATCTCGATTCGGAAGCAGGTGTCTGTACGTGTATTATTGAGAAATTTAAAATAAAACTAGTGGTACGTATTTTTAATTCTTGGAATGTGGGCTTTTTATTTTTGGCTTGTGAGAGCAAGACTAAAGTATGAAAATTACAACATTAATTTGGAATTAAATTAGAACGTGCATTAATCTGGATCTTTACTTAATGCTGCTTCAGCTGCATGGGTTGTTTAACGTGTGCATTCATCTGGATCCTTATTATTTTCAAAACTTTTCCCTCCTTAAGCCATTTAACAAAAAAAAAAAAATCCCTTATTTATCAATAACATGTCATATGCGAATTTAAATTCGATGATGATATAACAATGATATTAACACAAATTAATAATATTACTAAGCTAATTTTTTTTAAAAAAATACATGATAGAAATTATATTGGGTAGCTATTCTTATATCTATATTTTGAAATATACTAAGTCAAAATGTATTCCAACAAATTTTTAACCTACAACACAAATCATTCAACTCATACTTAATCAACTCAAGGTATTCTTAAGAATGATTTCATTTTTTTATTATAAAATAATACCTTTTAAGATACTTTAATTGTATCAAATATTTAAAGATATAGTGAATATTTGGAAAAAAATGTGAAGAACATCTAATATAATTATGCCCAACATCTCTTTGGCTGTTTATAATTAATTCCTATATCTGAAGACGCATTTTTCTGAAACCAAAACTTGAAAGTAACCCATATGTGATGCATATATAAATCAATCTCATTCTCAAATTTCACGTGCTTTAACTAATAAATTACTTTAATCTAAGAAACTTTTAACTTACCATTATAGAAAGTGGCTGAATCTCACCTAATTCTCTCTCGAACCACGTTTAAAATGGTAGTATCTGATCTGTTACAAATATTTAGGCTTCCGGTTCTTTTCCATTCGATTTCATTCTTATGAAACTAAACTTATATTTTATTATCAAATTGTTTTTCAACTCGATTTTCAAAGATCCATTGACTCATAACGCAATAGTTACTTATAATGCTCTAAAATCAAAACCATCTCGCATAATATATTTTTATTATTATGATAGACTGAACGCTGAAACAGAGCAGAAACAAAAACGAAAACTGAAGAAAGAAAAAAAACAGAATAGAAACAGAGTTAAACAGATTCACTCGAGACCAATTTTTTTCCTTAGCTCAGGAACGAACTTAGTGACCTTGTCCGAAGCAGGAAGAAACTTAGCCACACTCTCTCTCTGTGCACACCTTTTAGCCCAAGCACTCAGTTTTGGACACTCTGGCTCGATGCTGAAGTTCCCAAGCTTCTCATACGCTTCAAACCAGCTGTAGAATCCAATGAGAGCTATGTCAACATACCCGAACGTTTCGCCTCCAAAGTAAATCTTGTCTCCAAGCTCGGACTCTAGCGTCTTGAGCAACTCGATGAACTCTTTCTTTCCCTCCTCTTGCTCCTCGCCTTTCGCTCCCCAGATCAACCTCGTTGCACTGTACACCTAAACCATACACATTGTTGATCAAAATTAAACACAAAACACTAATGTCAAAATATATAAAAAGAAGCTTGGATCTTTAAGGTTTTTCTTTTTACCTTTTTGTCGATGAAATCTCCCCAAAACCTGGCCTGAGCTCTTTGGTAGGGATCAGAAGGAAGGAGTGGGTTTTTGGTGGGCCAAGTCTCGTCGATGTACTCGATCTGGATGAGAGATTCACAGACCGGTTTACCATTGTGGATGAGAACCGGGATTTTCTTATGAACCGGGTTCATCTCGAGGAGAATCGAGCTTTTATTGAATAGATCTTGTTCTCTGTAATCAAATTTGATGTTTTTCTCCTCCAGAGCAATCCTCGTCCTCATCCCGAACATACTCGGCCAGAAATCCAGAAGAATCACCTCGTCCGCCATTGTTGCTCTTGATTAATATAAGCTCACTGAGATATTTATTTGTTTGTTTTGTGTCTAAGTGGTGGTAGTGAAGAGAACTTTGGAGAGGTTCGGTAATTTATAGTGGAGATACTCAAACAAAAAGAGATTGAATCGCTTTTTGCTTCCCAGTAAAGTCAGAAATGCATTAACTTTTCCATTAAACTAATTTCCCCCCCAAAAAATCCCATTAAAGTATTTTAAATTTTTTGCTGTCAAGCATTTTGATATGAAAGGAAACTTTTGATTGAACATTATCTTTTCATTAGCTTTAACATTCAAGTCAGAGACTGAATTTACTTCAATATTTTATTACTTTCTGTTTATATGAAAAATTTTTGCTGACCAAAATAAATTTCCCATTTAAGCATTGTAATATGTAGGGAATAAACTTTTAGTTGGAAATTTTATTTCCATTGGCTTTGTCTCTAAAGATAGAGATTGAACATTTCCCGCTAAAGTCAGAATTGCATTGAGCTTCCCATCGAACTAATTTCTTAAGAAAAAACACATTAAAGCATATTAATTTGTTTGGTCAACAGAGTATTTCAATATAAAGAGAAACTTTTGGTTGAACATTTTCTTTGCATTAGCTTCACCAATAACTGATTAAAGTCAAGACTGAATTATTAACGGAAACTAACAGATATAACCCTTCTTTAGGCTTTCATATGTTTATGTGGCCATTTCTGTAAGAGCTATAATAAAATATATTTTTGGGTCTCTTATATAATTTCAATCCTCTGATCGGAGAATAATTGGTATTTTGCAAGCGTTTTTTTTTTCGATAGTCGTGGCATTTACGATTTATTTCTGACGGGTTAGCCAAAACAAAATTTTATGATTGTTCAATTATCTCCTTCTAGTTTATTTTGTGGTGGTATTAGATTCTTTCTAATCAGTCGGTGAAAGAGTTCATTTTTTACGAACTCGACCGATTCTTTATCCAACAAAACCAAACTACTATTACAATTTATGCAATTTTTGACACGGTATAATACAGAAATTATGATTTTTGGATATTAATTTCAGTATTTCTAAACAAAAAGATCTAAAGTATTTATATTTTGAAATGGTGGAAGTATAAGCGTATCAAGTGATATGTTTATAATATTATAATTTTCTTATTTTGAGTTCCTTCGATTATGTTGTTTTGAAGTTTTATTGTATTTGTCTAAGAATTCTAATTTCTCATACAATTTTAAACAATTTTCTGATAAAATTTAAAATCAAATGCTAACCTAGAGATTAACGAGTATAAACTAATTATTTAAGCTCAGTTCCAGAGGTGCAAATGTACCTACTAAATTATTAATGTTTTTGTTTCAGATAGTCCACGTGATTCACAGAGTTGCTTATGCAACTGCATACATCATCGTACATTCGTACTTTTGTTGAGTATACACAGACGAGAAAGTCTCTCTATATTACGGCTAGCCGAAATATTGAGATTGAAGGGAAAAAAAAGTTTGAGTGCTGGTTCTGTTATTGGGCACGAGTATACAGTATTTGGTAGAACACAAATTCGTGTGTTAAAACAGTTTGGTTCTTAGATTATAGTTATAGTTTAATGACAGCATTAACAGGAAAAACCTAAACTTTCGATCTTTGGATTTGAATAGGCGACATATGTGTCTCAGTGTCTTCTTGTATGGTAAAGATTACTTCGTGTTAACTAAAAAGATGTCTTGGTGTCGAGTAAATATTAATTAGGTGAAATCGTCTCAGATTTTGAGTCTAAACATTGAATACTGTATCTTATAGAAATATAGAAAGAAAAAGCTGAAAGTTTTACAGAAGTTATACTTCTTAGTGAGATAATGAAGGCACTAAATATAAACTATTGGATTAAAATGATGATTCATTTAACATAATAGTTTTTGTTATACACTAATTTTTCAGAGCGTGACATTCACGTAATTAACGCGCGTATGATACGGAGACTCTTTTGTTTAAATAGTCAAAGATTATAAAGTTCTCTCAGTGAAGTGAAAATTTGTGCGTTGACTCGGGCTAAAAAATCATACGAAGATGATGATGAAAGGGATTGCACTTTCTCAATCGAATAATTTCCATCCAAACATCGAATTCAATCGAGCGAAGCTTCCGATCAACACTGTGAATCCAATCCCATCTCGATTTTCCCGCCCTATTTCCCGAAGATCCCTCCGTGTTCTCTCTCTCTCCGTCGACCCATCGGTAAATCGGAAAGCTAAATTGACCCCGGAAGCCCACGCGCCGCCGCTGGTGGTTGTGGGATCTGCGAACGCCGACATCTACGTGGAGATCGATAGATTGCCCAAGGAAGGGGAAACGATTTCGGCCAAGACAGGGCAAACCCTCGCCGGCGGAAAAGGCGCGAATCAGGCGGCGTGTGGCGCCAAGCTGCTTTATCCGACCTACTTCGTGGGTCGTTTGGGAGAGGACGCGCACGGGAAGCTGATCGCAGATGCATTGGGCGATGGATCCGATGGGTCTGGAGTCCACTTGGATTACGTGAGGTCGGTGACGGACGAGCCGACGGGACACGCGGTGGTGATGCTGCAATCGGACGGTCAGAACTCGATCATTATCGTCGGTGGGGCTAATATGAGAGGCTGGCCTGATAAGATGAGCGATGATGACCTTGAGATCGTGAGGAATGCTGGTGTTGTGCTGCTGCAAAGAGAAATCCCAGATTCCATCAATATCCAAGTCGCTAAGGTCAGATAAAATTGATGAATTGTTCGTCTCAGTTTCCAATTTTTCACCTTTATAATTCAATTTTGATGACACTCAAAGTAAGAGATTTTGGAAAGCTCTGTTGATTTGATTTAGCTTTAGGCTTTGATATCGTAATGCAATGGTGTATTGAAACCGGTGTGAGATTTTGGAATAGGATAAGAGATTGATGATATGCTTGAGTCATATTGCTAATGCAAATTATGTTGAGTGGTTTCTATATAAGAGACTTAGGTTGCTGGTGTTATATTTGCAGGCTGCGAAGAAAGCAGATGTTCCGGTTATCCTCGATGTGGGAGGAATGGATACGCCAATCCCTAATGAGCTTTTGGATTCCGTTGACATATTGAGCCCGAATGAGACTGAGCTCAGTCGTTTGACCGGAATGCCAACTGAGACTTTTGAACAGATAAGTGAGGCTGTTGCAAAGTGCCATAAGTTGGTAAGTTCCTTCTTTGTTGCACCTTACCAATAGCTGGTTTAGTGGGTCTTAGTTGGCTTTTGGGGTTGATAAGGTTATGCTATGTTTTTCTCAGGGAGTAAAGCAAGTCCTAGTGAAACTCGGGTCTAAAGGATCTGCACTATTCATAGAAGGAGAAAAACCGATCCAGCAGTCAATAATACCGGCTGCACAAGTAGTCGATACTACAGGAGCCGGCGATACATTCACAGCAGCGTTTGCAGTGGCCATGGTAGAGAGCAAGTCTCGTGAAGAATGTTTGAGATTTGCTGGTAATAAATAGCTACAAACCCATTAAAGAAATCTATCTTCCTAACCCTTACTTCAAATTTAGTTTTGTCTCACTTTCGATTCCATCCTCTGCTATAGCTGCAGCTGCCTCTCTGTGTGTCCAAGTAAAGGGTGCAATTCCAAGCATGCCCAATCGAACATCTGTCGTGAAGCTCCTTCAATCTAGTGTCTAAAAGGGAGACTCTTTTGACTCTTATTATCAATAAAAGCTCTTCAGATCACGAGGGAAGAGGCTGAAGCTCGCGATTGCATTATCTACAACAAATCAAGGATTGTGTAATGTAGTCTCTGTCTCTCTGAACATCAGCTTGTCTGAATCTTGGAGTTGACTAATTTCATCATTAGCAAAGTTATCAAACACAATGTTGTTCTTGAGATATATATCATTGATAATATTAAACTAATCCAATTTCTCTTCGGAATTGGCTTCTATGATATAGTCACATTTACACCAATTTAGAAGGTAAGTCAAATACAATAAACGACAAGATCACTTAAAACAACTCGGAGGAACCATCTTGCCACGAGCAGAACCTCTAACGTTCTCACACAAGGCCGTTGCTGGGCCGCCAGGTCCATTGTGTGTTATGTTGATGTCAATTAGCTGGATATCTTTGCATGGAAATGTTTTACTACAATGCATTTTCACGGCCACTTTGTTCCTCGACGTTCCCCAAATGTTCTTCAACGTCACGTTTCTTATTTGAACATGAGAATCTCCCTGCAAACAAGATCATGATATAATCTGATTAGAAAAAGAAAACTAAAAGAGTAAAATCAAGAAAGGAAAGTTTGTTCATTTCTTGCTTCGGAAGCTTACCAATTTAGGGCATGGCGGACAAGGACAATAGTTTTGCTCGATGTTGATAGGGTATTTGACATCAACCATCTGGATATTCTCGTACAAGAGTTGCGAAACGGTGATCTCCGAAACCGAAGATTCCCATGTCTTTAACCTTATACCGTCGCTTGTCCCTGTAAAAACCGTGTCCCTAACCCTAAAACCCTCTACGTTCTTCTCTTCTTTGTTCCTTCCCAAGCTTCCCACACTGATTCCATGTCCTGGACCACAAGTGATGTTATGGATGTCGAAATTACTGTTCCCCGAGAGGATTGCAATACAATCGTCTCCAGTGCCGATGTGACTGTCCCAAATCTTCATGTTTTTGGAATGTCCGATCTTGATCCCGTCCGTGTTGGGGCTGTTTCCGGGAGCCGTTATATTGACGCCGGTGATGTTGAAGTGATCGACTCTGTAGATGCTCAAATGCTCCGATTTGCTGTTGAGTGATTTTAGTCCTATGAGGCTTGAGTTTGTCACGGAATGGAATTTCATGTTCTGCTCAAAAGCGGATGAAAAACATTGTCAGAACAAGATTTCTTTAACAATGTGTATCATTTCTAAATAGTAGACGAGATTGTGTTGGTATCTTGTATACTAAAAGTAGAATTATCTTATGAACTTTCTAAAGCAAAAAAAAAAAAGTTCAAAAAAGGTTAAATATTGTTTTTGTAGGAATTATGTTTGACAATTATTTTCTAATTACATTCATATATTTACTGGATCTCTAAACATAAGCAGTAAACAATTCATAATCTACCTAAGACGAATAAAATCATGACAGGAAAGCAAATGTTTAAATTATAGGAAGTAAACTAGACTAGCAAAAAAAAAAAAATGTAGTTTATGATTAAGAAAAAAATTTTCAGGAAAGTATACGTTGATCTTGATAAATAATTTTATAAGTACATTCGCAATAATATACGAAAATTGGCCATTTAGATTGTTTTTTTTTGTTCATTACTCTCAATAGTCAATACTATATATCAGATATAACAATTAAAATCGTACCGGGGTACGTCTTCGATTCATTGCACCAGCACCACAGTCATTCATATTGGAGGACCAAGAGTGACTTCCTTGGCCGTCGATGGTTCCGCCGCCGGAGATTACGAGATTATCGACGTATTGGAAATCGATCCAGGCTTCTTGTTTGAATTTGTTAGCATTAACTGGAGACAGTAACGTTCCACTGAGGAAGAAAACAATTTTACCTTTGCATGGTCCCTTGAAACTTACATCACTCATATAAAACGTTTCTCTCGGTATGTATATTCTGCTGCTTCCACTTTGTGCGCATGCATCTTTCCACGCTTTCATGAAGGCCTATATATATAATGCCATAGAGACAAGACATAAGAATATATATATAAATAAATTTTCCATACTAAGCTAAACGAAATAATTGTAATGTTATATGATTAAATACCGTTCTACCAATTAAAAATAACTATAACTACCTAACCTACCCGCAAACCAAAATATATATTCTAAAATATCTCATAAAATTTGATCAGTACGAAGCAAAGAGGTGATTTATAGCTCTATCAGTTTATCATATTAATCAAGAAAATTAAACGGACAGGAAAATTTTAATGTACATTAGCACTATCAGTTATGCCGTCGCCTTTGGCACCATAGGTTCGGACGTCGAAGTTCTTTCCCGTGTCCGGACGACTTGCGACCACGACGAACAAAATAAATAAACACAAAATCTCAATCACATTAGTAACGCAAGCCATGTTCTTCTTTTTTTTTTTTTTTGAGGGTGAGATGGGGGTATATGAAATCAGAAAGAGTATCTTATATATTATTTTGTCTTGTCAAAGAAAGTGTTAATTTTATTAATTTTGGTCAAAAAGGCAGATCTTAACTCTCCAATCCAAGGACAACTTAGGAGGTCATACACTCATCTAAATCTTGTTTTCCAATTTTCTCATTTATAGCCTATCTCATTAATTTGCCACTGGTTCCATTCGAATATATCACATATTTGTCTTGCTATAAATATTAAAAATCTGTATACTTAATTAGAGGCTACAAAAGCTCTTTTTTTTTTTTTTTTTTTTTCCAGAAAAGCTCTTTTCATCTAATACAAAATTAAATCAAGAAAAAAGTAGTTCTTCTTTTCTTTTTCTTTTTTAATAAAATGGATAGAGTGAACCAACGCTAGCTTTTCATATTGTCTGTGTAACTTTTATGAGTTTATCAATTTATTCCACATATATATCTTTCCGTATCATATTGATCTTCATATATATAATCGCACACATTTGTAAAACATAAAGACCAAAACATTGATGAAGTATAAATCTATTTTAATGGTGTTTTTATCAAAACCTACTTTCCGGATCTCAACATAATTAAAGAGTTTAAACCCAAAAAGAAAAAACATAATTAAAGAGGAGCATACACCAATTATATATAGTTATTAAAAAAAAATCAAACAATGGGGTTAATTTCGACCGATCAATTCAGACAAAAGAGGAGCGTACAGACCCACCAATCAAGCGTTGTTTCGACCGATCAATTCAGACAATGTGGTGGAACCATCTTGCCAGAAGCAGAACCTTCAACGTTTTCACATAACGCCGTTTCGGGCCCGTCGATTCCGTTGTGCGTCGGAAAACTTTTGCTACACTGAAGATTCAAAGCCACTTTGTTCATCGACGTTCCCCAAACATTCTTTAACGTAACGTCTTGGATCTGAACATGAGAATATCCCTGAAAAAGAAAAAAAAAAAAAAACATAATCTAACTTGTTAAATTAAACTCCAGGCGTTAAAACTAAAACTGAGAAAGAGAGAAGTGTGTTTCTTGCATAGTAAGTTACCATTTTTTCACACGGTGGGTGAGGACAATACTTTTGATCGATCGTTATAGGGCTTCCAACATCGATCATTTGTATATTCTCATACACGACGTTAGAAACTACAATCGCTATAGTTGAAGATTCCCATGTCTTAATCCGTATACCGTTACTCGTGCCAGTAAAGATCGTATCTCTGACCGTTAAGCCCTCAATGTTCTTCTCGTCACTGTACTTTCCCAAGCTTCCGACACTAATCCCATGTCCAGGACCACAAGTGACGTTATAGATATCGATATTAGTATTTCCGGAGAGGACGGCGACTCGGCGAGACAGTCGTCCCCTGTGCCAATGTGAGTGTTGGAGATTTGAACATTGCTTGAAAAAGCCTATTTTGGATCCCGTCGGTGTTGGGGCTATCGCCGGGAGCTGTTATGTTGACGCCCGTGATGTTGAAATGATGGACGGTGAAGAAATTGAAGTGTGCAGCTTTGCTGTTTAGTGATGTTATCCCTTCTATATTTGAATTATTTACGAAATCAAATCCCATGTTTCTGCAAAATGTATTGTATCGAAAGACTCCAGACCAGACTTTTGGCCCGGCGGCCCGAAGACTTTTGACGGCGTGGAACAAGAGAGACAAACACAAAGCCTTTAACGCAAAATTTATGCAAGCTGCCATTTTCTTCTCCAAGTAGATGCTACCCTTCATCCTTCTTTTTTTTTTTTTTTTTTCTTATTATTGAATTTGGATCTTTGAAATGATAACGACTGTGTTATTTTTTATAAGTACATTTTTAAAGAAAATATGAAGAGTATTGGCAACAACTGTAACTACGATCATTCTTGCTACCAATTCTGGCGAAAAGGCGATTTCTTTCTTTTATAATATAAACTCATTGTTAGTATTATGATATGGGGATTCCATTTTTTTGTTTTGTGAAAAAAGTATTTATGTTCTTATTAGTTATTCTTTTATATACATTACTCTCTACATAGCCTCCATATTTTTCCACTTCTTATTTTTTGGTATACGATCTGTATTTAGTCATCTGATTTTCTTTAATCCTACGAAAGGAAAATACAAAATTCAGGCGGAACAACTAAAAAAATACCGAGAATGTATTGGCAATTGTTCTAGGCTGGTTTCACGTGATGTGATATGATTCCATATTCCATCAAATAAGGCGTGCTTTGACCCGTTAAACAATATAATAATATGATTCCTTCTAGATCAATAGTCTTTAGATGAAGAAGACTCCTAACAAAGACCATTTATTATTTGGTCCGTCAAGGCTGCTTGAATACCAACGGTCAAACCTGTTTTACCCTTACAAGAATCACGTCAAAACCACATATATATAAACATTTTTTTTTCTATCGTCTAAGACCATAAGTATAACTAGTTTTTTTTTTCTTTATATATATCGTAGAAAGTGCTAAATATCTACTATCAAAGTGTTACATATAAAATCTTTAAAATCGATCTGTCGATGAATTATGATTGAAAACTGTTGGTGAAAGGTAGCACAATAAACCTCTCACATGTGTGCAAAAATTATTAAGTAAGTTGTAAGTATCAATCTCAGTTACAAAACTCTAAATAATTTTTTTAGTTAGTTGAGTCTAATTTTTTTTAGTAAGTAGAAATTTGCGCTAGTTCTTATATAAAAAGTCGTTAATCATGAAAGCCTATGGTCGTAACTCCATACGTAAGCAATTTCTAGAATTAAAATATCAGTCCACCTATATAATAATTGCTCTTATATAGCAATTAAAAATTTGTTCTTATCCATATCGTTCATAAAGAGTCGCCACAATAAATGTTTCTAGTAATATAATTTAAAAATCCATTAAATGACAAAGATCGGTTTTTCCACATATGTATATATTTTATCTACACATATAAATACAACAATCATCTGGAGATTTCAAAGGCAAAAGTACTCAGGGAGCAAAACCAAAAGGAAAAAAAAAATCAGATTCTAATACTGTGTTGTCTACAAAACTCAAATCATCAAAGTATGTCTAGAGTGAAATCTGAGCCGATGAAGGTTGTCTTCATTAACACACAGTACGTCCAGACAGATGCTCGGAACTTCAAGACGGTTGTTCAAGAACTCACCGGTAGAAACGCCGTCGTCGCCGACGGTCCTTTTGAAAATTCTGGCCACGGTTACGGTGGCAAATATTCATCACAGCCGTTTTGCAACGGCGGAAGAGATGCAGAAGGAGGTATAGAGACGACGGAGTTCGATAGCTTTTTCAGGGAGATGCCTCCCGCCGGCGAATTGTATAATCTATTGGTCAGCAATTGAGTAGTTAATATTCGTTTTTTTTTTTTGCAAATTAGTATATTTCTCTTCTGGTTGTCAATGCCCATTGGGCTAATGTTAGTATCTTAAAGCCCTAAATTACTTTAATTAATAGGCCCATGTTAAACACGAGTAATCCTTAGTTCGACTTTTGTTTTCTTTGTCGTCGATCCTTAAGTTCCTTTATTATCCTTAGATTTTGATTCTTTTCAAAAGAATTTGATTTCTGTTTTTCGTTGTTTTAGTCTTGTTTTCAAGTGTTAATGTATATAAAGACATGTTATGATTTATCGTGTTATTATCTGTTGAACAGAAAAAAAAAACATACCAGATTATCATCTAAGCTCTTATTTTCAAATACTGCAAGCTAAGCCTAATTATGAACATTTTTTAAAACAACAATGAGCGCGGAGAAAGTTGACGCGCAAGAGTGGCGCGTGAAGGAGGAGGATGATGAAGAGGAAGAGTGGAAACAAGAGAGATGACGATTCTTTTCTTCGTATTCTCAACTCTTCCACCGTTTCTGCATCATCATCGTCTCTTTCTCTCTCTCTTAACTTTCCGTCCAAAAAAGAGTTCAACTTTCCCGTCAAAAGAATCGGAAAAAGGTAATCGAACAGACATATACATAAATTGGGGATACGAAATTCTCTTTTATATTGTGAATATACACATCATACGTAGACACACACTCTTGACTATACTGTTATATCTCCCTTTCTCATCTCTCTCTCTCTCTCTCTCTAACAGAAAAAAAGTTTTGATCTTTGTCTCTCTTACTATTGTCCAATCTTTGCTCGAGATTCTCTCTACTCCGTAATTTCTCGAAGCTTTTTAAAGTTTCTTCTCCGATTCTCAACTCTGTTACTCATTGTATTCAAGGTTTGAAAATTTTTGTTCTGTAAGCCAAAGGGATTTGTCGTTTCAATTCTTATGAATGGTTGAGAAGTGGATGATTAAAGCTCTTATCTTTGGTAGTAAGAAAGCATTTTCGGATTGCTACGAGCTCTGAATTGCGTTTGTAAATTGTAGAAAGTAATATTGATATATCTCTGTGAATGTGTTTCTTATGTCTCTCTCTCTCTCTCTCTGCTCTTAACTGTAAGGCATAAAGCATTTGAAGAGAGTTTTTCTCTGATGGGTAATAAGCTGGGAAGGAAGAGACAAACTGTGGACGAAAGATACACAAAGCCACAACAAGGTTTATACATGAGCAAAGATGTCGACATTAAAAAGCTTAAGAAACTAATCTTAGAGTCTAAGCTTGCTCCCTGTTATCCTGGTGATGAAGAAAGCTCTTGTCATGATCTTGAAGAATGTCCAATTTGCTTTCTGGTTTGTATATTCGGTTTTTAGAGAGATCACTACATAAAAATGTCTTTGCTTTCTTCCTTGGTGTCTCATTTGAAAAAAAAAAGATGTATTTTACTAACTCGCTGCAATTTGTTTCTTTGGTTTTTCTAGTACTATCCGAGCCTCAATAGGTCAAGATGTTGTATGAAAAGCATTTGTACAGGTAAAAATATTCATCAACCATAATTAAATTTTGAATCTTTTGCATTCATATTGTCATTCGATTACACTAGTCTTTTATTTTTTACTTAATCTACAGAGTGCTTTCTGCGGATGAAGAATCCTAATTCAGCTCGGCTTACTCAGTATCCTTTGATTGTTATATTAGACCACAAGCTTTTGATCTTCACATATGAACCTTGTCTTTTAAAGTTTAGTGTCTCCTCTGTTTTTGCGTGCGTACTCCTTAACAAAATATATGAGATGCCCGTTTTGCAAAACATCCAATTATGCTGTCGAGTATCGTGGAGGGAAGACTAAAGAGGAGAAGAGCATTGAACAAATTGTAAGCCAGCATTAATTCTTAAAACAGTAACTTTTTTTTATTTATATGATGGAGTAGTGGCTGATTCTTCCCATATTGTTCTGATTCTTCCCATATTGTTCTCTATGTGTTGTGAAGGAAGAGCAGCAAGTTATAGAAGCCAAAATAAGGATTAGGCAGAAGGAAGTTGAAGAAGAAGAAGAAAGATTGCAGAAACGTCTGGAATCATCTTCTTCTAGCTCCAATGTAGCTGATACTGAACATGGTTCTGCTGCAGGTTTGGATCCCTTTGTTCAGCATTTGTTAATCTTTCCATTTTTTTTTTCTTGGTTAGCAGTCTCAATCACATAATTTTATTTTCGCAGATGATGAGGAAACTGTTTCATCTCAAGAATCATGCGTTACATCACACCTTCGGGTTAACAGGTTTGTCTTTCTCCAGGTTCTGTTTATTCTTCTTCTTTTTGTTGCACACCGATTCTATAAAGGGATCTAAATGAACTTTTATGCCGGTTCACGCACTGAGGTTGTATGAAGATTCATCCCTGCAACCATCTTTTTGTTTTTCTATTAAGCTTTTGAATTTTTCATTAGAGATTAGTTCTTTCTCTTGAGGTTAATTTATGCTCTGGGAGCCTTAGCAGTTAGGAATGAAGCGAGGACTAGTGTGTCTTTTGTTAAGCTGTCTCTCTCTATTAATCCCAAAGCTATATGCACAATGGTAACACGTGCTTAGAGCTATGAATCTGAGTGGTCCATATCAGGTGACTGTTTATGTGACTATCTATAAAAAAAAAAACTTCTGCAGGGATGGTGAGTTTGACTATGATCTTGAGGATATAATGGTCATGGAAGCAATATGGCTCTCAATTCAGGTAATTTGTTCGGTTAATAAACTCTTAAGCACCTTTCAAATTTTAGAATAAGATAAGCCTTTTAAACTCGTTCTTTCTGAGCAGGAAAGTCAGAGAAATACATCTCTTGATGAAAATTCAGAAGATCATGATGTGGAACCATCAATGCCTTGTTATTCATCATCATCTCCATCTGGTGGGCTAGCTTGTGCAATCGCTGTTCTTGCTGATCGCCAGCAAATGGTTGGCGAATCTTCCTCCAATCAAAACGTTAACGTTTCATCACACAGCATGGTTTCGGCTACGGTTAATTGCAGCAGCAGTCATTACAATGCCAGTGAACAAGATAGTAATCATTACCTTCAAGGAGCAGGAATCAGCCATACAAAAAAATCTGATTTGACTGATGATGATAGTGGCACTGGCAGTGAGATTTCCAGGGAAGTTGGATGGCAATAGTGTTCCCCAAAGGTTCAAAGGAAAGCTTAAGTTGTTGGTTATAATCTTTGCTTGTATATATGTTAGTGTGAATTTGGTGATTTTAGATTATGCGTAACGTTTCAGGGTGTTTGTTGAACACTTCACTTCATATGTGTCACTAGGGCTGGGCAAAATATCCGTTATATTTGCTTCAATCCGTTATTCGTCTCGATTCGATCCAAAAAATCCGGATATCCGTAATTTTATGGAGCAAAGCAAATACTAAAATTTAATATCCGTTAAAAACGAAGCAAATCACAAATACTAAAAAAAATTAAGACGGATATCCGCTCTGCTCCGGTATAAATATATATGTATATATAAATATATAATAAATCATATAAAATGTATAATTATTATATATAAATGTAATTTTTGTAAGTTTTTGTTTATAAATTTGATTATTAGAAATATTAAAACTTAAAAAGTTAAGAAAAAATATTTTTTTAAAAGAAAATATTGTTATTTTTAACTAAATTTTGAATTTTTTAATATTTATTTTATATATATTATTATTTAAATATTTTTGTGGAGCGGATCAGATATCCGGTAAATATTCAGATTTTTGGCAGATATCCGGAAAACGGATATCTGGATAATTACGGAGCGAATACGGATCGGAAACATGATTATCCGGACGGAGCGGAGCGGATCACGAATATCCCTAAAATCCAAGATATCCGCTCCGTGCCCACCTCTATGTGTCAATAAAAAAGACAAAAATGATAAAAAGGCTGGGTTGTGTTAATATATGTCAATTGGGTCGGTCCAGACCCAATTTAGCCAAAAAAGAAAACTGAATTAAATTGTAAAAAATTGCAGAATATATAGAAGAACATTTTGTGTGAATAATCTTGCGGAACCACGAGTGAAGTCATGATGAATTTGCTATTTTAGCATACTGCATAGATAATCAATTAGAGCTATATAGTTTGGAAGAGCTTGTGATGAGGATGCTAAGGGACCGAGTAAAAGAACAGTTAGTTAGTAGTTGAGGACATGTCAAAAAAAAGGACGACAAAAATGAAGATTCACATGCTTTGGTCTCTACTCTCTTTGATATTAAATAAGAAGAGAAGATACAATTCACAATTCAATTGTGGTGGTCATCTTTTAGTTTTTTTTTTTTTCGTGTAGGGTTTTATGGTTCCTCCTCACATGCCTTTGTCTTTGATTCTTTTATCTTAAGTACATTTTCGCCTTATTCTCACACCTTGGACCGTCCACTTACAATTTAATTCGAATCCTATTGGATTTATGTTCGAAACGGGAAAACTATCAAACTTAAACAATCGATATATTTTATACCATTGATATACTGATTTCTCTCTAATTTTAAGCACGTGAAACTGGGTTTTAAGGTGAATGTTCGAAGCATTATCTGACCAAATGTAATCCAAATTTATTGATGATATCAAATAAAATATTTAGCAACAAATATTATAAATTGACCGTATAATTGTTTACTCATATGGACACCCAAGCTATCAATCTCATTATTCAAAGGCTAATTCAATGCTCACTATAAAATGATATATTTGTAATTTAGTTTTGATTATTTTCTCCTTAAGAAACATCAAATTGGTTTCTGGACGTGTTGGAGATCACAAAAGGAAACGTCGAAATTAGAGTAGGGGGTAATAAAAAATGGGTTCGTGAGTTGAAATTTGTCGACAACCGACAAAAAGAAACACAAGTGTCAGAAATATCGATGTTTAGGTAAATTAATGTGTGGTGTATTTATGACATAATTTCACCTAAATCCAGATTTATTTCTATAAGTTATCACAAAATGCATATACATAAAACCAATTACTGTATACCATTACCACATTAATGGTTTCAGTTAATATTCTCAAAGTCTTTATGCATTATTACATTTCATATAATTTCTCACCACTGTCACTTGACACTTATAGATCTATTTCACTGTAGTACTTCAGTGATTTCTTTCATATTGTCCATTAAAGGCATACATAGTACTAGTATATCCTCTCATAAAAACTACAAAATTTATAGGATGACACTAAAAAATTGAGAAAGATATTTTCTTAGCTTTCGGTCGAGAATATTCGATTATCCCTGAAAACTTTAGGGACATTCAATCTCGTTTTAAAAATTCGACATATAGATGGTTTGCCAATGTTTAGCCCAAAAATAAAACCATGCGGACTTTTGTATAAACATTGTTATGTGGACGTTATTCGAAGACTGAAAATTACACTTTTACCCTTCTTGTCCCCAATGGACCAATGGTCCCTCGATTTTAAATCTCACTACGCCCAATTTCATCAGCTTTATTTCAAATCTTCAAAAGCACATTTCTGTGTCTCTGCCTCTCTCTCTCTCTCGGCTTCTTGGATTTTGAGAGTGGCTTCAAATAAAGCTGTCTGTTTCGAAAAGGTGCATGCGTTACACTACAACTTTCTCTCTCTCTCTCCTCTTTTCTCCTCATTTTGGGTCTGCTTCTGGTTTTATGTCATTGTTCTTATTAACTCACAACAAGCCAACGAATATCTTTCTTTTTTCATATTTACAGTCTTTGACTATTTCTATAGATTCTCTTAGTCACTTCCTGGATTTTTCTAATGCAAAGACCTCATTTCCTTTAAGGTAAGTTTCCATCCTTTTTTTATTGGATCCTTGTTTAAAAAAGTGAAAACAAATAAGATAGCTCTCTAATTTCTTCTAGCTTTGATAACTCTCTGTTATTTAGTTATTAAAGTTGAAAACCATCTTTAAAGAGAATGAAGATTCTGGTTTGGTTTGTTCTTTCTGGGTTTTTCTTGTTTTGGTGAAAGTTTGAAGATTATTACCTTGTTCTATCTGAGATCATCGGAATTCTCCGACATGAGTCATGGCTTTGGTAGTTGCATTAATAAATGACATTTGCTTTTATCTGTGCTTCAGATTTAGTATATAACAACTTCATAACCTTCGAGCTCCCAGCAACTTCGGCTTCTGTCTTAGTTAATTAAGAACTCTGCAGAAAATTAAAATGCCAAGACCAAGGTAAAGATTTTTGACTACATTCGATCTCGCTCTGTGTAATCTGATAAAGTGACTAAGAAATTTTTGTTTTTTCTTCTTTTACTGGTGTTGTCTTCTTTAGAGTTTCAGAGTTGTCCCAGAGGCAAGCTCCGAGGCTGAGGACATCATCATCTACTTCTGACTCGAATCATCCCAACCGTCTGATCACTACTGACCGGAGTTCTAAGCTCGGTGTTGATCGTAGATCTCCTAGGAGTGGTGGACCTCACAGTGATCCGCTTGGTCAGAAGAAACTCGGGGGTCGAATATCGGATCTAGAGTCGCAGTTAGGACAGGCACAAGAGGAACTGAGATTGCTCAAAGAGCAGTTGGCTAATGCTGAAGCTGTCAAGAAACAAGCTCAAGATGAGCTCCACAATAACAAATCTAAGAAACCGAACCCGTTAGCTCGAGTGGAGGGATGTGCAACTGAGGCTGATACGATTGATAGAGACGAAATCCCCGGAGATGCGCAGAAAGAGACTGATGTGTTTGAGGTTCCTGTTGAGAAGATTGCGGTAGTAGAAGAAGAAGATCCGAGAAGCGGAGATGAAGAAGCTGAGAAATTGGCTGCAAAAGAAGATGAGATCAAGATGTTGAAAGCTAGGCTGTATGATATGGAGAAAGAACACGAATCACTAAGCAAAGAAAACGAGAGCTTGAAGAGTCAGTTGAGTGATTCGGCTTCTGAAATGTCTAATGTGAGAGCTAATGAAGATGAGATGGCTTCAAAGGTGGGTCAGATTGGAGAAGAGTTGGAAGAAAGCAGAGCAAAGACAGCTCAACTCAAGGAGAAGCTTGAGTCCATGGAAGAAGCAAAAGAAGCTTTAGAGGCTGAGATGAAGAAGCTTAGGGTTCAAACCGAGCAGTGGAGGAAGGCGGCAGATGCTGCAGCTGCGGTTCTTGCTGGAGAGTTCGAGATGAACGGTCGGGATCAATCCGGGTCAACTGAGAAGTGTTTTGCAGGTGGGTTGTTTGACCCGACTGCGGTGGTTGGGTTCATGGAGCCGCCGGGAATGGCTGATGATTCTGATGATGGACTGGGAAGTGGGAAGAGGAAGAGTTCTGGGATGAAGATGTTTGGTGAGTTGTGGAGGAAGAAAGGGCAGAAGTGATATACAGATCTTGTGGAGTGTGAGTTCAAGAAATGGTTTGCTCACCATTTCTGGTTTTTGTTGGGATGGATTTTGATTTAGACTTTTGTAAGTTAGCCGGCTTCATCAGAAGCTAACTATCAATCCAAATCAATTGCAGATTCTCTTGCTTTTGTCTGCAAAAACAATATCATGAACAACTTTTCTGGAAACATGTATCAATTTCACCAACAACTTTCTAGAAACATGAATCGTAATATCAACTCAAATATTCCAAAAGATCTCATATATGAACAGTACACGGATGGCTTCAATTCTAAAACAGCGATACAAGATCTGTGAAAGTGCGAAACCTGTTGAGAATAGAACAAAAAAAAAGTAATCAATCCTCGTCTTCATCACTGCCATAGTTCTGGAATAAAGATGCTAATCCGGTGTTTACCAAACCGTCGGCCTTCTTCTCCTCTGGTTTTGCAGGAGCTCGAGTCGTCGAAGAAGTTGGTTGAGATTGCTTCTTGATGACTGTTATGTGAACGGATTTGAAGGGTTGTTTGCTGGTAGGTCGTTTCTTTGGCTCCTTCGGATTTTCTGATTGAAAAGGAGAAACTCGTTAAGAATATTTCAACTGACGAGAAAAGGGAATCAAAGTAAATAAACTTGAAAAGAAAGATTAATAACCCACCTGCAGAAGAACTAGTCAAAATATCTGTGGGGTTGCTTGGACTTTCTTCTGCTACCTTTCTCTTCTGTATCAAAATTAAAAAAAAAAAAGATTAGTGACACATGGTGATAGGAAGAGCCATGTCTGGAAACGCTTAAAATAAATATGTTTTGATGGAGGGAACCTTTGAAAGATCTGAAGATGATCCCTTCTTCTCCTTCTGAAGGCTGGGAGAACCATCGCTATCATCATCCTCATCTTCTTCTTCTTCATCTGCAATTCTCCGAACAACTTCTTTCTGTTTCTGCAATTAGATGAAACAGGAAATATATAAGAAAGTTAACAAAGCTAAATGTCATGTGGAGAACCAACATTTACGAAAGAATATGAACACTTACACCAAATATCGACTTTATAACTGCTTCATCTTCTTCTTCTATTTGTTTTACCTGTCCAAAAAGAAAAAAAAAAAAAAGATTACCACCTCCGTCAGCGATATAATAATCGTCCCGGTGACTTTCATCACGGATAGAGGGTGTGCGAATACAAGATGGCTGGATAATCAAGAATGAACAAAACTGGAATATCCGATTCGTATATAACTCAAAAACCGCATGTCGCGAAGACAACATCAAATTGCTACATATATGAACAAACAAACAGAGTAACAGGAACATACCTTCTCAGCGCCTGTTCTTTGCAAGGCCTCCAGCATTGCATCCACGCTCACAGTAGCGTGTCTAGACTGCAAAGTTCATAATAACAGAAAATCAGTACAAATTATTCAGCATGTAACTGAAGCATATAATAGAGTCTAAATTCAGAGTTGAACACTAAGATCAACAGAGAAAGGGAAAGGGGAAGATACAAAAAAGGCATCTGACTAATACCTTCATTGATTTCATTTCATCAAGTGCGGCAATAATATCCATTTCTCTTTTAGAATCTAAAGTTCTGTTCTCCAAAGACTTCATTGCGTCCCCCATCTCCTCGGCATCTCGTTTCTGTTGTTCCTTATCAACCTCCTGTACAGAAGAAAGCATATTAAATTAGTATAACTAGAAAGTTGTAAATCAATATCATGCACGAAAACATAAACCTCAAAGCTACATGTCTGAATAACTAACCTCGTCCTCTGCACGCCAAGGTTCATAATTACGACTTGCCCCAGATTCGACGATATAATCAGAATTCTGCGGATCCGTCTTCATTGTCAGCTCTGCAGAGCACTTGGTGCACTTGAAGTAGAATCTAAAGATTTGGATCCCGAGATATGTCTGCATATCGAAAGAAAACCAGAAAATATTTTATTAGAAAAAAAGGCATAAAAAAAACACGAAGAATAACAATTCAAGCTGTTCGAACTAGATTATGATAAAGGTGTCTCCTTGTCATAAACGAAATCAGCAATATCTAAGGGCTCAAGAGCCATCCAAGCAATGCTACTCAGTTATAGAGGAAGTAGAAACTAGCTTCTCTATCACCAGCCAAAAGAACAGCGCAATATCTCAAAACCCTAAAAACCCAAATTTGAAATCCTTTTCGAGACAAGTTTCAATTCACGAATTGAGGAAAAAAATCCGGAATTTTTTTCACTGAACTCCTAATTAAAAAAAATCAGATGACACTCCTAAGCATCCGCATCGACACTACACACTAGAAGGTACACAGATTACGCAAAATAAAGCATCCGAAGAAAGCAATCGCGTTAAAGGGGAATGGATCCGAAATCAATTAGTTCAATTACCTCTCCAATAACGTCTTCTTTACGGGAGTTGAATTTGGTTCCCTTGTAAATATAATTTCCGCAGGTACTGCATCGGACACTCATCGGAAGCATCATACGAACCTTGATCTGCTGGTTCTTCGGTCGCCGGAGCCGAGGAAGCTTCGACGGATCGAAGTCCGGCGGATAATACTTATTAAGCACCTTTCGCTCTCCCATGTCGTCTCTTTTCTCTTCCTACTCGAGCTTTTCTTCTTCTAAACAAAATCGCAGGAACAAAGAAAAAAGGAAAATTCTCTCTCGTTTTGATTTTACGCTTTCGTTTCTGCTTTCCCGTATTAATATCTATAGACTTCTGATGCACCGGCACTAGAATTCGGGTCATGGGCTAGAGTTATTGGGGCATGTTCGATTTTGGGCTAAGATATCTAGGTCAAACCCAATTAGCGGGTCCGAATAATGATTAATTTCTCTTGTATAAGAAAAAGGAAAATCGAGAGCTTATGTAAATGATTAATGCATAATGAACTAATTATTACAAAAAGCTAAATAAAGCTGCAAATCCAAGGATATAGTGGATTTGAAAAAATGGATAGTATTCATTACATAAGATAACATGGAAATTTATTAAAGAAAAAAACGAAAACTTAGGAAGTTTATATACAATTTAACGACCAGTGTTTTGATCGATGAATCAATCCTGTCCATTACCTCTCTCCCTCAAACTTTGATCCCTCCATTGGCTGATGAGCTACGTCATAAGTTGCGTGAAGACCAACGAATAGGTAGTACAAAAGCATCACCATGGTACAGATAATGAATCTCAAGAATGCTACATAACCTAGCGAACCGATAAGAAAAAGATTCATGGCGATCGAAAACGATGGCAACCACGGAACAAGCGGGACTCCCCAAACCTTAGGCACACGGTGTTTCGGAAGCAATGCCAATCCCAAAGTCCCTATAAACCAAATGACTCCAGTCACTGCGTAAGCGAGCCAGCCTCTAACGCCTGCGTTCCACGACGCTGATACTCCAATGGAAGAAGCAATGATCAAAAACAGACAACCAAGAAACTTCAACAAACCAGTCTCAGGGGTTACATCCTTGACGTAGTAACGTCTCACAAGCAATGCTACTGCCACGAGCATGAAAATGAAGAGGGTGGCAAAGGAGAAAACGCTTGAGAGAACATCTAAGCTGGTGAAAAAGGAGATTATTGCGCTGAGTATTGTTACAAGGAGAGTGGCATTAATAGGGGTTCCTGTTTTTGGATGGACCAAAGCAAACCATGGAGGAATCATATGAGATCGAGCAATCTGAGTGGTGTACCGAGCTTGGCCTAGAGATCCAACGAGCAGGCTTGTGGTCATGCCCTTTAAAGCGCATATACCAACCAAATACTTAGCCCATTTCATCCCAATCTGAGCAAAAGCAACCGAATAAGCTGCATTCACATCGATTTCAGTGTATTTCACCATCATAGTCAACGCCAAAGCCATCAAACAGTAAACCACAGTGATCATAGACATAGAACCAACCAAACCAATTGGTATATCTCTAGATGGTTTCTCGGTTTCTTCAGCCATGTTAGCCACCATATCAAACCCAGTGTATGACCAATACACAACAGCAGCTGACTGGACAACACCTTTTGCTCCGTAAGGGAAAAAAGGAACCAAATTGGAGCTTTTTGAATGAGTAAAACCCACAACGACGATAAACACAATAACACAAGCCGTGACAATGGAAGTAATCAAATTCAACCAAGAAGTCCTCTTTGTTCCACTCATGGCTATGCCATTAGCAACCAAGAGCACTGCCACAGCTACCGGATCCAGAAGATCAAACCCTTTAGCAAAGGAATCGACTTTAATCCGGAAATAATCAGAATCGTCCTTGACCAAGCTAGCTAGATACGAAGACCATGACCTCCCTAATCCAGCAGCACCAATAATGCCCTCTAGCAGAATATTCCCAGCAGCAATAAACGCAATAAAATCTCCCAATTCAACCCTAAGGTAAGAGAAAGAACCTCCAGCGACAGGAATCTCAACTCCAAATTCAGCATAGCACAGAACCGAGAGCAAAGCGGAGATACCGGAGATAGCGTAGGAGAGAACCACGGCAGGACCCGCTCCAGTTCGGGCCTCCTGACCCGTGATCACGAACACACCAGACCCGACAACGGAACCGAAGCTAAGCCAGAGAAGGTCCCACCACGTGAGACAACGACGCATAGGGTTCTCGCTTTCACGGCGACAAGCATCGAGCTCGTACTCGTCGGAGGAACGCGAGAGAAGACGGTCAGCGAGGCGGGGACAAGTGGCGGAGAGAGCGGTTTTGTAGGAGGAGAAGCTCTGGAACGAGAATTCCGGGAAGAAATCCTGCTTTCTCCATCTCCAGTAGCTCCTCCGTTGATTTAGGTCGTCGGTTCTCGAGTCCTGCGGCTGAGCTTCCATGGATTAATCAATCGGAAGCAGAATATCGTGCTAAAGAGTGAAGATTGACAATAATAGATTTTCAGTGTCTATAATTAGATTATAAAATAGTTCTGGACTGATATTGTAAATAATGATTTAAAATTGTAGTTACAGCAGCATTCAGTGAAAGAAGGTGACAGTACAACCCTAGAAACGCTGGGCCCACCTATATACTATGTAGAATATCCAACGGTCTGGATTCGAGATGTGAGACTTATATTACCTTTTGAGATGAATGGTACGAAAGATGGGACCCGCTTTCTTGACAAGTTTAGATCAAATAGCTAGGCGCCACGTGACGAAGGCCTATTACGAGATCATGCCACGTTCGTGGATGAGCTTGACTAATTTAATTACCATTGAAATCGATTTGCTATTTTGGCTCAATTTTTTACTAATATAGTTAGTTACGTATACAACTATATGAGAACCCAGGGAAAACGACTGATTTCCACACGAACTTTGTACATTCTGAAAGTACATATACGAACTATTAACTCATGCCTATGCTTGCATGAAATATTAAAATGCAACTAATTTCACCAAAATCGTTAACGAAATTAAATTTCCGTCAAAAATTAATGATGTGGTTGACACGTGGCACAATATTTTTTTTTTAATTCAATAACCTAAAACGTTGTCGTTTTGATAATTGTAAAAACTAAAAACTAATACTCTTTCTAGGATTCGAACCCACACCTTGAAGTCATAAACCTAATGCTCTACCAACTAAGCTAAAGAATTTTTCTTCAATCTATTATCAAATATAATATATAGATATTATGTAAACATAAACAGTGTCTGTCCGATAAAAGAGAGAAGACTTTAAAAATTGAAATTGTTTTTCTTATAGATTGTTGTGGTGGTGAGCGAAATAACAGTTGTTTTCTCTATACAATTGCTTTAGTTTGAATCAGAACAATCAAATTTGTTGTCAAATCTATATTTGATAGTTACAATTAACTTGAAAGATCGAAAAACCAAAATCAATTAAAAATACAGATTGCAGAAACAACTGAGAAAACCCAAAATCTGGATATTTTTTTTTACACTTACAGGAAGATTGGATATAAATGAGATTTGAGAGAAGAAAAGAAACTGATTCAGATGCGTTAAAAGCAGAGGAAAGAGACAAGTCTGTATAATATCTATATAAAAGATAGTTGAATACTTTAACCAGAAATATTCTCTAGCTCAATTGGTAAGAGTATTATGTAAGTGGCTTTGAAGTTGTGGGTTCAAATTGCAGAGAAAACGTAACTTTTTATTTAAAATTTACCAAAAACGACGACGTCGTTTTGGCTATTAATTTTTTTAAAAAAAAATCAACCAAATCGATGTGTCACGTGTCAGCCACGTCATTAATTTTTTACGGAAATCTAACACCGTTAACGAATTTGATGGAATTAGCCGCATTTTAATATTTCATGTAGGTGTGGGTATGAGTTAATAGTTCGTGCATATACTTTCAGAAGGTATTAAGTTCGTGTGGGAATCAGCCGTTTTCCCTGAGAACCCATAATAGATAGTTTTTTTTGGGAGAAAGAGCTAACCCATTATTAATAGTTGTATAATTCACCCATAATAGATAGTTTTTTTAGGAGAAAGAGCTAACCCATTATTAATAGTTGTATAATTCGTTTGTACAAATATGTATTTATTTTTTAGTTTTTGATTTGACAATAACAGATTTTTTTTACAATTGTTCAAGTGACAACATTTTAGTATAAAAAATAAGATTAATACCATAAGTTATTGTTTTAGATTTGTCAACAAGTCATTTTCATACTTTTTAAAACTTACGTAATCCTGTCAAAGGTATTAAGGTTAACATACTAGCAAATCTAATGTAGCATGTATTTTATGGGACACTGAGAGTCTGAGAGACTGACTATCTTATACTTATAATAAGATTTCCCTTTTTCGTAATTTCGGTCTTTAGTAATAATTCCATCGATGCTCAATTGCTCAAATTATTACGGGTTATTAATAAGAGAAATATTCCGACATTAATTGTCTAAAATAACCAAATTAACCCTATATTAAATTATTAACTAAATTGTCTGCTTTATAATTTGGTTATTAGTTTTTTTTTTGACAGCATCCTGAAGGACGGAGAGAGACAGAGTATGCTAAGAGTGTGAAAACGAAGAGCATAAACTACACGGGACGAGGAGAGAGAAAGTGTGTTAAGAAAGAGAGATAGAGAGAGAGACAAAGAGACTGTTTGTGTCTTACCCATTCGAGGAATCAAAGCATCTTTTTTCGAGCTCTGAAAGAAGAGGAGAGGCAGAAGATAAGGGTGAAATTAGGGTTTTCTTTCGTTTGCAGTCATCTCGCTAAATAAGGTATGCCCAAATTCGTACAAAGCTTGACTCTTTCCTTTTTTTCTTCTTTGGACTTTGTCTCAGTTTTATCGTTGTCAATTTCTTCTCGAATTACTATAACGAGCTCATGGGTTCTGGAATCTTAGATTCGAGAGCAAAGGCTTTCACAAACTTCAGATTTTTTGGTTAGATTCGTCTCCGTTTGAAGTTTATTTAAAGTAGTTTTTTTAGCTGCTTAGTAGAATAATGTGTTAGGGTCTGTACGGATTTGGGGTTCTTTCCTTGGATCGCGAGTGCTCGCACAAGTTTTGGGGCAAAGGATTTGTTTTTGTGTATGAAATTTAGGATCTTTCAGACTCATCTCTTCCTACTGATACCCACTTTTGCTTTGAATCGGGGATTTTACAAGACCTGGGTTCTTCAGTGAGATGCTTTACTCTGTTTTGGGGGTTTGTTCGATTTGAAAGTAGAGATATGGTAATTTATTGTCGACGTTGTAAACATGTATGAACGTAGAGTAGATTCCATACGGGTTTATTAGAAGAAACAGTTAGAGTCTATTGAATCTGTACATCCGATTTGCTATCAAAAAGTAATTTTTATTCACCTAAGGTAAGGCGAGTATAGGAGTCATTGATTGGATTTTTCATGCGTCATTCGCTAATCACTTTATAACGGTTTGGTAATGTTTTTATGCCTGCGAATCAATCTACGAAGTTCTTTACTGTTCTGAGACGAATGTTTTCTCTGTGATGGAATAATGAGAGTAGTAACTGAATTCGATTGGTGTTTTTAATTGCAGTGCTATCCATCTGCCGAGTGATCAAGTAGCCTCACAACCTGAACCTGGAAATAGATTGTGGTGCATATCATATAACTGGATTTAGGATTTATGGTTATCTGAATTCAAGTAGTTTGAAGAGACTCTCCCAAGCTGTGAAACGGGTCATGAATGCGTGTCTAGGGACATGCTCGAACCAAAGGGAGCGGACATACCAATATTGTTCCTGGTTTTGGTTGTACTTCCTGTAGTAGCTTACATATTATTAGGAAAATGGAGTGACACTTCTTTAAAAAGAGGGAGGGCTAACTTGCTGGCTCAGATGGCAGCTGAAGAAGCTTTAAGAGCTGAGACTGAAGTCAATACGATCAGGGATGTAAGATTTGAGACTGTGGCTGCTGAGAATAGGTCTCTAAGAACCAAGACCAAAGCTGTTCCTGCTGCGAGTGGTGCTGTAAGAGCCGAGTTTTTGGGTGGTGTGTGTGGGACTGTAGCTGACCAGAGATCTGATTCCGTGGCTTCTACATGTGGGAGCCCAGTTGTTGTTCCTATCACTAATGTTTTATTACATGTATGTGCAAGGTGTTTTGGTCCTGCTAAGACACGTTGCTCGAGATGCAAATCTGTTAGATACTGGTATAGTTACCCCCTGTTTTGATTTCAGATACATTTCTTGGGTTTTTTTTTTAATCTCTTTGAGCTTCTTGAATGATATTCTTGTGCGGATAAAAGTCTTGATTTTCTTTACGTTTGCAGCTCTGGCAAGTGCCAAATAATTCACTGGAGGTTATCGCATAAAGATGAATGTGTCCCAGTGGAGACTTGCTCTCCTTCATCTGAGAGGGTCTCCTTTGAGAATGATTCTGTTTTACATGACCATGGCATCGATTCTACTATGTATAGTAACAATACTAAGCAGACAGCGAAAGGGAAGACTTCAAAAGGCTCTGTAGAATTTGCAGCCTTGGGTATCTCCCAGATTGATATTACACCACAAGTCAACACGCAAGGGAGAAAAAGCGTAGGGAAGCAAAATTCTTCCAAGTCCAACGGAGAATCATTTATTGGTGAAGCTGCTTGTTCTGGTGGCGATACCAAGAAGGGTCACACTAAACATAAGGTAAGCTGTTCGTAGACATTTATTTCACTTTATTAATTACCCAAATCAGTTATGCTTTCTTGCTAAAGCGGAGACGGCGCATAATATTTAAACCTGGTGGTTTTCCATGCAGTCGAGAAGCAACAGCGTTGCTGTGGAAACAAATCCTAATAGGCGTTCTGTTGACAACTCGTGTATGCAAATGAATGGACAGACTTTTGTAAGTGGTATGCAGGAAAGTCGCAAACATGAAAACAGTTTGGGAGCAAGAAGCTCTTTTGGTTGTCAAAACGCACAATTTCCTGTAAAAGGTTAGGCCTAATTTCACAAGATAATAAAAGTTACTCTAGTTGAGGCTGATACAGTTGTAGACTTGCATCTTCTAATGTATATTGAACTAATCAGGGGCCAGAACTGCTACACTGCCCACATCTGGAGAACAGTCATGCACAGAGACAAGTAAGAAGGGACTAGTCGCTGCAGTATCAAGTGAGTGTCTCTGAGATTTTCGTTTGACATAAGAATTCTTTTGTAGTAGTGTCTCATGCGTATCTATAATCCAGAGACTGTGAGGTCTAAGGATACAGGCATTGCTGAAGAAAGCAATGGCATCTCCTCAACCACGGGTTTAATGAAAATGATGGGTTTACGAAGTTCTACAAAGCATGATGATCGACATAAGAACCTGAAAGTTAGTTCCCTGGTGATATTATTGTCTCCTTGCTAATTCAGTTTCGTATCTTTAGTTTCCTATTTTTCTGAGTCAATATCTCTTTTTTCTCAGATGCTTTTTCCATACGAGGAATTTCTTAAATTCTTTCAGTGTGAAGTGTTTGACTTATCACCTAGGGGCCTTGTAAATTGTGGAAACAGGTACTCTCTAACTCTCATTTTCATTCTGTCTAACTACAAAATTGAGGATTGCTTTTAATTTACTATCATCTTTCTTCTCCAGTTGCTATGCAAACGCTGTCTTGCAGTCCTTAACATGTACAAAACCACTCGTTGCTTATTTGCTTCGACGATCACATTCAAGATCATGTAATGCTTTTCCCAATCAATCTTGTGCACAAATCGTTGGAGATTTACTATATTACTTCTGACAAAGATAATGTTATTCTTTCACAAAATAGGTTCTGGGAAAGTTTGGTGCCTTATGTGTGAACTTGAGCAACATGTAATGATGCTTAGAGAATCTGGAGGTCCACTTTCTGCTAGCAGAATTCTCTCACACATGCGAAGTATAAATTGTCAGATTGGTGACGGGAGTCAAGAAGATGCTCATGAGTTCTTAAGGTTTTTCTTCGTAGTCCTTTCAGATCTGAATTTGCGGATACTTTCTTCTTAATGTGATTATTTTTCACCGTTTCTCATGAAATTATCATATTCTATTGACTTGCATGTAGGCTTTTGGTTGCCTCTATGCAATCCATATGTTTGGAGAGACTTGGAGGTGAGACTAAAGTGGATCCAAGGCTGCAAGAAACAACCTTAGTTCAACATATGTTTGGTGGACGTCTCCGCTCAAAGGTTTTATAATCTCCTGGCTCATGATCTATGTCTACGTTTACTTTACACATTCTCATTGTTTCTGCTGCTGTCTTCCTCTGAAAAATTAGGTGAAATGCTTGAGGTGTGATCATGAATCAGAAAGATACGAGAATATAATGGATCTTACGTTAGAGATATACGGATGGGTAGAATCTCTTCAAGATGCCTTGACTCAGTTTACTAGACCAGAAGATCTCGATGGAGAAAATATGTATAGATGCAGCAGGTTAGATCCAAACACCAAATTGCTTATTCTTCTTTTTTTGGTATTGAACTTAAATCCTCATTTTGTGAAAATTGCATTGAAAAAAAAGGTGCGCTGGATATGTTAGAGCGAGGAAAGAATTGAGCATTCATGAAGCACCAAACATTCTCACAATTGTTCTTAAGAGATTCCAGGTATCAATTACTTATAAATGACTACAGATCTACTGTTGGGTTACTCTGTATTCTAGTATGTACTCTAAAACTCATGTGTTTGCAGGAAGGAAGATACGGGAAAATAAACAAATGTATAAGTTTTCCTGAAATGCTGGACATGATACCTTTCATGACAAGAACCGGAGATGTTCCTCCGCTTTATATGCTTTACGCTGTTATAGTTCACTTGGATACTCTCAACGCATCTTTCTCGGGTCATTACATTTCCTATGTCAAAGATTTGAGAGGCAATTGGTTCAGAATCGATGATTCCGAGGTAAGAACTAATTTGCACCCTCCTCTTCCTTAAATGCAGCAAGCCAAACGGTTTCTGAACTTCTGCAAATTTCTGTTAAAAATCTGCAGATTCATCAAGTGCCAATGACTCAAGTTATGTCAGAAGGAGCTTATATGTTGTTCTACATGAGGTAAGAAAATACGAGTTTGTAACTTCCAACTATTTTTCTGCATAAAATACCAGAAGTATATTTTATGTTGTTCTACATGAGGTCACGGATTCTGAAAATACATTTTCTTGCAGATCGTATCCGCGTCCTCAAAGAGGAGAACACAACGGAAAAGCTCAGGTTCGGCATTCGCAACCAAGAAACGAGATGAAGGAACAGAGGAAACCGATTAACCGCTTCAAACCGAGAGCAGAGCACAACAACGCAGAGTCATCCTCAAGCGAATGGTCTCTCTTCACGAGCTCAGATGAAGCTTCTTTCACCACAGAATCAACCAGAGACTCTTTCAGCACCATAGACTACACAGATGTTTGCCACGTCGCAGACTCTACTTCTCCTTTCTCCATCTTCAACAACTTATACCACAACGTGGAGCCATCGCCACACAACACCGTGGCATGTAGAATGTTCTCAGGTACCAAACCCGAAACCCGATATTTCGTGGAGGAAGAAACAAATCACAACAACACGGTCGTGTTGGACTCATCACCACCATCCCACGATTATTACCAGCAGAGTATGTATGTAAATTATGAGACTAACCCAGGATATAACGGTCAGGATCGAACTTACAGTTATGAACAAAACTGGTAGTAGAAAGAAGAGACTAGAGAGGATTCTGTTTTGAACCTCCCATGATTTTTAAATATGTTTTAGAGATCTCATTAGGGATACTTAACTCGAGTGCCCTTCCCGAGATTTTTTTGTCTTTATGATCTCTATGTATGTTTAGTTCAGGGCAAATGTTCAATCTCATTTTATCAAATTCCCCTGTTTCTGCAAAACTGAAACTTGGAAAACAAAAAGGTTTACAACCTTAACCTCTTGTTTCTATCTTATTCATATATATATAAAGAAAAGGGTTCACTAAAACACAGCTTAAATGTCGATTTGAAACGGTAACCAAATCTCATTGACCCGACCCGAGAACTCGAACGGTGAGTTATACTGAGCCACCGTGTAAGCTGAATCCGACCCAACACCGCCGTCTTCTTTACTTTTCTTTATCGCATTAGCCCAAGCTGTGCCTTTGAGACTCGCCGAGAGCGCCGCCGCTTCTTCCCCGACGGTAGAATCGGAGACGAAGCCACTGAATTGTCTCACCGCCACGTAAGTAGAGTTCCATTTCTGGATGTGGAGATTCTTCGCCGGAGCTGGATCGGGCTGGTTCTTTTTGGGGACGTAGAAGGAAACAGTGAAGGAAGATTCACAGAAAGGACCGTCGCTTGGTGAGACTTGACTAATCACCGGAGCAGTCATCTCTATCTTCTGGTGATACTCATTCTTCCCCTGAATGTAAGCGAACAACCTGACCCCAAAACAAAAAAATCGAATCTTTATCCAAATAAAAACATCATTTTTTCAACATAAAGATTGCATTTTTGCACTTACTGGAAGAAAGCGGTTCTTGTAGCATCGACGAGAGAGATGTCTTGAATCGGTTCAGTGGAAATCCAGACGGTTTTCTCGTACCGGCGAATCTCGTATCCATTTCCGGCGTGAATTACTTCGTAGCTTGGGCACTCGATTCGGTTACACGAAGGCGGGAACTTCCCGACAAGACCGGGCCGAGATATCGGATCTGGTATGTTTGAACCGCCGGAGAGGAGGCTGAGGAGGAAAGAGAGTTTAAAGAAACTTAAACCGGCTGCTGCCACTGCCATGATGGTTTTCTGGGTACAGAGCTAAGCTACTTCTTCCTTCGTGCCCGGCCTTATAATTATAGATTATTATTGTTACGTCTCTGATTGATTGTGTGGTTGATCTTCGGATAGGTTCTGTGTGTGCATAAATATTCCGTAGACGTGTAAAACCAAACTACAAGGAGCATATTTTAAGAAAATAAGAGACAAGGAAACATTTGTAATAAACAAAACTATGAGGAACTTCTTCAAAGAAACAAAATAGCCCGAAATATACGTAACTTAGAAAGCTAGGGAGCATTGGTAATTAACAGACACATGTAATACTGTATAATACATGTGATGTAAGTGTAACTGTGGGGAATTGTAAATTAATGAGCTAAACCTATAGGATGATTATGTTATATAAAAATGTACAAGGATCAATCCGTAAAGAACTAAAATACAGGGATCATCTGTAATAAAATACTACACGGACTATCTGTATCCGTGATAAACGCTGAGACGTGTTCGATGCTCGAGCAAAGGCACTGAGAACATTCGTGAAAAACAAAGAAACTTTTGCTCCCAAAAAAAAAAAAAAAAAAAAAAGCTATACCACCCGACCCGAAAACGGTTTGGCCCAGAAACACACCTTGTACCCCTATTTACGAAATTGCCCCAGGCAAAGTCATCTCCTTCGTTCGTTGTGTTTATTGAGGAATGCACATCAGATGTTCGACGAAATGGCTGTAAAGAAAGTTGGTTTCTTGGACGAGTAGTGACATCCTGTATGTATGTACGCTATGAACTGAAGCCATGTTTTCGTTTTTATCTTAAGATCTCTTCATTTTTCAGTTTTCTACAAAGGATTTCTTTTTAAAATTCTACACATTATTTATGCATAATGATCATATTACTATACTGCCTAAATGCTGTCAAGCCTTTAGAAATCGTACATTACTGAGGAAACTTCTGCGGTTTAAGTGCGGCGATTTTTGTAGTACTTGAGATTATGATGAAAACTGTAATGGCTGAATAATGAGATTATGAGACTAATTACTGCCCAGCTCTTAGCTGCTGGTGGTTCTCTGTTTTGGAATATGATGTCTGCCTTACTCATCTGAAACTCTTTTCTGCTTTTTTTTTGTAATTTATGGAAGCCATTTCTTGTTTAAGCTTGCCATGTTTTAAAAAGAATTGACTTTCCTGATCAAATGTCAATTATGTTTTTTGACAACAAATGTCAATTATGTTTTGATGCATAGATGTCTTTCAATCTATATTTTTCGAATTTTTTCTGTTTGAATTGGGCAAAGGTTTTTGACATCCTAAAGGAGAAAGTCCAAAGCCGAAGAGTTGACAACGATTAAAGAATCAGGTAACTTTTTAAGCTTTTCATTCTCTATATTTGTTTGTTCATGGCTTTGTAATTCATAGCTGTCCTTGGAAGACGTTACTTATATAATAGATTGGAAAATTCTGAGTCTTTATTGTTCAAGAGGGTTAATATTATGATAATGTTGAGTTGCAGTAAGCAAAATGCAAGTAGTCAATGATAAAGTCGTGTGGTTACTGCAATAAATTGTTCATGAATCAGATAAGTGCAAGAACAAGTCTAGTTTACTGATTCAGATTGCCACAAACTATTCATTTTAAATGTAGTATTGCTATGTTTATATCAAAATTAGAAATCTTCAAACCCACTCAAGCCACGTATTGAATGCTATCAATAGATAATCTTTCTTCAAAATAAAAAGTTTTTTTGTGCCATGCTTGAGTTCCACATTTCATATTCAATCGCGAAAACCCTGAGTCATTCACGTAAACAGGCTAATGGTAAGGGTCACAAATCTAACTCACTATCTGAAAGCACAACAGCAGATGATGTTCCTCTTTCATCTATCTCTTTCTTATGCTTTCATGTTCTTTAGAATTAAGAAATGACTAATGTGTAAATTGTTTTTAACAACAAAATACCTTTATTTTATTTAATTTTCTTTGAAACCAACAGATTTGGTGGAAAAGCAAATAAATAAAGAAAGAAAGAAAGAGACAAATGCTTTTGTCATGCTTGCCACCTTTATCCGTTGAAAAATCTTTCTCCACCGCAGATCCAGAAAAAAATATAAAAATGTTTTTCTTTATCCCTTTAGTTTTCTTCTTATAAAGAGATGTTAACACACAAGACATTTCCAGATATCAGCTTTCTTTTTACTTCTTAGAGGGGACCAGAGAATCAATCCATACATATAGTTGGTTCCACTTTTCTTGAAAAGTGAATAATTTTTCTTTCTCCATTTGTATGATTCTGGTTTTTGATCACCAACCATCATGTTCAGTTTCCAAGAAGAATGGATACCTACAATTATATCGTCGTGATCTTCTGCATCGCCGTATTTGGAATCAATTTAGTGTTTTGTTGTTTCACTTCCTTCTCTATTCTTCACAGCCTTATGACAGAGACAAGCGAGGATTTTAGTGACCTGAGGAAGAATCTTATTGAACCGAGGGAAGTTAACCCGGATGAGAAGGTGTTGATTATTTCAGTCTCGAGTAACCAAGGATTCTCCGACTCCATTGATGATGATGATGATGATTGTGGCCAAGATTGCTCTCATGATATTTGTGCTTGTTGAAGAAAGGTTGGTTTCTGTTTTCATTACACAATTCTCCTCATGTTTTTGCAATTTTTCTTGGAACCTTACTACTTGTAAATGGTTAAATCCATAGGTTGAGAGTTTCGCATCTTGTGCATCGAAATTCAGATTTTATTTGTTTGTTTCATTTTGTGTATCGTGAGAGAAATACTACAGTCTGCAAATATATGTATTATATGTATACAGTTCACCATTTCTTTGATACATGCTCTTTACTGGAACTTTTTTAAAAGTTAATTAATTCTTTGTGCAGCATAAATCAAATGGAGGTGCAGAAAGTTGTGACTATATTTTTTCTTAATCTAATTTACTTTTCAAGGTCTATTATTCTTTGGAGGCTTAGAATTAAAGGCAAGGCTCCACTTAAGACGGGGAAAAAGAAGAGAAAACAAGTTGCACTCGTTGAAAGTAATAGAGATTAACAAATACGTTGTTAGTTGACAAAAATACCAATTATACGAAATTTAATTAAAGAAAGAAAAAACAAGGACAACGAATAGCTATAGTGACAGATTACTGAAATTTCTCTTTTTTGTATTATTTTTCTCGTTCACTAATTGTATAAGAAGAAAAATTATTGAAGGTGATAAATCATTTTGATGGTTGATTAGTTGGATGGAAAAGAAATCGATATCAAACTTAAATGATTATAAGAGCGTTTGTTAATGTCATAATCCTTCCCCCGAACTCGAAGATTCGATGGATGAATTTAATATTTATAAACCACCACGTGTTGCTTAAAATTTAAGAGCGTTTATTAATGTCTTGTTTATTAAACACCCTTAGTCAAACTTTGCAGTCGGTGGTTGTTAAGTCATATAATAATAAATCGGGTCTAAATTGGAAACACACACATTATCTCGGGTCTTTATGCAAATAATAAAACTGATTTATGAAAAATAAGAAACAAAAAAAAAGGACTTCTTCTTCCATTGTTTCAACGCTTTGCAAAATTTCCATCTCGATTGAGTCAGAAAGAGCGATCGAGACGAATAGGAAGAAGCTGAAGAAAGATGGGTCAAGGAGAAGAAGATAAAAGCAGAGGATTTGCTGAGGAAGCAGGTAACCAGCATCATCATCATCAATACGGTACCTTTCAAGGTGTTTCCAACTACCCGCCGCCGCAGAATTCTCCTCCGGTCACTGGATTTCCTCAACCTTCGCCGCCGCCTGGAGCTTACGATTCCTCCGCTCCTTATTACGCCCATGGCTATCAAACTGTTCCAGGTAGCTTCTCTTCCTGAATTGGATATGCTGATTCAGTTTTTGCAGTTTTTATGTAAAATTGATGACGATCATAAATTCAGATTGTAAATTTAGAAATTTTGATTGCTCTTCGGTGGATTTGAGATCAAACTGTTGTTGCAGTAGCATAATAAGGAGTTTCCTATTGAATAGGAACCCTGTTTCGTTATTGCCTGTTAGGGAACGGATCTGAATGTTGGAATCTATCTTCTTTGACAAACATTGAAATGAAAATATGAGTTTGAATCGCAAAATTTGATTTAATACTGAGGAGCTAGTTAGCATAATCATGTGAAGTAAAAAAGAGGAATGTTTGATGGCATAACTTCGAGCGAAATTTGTTTTAATAGTTTGGAGCTTTAAGTTTTAGCAACAGTTAGTCGGTTTCGATTTTTGCTCTAATCTGTAAGGTAAGTTCTGTCTTGTCTCATTATCTCTTCTTCTTGCTCAAGGCCAAGGCAAGAGCATGAATCGATGTATGTTCATCTTTTCTTATGTTGATCATCTCTTATTGTTTTATTTTCAGTCTATGGTGGTGTTGCTGAAGGAAGACCTGTGACTGTGAGACAGCGCCGCCTTCCTTGCTGTGGAATTGGTCTCGGATGGTTCTTGTAAGTTGCTATCTTTTTTACTTCCTTAAAACACATGCTCGAAATTTTCTGGAAAAAATTCTCTCTCTTCACATGGCTGCTAACACTATCTACGCTTGCTTTTTAGCAATGTCCTAGCAACACAATTCAAACCAAGATATTGCTTGTTTCGGTATCTCATAGATTTGTGTTTGATCTTCTTGAAGGTTCATCGTTGGATTTTTCCTTGGAGCAATCCCTTGGTATATCGGTATGTTCATCATGATAGTTGGAAGGAGGATTGACCACAGGGAGAAACCAGGATACATTGCTTGCACCATCGCCGTAAGTTATTCATGACTCTCTCATATCTTTCATGTTTTTCCTTGGATTGCATCTGACTCGGATCAAAATGATTGATTCATGTGTAAACACTTGCAGGCTATTCTTGCGACGATCGCTGTGATTCTGGGTGTATCTAAAGGAGCAGAGGAGTGGTGATCAGTTAACTATCTTGTGGCTAATCTCGAAACGTTTGTATAGGTGTCTATAAACATTGCGTGTTGTATTATTATCTTTATGCTCTTCTACTTAAAAAAAAGGTGTTGTAAACCTCACAAAAACACGTTTTGAGTTTCCGTTATTTGCAACAAGGAAAAATATATGAATCCCAATCTAATAAACGAACAAAAAGTGATACAGTTGAAGAGAGTTTATACATCAGAATATTATATAATGGATCTGTGATCTATCGTTTTCCAGAAACAGTTGCATTGTTGTGCATCCTCAATAAGTCATCAGGAGTTACAAGGAACCAGCCTCCATCTTTCTGAGCCAACAGCTTCTGGTTCAATGAGTCTATAATCACACTCACATTCCCAAACCCATAAATCTGAAGACCATTGTGCATTCTATTCGGTTTAGGTTTGAACAGCAACTCATTCTCTTGCGCAAATACTTCCAAGACTTCTTTCAAACTCAGCACCTCTGCGCTATCCATATGAGCCTTGGCCTGAGCCTGAGCAGGTTCGAAGTGTCTCTGTTCTTGTGCCCTTGCTCTTGGCTGAGACACTTCAACTCCTTCAACAGCTTCCATCAACATATCTAAACCACGCTTCAACTGGATTCTGATCCTCTCGTTTGCTGAAAGCTCTTGCGGGAATAACCCTTTCCAACCATAATACCATTCCTGGATCTCGTCGAACCTCGGTTTCGAACGCAACCAGTGGTACAACACATCCAGCCATTTGGGGAAGAAGAACCTCTCCATCAAATCAGCAATTAGGTGTATCGGTACTGCAGATGCCCACTTCATAACCCAATTGAACCGGTCTAAATTCTGGTTTGCCGGGTTTATCTGAAACTCTTGCAAGGCCAGCTGAAGTTTGGGAACTATGTAACGTCGCATAAGTTGCTCCCAGCTTGTAGCATCAAAAACGGTCTTCCATGGAGAGAGAATAGTGTAGGCAGACGGGTCACTAGGATGCCAAGCATCAAGAACATTACTCAACTTCATCTGAATGATCTGATACAGAAACTCCAACTTCTGACCAAGTATTGGCAACCAAGGATGCACCCAAACATGGATGGCAACAAGTTCCCTTCGTGGGTCCCAATATTCAACAGCAGTTGAAAGTTTTGGCAGCACTACTGTGTCTAAAATCGTATGCAAGACAGATGAAGGCAGCAAATTTTCCCACGTCTCTAAAAATCTAAGCATCGGCTCAGGGTCTCTAGGTTCCCAGGTATTGACGCCTGCTATACGGACAGCAGGTAACACTACCTCCGAGACTAGTTGGCTATAAGGCGTTGAGACTACCCAGATATTTTGATTATCCTCGACTTCCAAAAGCTTTCTCCAAGAAGATATAGCCTTCAGACCATGAACTGCATCCCTGAGAGGATCCCAACCCTGAAACATCCTGATAAAGAGAGGCAAGGCCAGTGAGCAAGCAATGGTGGACAAGTTACAAAGCTTATAATCATCAGGATAGCTTGTTTGCAGGTCCTCGAAACGATTAGCAAGTGAATCCAGTGTCAAACTCCCAGACGTATTCTCCAGCTCGATTCGACTTATTTCATCTGCGATATATTCCATGTTTTCCAAGTGTGTTTTTTGTTTCTCTTCCTCCTTTATAAGCATCTCCTTCTCCTGTTGCAAGCTTAAAGCTGATTCTTTCTCGTTCCTCAAGTCTCTATCAATCTTCTGAATTTCGTGTTCGACTAGATCAACAATCAGTCGCAAGTTGTGTTGTAACTCCGGCATTGGAACATCTGCTTCCCTTGCTTTTTCCTCTCCATTCAGATTTTCCAAATTTGTCACAACCCGAGCCTGTGGTCCTCGCATATCAATAATGGTCTGCCCACCACCAAAGCCCTCTTCCTGCTTCTTTTCCAATAATTCTTCCGCAGTGACATAAACTTCTTTCCTCACTTTCTTCTTCTTCCAAAGATTTCTCCGTCCTCTATCACCATGATTCTGATCATTCTCACTCATACTGACCGCAACAGTCTTCTTCTCCTCTACCTTTGTTAAATCAGGCAACTTCGCCTCCTTGAAATCGTTGTACCCTAGACCCGTATTCTTCGGCCTCAACTGTGCTTCAATGGGAGCTACAATACCTTGCTGGTTCTTCCCAAGCCCACGTCCCTTGTACCCCATCTTTTCAAGCAGCTTCATACCAATTCCTTTAGTAGATTTCTCAAACTGACCAATATCACCACCTAAAGTTTTTTTCTTACCTGCCTTTGCACCACCCTCTTCACCTCTCTTATCCATCTTGGCCTTCCCTCTCCTCTTTGCCCCCTCAGCTATCTTCTTCCCCAAAGCTCCGGGTAAGAGGTTGTCCTCCTCGTTATAAATAGACGCATTAATCCCTGACCCTAAACCTGACCTTCCACTACCCAATCCACCTCTAACTACACAGTCCTCATCACTCATGTTACGGTCATCGATTTTAACACTACCTCTCTCATCATTATGTTCTCTAGAATCCCTATCAATCTCTTGAGTCGGCATAACCTTACCTGTAGAAACAAAATTGACAGGCTTGGTTAAGTCGGCTTTCCTTCCCGAATCCCGATCCTTACGCCTCTTCCTCCGACCTCCGCCGCTAGAACCATCGGAATCCGAATCGCTCTCAGCGAAGATTCCATAAGTAGCATCGTTTTTGGTTTGTTTCCGCTTCTCCTTCCTCTTTTCGTATAAGAACTCGCCGTTCTCCCATCGACCTCCTTCATAGTCGTTTTCCATGCTGAATCTCTCCATCTCTTGATACTCGTCCATGGCGAATAACGGATCCAAAGCTCTGCGAATTTCCCAAACTAAATCTGTGAGATTGAACAAAATCGAGCAATTTGAGAGGTTTTCTGATTTCGACTGCAAACCGCCGACGTCGAAGCGTATCGGAGAGAAATATTAATCCTTTGGGCTTTATAAACTAGAAGGGCTTATTTATTTGTATACCAGAGAGCCCATATATTTGTAAACTTAGTTTTTTTTTTTCCGACAATATTTGTAAACTTAGTTATTTTCGTCCCAGAAAAAGTTATTTTCTTGTAATACACAGACTAACAGTTAGGAGGGCTGGAATTATTATCCGGTATCCGTTATCCGATCCGGTATCCGATCCTATTCGATCCGTAAAAACTGGATATTCGTGTAGTTCGGATCCGGATCCGGATAGTGAAATTAAGTATTCGGTTATTTTGGATACGGATCCGGATAATAGAAAATTTTAAACTCGGATATCCGTTATCCGTTTATTAAGATTTTGAAAATTTTGAAATCTTTGGATATGCATTTAATTTTTTGTTTTAATTATGTTTGAAAATTGTTTTTGGTTTAACTCTTTTACACATGATTGAAATTTATACTGCATGATAATTTTCTATTTCAGATTGTGAGAGAAGGCCATGAAAATAGATAACACAAAGATATGAAAATAAATTAACTTCTCTATTACTATTTTCTCTTTTGTTATGTAAATTTTTAAACTTTGTGTTATTTGAATGCTACTTGAATACTTTTAAATTTTTGGTATTTGTAATTTTTGCTATAATGATACATTTTAATTATATATGTTATCTCATTATAATTTTAAAAATTGAAGTTTTTTTTTAAATCAACGAAACCGGATATCCGGTCGGATATCCGTAAATCTTCGGTTCAAACCGGATATTCGGTCTCCGGATATCCGGAGTTTTCGGATCCGGATTCGGATAATAAAATTGATTATCCGTCAAATCCGGAGTCGGATCCGGATACTTTGAAAAGTCCGGATATCCGGCTCCGTTCCAGCCTTACTCACAGTATCGCGTGGTCTCATCTTCTTCATTTGGACTCTTTTGTTGTGGCCAAAATAAATAAATAAATAAAGAGAAACTGAAAAAATCATGTTAACATGAATTAGTTATCTCGATATTATAGGGCTTCGAATTAACATGATGGTTTAGTAATACTCATAACTAAAAAAAATAGCACCTCCAAGGCTCCAACTCTCTAGTAATAATAATTACAAAGTTTACGATTTTTTTTTTATAAAAAATTTCAATAAAAGAACAAAACTGGTGTATATTTATTTAATTAACTTAACTTTTGTTCTAATCAGGATTCAGGAGCATTCTAAATTGTAGTCCAGATTAAAGCGTGTATGGGTAGCCAAGTGCATGTGTATCCAAAACTATTATATTAACAAATAAATTTTTATATTAAGGGAAATTTTCCTCGTTTTTAATTTGTTTAATTCCTTAAAATATATCTCTAATTGAAAAGTTCTTTTCTATGATAGAAAGAAAAAGAAAAAAAATTTGGTTCACACAGTATACAAGTCGTAAATTTTTAGGAATACTTTCTTTTCTCTGACCAACTTTTGTTTTTGCAACAATAGAAACACCTTCTTAGTAGTCTTTAAAGAAGAGCTGTTATATTCTGTCTGAACTAATACAACAAAATCCCATTTATTCTGTACTAACGACACAAATTTGAGATTTTAGACTATGACTCAGCTTTTTAGTTGGTTTTAACACATAAAGAAACGTACCACCTTTTTAGATCATATAACAAACGAAGTCGGAGGTGACTATGCCTAGACTTTTTAGTTGGTTTTTCAAAATTATTGGTACAATCATGAAATTACTACATTGTATCCACAGTAGAGAAATATTGATAGCTATGACGCCATATAATCGCATGCATTGATTGAATAATGCAATTTATTTCCCTACCATGAATAGACATCTTTACTTTTACCAATTCTTTTTTTTATTCTCAGTCTACATAAAATCATTTTCAGGTAGTAGACTTCGTTACTCTTATCAATTTACTTTAATCAATTTTTTTAATAGGATTTTTAGGGATACTTCTGATGCGTAAAGTAATATGTCATAGCTTCGCGACAAGAATTTTTTTCTTCTCCAAGGCTAGTCTATTTATTATTTTTTTTGAACAAACAATAAATTATTAGCTAATCAAATAAGCTTACGTTATAACTATTTTAATTAACCAACGACGCTCGTAGCCGTTCGGTCTATTTTGTCCGACGTGGAATTTAGTAAATGATAATGACCCTAGTCTACGCGTAATTGCATTATATTATTCAAAATTAAAATTAATTGATATGGTTGGACGAACATTATCTTATATAATACTACTATATTATATCACATGCATTTCGTAAGAGAGTTGACATTGCTATTCATCGTCTCCAAAGAACAGCGCCACCTGGTTCCATATTTATTGTCTGCGATTAAATTAACTTAACAATTTACACTAACAAATCGATATAATTGGTGTTTAGCTACTTTTAAAGTTTTAACGTAAATAAGTTTTAAGGTAAATTCCAAATTATCTACCTAAATATCAATCATGAAAACTGAAATGGGGAACAAAGAAAATAAATTAAGGTGAGAATTGCGTGGGAACTCTCCTATCTTTAACTTTAACGTAGATAATGACGACAAAAACAGGCGGAAAAAAAATGGGGAGAAAAAATGGAAATATGGAAGTATATCATAGAGTATATATATTAAAATATGAAAAGTATAACATATACTAAATACTCATGCAATAAAGCCACATGCATGTAGCGTAAGGAAAGGAAGACAAAATTAATTTTTTGGAAATATACACCAGAGAACTTGTTGTTATAAATTCGTTGCCAGTTGCACATACAGCGATTTATTACATATATCTCTATGCGTAAGTATATAAACAAGTTTTATCACATTTTTGTTATACAGTATATTTATTCACGCATATATATATATATATATACAGCTGCCTCCAACATATATAGTCAACTGATGAAATTATAAGCATCATCATTATAGTCCTGTCTCCTTTCTTTCTTTCTTCCTTTCCTTTTCAAAGATCAAGATGATGGAGATAATTACAGTTAGAAAATTGTTCTTGATCGGGTTTTCGATCTTGATACTGAACTGGGTATGGAGAGCTGTGAATTGGGTTTGGTTAAGGCCAAAGAGACTGGAGAAATATCTGAAGAAACAAGGGTTCTCTGGGAATTCTTACAGAATTTTGATGGGAGATATGAGAGAGAGTAATCAGATGGATCAAGCTGCTCACTCTCTTCCTCTCCCTCTCGCTGCAGATTTTCTCCCTCGCATGATGCCTTTTCTCCATCACACTGTTCTAAATCATGGTATGATCCATCACACGCAACTCAATTCTCAAGTTTTTAGGTTTTTTGTTTTAAATACTTATTTGAAGAAAATGTGAATCTAAATCAGAACCAAATAGACTTGATCTTGTGTTAGATTCATAAATATCATTTTATAAATTTGGTTAGGACTTAGGGGTTGTTCATCTTCTTCATCTTCAATTTTAGATCATTTTCAAGGTGTGTTATATATGAACAGCGAGATTCAGAGTAAGGAATTTTTTTTGTTTTGTTTGTTTGTTAAAGATTCAGAGTAAGGAATTAAAAGAGTTAATTGTGTATATAGATTATAATGTTAATTTATATACAAAGATTTGCGTCATTAAGATCTAAATCTGATTTTATAATTTATATCTATCTTTTTTTGTTCCTGGCTGTAATCTTAATCTAGTTCACATTGAAAAAAAAAAAACACTCTCAGCGGATCATATCAATTTACTTTCTCTAATATATCATTCTTCAATACGTATATGTGTGTTGTTTCATACGTGGATTAGCTAAATATAAATTAGCAAATGATAATAATTAACCAATATTTCCTCATTGTTTTAACAGGGAAGAAATGTTTCACATGGTACGGACCGTACCCGAACGTGATAGTCATGGATCCAGAGACACTACGAGAGATAATGTCAAAACACGAACTCTTTCCAAAACCAAAGATTGGGTCACATAATCATGTTTTCCTCAGTGGTCTTCTCAATCACGAAGGTCCCAAATGGTCCAAGCATCGAAGCATTCTTAATCCTGCTTTTCGTATCGACAATTTGAAGGTATTTATTTATTTCCCTTTATTTATTTTTTTCGATAAATTAATTAATGAATGAATATGCACTGCTCATTTTGACTCTAATAACTATTTTTGTTTTTTATATTTATTTTTTAACTCTGACATAATGTGAACTTTATGGACGTCATTTTCGTCTCATTCTTTAGATTTGATCAGTTTCATTCTCTTTTTCTCTTTTTCCGAAAAGAAAGTCAGATGAGTAACGTCTATACTTGCTTAGTTGATTGGTAGCTGAGAGATTTATAAAATAATAAAAAATCATATATTAGCTCATTTTTGAAGAATTTTTTTTTACTACCAAGAAACAAACAATTAAACCTCTCATACACAAAAAAAAAATATATTTCCGGAGAAAACAAAAAAGGGTATTTAAAGAAAAATGAACAAACAGAGAAAAAGTCCGCAAAGAACTAGAAGCCACGCCACCTCACCAACACCTAACTATAAAAGTCTAAAAGCGAAAGAACAGAAAAGCCAAAAAGAAACATAACAAAAAGGTGAAATCATATTTCAAATCAAGAATTTCTAATACATCACTTTTCATTATCAATGAAGAAAAGTCACATACTGTACATTCATTATCTTTAACCAAATAAATCAGCCGCTAAGAAATAAATGGTTATAAATCAATATAGATAAATGTAAAGCTTATTTGCGTAAAGACCTACTTATGTGATTTTTTTTGTATGAGATCGGTTCTGATTTTTCAAATGAACCTCTTAAAAAAAAAAATGGACAGAGTATACTTCCAGCATTCAACTCGAGTTGCAAAGAGATGTTAGAAGAATGGGAAAAATTAGCTTCAGCAAAAGGAACAGTGGAGCTTGATTCATGGACTTACTGTCATGACTTAACCAGAAACATGCTTGCTCGTGCTTCTTTTGGTGATTCCTACATAGATGGCATCAAAATCTTCGAAATCCAGCAAGAACAGATCGATCTTGGTCTCCAAGCTATTCGATCCGTCTACATCCCTGGATCAAAGTAAGAAAAATGGGTCTTTAAAAGATATCAAACGAGTTTGGAACTGGAAAGCTAACTTTGCTGATTCAAATTTCATTTTTTTTTTTTAATTTATTTTGTATTTGTAATTTGCAGGTTTTTGCCAACAAAGTTCAACAAGAGGTTGAGAGAAACCGAAAGGGACATGAGGGCTATGTTTAAAGCTATGATTGAGACAAAAGAGAAGGAGATAAAAAGAGGAAGAGGTACCGACAAAAACAGCGACTTGTTGTGCTCGATGTTGGCTTCGAATACAAAAACTATCACAGAACAAGGACCAGACTCTGGGCTGAGTCTTGACGACATGATAGATGACTGTAAGGCTTTCTATCTAGCTGGTCAAAATGTTACTTCTTCATTGTTTGTTTGGACACTTGTTGCTCTAAGCCAACATCAAGACTGGCAAAACAAAGCAAGAGAAGAGATTTCTCAGGCGTTTGGTAACAACGAGCCAGATTTCGAAGGGTTAAGCCACCTAAAAGTCGTAAGTCCACGTTTCAAAATTCAAACCCGATTAAACAACATTATAACAACAAGTTTTCTCATAACTCTTTCTTTTTCTTTTGAATTGGGGGGCATCATCATTAGGTAACAATGATCCTCCATGAAGTTTTAAGACTCTATTCGCCAGCTTACTTCACATGTCGGATAACAAAACAAGAAGTGAAGCTAGAGAAGTTCTCTTTACCCGAAGGAGTTGTGATCACAATACCAATGCTATTGGTGCACCATGACCCTGATCTTTGGGGAGACGACGTGAAACAGTTTAGGCCAGAGAGATTCGTTAATGGCGTTGCGAGCGCAACCAAAGGAAGACTCTCCTTCTTGCCTTTTAGCTCGGGCCCTCGGACTTGTATTGGCCAAAACTTTTCAATGTTGCAAGCTAAGCTCTTTGTGGCAACGGTTCTTCAACGGTTCAGTGTTGAGCTCTCTCCATCGTATACACATGCTCCTTTCCCAGCTGCAACTACATTTCCGCAACATGGAGCTCATTTGATCATTCGAAAAGTTTAGACAAGGTAGAAGAAGATTGAGCAAAAATAAAGGTGCTTCCTTTTTTTTTTTGTTCATCAACAAAACAGAACCTCGAAGTGTGTAGTAATTGCAGTTTGAATCTGGTCAGGAAATATTTATTTGGGTGTTTTTGTATATAAGAAACAGATCCATATCTAGAAAATTTCAAAAGATTTCTTAATTTCCCCTGAAATTGCTCTTCACATTTGTTCAATCACCTATAAACCCTAAATTCCTAATGGCTCATCGAACATTAGCCCAATTAACGAATTTGTGTCTAAGGATCGTTTTCGTAGATAAAATCAAATTGTGAGTAGGCGTGAGCAAATCGAGAAAAGAAAGAGAAAGAATAAAAGTTTAGGAATTAGAAGTAACCGGAACGGCGGCGATGTCCCCGGACGGTAGTGACGAGATATTTACCGACCGACGCGAAACAGATTGGTGGTAGTGGAAACGCGAAACGCGGGAAACGCCCCATTCTGATTAGTTTATCTTTTTAAGATAAATAATTTGATTAGTTGGTTCTTGCATAATTAAGGGCAGCCTAATCAATCATTGACAGTTTTACCCCCTAGTCTGTGCGGCCACCATGTGTTTCCTTTTCATAATACCAGCAAAACTTAATTAACCAGGTCTTTATTCTCCTTTTTTTTTTTGGTTGTTTAATTTCTACTTCCCTTCAAATATCCTGTCAACTTTTTTATTAGTTTTCATATTTTTGTTGAATCTCGGCAAAACAATTAACTAACATGTTTTGAGCTTATTTAGTCTTATATAAGAGGCAACGAATCAAAGAAGATAAAAAGGAATCTCGATGGTTGGAGAGACACATCAAGTTAGATATTTTCCATTTTTCAGGTCGATATAATTGTTTGATTAGTTTAGTACAAATAGGTATTTTAAATTAAAATCAAAATTTATTAATTATCCGGTTTGATAGAAAGTTATGTACATTCATAAGTACATAAACAGAAACTTATTTTTTGTGTGTGTGTAAAAACTAACTTTTTATTCCTTTATGACATACAGTAAAAAAATTTAAAAAACTGTGTTACAAATAAAGAAAGTTACACGTTGACAAATACTCTGGGAAGTTAATCAATCCTCTCAAGATTAAACATCACCATATCCTCAAGAGCTGATCTGAAACCACTTCTAGGAAGACAATTCAGATTCTTTAAAGCAAATTCAGCTTTCTCCTTAGCCAATTCCTGAGCTCTCTTGATCCCACCACGATTTCTAACCATGTCAATGGCTTCTTCAAGAGATCCAGGCTCACAAAACTCAGACTCAATGATCTCTCTTAGCCTCGGCTCATTCTCTAGCGCGAAGATCACTGGCGCTGTTATGTTGCCTTTGGCTAAGTCATTGGCTGCAGGCTTCCCTAGTTGCTCTGAGGATTGAGTGAAGTCCAAAATGTCATCAACTACTTGAAATGATAATCCAAGATTCTTCCCAAATTGATACATTTGCTCCGCTACCTCGCTTCCGACACTACTGAAAATCGCAGCTCCTTTGGTGCTTGCAGCTACTAATGAAGCTGTCTTGTAGTAACTCTTGAGCAAGTACTCATCGAGCTTGACGTCACAATCGAATAAGCTCGATGCTTGCTTTATCTCACCGCTTGCGAAATCTTTGATCACCTGAAAAAGATAAAAAAATCAAGATTCAGACCGAGTTGCTTCTTCCAATCTCAAGAAAAAAAAAAGAAAAAAGAATTTTACCTGACTTATGAGCTTAATGACTTCTAGGTTTTCGAGATTTGCTAAGTACCATGATGCTTGAGCAAACATGAAATCTCCAGCTAATACAGCTACTCTTGTTCCAAAAAGCTGGTGAACCGTTTCCTTTCCTAACAAACACACAAGAAAAGCTTTAAATACTTTGCAGAGACAATACATGTAAATTCTCCATCAGAAGAATTGAAACTTTTGTCTCACCTCTTCGCATATCACTTTCGTCTAACACATCATCGTGTATCAAACTTGCGGTGTGAATCATTTCAATGATCTCAGCTAAACGCCTGTGTTCTAGCGTAAGTTCCCTGCACCGAGATTTACGAGAAATCATCATTTTTAATCGCTAAAAGATTACAGATTTTCTAAGGACAAAAGATGTAATAGCAATGGAAACTGTATAGATTACTTTAAGCCAGCTAATTCTGCAGTGGCTCGTGATACAAGGAACACCAAACCCGGTCTCATCCTCTTACCACCAGCACCGAAAATTTGCTCAGCTGCAGATATCAAAACCGGATTTTCTGCACCAACAATCTATAGTGAAGAGCATTTTACATTAGAAGAACGATAAACCTCTTTTAAGAGACCACAAGGAAATGTTGCCGAGATACTAACCGATAAAAGATTGTCGTTCAACTTCTGCAGATCATCAGCCACTATCTCAAACAGAGTTTCCAAAGATATCGGCTTTCGTGACTCTTGCCTTAGATTGAACATCACTGTTTTTTCTTGACCAAGACCTACACAATCATCATTATTCTCATCATAAGCATCACACACTAGATTCAAAGAGCTTAAAAAACTGAACTAAAGTACTAGAATGTGTAAAATTTTTGACTTCTCTCTGGTTTTGAGTATCTCAGCTTTATAAGACTCTTTGTGTCAGCCAAAGTTAGAGGGGGGTTTTTTTTTTTTTTTTTCCATAGCAAACATTAAAAAAAAGAAGCTTTACTGTTAAAAAATATATGTGCTACATAGCAAACAAAATGTAAAGCTCAAAGCTTTACTGTTATATGACCAAAAAGTCAGAGCATACAATCATTCAATTACTAAACCTAATCAAAATCAAATTATACTTCCAAAACTAAATTGTTTAAAGGAAAACTGAAAACAATACCATTGAGCAGAGTACTCTCCTTGGGTTTCGCCGGAATCGCTCTGCAACTCCCCGAATCTCGTCGGAGAAACACCAAATTTCCACCACCATAGCTTCTGGTACCAATCCTACAAAAAGTCTTCGAACAATTGCCAAACAAGATTCGACGACTTGTCGGAGAAGAGCTACAAGGACACCCGCATGGCATCAGATCAAGAACACTCGTACCCAAGTCTATATTCCGACATGACATCATCATTTCTAAGACAAAATCCAAAAGGCACGACAACTTTTTAAGCTTCGGAAACTGAGAGTCTTAGATTTTGAACACGAGTAAGTGTGTACAAAGTCTCAACGCTGACGAAAGATTGGGTGTATGGAAAATTATCGAAAAAAAATTAAAATACAAGAAATTTTAAGTGGGTGATATAAGTGAATCGAGTTTTCTTTTTTTTTTTTCTTGATTTTCTTTGGGTGGACGAGACAAAACCACATGAGAAATCTCTCTCAAAACTCGACCTTTGGAGGACGAAAGAGATTTCAGATTTGTGTCCGTTTTTTATTCAATATACAATTACAAATGGAGAGAGGGAAAAAAACATTAAAAAATAAAAATAAAAAGAGCCCATCGTCCTCTGCTTTATCAAACCAGAAGCTGAGATATCCCCACGTGTTTTATACTTGTTGGTCAATCATCCAACTCGTATCAAAATATTTCGAGATTAGAGAATATCCTGATTTCAAGACAACTATTATATACTCCATAGGGCTCATTATAATACCATTATTCTAAGATCTCACAATTTTAAAACTTCATCTTACCGTACAATTATTAGGTTCAAGGGATTTTGAAGATTAGTACTAACTTTTAATATTACCATAATCAATTTTACTTTTAATCAAACTAGGGAGAAGGGACCAAGCAGTAGTTGCCAGTTGGGGTAGCCATAATTGGGCCACACAAATATAAAATCAAGCCTACGAAGCTAATTTCATAACTCCTTTCTTTCTTGTCGGAAACTGAATTTCTTAATCGCTTTAGAAAAGCAAAAAGAAAAGAATTTTAAAAACTGATTTCCACTAATTTAAATCACTGAGCTTTACAGAAGTTAGTATCATCAGTAAGATGACTTAGCAAATCTATTATACATCAGCAAAAGTATAATGAAACCTCCATAATAACCGATGATTGTCTGTCTTGTTCAGTGTCAAATGCTTCTTATGATCCTGCAAAATGCAACAAACCCAAAAAAAAAAAAACCCAATTTTTAAGATTTTGAATTTGACGTCTCTTTGCTTCAACAAAAGTTAACAAAATTTCTCCATCTTTCTCTCTCACCTTCCAAGCCGAGATAGCTCAGGTTCCGCCAAAAGCATATCTTGCAACGGTTTCGCATCTGTATACCTTTCGCTAGAACTAGAAAACAAAAAACAAGTGTCACAAAACAGAGAGAAAGAAGAGAGAATCGGAGAAGGAGATGGAGATCTTCTTACTCGCAGATGTGATCGATTGTGAGTAATCTATGGTGAATAACGAAATCATGACCGACATACGTCACAACCAAGGAGCCAGAATCAGGATGTGGCCAGCTTCTTGAAGTAGGGAACCTGAGAATGAATGTGCCCGGTTCTTGACTTTGCAGCGAATGTTCTGCCTCTTCTTTAGTCACAAACCCTTCGATCCATTTAGGCGAAGAAGAGCGCCACATTCCGTTAATCAATCCCCTGGATATAGCAGAAGCAACAGGGAACAACCAACACCACATTTTCTCAAAATTCTCTTGAGTTATGTACTCATAGCATCCACATATTCTCCTTAGAAGCTCAAAATCCTGAAAACAGTTTCATGTCAGAGCCACATTATGAACTGAATGTCCATCATCAAGACCAGATCAACATTTCCATCTCGGTAAAGAGTTCATGCAATATGATAAAGAGAAAGAGAGAAGACCTGGTGAGTGAGAGATCTACTGCTGCATTTAGCTATTCTCATAAAATGTTCTTCAATCTCAATTACCACATTATCCCAATGAACACGTTGATAGTTCCGAGAGATCAGAATCCACGCATTTGTCCCTTCTGCTATCAGTTTTCTTGCCATTTTGATTTGATAGCTGGAGAAAATTGGAAGAATCATCATGTTTCTATTTACCCTCGCAATTTACGTATTTGAGGGACGTGTGAGTGTGATTTACCTGTGATGGGAGCACCCGGAATAGAGAGAGACTTGATCTGCAAATTCCGAAACTTCTTCATCGGATGAATTGTTTGTGATTTCCTTCAGAAGAAGAGATCTCTCTGTTAAGTTTCCAAGACAGTATCTGAAAATCGTCGAGTCTGAGATTGTATATCTTTTGAAACCCGATGAGTCTCGAATTTCGGTGTTTTCTGAGTCAGTTGAAGAGTTATCTTCTTCTTCGTCTTCTTCTTCTCCATGGCTCTGAGGTTTCCATTCCATACTCGTGCCATTTCCATTCTCGAACTAATTCAAGAGAAACAACAATGCAGAATCATAGTAAAGCTCGATATATGGGTATGTAACAAAACGCAAATCAGAGAAACTGGATTACCTCACTCTCAGGTATCTTTTCTTCTTCTAATCTGATCCGTTTCATAGACGAAGAGCTATGTAGAATATCTGAAGCTCCATTACTTGATGCAAACTCTAAAGAATGGTCAATGTGGTTCAACCTTTTGGGGGCAACAGAATCACGGTTCTTTGAAATGCAACGGATTGGGTTGGTAACAGCTTCGAGGAACGGATAAGAACCCTTATTCGGTATTTCGAATTTGATGCAGAACAGTCTCTTGTCACTCTTGGAAGAAAGCTTAACAAAACAACACAATCAAAAACAAATAAACGAAATGTGAAAATGCCCCTCCAATGACCTAGACTTACAATCACTACCTGAGATATTTTGAGCTTGAAGGAAGCACATCCGTTCAATAAGCTGCATGGTTTATCTTCTGCTGAGAATTCAACTCCTTCATAGGTTACCAAAAGGGGAGCCTCTGAGTCACTCGACTTCTCAACAGGCGTCCCGCTATCAGCATACAGTAGAGAAGCCAGAACCTGGAAGATTAAACCATTAATGCGTTATCAGAGAAATGTTTCCTAAGCTAAACAAGTTCAGAAGTTTAGCAAAAGCATAAGAGAATGAACCTTCACATCTTTGTGCACAGGCTGTCCAATAGCATTGGATAGAACAACATCCAACGAAAAAATCTTCCGGCAGGATGCCTAATAAAAAAAAAAAACAGAATCTCGACTAAATGGACAAAAAGATATCAAAAGCATGCACAATTAGCAGCAACACTCTAACCATTCCGCCAACGATAGTCCAAACACCATCTTCATCTAATTCGATTCCAGATGTGGATGGCTTCTCAACAGATAACCAAAGAGGTGGGTCCTGGCAAAGAGATGAAGCGAAATTTAGAAACACATAACAAGAGTTTTTTTGAAAAAAGAACAAGGCAAAGACTTAAGAAACAGATACCTTTGTGTAGTGATACTTTGCAGGGACACTAGAAGGCAAAACTTCCGCACAGTGGATGAAACCCTGAACGCTATAACCATCTCCACCAACACTAAATAGCGAGATCTTTCGTGCACAATCTGAATTCGTGCCATTGCTCATCAAAGAAGTCAAGACTTGCTCTCCTGCAATCTCTCCACAAATATGAAGGCGCATGTAGTTTCTAGAAACCTAGCAAACAATAGAAATCAGTAAATCCAACAACAAAAAAAAAGAGATATTGATTATAGAAAGAGTCTTTAGAGATGTCCTTATTACCTCACAACCCACTTGAACCCATTTTTGAAGAGGAAACTCAGCTTTTGTAGAAACATTAGGAACTTCAGTCCAAGAAGAAGTGTTTACAGGATCAGGGGCTTCCTTGTGAAGAAGAGTCAATGGCAAAAGCATCATCTTCTTGTTTTCATCAAGGACAAGGAAAGGTGCACTAACACACATGCCAGAGTGAACCTGAGACGAAAATCCACTTTAATCAGAAAATCAATCAATGAAAACTGTTGTTCCAGTTAAAAAAAAAAACTTGAAATCACAACGATCAACATCAAAATGGTATATACAAAACAATAATAAAAAATGGCAGTCAAAATTCTACTCAAATTTCATAAGAGCAACCAAAAGATCCAACCTTTATTCCCAATTCCAAAAAGCGAGGTTAAACCTTTCACAAAACATGAATATGGGCAATCTATCGTATCACAGAACCAAAAAGATGAACATTTCAGAGAAACTAGAGAAAAAAAGCTAGCTTTTAGTAATGGAGAACTAACCTGTCTGATGATTGTGGAAGGGTATGTGGTGGAATCTAAGAGGTAAACCCAAAAACAAAGAGAGAAAGTCTCAAACTCTTGGTTTTCCACTTCAACATCGACATTAAAATCCTCCAACAGAGAGTATTTCTCGGTTTCAATCGCAAAATCACCCGCCATTATAGCGCTCCAAGAAAAAAAGCTCTCGACTTTGCAAACGAAACCCCTAAAACCCAGAAAATTAAAACACACACACAAAAGAAGAAGAAAAAGAGACGAGAAACCTTTTTCTTCTCTCGCTTTTCTCGTTACCCAAACCAACTTAATCGATCAGCTTAAAAGGAAACTGAAAAGAAAGGGCTCGGAAATGCTTCTTCTCGTCTTTTGACGGCTGTTAATTAACGGTTGGTACCGTCTTCCGGTGGTTTCAGTCTGTGCTCTATAGGGAAGATCCGCAAATAATCTACTGCCTCGCGACCACGGGAATATATGAACTATAGCCAATCAAATTCTTAGCTCTTGGTATGGTGACTTGCCGTCTTTTCCCATTTTCTTTGGATAAAATCGGCAGTTACAAATTTGGAGAAAGTCGAGGATAATCAGGTTTTACGTTTTGATATCGATTTGTTGTGTAGGTTCTGTTAAAAAAAAGTGAAACCAATTACTGTTTTTTTTGTAATTTGATTTGGTGTTGATGCAACTATAGAGTAATTGGTTATATAGGTTCGGTTCGACTGATCTACAAAAATACTTAAAAATAAAAATTGAATAAATTAGAAATATTATGTTATATATTCACAATTCGAAGATGAAGAAATTCTTGATGAATTTATCGTTGATACCCATCTGTCTTATATATGACATTATTCCACTGAAATATGAGTCATTGGTATAACGATGTCGAAATCAGTTACAGTCCATTCTGCAATTTGGTTCTTGCTCATATATATTTCAGTTCCTAAATCTATTGACGACCAGTGTCTCTCCACCGGTTTCGTTCCAGGATCCTGCAAATTTTTGTTCGAATTTAACAATTATTTTAAGTAATTGTAATAACGCACATACATAAATGTAGATATATATTTATAGATAACAATACCTGGTAAAAGTAGAGTGATTGAGAAAGTTTTCCGACATCGAGTTCCCAAGTTGTTGGATCTCCAATCCAACCTTGTCCTTTCTTTGTCGGATACCCAAACTGTTCCCACACAGGATGAGGCAAGATCTGCAGAATCTCCTGCGGTTGTGGATTACTGTACGGATCGCAAACCTCGTACGGCGATTCCGCGAAACGCGCGTTTCCCGGAACGCAGTAGTAGTGATACGCTTCGTAAGGGAACCTCTCCTTATCCGTCCTATGAACTTTAGTCCCGTTTGGAAACGTGTGGTGCGGTGGGCAAGCGTTTAAGCGATTGCGGTTGCAAACGGCGGTTGTCTCTGGGTTAATTATCATCTCGCTGTACCTCGTGACGTCGGTGGTGACTTCGCCGTCGCAGTCTCTGCCATCGTTTTTCCAGCAGCTTCCCATGTCCATTAGATAAAATTGGCTCCCTGAACCGCCACCTTTTAGAACCTCTAGCTTAAATCTAACTTTGAAATTCGGCGATTTCGGCGTCTTGTGCGTCATAAATACATCATACAAAACAGAGTATTTTAGTCCCAAAACGCTGAAAACGATATTTTTTTAAATGGTTTTACATTTCTGAAACAGAGTAAAATCGGTTTGATCTTCCGGTTTACCTAATCCAAACTGAACCACAAGTAAATAAACCCGACAGCTAACTAAAAATAAAATTAATTTTCTCATTCATCATACTAAAAATATACTGTCAAATCCAAAACAAAAAAGCATAGCTAAATGGGTTCATAAGAATTAGGAAAAAAAAAATCAAACCGAAATTAAACCCGAAACCGTATTAGTGCGTTACCAAAAGATGAAACAGAGGATTACTCAAAACACTGAAAACATTTTTTTGCATGCGTTTAAATTCGGATTAGATACTTACCATCTTCATCATGCCTCTAGTATCGTAATGATAACCACCAGATAAACCTCGAGAAGCGTCAGCTCGTAGATAAAGCATCAACCATGGATACTTAGACGAAGTCTTCAAAACATGGTGAAAAACCCAACTCTCATTTCCCCCAATCTTCTTCTCCCATTTCACCTTATAATACGAATTATTACCAACCACCGACTCATCTTCTTCTTTATCACTATCCAAATCCCAAGTTCCATAAAAACTCCCACTCATCATATGCCCTTCTTGATCCACAAAGCTTGTGTACTCATGATGCATCGATGGCATGTTCATACATCCTTTCCCGAAACACGGAAACCTCCCTGTCGGAGGAAAAGGATTCGCCTTTTTGCCGTTTTCCGGACAAATCGCGGCTAAAGTATCCGTGTTACCGTTCTTTAGCATTATCATCCAAAACTGCCATGGATTTGGCTTGTCCATAACTTGACATTTGTTTCCTAAGTATATCTCCTTTTGTGCAGCATAGATATCTGCATCGTCTCCGGCTATTATTCCTCCGTACGTTCCGTTTTGTACCCCGAGTTTGTTGTCTTTTTCGTCAACTTTATGGTTTATTCTTACTAAATATGTACCCCAAGAACACAATAAAACAGTTTCAGCTTTTGAGGTTTAAGAACACAATAAAATGTGATTTTTTTTTTTTTTGGTTCAATTTTTTTTTCCATGTAACGCAAACGCGAGAGTTGTATTTGAAACCTAAAAGGCTAAAACTAGGAAATAAGAACATAACAGCAATGAGATTTTACCGGGCAAGCTAGAGTAATCGAGATCAAAGCAATCTGCCATTCGAGGACTTCCCATATTCTTAGCTTCTTCACCAACCTCGTTGCATTGGTTCCAAGCTTCTATAGCTACCCTTAAGCCATCATTTTTCATCCCGGGATCTCCCAAAGCCGATACATAATCGATTGTTGTTGTTGTTGTACAGTCTGATCCAACAACGGAATATGAAAGACATGAAAGTATGAGCATAAGTCTTTTGATGAATCTGAATGATCCATCCCCACTCTTCTCCATTGCAGAGCTAAATTTCTGAATATTATATGTTAACTAGCTTCATATATGGTATTGGTATATATAAGCCGAGGCAAACTCACATGCGTTAACTGGGAGCCAATTGACCAAAATACATCTATAATTTTTTTTTGTCAACAAATTTACTCTGTATATTTGTCCATTAATTACAATAAAGTTTAACCTTAATTTGTTTTTTTTATCTCTTATATTGTTTTTCTATTTTTAGGGAAATATATGTTTTTATCAAAATTAACATCCTACGCTTGAAGAGATCTGTTGACGTTAGCCACAAGATTGAACAAGAGATTGGTATTACGTTAAGTGGAATGTATGTCTTAAGTTATCTAAGAATCTTGTGAATTAGTCTTTCCTCACAGCGCACGCTAACACAAAATTTACTAAATTTAGGAATCGAAGGTTGAAGTTGGAGATTTTGCGATAAACCCTCCACTCATAACTTAGAAGATAACAATGTGTAAATCAAGTGATCACTATTATTAGATAAAGATTTGAGCAACAACGACCATTAAGATACGAAAACTTACAAGCTTATCTATTGTCTTATAATAGTAATACGTAGAAAGATTCTCAACTAGAGAACTTTTGTCTTTATCAGATAAGAAGTAAATAGAGAGAAAAAGAATATAAGATCATGAAGATTGTTTACCAAGGAAATCAAGGAAACAGAGAAGGAGAACAGAGTAGATATATGACAAGGTTTCTTGGGTCACAAGGCAACACTTCATTTAGATTCTCAAAGCATCGAGATAAGCTTTTCCGTCGAGCTCACGGGAGAACAAACCATCCATGTACTCTTCCATGGTCAGCCTTTTGAATTTTGCAACCTTTTGCCTTTGGACGAGGCTTTTCGCGGGACCAACTTCTTTATACATTCCCGGGTTGTGAAACGTTGCAATAGAGAGCCTCTCTTTTTCTGAATTCACAACTCCTCGATGCTCAATGCTTCGATATGTCCCATTCGTTACGATCTAACATTAAACCAAAAAACCCATTATTAGAACCATTTAAACAGTGATCCCATTACCATATGAATTCAATATAGTTTAATTACCTCTAACACGTCTCCAATATTGACAATGAAAGCATTCGGGAGAGGCTTTACAGGAACCCATTTCCCATCTTTCTTGATCTGGAGACCTTCAACGTCATTCACCTGCAGCAATATGGTGAGTCCTACGGAATCGGAATGCGGAGTTAGACCGATAACCTGATCGGGTTGTGGACACGGAGGGTAGTAATTCATCCTCATAGATTGGATCGAATCAACATCATCAAACAACTTTAACATTTCCTCTGGTTTGATCTCTAGGGCTCTCGCCATTCTCGCTACTAAGATCTTAGCTACGTTCTGCACTTCAGCAGAATACGTCTCCAATGTGTCTCTGAAGAAACAGGAAACCAGTGACTTATACAGTGAAATAGTCTGTGGATATATTTAATAAATGTTGAGAGTTAAGACATTTTTTTAATGCAACAAGAAAAAAGAACCTAAAGTGAAGAGGTAGCTTGGGGAACAAGTGAGGCTTGCGTGATTCAACAGGTTGCACAGTAAGGAAGAACAAATCTGCCCAGTCGAGTTTCTGATCTTCTGAAATCACAAAAGCTTGTCCGAAACCTTCGATCTCATTTGATAGCTGCCATAACTTCTTCTTTTCTTCCATGGGAAGGTTGAAGAAGCCATGAATCCCCGCCTTTGTTTTCTCCAAAAAACTTGGGTCTATACCATGGTTTACAAGCTGTAGATGATTATAAAGACATACTCACAGCATCACAATGATAAATTTTGAAACAGAATGTGTTATATAATGCTCTATTTTTGGGTTTAATATGCTAATAAAATAAAGAATAGGGATTGTTTTGTAAGAAACGAGCTTAATTGCAATTTTTTAAAAAAAAGTTCTAAGATTTTATGGTCTGGGACCGGGCGGTTGATAGTACGCGTAAATTATCCCTCCAAAAAAGGTTGAACCTAGGACACATAGAACAACTTCCTTCCACCAACTAACCACTAGGAGTCTAGGCAACCATACATTTGATGTCAATTCGGAGACTTACGTGGGAATCAAAAGAAATTAGACTTATTTTGTAAAAAAAAAAAAAGTTCTTGTAGAGCAATTTTGTAAAACAAAACTAGTAGATTCTGAGACTAGCCTAAACAAGTCTGAAAGCTCCATATGAGGTCTAACATGTTAATAAAGAAAGATGAGGGGTTGATTTGTAACAAAGTAAAGTTGGAGACTTTTAACTTTTTACCTGGAAAAATCCCCATTCTTTGCAAGCAAAGTCGAGTTTCTCAACCTCAGAGTCCATGGCGATGGCGGTTGAAGAACATAACCGCTTCATGTCAATGATTGGGATCTCGGTGTTTAGACCAGAACCATCGGTGATTTCAGTTTTGTCTAGATCAGACCGAACATACCTGGGAGGAACGGTCGTGATCATCTTTTCCTTAACCATCTCTTGAACAGAAGGAACTATAATTGAGCTCCACTGAGCTGCTCCTTTGGATTCCATGACGGTTTCTTACTTAGACGAAAAAGAAAAAAAAAACACTATTGTAGATATTGCTATTAGATGTTGAGAGGGCATTGGTTTGTGTTCTTTTGTAGTTGATCAGTTGATCTAAAGCGTATTTTAGTTTCCCACGTTATATGCATGATTGATTAGATTGTCCCATATCCTCAACAGTCGAAATACTATTTGATTGATTGGATTGTCCGTTGTCCTAAATTAAATGACTGTAGGTCGATAAAGACTAAAAGACATGTGACTGACTTTGTCAACGTATGTTATTGTTCATATTGTTCATGGCTGATACCAAGGATTTGATATATAAAAACTATACAAGAAATCTAGTTTTTATTCATTAAGGGCTGTATCTTATTGTATGTATTTTATTGTGTTCTTGTTGCCCATTTCATAGATAAAAACTAGATTTCTGGTATAGTTTTCTGATAATATTACAAATCAAGACCTAATAAAGGTTTACAAACGGTTATATCTATGACCTAGAATTTTGTTGATAGGTCCCAATCAAAGCATTGTTAAATTGCAAGAAATCTCTACCTTTATTTCTTTTGGTTTTTAGTCTCTGTAAAGAAAAGATTGCTGAAACAACTAAGAAAATGAGAAAGCAACTGAGGGTCATGCTCCTACATTTCAGAGCAGTGGGCTCCTCTTATTATGCATCAAATAATTATTAAGCAAAAGACTTGGTCAAAACGATTTAGTCAACATATATTTAGCCAGAGTTCGGCTTCTTTGGTCTTCCCGCCTATGGAGTGTATCAAATTTGCGTTTGCTTAGCGAGTGTGAATGAGCCAATCATTGTCGTTGTTGTTCTCGTATCTGCAACTGCAAGCTTGTTGAGCAAATCCACAACATTGTCAGGTGAGTCAATGAAATATCGAGCTTTTGTATGCGATTGTCCGAGAGCTGCAGAGAAGTAATTCTCTTTCTTGAGGCCAAGAACGTTCAGTGAAATCTTCTTCTTCTTCTTTAGAGAGTGATCAATTGAAGACGACTTCGACCTAGTTTCATAAGATAACTTAGGCGACAAGATCTCTGATTCGAAGAAAGTGTATATGTCTTCGTCCTGTAAGATACGTCGACGCATTTGTATGAAAAAAAAAAAAACCAAACCGGCAAGAATCTAATTTCTGATTGAGTAATTTAGGTTACATATAGGCTTTACCTTCTCCAAGAAGTTACCACTGCAAAAGACATAATCAATCGGTGTAGTCATAGACGTTTTGTGCAGTACTATATCTCTCAATATACGACCAATTGCTGCTCCCTAAGTAACAGAGAAAGAAGATATAAATTTTAAAATCCCAATTTACTACTGTATAGATGTAGCTCATAATTCGTTGAATACAGTACCTCAAAATGAGAAGCATATTAATTTATTTACCTTAGTCCCACCCGTCGCATGGACTTCAACAGATTGATTTCCTCGAACAACATCAACTGATGCTTTAGAGATTGGTCCTGCCCATAAGCATTGTAACATGTCTCTTGCTTGTGCTCTCCCAAATTCAACATCTTACAAAAAGAGAGAAAATAAAAAATAAAAATTCAACAACAATATTAAAGTGTTTGTAAGCAAAAAGAAAGAGAAAGTATCCAATAAACTATCTAAATCACCTGCATATTCGTAATTCCATACAAGAGAAGTCTCACTTGCTTCGAAAAACGATCTTGGAGTTCGATCAGTGAAGTACTTAAAAACATTCTATAATGTACACAATAATCAACCCATATAAGATTTCAAGAAATATATTAAAGGAAAGATCATCAAGTTTGATTTTCTTTAAAAGGAAAATTCTAACCTTTGTACCATCGACCCAATCGAGGTTCATGTTTTGAGGCATATTTGTCATCACCCATTCTCCAGTGGTATGCCTTAAGAACATTCCGTTTTCCGCAGCCAACCATATGTTATACTCTCCAAAGTTCTAATTTTTGTAAGTACCAAATCAGTGAGAATATAGAGATATATGTGTGACAACAAGAAAAGATGAAAAGAAAGACATTAATTAATAATACTTTATCTAATATGTTTCTGCCACTTCTACTCAATACAACTACAGTTGTTTTTGGATCATTGCATAATGCCTTTAGTGTTCCTTTTAGCTCTGGGTTTAGCTTAAGATCCATTTTCTTACTTCGACTATTCATTGGCTCAGTGAGTGTTCCACAGAAACCCTGAAAACATATATTTCATAGTTTATTAATATAGATTACTTAAACAGAAAAAATATTAAATTCTCCCAAAGCTATAGCTTAATTACCAAGATTATCAGTCTATTGTTAGACTGTGAATATCGTTGTATTACATCTTGTTGTGGAACTTCATGTGGATTTTTTCTAATTTGCATCTCGGATTCAGCGAACGCGTCATTGAGTTCACTGCATCGAGTTAAACAAAACCTAGGCATAAATAAGCTTTTGAAGACAATTAAATTTTCCTTCTTCATTGGATTACCTCAAGAAGTCAAGTCCCCATTTCTTAGCAGAATGAGTTTTCACATATTGAAAATTAACTCTATGTCTCTTTTCCCTTTCTTCAGCTGGCATATTTAGAGCTTCTTTAATGGCAGAAGAAACTTCTGTAACATTCCAAGGATTCACAAGTAGAGCTCCAGCGCCGAGAGACTGTCCAGCACCTGCAAACTTTATAAATAACATGAAAAATCATAAAATGTAAACATTAGTCTAATGCAATCTTAGAGTCAAATATTTACTTTGAAAACACAATTATCTATATTACCTCACTGAGAATCAGAACCCCTCTTTTGGCCTCTTGGCAAGCAACAAATTCATGACTAACAAGATTCAATCCATCTCTCAAAGATGTTACAAGCATTACATCTAAAAGGAAAAAAATAATCAACTCATCAAACAAGTTATACAAAGAACTAAAACCAAATCAATGATCATCACGTGTAGTGAAGGAACTTAATTACCTGCAATCGCGTAGAGTGCACATAAGTAATTGGAGTGAACAGAACGATCCTGTCAGAGAAAATGAGAGAAAAAACGCTATCAAGAAACGATGAAGTAAATATTAAATCATGAAAACTTGAATAAAAACAGAGAAAGCAAATAAACCAGGTGATGAATTGGAACAGAAGAGACAGAACCAAAACGACCGTTAATGCGTCCAACGAGTCCATGAACTTGGTTTTTGACCTTTCCATCTGTATATAAAACACAAAACACTATCTCATCAGAAAACTGAGGAGATCAGTCTTATGTAAATTTAGAAGCATAACAGAATATAAAAGCTTTTTACATTCAGAGACACCATTTCTCGTTGGCACTGCAATTTGCACTAACACAACTTTATCGCGCCAATTCGGATTTTCTTCCAGAAACTTCTCAAATCCAAGATACTTTTGTGGAATCCCTTTGATCATATCAAGACGATCAACACCTAATATCACCTGTCAAGGCCAAAAAATGTTTTATGCATGTAAAAATATTTTTAGCTTCAGATTAAAGGTTGCAAGAAAATGTGTCACCTTTTTTCCAGAAAATCTATCTTTAAGCTCATTCATGTGTTGTATGACTTCAGGGAGCTTACATGCTTTTATAAACCGATCGGGATCTATTCCCATGGGTAACTGAAAATTCACCCCAAAAAAATAATAATACAGAGATCAATGAATTATTGTTATGATGTGATGCTTGAAGTTATAAAGAAACGATGTTGAAGATTTGAATATGAAGTCATACAACAGCTACTCGAGTGACTCTGCCTTGATCCACAACTCCTTCATGTGTTCCTTCAACTCCAAGAATTCGAGTGCATGTACTCACAAAATTTCTTGCAAAATCATATGTATGGAAACTGAAAAGTAACATATAGAAATTATTAATTTTTCATCCAAATAAATGATTCCTAACCATATTTGACGATTCAAGTCTTAGATTTTACCCAAGTAAATCAGCTGTAAGAACCGAACGAAGAAGCTCTGATCGTGAGGGCAATGTTTTGTAGACATCCGAGGAAGGAAATGGTGAATGGAGAAACCATCCAACTTTGATCTTCTTGTTGTATTCTTTAAGATATTGAGGAAGAAACATGAGATGGTAATCTTGGCACCAAACAATATCTCCTTCTTCATAGTTCTCAATTACGACATCAAGAAACATTCGATTTGCTTTCTTGTATGCATCATATTTTGTTTGGAAAGTTTTGTTTGTGTCATCATGATCATCTTCTTGTGGAAGTCCCATGTGATGGAGAATTGGCCACAAAATACCATTGGAGTAACCATTGTAATATTGGTCAAAAACCTCGTTAAGGAACACAGGTATACACTTCTGCAAGTAAAAAGAACATAACATTTTTTTAAGAAAAACGTGAGAATAATCATCGGATATGTGATAAGTTCATGATTTTTTCAAACTCAAAATTGAATTTTTTTTTTCAACTCTAATAACATGTATATATTTATACGTTTTCATTCAAAATTAATCAACAATGAGAAGAATGATCTATTTAATGGAGGACCCTACCATTTCAGCTAGAGATTTCGAGAGTGCATTTTTTTCAACTTCATTATACACATCAAATCCAGGCCATCCAACCCATTTGGTATCAAACTGAGCGGTCACACCACCTTCAAAGATCACAGCAAATATTGCAAATATTCAACATTATTATCAAGATGTATTAAATTACATATCTTACGACTTACCTAGAAGATTAAATTTGCCACCAGGGCTCATTTCCAGAGACCAAGAATTTTCTCCGGTTCTCTTTGCAGAAACCGGAAGCCGGTTAGCCACAACAAGCAGTCTTGGCCTTTTACCACATGCATCATCACGCGACATTAGCTTCTTTCAAGATTCGTAAGGCACTTGTCAACCTAACTAATGGTCTGCACAATTTTGTTTTTAAAGCAAATCAGGCTATGTAAAGAAGCTGAGTGAATATCATTTAAGGACGCAATAAACATAACAATTACAACTCCTTAAACTAAATATGATGTCTAGAAACAGAGAAAGTCAAAAACTTATGTGAAAGAAACTCCCAAGAAACTATCATGATTATGTTAGTTTTATTTTGTTTCATCGTTTCTTATGAATTAGAAGCTTCTT